CACAGAGGAAAATGGATGCACCCACGCCTCTGAGCATGGGTTTGGACCTTATATTGACCTAGCTAGGGTTTCTAACTTTACCCCTCAGATTCTGGTTGTGTAGAAGAGAACTGTGGGAACGGAGATGCTCAAAGGACAAGGCCATTAGTTACGAGACTGCGGGAGTCCTATGTGGCACTCGAGGAGATCCTCAGCCGTGAGCTTCGAGACTGTCGCTTAACAGAGAGTGACTGATATGAACGAGCATTGACAGCGGAAGAGTCTGCTTCCCTTGGCCAACGACTCAGGAGCCTGAACAGAGGAGACTGTCACGCTCGTTTCTCTGCTTGAATGGTTGTGCCGACTGCATCACGAGGCTGGCCCTTTTGATAGGATGTGCGGAGTGGTAACAAAGTGATTTCTGTCACACACAAACTCAGTTTATTGCTAATACTAATACTAATGCCCACTCAGTTTCCGTGGCTCGAATTCGATATTTACTCAAGTACGTGGTAATATCTGCTACGTGGTGGAAAATCATGTTGAGATGACCCATGGACTAACGCTCGCTGGATCCTAATAGTCTGTAGTCTGCGCATGGCCTAATATCATACAGGGAGAATTCTGCTACAAGATAGGCTTCCACTTGTCGTAGGATAATCTGTCACGGTCTGTATCTATCTAGGCGTGGTTGGTTATGTGGTCCCTTTCTATGCCTGCCAGCTGTAGATAAACGGCATATGGGAGATAGAAATGGCCGATATCGGAAAGCCCAGCAGACTGATTGTTCAGCAGCAAAATTCATGGCTGAGCCTTGGTAATCGTCATTGCGCTGATTCGGCCATGCACTGTATCCGCCCACAAATCGCAGGGTCTTCGCAGGGTCTACTGCAGTCATACAGTGCGACAAGTCTACTCTGATAACACTTGCACTCGCTTCTAGGCCCTGAAGAACGCATCTCCGCCAAAAAGTACCTTGGCGGAATTACGTTTACAGCCCAACCCTTCCTTTCCCTATTATTTGATTCTTCCTCACACCGACCACCTTTGCCCTTCAGCGTCAATATCCGACACACAACCTTTTCCTTACTTGCCAGTCCACCTTGAACGGCGAAACTACAAGCAAAATGTCTCCCTCGCTCGTCACAATAGACAACACTCCAGACTTCGACTTCGCCGCCGACTTCAACCCCGCCCCCACCAAGAAGAATGTCATCACCGCCACAACAACACACCGCGCCCTCCTCCTCGCGCCGCCCTCCATAGCTGCACAAGGCACTAGCGCCCTCCCCACCTTCGACCGCGACACCACCGACCTGCAGATGCTCGACCGCCTCTATGCCGGCCTCGTCACCCTCCCCGCCGCCACCTACGACCTCGTCCTGCTCCTGACAGGCTCCGACGGCGCCAGGCACGCCGAGGCGTCCGGCCTGCTTTCGCGCGAGGTCTTCGCTTCACTCGTGGCCGCCATGAAGTCCGGCGCCTCGCTCAAGACCCAGGACGGCAGGTTCGACACCCCAGAGACAAGGGAGGCGGTGCTCGCGGGGCTGGTGCACAAGGACGGCGGCTACGAGAAGGTTGAAGAAGAGGAGGTCGTCGTGCCGCTGCGGTTCGGGAAGAAGAAGACAACGCCAGCGGAGTCGCAGCAGAAGAACGGAAATGGCAACGTGCACAGCTCTGCCGGACCGGCGGTGGACAAGGTTACAATTGATGTTGCTGGACAGCCAAAGACGCTAGATATGGTGCCTCCCGCGGTGAAGCCTGTCGCGGGCGTTGGCTTCGACTTTGGCGACGAATTCGATGATGACGACGAGTTGATCGACGAGGATGAGCTCATGACAGAGGAGGACTTGAACCGACCTGTGCAAATGCGTATGTTCTTGGACACTCACCCCACCCCACCCCTCTCTCTTATACACATATATCACCCACATGCTAACGCAACCACGCAACAGCCCCAGAGTGCAAGCCCGAGCCCGGCAAGAAGCGCCGCGCCTGCAAGGACTGCACGTGCGGCCTGGCGGAGCGCATCGAGGCGCAGGACAAGGCGCGGCGCGAAAAGGCGGACCGAGACCTGAACACGCTGAAGCTCAAGTCGGAGGACCTCAACGAGCTCGACTTCACGGTGCAGGGCAAGACGGGCAGCTGCGGCAGCTGCGCCCTGGGCGACGCGTTCCGCTGCTCCGACTGCCCCTACATCGGGCTCCCGCCCTTCAAGCCCGGCGAGGAGGTCACCATCCTGAACAACGTGGCCCAGTTCTGAGCGGGGCGGGTTTGTCCTGTTTGGGATGTCCGGAAAAATGTTGCAAGACCATGAATGCATGTATACCCACTCACCCAAGACGCGGGCCACGCGGGCCACGCTGGCCACGCTGGCCACGCTGGTCAAAGGAGTGAGTTGTCCTGTCAGGGTGGGTGTTCTCGACTGCGAAAATCATAATCGAGCGGCTTGTCTGTATCAGACTCCTATCAGAGGCAATTCAGGCCTCGATCTCGGTAATTTGAACGTCACGACCGTACCAGCCGGGAACTATGGGGCCCTAGTAATGGCATAAGCACGGAGCGGGTGCGAACATACGAGGTTCCAGATGGTGGTCCAGATATGGTCGACCTTATCACTTGAGGAGAAGACTTGAGGAGATTCGGGTCATGGATTCCTGATGTAGAGTCATAAAACAGAAAGTGAAGGCAGAGGCAACGTAACAGCCCGCCTGCTTGGATTCAGAATACTGAGAATGCATTTTATAGAATTAACCAACCTAGGGAAAACAGTCCCCGTGACTACTGAGATCGCTGTGCGCCGTGACAAATCCACTTCCTTTCTGAACCCGGCAGCATGTTAACTCCATGCTCGCCTATATATTTGTGTTTCGCTCTGATTGTCCTTGGACTTTAACGTTACCCCCGTCTCAACACAGCCTTCGAATCCCCATGCTCAAGTCAGGATTTAACGCGCCCTCTTCCCGCTGGCCTCCTTCTTCGCCCCGCTGGAGCTCTCATCGTCACTGTCACCGCCCAGGCTGTACCTCCTCTCGGTCCCTAGGACACCCTCTTCGTGGCCCTCTACTGTAGGCGACTCGACATGGAGATCATCTAGTTCCGCCTCGTCAAAGTCAGCAGCCTCGAGATCCCGAGCGTTCGTTGCCCCTCGGCTGCGGAAGTCCCGCCTCTGGCTGGTCTGCAGGCCAATGGAGCTGCCCTGAGAGAGACCAAGGTATCCCATGCCCTTCCTCTTCCGACGCTCCTTCCAGACGAAGTATCCCCAAGCTGCGGCTGCCACCGACACGATCACCAAGATGATCTCGCCTGACCGTTGGTAAGCTGACCACTTGGCTGCCTCGAGCTTCTCCTTCTCAGCCTCCTGCGACGCGGTGCTGTTGCCAGCCGTGCCGCCGACAGATGTCTCGGGCAGTTTTTCGCCGTCCAGATAAGAGTCCGTGGGCTTGCCGCCGATGCTGCTGATGTCCACGCCCATGAAACGGTCCAGCATGTCCCGCGACTGGCGCGAAACGTCGAAGGGCACCATGTGGGAGCTGTTGTAAAATAGGACGTATGTCAGGTTCCGTGCCTCCTGCCAAAAGCCCGCGACCTTTCCCTCGAAGGTCCACTCCCTGCGTGGGGCCCACGTGCCGGGCGACAGCTCGAAGCCCTTTCCGCCGTTCCACTCCATGTTGCCAATAAAGGCCTCGGTGCCAAGGTGGTTGCAGATCAGGTCCTCCGCGCCAGAAAACAAAAGTATAGGAACCTCTTTCAGGATGTCCGGGAGAAATTTGATAGCCGGAACCGAATTAGATGCCTTGAAGTGACTGCCCACGGATCCACTGCACTCTGACCAGCCCGTGTTTTTGGCCTGGTCGATGTGGAGGGCCTCTACGACGTCCTTCCTGCGCAGATAAGGGGTCACATGCACCAAGTCCGGCGGCCAGTTCATACCGCACGAGGGGTAGGTGTCTGTAAGTCGCACATCGTACATGTTGACACAATTTTGTTTTCCATCAGATCCGCCAGTGGTTGTGTACTGCAAGATGTCCTGCAGGATATTTTCGCAGGACGCATGATCGACCTTGTTGCTGTCGACGGCAAGGTCTTTCTGGCAGATTCTATGCTGCACCTCGATCTTCTTGGCCGTCTCGCTGCCCTTCTTGACGATGCCCTTCTCGTACGCGAAATCAAGATACGCTTCGTATTGTTCTGGCGGGGAGATCCATCCATTGCCGATCAGGAGGCCCTTCAAGGCCCACTGGTGTGCGATACCAGGTTTCTTGTTTCGTTCAAGCATGTGCTTCGCAATGTAAGGGATATGCTGTCCAGCGTAGGATTCACCGGCGATATAGATCTAGACAAATCAGCCTCTCCTCTGATGAAATTGTTACGGACCGCACGTTGTCTTACATCATCTTGTTCGTACTCAGGGAAAAGGGCGAACCATTTCTCAAGAAACGTGACAAATTGGTCGGCCATCTGATCGAGCTCGGTGACGTATGAGTCGGTGTCAACATAGCTGAACCCGGTGCCGACAGGGTTATCGACGAAGAGCAGGTTCGCAAACTCGTGCCATGATCCATCGTTCAGTACCAAAGTCTTGTCGTCCTTCAACCGATAGGGGCCAATCTCCATCAGGCCGCCGTCCTCGGAGCTACACCCGGGGCCGCCATTTAGCCAGATGACCGTCCGTTGTCTATTAGCGATGTGTTGGTTCTGGTAATGCCAGAAGAAAAGGTTTCCATTGTGCTCCGGTGTTACTTCGATGTGTCTAACAAGAACAAGGGCAGGTCAGCGACGTGATTCACTCAAAGGGTGCTAGGCGGGGCCCTGAGACTTACCCAGCATGCATCTTGATGAAGGGGGTCGCGGGAGCGCCGGGCAGTGCGTGGACGAAGTAGTCCGCCGCGCTCTTCTGTGCGCTGACTGTATCTAGCCATGGCAATGCTATTGCAGCGAGGAGGGCTGCCACTGATGGCACCCTCAGCTGCGTGAGGAAAGCCATGATGGCTCTTCCGGGTGGAAGGCTGACCCAAGCGGGTCCAGGGAGGAGGGAGGGCGGCTTTGCTACTAGGCTTTGTGCGCCTTCGAACGCATTGGCAGGGCGGGATTCAAGGGTACAGATAGGAAGAAGATTGCCGGGGCGCAAAGAAATCGAGAGTTCGATAGGTGTTGTAGGTTGGAAGGTTGTTGGATGGTTTCGAGAGATCGACTGCAGTCGGGTCGGGTTCTATTACCGTCTGTGGTGACAGATCTCACTCCGCAAATGCGGTAGCAGGGACTCGAGTGTTTGAGGCTCCCGAGCAGGGGGTGTTCGGGAGCTGGCGTGGCCTTGCAGGGGGCCCGACCTACGCAGTCCAGAACAATTTATGGACCCCAAACTGCTATTTTGGAGGTCGAAGGTGGCTACCCAGGTGCCGCGTAGACCTGTGTGCTGCAGCAATCTTAGCTCTAGGATGCGCATGAAACATCACGGATCAGGATTCTCAACGGAGCACACAGGGCAGTGGTTTCCAGGTGAATCATTGAGTCATTCACTGAGTCTTGGGCGCATATATGTCTTTTGTAGACTATGTGTCGATGCTAATTCCTGATTCTATGGCCTAACCGGGTCATCTCCCAAAGTAGCACATTGTCTGCCTATTGAACCCCAAATGCAGACTCGTCCTCGATCAGAAGCAAGCCGAATACCGGTCTGGAGCACAATATACAAGGCATCTACGCAAATAGAAAGGTTGTCCAGGCCCTGAGAATTCCAAGCACTCAGCACAGGGCCAGTTACTTGCGATAGAAAGAGCCCAGGGGCTATTGTCTCCTGACACCCTGGAGGCTCCTCTCGAGGTATTTCGTAGGTTTTTCTACTGAGGTAAGTAGCGAAGGGATAGAGAGAGGGCCCAAATTCGCGCCAACTTCCGAGGTTGTGTGATCCCTGTGTAAAGCTGGCGAACCGTTTCAGCTGCCTCCGTTCCTGTTCCTGGGGTACTGCAGACTACCTGGATAGGTAGGTGCAAGAACTCAGAATGCCAAGGACGGACGCTAAAGTGAGTGGATTGCTCCTGGCCCAACACATCTGGGCATGTGGGCAGAGTAGTTAAAATTCATATACACCACCTTCGTCACTATCGCCTTCCCAAGATTTCTAAAGCGCGCGCTTCTTGAGTCTCGATTCTATAAAATTCTGTTCCAACCTCATTTTTATTCCTCAATCACCCCGGAAAAGCTTGCCTGTTATATCAATTATACAAGAGTCGTGAGGTCGAGGTCGACAATGGCACCCAATGTCGGCGGCAAGGTCTACATCGTCGAGCATCTTGATCCAGAGCTTGGCCCCTGGTCTGAGCTGGAGTACATTGCCATCGCTGAGGAGTCTCAGGAAGCGGGAAGCAGCTTCACCCTCTCGTCTCTGCCGGACGGCTTCAAGGTTCCCGAGTCTCTAAAGGCCATCTCGACCTTCAAAGCCACCCAAAATAGCGTCGAGAATATCTACGCTGCGACCAAGAACACAGTTTGCCTTCTTGACCCCGCAGCAGAGAAGGATCTGTCGCCTGAGGATGCTGAAGAGTTTGGCACGTTCCTGTTTGGTGGAATTCTAGGTGGGATTGACACTCCAGCCCTGCATGTGTAACTTGATTCTAATGATCATGAGCGGAAAAGGCGATGATCCTCCACGAGGTATTTCTCAAACCGCTTGTGCTATGTGTAAAAATGTTGCAAGAGTGCATATTGAGCGTGAATAGATCGGACCTCCGAGTTGAGGAAGAAAGGCTTCCCGGGACGACGACTTGGCCCCGTCCAGATGACCACCGACACGGCTGTGCGGGTGACACGAACGGTGATCCAGCAACAGAGTCAGTGCTTGAATCTTCCTCGACCCTGAGGTATGCTGACTTGCGAACAGTCCCGCTAAAGGACATTCCCTACGTTGACCACCCTGACTTAAAAATTAACGAGCATGAGAGCACCGAGATGCCATTCCGTTACGTCAAGGGAGAAGACGGCCAGCCTGTCATGCCCAAGGTATGATCTCAACGTATATATCATGCATTTCGGTACTGATTGTTCGTCCAGGGCATGAGGGAGTTGATCGGGAAGGACGCCGACAAGGCTATAGATGACCTGTTTTAGGCGTGTCGCGCTGATTACATTGCTATGGAAGGGAATGTTTGAAGTGTCAGCAGAGACAACCGCAGATAGTAAGTCAACACAAGACTTTGCAGCCTACGACGTCAATGGTGAAGCCCTCAAATTCGGTCACTCCTGTCGGGAATGGAGACCTACTCTTTGCACCTTAGTCTGCTTATCTTATCATGCCGGACCCCGCCGTGTACTGTAGCTTGCAAGGACAACCTCTACCATTTAAACGTGAGTTTCTACAATACGATCGCTAACTCCTCTGCAAAGTTTGTCCATTAAAGACGTTTATATCCTGTAAGAAGCTGAACTGGTGAGACCCTATAATATACCACCAGAAGTCATGGGGTCTTCTTTACCTCCGCGTCTCGAAATCAGTCCGTGCCTTGTCAACTCGGCGAACCCTTGGGCGACCAGTCTTGAAGACCTCAAGGCTCTCTACGAATGCCCCAATACCGGTGCTGTAACTACTCGGACCTCTCTCATCTCAGGCTTTGCACATGACCCATCAAAGCATCAATTCACCCTATTCGATGCTGCCACCCACCACTCAGAACAAGACCGTACCAAGTTGAAGGGCCATGAGAACGCAAGTCTCAATACACTGGGATATAGCCCACTCACACTGCAAACCTACCTCGGATTCATAGGGCAAATAGCAGAGGTGCCCTCTGCTCGACCAGGCAAAGGCTTCATTGTCTCAGTCACTGGCAGCCCGGAGGAGGTCGTCCAATGTTACTTACTGATCGCGCGCCAGCAGAGACAGGTTCCCTTTCCTCTAGCCATGGAGATCAACCTCAGCTGTCCAAATATACCGGACAAGCCACCACCGGCCTACAACGGCGAATCTCTGAACTCCTACTTGGTAGCCTTGCAGGAGCTTGTGTCAAAGCCAGACATCCCACGCATCCCGTTTGGTCTGAAGACCCCACCCTACACTCATGCAGCTGAGTACGCGGAGCTCTTCTCCGCCCTCAAGTCCTCAGCCCAGCACGACCCAGACGGCGTGTGCCCGGTCTCGTTCATTACAGCAACAAACACCCTCGGCTCATGTCTGGTCCTCGCCGACCCGGGAGTCCAGACATCCAGCGACCCTGCGCTACCTGCACTGGGTATCGGCGGGATGGCCGGAGCACCACTACATCCCCTGGCCCTGGGTAACGTGAGGACCATCCGGAGGATGTTGGACGAGGCGGGAAGGCCGCTGGCTCATATACAGGTCATTGGCGTGGGTGGAGTTTTGGACCCTGATGGGTACAAGAGGATGCAAGCTGTGGGTGCTGATTTTGTGGGCGTAGGGACAGGTCTGGGGCTCAAGGGTGTCGGTATTTTCGATGAGATTCTCAGGGAGTTTTGACCAATTTTCGAGAATGGCCATTTCCAAGAAAGCCGGCATCATTTGTGAGAGTGATGAACACTGATCGCGTTGCCAACCTATGGTCGACCAAGATGAAGCCGCCGCTTAGTCTGACAATGGGCAGTTTGGGAGGGTACGCGCTGGCCGTAAGGGTTCTGGAATGGAGCTGGCTGCTTCCCGCAACGTGGACTGGTGATTGGTCAGGACATGAATGGCCCCACCCCTGCCAGGAGACAATGGGTGAGGCTGCGTGTAGAATGGCAGCTCTCTGACCGTTTCCTTACTCCTTCTTGCCTCGTCGAATCTATTGTGAATTTTTGCACCTCAATAGGTCGTCCATTCGGCGAGGTCACCTGAATATTCATACATGGCTTTATAAAGCGCCTCCATCTCTAATCCGCTCCTCTAGCAATACTTTCTTCTTTCTTTCTAGCCACGCAGCTCAACAGTCCCAACGTCCGCCGTATCCCGACATTCGCGAACCGACCTGTTGACACTTAGCTTTCGAACAGTCCGACCTGCTCCCAGCCGAACAACCTGCCAGATCAACACCTGATACTGACACCGCAAACATGTCCGACTTTGGAGACCCCGATGACATGCTGCTCGCCCTCGCAGGCGGTGGCGATGGATCCTCTGATGAAGCATCCGATGCGGGTAGCCGAGGTCGCAGCCGCAGTCGCAGTCGTGGCCGGAGTCAGAGCCGGAGTCAAAGCCGCAGCCGCAGTCCTGAGCGATCAGAGAGCGCCCAGCCTGCGGAGCGCTCATCTCCACGGAGCCCCGCGACAAAGAAGACGCCGGCAAAAAAGTCCCAGGGACGCAACAAAGCTGACTCCGAAGATGAGGGTGAAGCGTGAGTTCCCAGTCTTGTCCTCAACTCTCGCCATCCCTCCCATCTAGGCTGCGTCACTGCCGCTCGCAACTCACCTGCCATATGCTCAGCGACGCTAACCCGTCGCTTCCTCTCAGCTCCGATCCAGGTACTCCTCGCTCGCAATCATCGGTGCCAATGGATGAATCCGACTCTGATGCGGAGTCCGATGCGGCCCAGGGCAAGGAACCCGACGAAGGCGAGAACAGGTACCCGGTCGAAGGACTCTACAAGAGCTACGAAGAAAAGGAAGAGATCATGGCCATGCGAGAGTTCGAGCGAGAGAGGATCCTTGAGGAGAGACACGCGGAGAGGAATCGGGCCAAGACCCTGGCCACGTTGAGGCAGATGGTTCAGAACACAGAGCAGGGAGAGAAGCAGAAGAAGCGCAAGGCTGGCGCCGCCGAGCTTGAGGAGGGCCAGCGTAAGACGTCCCGACCTCGCACCACGTCGAAGACCACCAAAGCGCTCCCTACAGCCCTCGATAACCTCAAGCGTGCACGAGCGGAGAAGCAGGATCGCCGTCGCAAGGACGAAGAGCGACGCCGAGACCGCCGATCGCCTTCATACCGGAGCGGCTCAAGCCGCAGCCGCAGCCGCCATTCCGACGATAGCGACGTCGAGTGGGCTGGAGCGACCAAGAAGAGATCAAAGACTCCGGAGAGAGCTCTGCCTTCCGAACTTCGAGACATTGAGAGATGCCGCCTCAGTCGCACCCGCTTTGCCAAGCTCAACTTCTGGCCAGGTTTCGAGGAGACGGTGAAGGGCTGCTACATACGCATTCACATCGGGCCTGACCCTAACACGAGACAGCCCGTGTACCGAATGGCAGTCATCAAAGGTAAGTTGTGGAATTATTCAGAACACCATCTTACAGCTAACGGATTACAAGGCGTCACCACGGGTCGACCATACGCTGTTGAGAATGAGCAGCATAAGACCATTGTCACAGATCAATATGTGATCGGTGCGCATGGCAAGGCTGAGAAGGAATGGCCCTACATCGCTTGCTCTGAGAGCCCCTTCACTGAAGTAAGCCTATCCCCATCTTTGGGGTTTAACACACAGTGTTTAACGGATAATAGGCCGAATGGAACCGCTATCAAATCGTCTGCGGAAAGGACGGTATAACAATTCCCAAGAAGCCAGAGCTGGCGCAAAAGGTCGACGACATCAATAGACTCCTCAACCGTAGCTGGACCGACGAGGAGCTGTCAGAGAAGCTCAAGCGCCAGACCCTACTGAGAGATAAGTTCAGCGGCGCCGAGAGGGCAAGACTCGAGCAGGAGATCGCCGAAGCCCGCAGGCATGGCAACGACACGCTCGCGGACGAACTGCAGGAGAACCTGGATAAGATGCCGGCCCCTCGCCTAGCCTTCTCAACCACACTGAAGAAGGCGAGCCCGGTAAAGCCCAGCGGCCCGACGCAGCAGGACCGCCTGGCCGAGAAGAACCGCCTCAACCGACAGCTCAACGCGAAGCAGGTGCGCGAGGCGCAGATAGCGGAGCGGCGCAAGGCGCGGGAGGTCCTCACGGACAAGGGCGGCGACGACACGGACGGCGGTGATCCGTCGTCCCGCCGCGCGGGGGCGAGGAAGAAGTTCGCGGCCGGGGCCCGGGACGGCGGCGGCGGCGGCGGCAACAACGTGCTCAACTCGACGGCCGGCAGCGGCGCCAGCACCCCTGCGAACGGCACCCCCAAGCTGGGCGCGCAGAACCCCGTGCCGCCGCACGTGGCGAAGCTGCGCGAGCAGCAGGAGGCCGCGGCGAACGGCAAGGGCGGCGTGCCCAAAATCCACCGGGCGCTGACGGACGATGATATCATCGGGTCTCTGGATCTGGACATCGATGTCGAGATCTGAAGGGGTGTGTCTTCGTCGTGTGGGGTGGGTGCGAGTAGGTTGCGGTCGCGAGTGTGGGCAGGCGAAAGTAGTGGTGCTTTCTTTGTGTGGGTGGTGGGGGATGGTCCAAAAGCCTGGCGTTGACCTGCGGAAGAAACTTGCTTCTAGAGAAGGGGTCGGACTGACGGCCCCTTTGGCTTTGCCTGCATCAAGACAATGTGGCCATACTTGCAGCACCGGCGTTGGAAATCTACGGAAGGACGGCATGGTTGCTGGCTGGAACAAGGGAAGAAGGTAGACGCTAGATCTGCTATCCAAAACCCCCCATTTGAGTGAGATGGATCCTCGATTCCCATTTCCTCTGCATACACTCTTACAAGGCCCGGGCAGTAGATCGCGTAGAAGATCTTTCATTTTGAACGTTTGGGTCACGCACAAGACTATTCAAAAGGACAGTTCGGACAGCATGAGACGAGGTGATGTAGGTAATGCTTTAGGGGAAACGCTACATGCTGCTACAGCGCGAGAGAGAAAAAAAGGGCCCCCAGATCATTTCAAGCACGTCCCTAGAACGCCATTCATTCTAAACCACCACCCGACATTCTGGTACCGTTATCTTGTTTTTTTGTAACCCCCACCCCCCGTGTACCCCCGGCCCCTTGTGCAGGTCAGTCAATTCAGTCTATGTCGTTCACATATTACTGCCTCCTTTTTATCTTAATTCGCGCAGCGTCCTGGTCGTGCCTCCTGTTTTCCCAAAGTGAGGCTGAGCCAGCCTATTCGTCTATCCATCTACGCAGGCGTCGCGGGGGTGGCCGCGTTAGCAGCCGACGCGCCCTTGCGCCCGCGCGTCTCCTCCTCTGAGTCCTCGTCGCTCGGCGGGCGGCTGTCCTCCTGGCGGAGGTTCCTCCGGCTTTTGGTCATCTGTCGACTGTCAGCCTCGTGTACTCACACAAAACAGAATTAAGGGCACAGATCGGAAGTGATTTGGACTGAGAAATGACAGTTACACTCACCCAGCCACGCACACCACCTATCAACCCAAGGGTATACCCGGTGATGAAATCATTCTGCGTCCTGCCGTCGGCACCGGGCGACCTAGGGCCCAGGGTCGACATGGACGGGCTCGAGGGGATGTCGCCGCCGCCGTTGGCGGTGAAGGCTGGGGCGGCAGCGGACGAGGAGCCCAGCATCTGCGGCGCGGGGCTCTGGGGCCGGCTGGCGGGCCAGAACTGGCGGAACTCCTTGCCGAGCTCCTGGCCGGTGGTCGACCAGTTGGAGCGGATGTTATCGCGCAGGTCCTGCACGTGCCGCTTGAGCTCGAGCTCGTGCTTCTTGAGCCAGCTCACGTTGAGCTCCTGGCGCGAGGTGCCGCGCTTGAGCTGGCGAGCTATGTACTTCTCGTAGTCACGGACGATCCTGTTTGTTGGGGGTGGCGGTTAGTCAAAAGTGGTTGTCATTGCAATGAGTGTGGCGGGCCTTTCTTACTTTGTGATGATCCCGGTCGTGCTCACACCCTCCGTCCGTTGCGTCACCAGGAACTTGCCCTCCTTCTTGATCGGCGCGTAGATATCGTCGCCCTCGTCGGCCCCGTAGGGCAGGTCGTCGTGCGCGACGTAGTCGATCTCGTGCTCCGCTAGGAACTCCGGGGTCACGATCCAGGGGCAGTTCTCGATCACCTCGTCCACCCACTTGCAGTGGCGCACTGTCTCGGCGCGCTCCTTGCCCGAGAGCACCGTCAGGCCCTTCCGCTTGTGCGTCTCCTCGTCGCCGGTCACTCCCACGAGGAGTTGCACATCGGGGAAAGCTTTCTTGGCCTGCTCGAGCTGGCGCATGTGCCTGTATGTTGGGAGTGTTGTCAGCTGAATTCATTTCGTACATGGCATGGAGTGGGAATTACGCACCCGAGATGGAACAGGTCAAACACGCCGTCGGCATAGACCCTCACAGGCCTTCCAGCAGGCGGCGGGTTCGTCTTGTAGCCCACGGGGTGTGTGAGCTTGCCGATGGGCGGGGGCGGCATGCGCTCCTCGTCCTTCTTGCTCGCAGCATTGTTGGCGGCCGCCTTGCCCCTCAGTGTGCTTCTCCTGGAGACACGGTCGGCGATGTCGACGCTGGCCTCGGTAGTGTCACTGGGCTCGCCGGGGTCGAGAGAGGCCTCGGCGGTCTTTTCTGAGGAGTTGTTGCCCCGTTGGCGCTTGCTGGGCGGGTGTTGTGAGCTGGTTGAGTCGGCCTTGCGGTGGCCTTGTGAGGGTGCGCCGGAGGACTCTGGGGCGGTGGTGTCGCCCTCCTCGCCGGAAGCATCGCGGGACTCGGCTTGGAGCTGGGCGTCCATGGCGGACTGTAGGCTCTTGGAGTCGGCGAGGTCGGGCGAGGATGCAGCGGCGGCGGCAGCCCGCTTGCGCTTGCTACCGCCGGCTGCGCTGGGTGACGACATGGTTCTGGTTGTGGGGATATGGTTGTGGCCCTGGTGCAGATGCTGCAAGCGGACTGTGAGCCGTGCTGTGGAAAACTGCTTTGTTTATGTGCGGTGCTGTTGCGGCATAAACACAAGTCCCCACGCTCCACGCTCAAGCAGAAGGGCAAAGAAGGATGGGTGGATAGGTCGAGTCGTGGGAGGGGGGTGTCGTTGGATGGAAAGGGTGGGTGATTCGGCGTGCTTCTACAACAAAGGTGGGCGAGTGGGTGTACTCCGTTGTGTGGGTCTCGAGAGTCTCTTGAGGGATAACGGGCAACCACCTTGAGGGTAGCTGTCGCACGATGCCGGGCGAGTTTAGTCTGTGGACTGCCGGATCTTTAGTGCTCGACGGCTCGTGGCCTTGATCCTGCTCGTTTGCCTGTCAGAAGCGTGTTTCTGTCCAATCGACTGGTGTCACGTACTGTGCCTGAATGTAGTGTGTGGGAGAGGCGACTAGATGACCACACAGACGTCACTGCGGTGCTGTCACAAGCTTCAACCAAGCTCCACGACGTCGGCGCAAAAAAGTGGTCGAGGACTGGTCTTGGTCAACCAGCTTGAGGGACGAGACCGGATGCACTTCTGAGGTGTTGATCACCAGTCAATTGAGGATTAAATGGATAGTTACTACACAGAAGAATATTATGTGCGAGAGAGGGAGCCCACACGGGGTAAGGGGGTTTTCTCTTTCCTCGGGGTAGGGAGGGATGGAATTTACAGTTCAATTTCGATGGCCAGTCAGTTCCAAGTCCAGCACCAGCACGTGTAGCTACCGTGTAGTCTAAGTGATGGGCGGGTGCTTAGGTGCTTGGGTGCTTGGTTACTTGGTGCTAGGAGAGAAAGTCGCGGTCAAGCGTATCCCTGCCCCAAAATTTAAAGTGAGAATGTTGGTAGATTGGCATATTAGGGGAGCGCGGAGGCAAGATGTCATGGTGCAAGTCGCGTCATCCGCCAACCGCCCACCCGTCATCCTTACCTCGCACCTCCAAGCTTTCCAAGCTGGAGAAACCAGAACCTGAAAGTTGGCCTCTTTCTCTCACTCTCTGGCTGCTTGTCCAGCCCGTGCACTGTGGCTTGCTTTTTCCCTCCCCGCCCCCTTCCTCCTCGCCTTCATTGGCCGCCCCCACGTTTGATCCTCTCCTAAGGTGTGCAGGTGTGTGGCTGCCTCCAGGCCTAAAAATGGTGAGGAATGAAATGGGATGGGTCGGTGGGTTTACCCCGGTTGAGGTTGTACAAACCCCCAGAAGCAGGAATTGCCCTTGTGTGCCCTGAGACCTGGCAACTGCGCATAGACTAGAAATTGCTGCTACCAGAATCAATTGGTGTGTGCTACAAATGCACGTGAGGCAACTCAGACGACGTCGTATGCAGCAAGACGCGGTCAATCACTCGTCGTTTCTCGCCGCGCCTTTCTTTCGAGTCAAGTCTTCCCAATTGTAGCTGTCGGCAATGAGGCTTGGCCAACCAATCTGCGGGCGAGGCTTTCGTCGCACGCGACACACCTTCTCAGCGCCTGGGATTGTTGATCTCCAGGCCACAACGGCACCACAGCGTGCACGACTCTGGATTGTGAAGACTCGATAGATGCAGTTCGCTGAGATCTCAACGGTCTGCCGGGTACTAGATTGCATAGAAATCATGGGCTGGAGAAGGCCTGTCCTATATACTATGGTTGGGCACTCATACTTCACAGGTTATTTCACAGGATACGATGACCCAGGGCATGCTAATTCATAGGAATAGTACGCTGTATACATTGCATCTAAAAGGTATGTATGATCTACAATGCCATCTAATGCTGTCTCTGTCTCTACTCATCTACAATGCAGTCATATCCACAATGCATCTGCCAATTACGTCCACCACAACTCTGTCGAACCGTCCTTTTGTGATCTTCTTTCATCCCATGGGAGCAAATCTCTCTTCGAACGACATCATACCCAACCATAACGCCTGGGGAATCAAAGAAATTGGTATATCCTCCCACAATCTTCTACTGTTTCTTCACACGATGCCGCCCACAGCGGGTCGTGTTCCTCGGGTTGCTCATGTAGCAGTGGGCCCGCGCGTCCTCCCCGGGCCTGGGCACGAACTTGTCCCTGACAGAGCAGTACTCGTGCGTCTCCGGCACCCACTCCCGGATGTGCTTGTGGAGCTCGCACCGGCTCACGCCGCACTTCCGGCACAAGCCCTTGCCGCGCACCCGCATGGCCGCGAGGCTGGCCTTGTCGCTCGCGCCCAGCGTGTTGGTCGTTGCCGCGTTGGAGTTGCTGGTGCTGGGGCCAGCGATGGGCCTGCTGGCGAGGTGCCACGCCCATTCCAGCTCGTTCGGCCCGTCACGCCGCACGCTCAGCGGCACGGACCCGTGCATGCGCCGGTGGATGGCGTAAAAGTGGCTGTTGGTGAGTCCTAGGCACGCCGCGTCAATTGGGTCCAGGAAGTCGAACACGGCGTAGTGGAGCTCAGAGGGGAGCGTGGAGAGCGTCAAGGCACCCGACGAGGGCCGCTGCTCTGGCGGGACAGGCTCGCAGTCCGTGACTGAGTACGAGCGGCGGGGAGGGCCCAGCTTCGGCCTACGAGGCTGGGATGGCCTGCTGCTTTCGAGCGGAGTGACCGAGTCCGCGCTCTCATTCTGAGTGTCGTGAGTTGAAACCAGTGCACCCTGAGCCTTTGCTCCGTCAGGGACGGCCTCGACGCCAGCCGTGCTCTGTGTCGGCACGTAAGAGGAAGATGCGTGCTGTTGAGGTTGAGGCCGGGTGATTGTCAAGATCTGTGGCCCCAATGGGATGTGCTCGTGGGTTGTTCGGGACCGCTGAGGAAGTCTCCTAGCGGTGTGGGGGTTTCTTGCCAAGGCTTGTTCTTCTCTGGTGAAGAGCCCCGAATTCTGTCTGGAGAGCGGCGTAAAGCCCTTGGAGCTGCCTTGAGTCAAGGCAGGACCCTGTGAATAATCACTTTCCACCTTCATGTTGGTTTGCTATACCGGTAGGTAAGCTCTCAATTGATCACGAAGGAATATCTTGTTGTCGTGATGACTTGAAGTTATGATGGACTATAGTGTGGACCGGTTTCGGGTGTTGGTTGTTGTGTCTGACGTAGTGTCCAAGTGGCTTCCTGCTGGCTGGCGGGGACGGGAATCTGGGGTCCCGTTGTGGATATATATTTCAAGGCTGGACCACACCGGGGCAAGCGAGGATATCGTATTGCGATGTACTTGTGTGCAAGTCAGGGGCTAGGCGCACCGACAACGGTTTCCTGGGGTTTCGACGGAGGTCTCCTCACTAGCGAGACCATGGGGTCTCCGGGGGAAGCTTCCGGGGTGGGAGTTGATGTTGTTTGTCTACAGGATTGGCGGGTGAAAGCGGGAAGGGATACTCAAAAGGGAATAATTATTCTCGTAGGGGAATGCCAAAGGTGAGGTAGGTTGGTTGAAGATCTTGGAATTGGGACGACAAGGTGGTGAAGAGATGATGGAGGGTGGCGTTGGGTTAAGAAACGAACCACGAGGCCGATGGGTCTGTCGAGGCGTGGTGTGATATCCGCTCCGTTCGCTTCGCTGCAGGAAGATGAAGAAAGAACGGGAGTGGAGCGGCAAGGGCGACAGGCAAGGCCAACAAGGCAGGACGCACGAGCTGGGCTGATAAAGGGGACCGAGACCGCGAGGAGCGCCCGGAAGATTGTTCGCAGGAAGGCGAGACTCGAGAGGCAGGGAAATTTGAAGATCACTGCTTCTCTGGACGCGGTAGTTGACAGAGACACTTGTCAGGGCAGAAGAGACTTGTAGGAGAGATATGAAGGGCACAGATCTTGGCCCCAATGTATTTCGTGAAAAAGCTGTGACGAAAGGGAAACCCCAGCTTGCACTGATCATCGTGATGATCAGCCAGTGAGGAAAAGACGGTGAGGGGGGAAAACTGGAACCTCTCATCTGGGGGCGAGCCCTCCCGCGCTCGCGCCGTTTCCACTTCGGCGGTAGCCAGGCGAGGCAGTGGGCGCTGGCACACACGATCCCGGCGCCAGAAGGCTGCCAGGCTGGGCTGGCTGGCAGAAGCGGCCGACGTTTGTCCGCTCGACGTTGTAAGGGTTCAGGGGTAGACCGGGCAGAATGACGAAGAAATCCAAGGGACGGTTCCCCCACGCGGCGAACGCCAAGCTATTTGGGCATGGTTCAGGCTGGTTCGTCTCTGTTCCATCGGACCAGGCCGGACCAGACCCTGTCTTCCAGAAGGCAGAGAAGGCAGAGAAGGCAGAGGACGCAGTGCAGTGTGTGCAAGTCCGGGCCGAGCGCCGTTCGCACGCCTCGGATTTGCGAGCTGCTCCCAAGTCTTTGGCTGGTGCTTAGTGCATTGCGAGGCCGTTCCCCGGTCGAGACGGGTTTCCTGATGGAGAAGTTTCATCCAGGCTATGGCGCGATGACTGAGTCGATCCCAAGCAGCCTGTAAAAGCTTGATTGGCTTCGCAAGGCTGATCGATGTCGTTGTCGCTGTCTGAGCCTTGAACAGGCGGACGAGCGGTCTGTCGGTCTGTCTGATTCTGCAGTGATCGTGTCAGGGCTGGGATTTGATGGCCTAACATCGCAGTGTGGCCTGCTAGTCCGCCTGGTGCAAGATATTTTCTTTGTCACTGCGCGCGACTCGCGAGTAAGCCGTTGACCCAAGGGCATAAAGAAACAGGACTGTCCGAGCGGCTTGGAGCGGCTTGAACGGTTCTGAGAGTTGAAAGTGTCGCGTGACCGCTCTAGAATCACATGGCCTATACTTCGCAAGCTTATTATTGAATTATAAGCCAGCCGTCCAGACTGAGGACTTGCACTTAGTAAGTGCCCATGATCCGTTCGTCGATTGCGTGGCCAGCGGCACGGCATGGCATGGCATGGCATGGCGCCGAGATTGGGTTCATCCGGAACCGAGGCGACGGAACCGCCGACGTTGAGGGGTGAATTGGCGTGGTTTGCGGTTTGCGTGCCAGTACGGAGTGCTACACAGACTGGGCAGAGCCGCCAACCTTATCATTCTGGCCGTTCATAGGCGGTTGACCGGACAAGGTTCTGAGCCGAACGACCGAGATCTGTGCCACCAAGAAAAGCAAGTCGTGCACGGCTGGCATGGCTGGCATGGCACGCAGTAAATGTCAGAGGGATCGGCCGTTGTGGTGGCGAGACAAGGCTGCAGCATGGTCTTGGGTTATGGTCCTGGGCCGCTGACACCCAGACAGCATTGCCAGCCTGCGGTCGCTTGGGTGTTCTGGTGTTGCGACTTTTCCCAGCAGCCCAGTCACCAGACCCGCTCTCCAGCAGCAGCACGCAAGAGATGGGCCCACTCGATCGCCCAGTCCCGAAGAGTCCCCGCCGTCCTCTCCCCGCGCCCCCGGCTGCATGCCGCCCCGTTCCCGGATGGAGTCGCTGTTCAACCCATGCACGCTTATTCATTGACGAACCGGAACCGTCTTCACAGTATTGCCAATCTGGAACCGCAGGACGTGTCGCGTCTTCGCCCGCTCGTCTGAAAGTCCCGAGGGCGAACCCTAAGTGCTCCCTGCAGCTTTACATTTCCACATGCCTTTGAATCGTATGAGCCGACACACGACGTCTTCTTGAGGGTTGCGAAGCCAACAAAGCATGTATCCTGCGAGTGTCTCCAGAGCCAGGCCGCAAAATGAGGTGAGGTAGCTGTCAAGTCGAGGTTGTGCAACCATCCCAAGTGTTATATAGACTGGTCGATCTCCCGAGAAGCTTAAGCTGCAAGTCTCAGCCACCCGCAGCAAGCCCGGGACGACACGCGACCTGCCTCCCCATGCATATCCTTACGAAGTATAGGAATTCCCAAACCTTGCGAAGTACTCGGGAATTCGCGGGAATATTGCAAATGAAACATGATTGAATACATGATTTGTAATGTCATGGTTGAATCAGAGCAGGCTATCCCGTAGAAGATTATCACATGGAGAAATACATTTGTTGATCAGGTCATACTCAGGAGTCAGTGGTCCCTGCAAGCTGTACAGGGGGCACATGGCTGTTCTGTCTATGACAGATGGCAACTTGATATTCTTCAGGTGCCGTCTCCCCTTGACTTGAGCTGTAGATTGGGGCCCGTGTGTTTGTCCATGGTGTAGCGAAGGAGGATGTAACCTAGCCAATGGCCCCTTGGCTACTCTCAGTTTGGGTCCTCTCACGTCCGTACCAAGTATCCAATGGAAGAGCAGATATTCTCGATTGGAAACAAGGGCGCAAGCACATATGCTGACTGCCTACGAAACTGTGTATCCTATGCAGGCTTTGTCGTACCGGCCTCGAGGGCGGTAGGGATGAATGGGATGACATGTCCCACAGCGTCACACACAAGATTGACTGGGCTAAGTAGCGGTACCAGGACCGGAAGTTTGTGCTAACACCGAGCTTGTGAACAGACGATATTTGTACAACAATATCCAACATAGAATGTTCAATGCCTGCTCCTCAACGGTTCTTGTCCAACAAAGTTCTCTGCCTGGGTCCTGGTCTCTCTGCCTCAGTTGAACTTCCCTCCTTGATGTATTGAAACTCCATGCATGCATGCAATTGCATTTAGATAGTACCGAGCCGTTGCAATTTCGCCAAATGCGCCCGAGCTTGTAGAAACCATTGCAAGCGGCTAATTGGATCCAACACAAATCCGTTCTCGATGACCAGCTTGAGCCAATACCAGATCACAATCATATCCTGTTCACAATGCATCTCTAAGGACTTGCGAGGATCACCTCACGTGCACGCATTACCACCTCTTGTGGGTTGCCATGAGCCGGTCATTCCTCACAGAGACACCCAGATCAGCATGATGACGACGTCCATGCCCTTCGCGTCGCCCCCCTCGTACTTGTAGCTCCACATGCCGTCCGTCTCCTCGTTCCAGTAGGCACCGCTCGCGGAGTGCATGCCGCGGCGGCCAACGTGGGGCTTGCCGTCCGTGGCGGTGGCCGTGCTTGCGGGCTCGGCGGCAGCGGCCGACTCCTTGGACTCCTCGGTCGATGTGCCCGCCGAGGTGGACGTGCCCTGGGCCTTGTTGAGCTGAGAGGTAGGGACGAGGTGCTGCACGATGGTGCTGGTGACGGCGAACTTGTATGCTGGGGCGGCGGCCTTGTCGGGGGTAGACTCGGAGATCACGGCGCGGAGGATGTTGTTCTACATCCAGGGGTGGGCAGATTGTCAGTGATGGGAACATCAGCGGAGTGCGGGGCGGTGACGGCTTACAATGATGGTTGAGTTCCATTCCGGCGTCTTCGCGTGGTCATAGTACTCTGCGCTGCCGATGGCACTTTGGCAGGCCTGTCAAGAGTCCGTCAGCTTCGTTGCATGAGACGAGCAGAGGCGGCCATGGTCGCCTTCTTGTCATCAGATGGCAGCGGTGCCAGGACGTACATCGTTGGCGATCTGCTTGAGTCTGTTCAACTGAACGGGCTGCAACGAAGGGCTGTTAGATTTTGTCTTGCTCCGAGGCAGGCTCAGAGGTATCAACGAACCGGTGTGGCCTGCTTCTTCTCGGACATGGCTGCGACTTCGATTGGATGGTGAGGGTTGGAATAGGGGTAAGGAGGAGCTTCTGGGAGCGTCTGAAGTTAGCACCGCGCATGCGAGTGGGATTGTACGTGGTGGGATGGTGGTTGCAACTGACGGGATGTCTCAAAGCAGACGGGATGTTTGACAAGGCTGGGAGTAGGGTGAGACCTTGGTGTAGCTTTTTGTCTTTCTTGATGTTGAGCCTAGCAGGTATTGGATTGGATATCGCAGGCTGAACAAGGCTGGCTGGCTCGCGGGCTGGCAATCACAGGCTCAGATGCCAAAAGGAGGAGCTCCACTGTTTTGTTTGGATCCCCCTCCGCGTTTCCAATCCCCCTCAGAGGCCCGTGCAGTTGCTGCTGATAACCCCCCTGCAGTCAACAACTGTCGGCTGGCAAAGCAACGAGACTAACAATATGCCTGCTTGCATTGCTGGGCTTACATAAGGTGCGCAATGCTGTGCCACTAAGCATGGATAGGTACAGCATGCTGGCAAATGCACAAAGAGCTCCAGTGGTAGCTACCAGAAGCAGAGATCCTGGTCTCCAAATAGCGCTTTCACTACATGCAGAACCGATGAGGAAGCCAAGTGCACGAATCATGCCTCTGGGACGTGCCCACGTGCACCCGAAGGAGTAGGTGGGACCCCTGCTCCCCTCCCTTGCTGCAGACCTGGGGGCTCGATTGAGTTGCATCGTGCAGCTGCGCCGGCCTGAGGTGCTTCTGACAGAGCCTTCGCCTTGCTGTTCTGCTCCTGTATTACGTACCAAACCTCTCACGACGACCTGGAAACCGTGCTCTTATTAACCGCGCTGCCTCCAAGTCACTCACTCGAAAGACTGCTGGCCATCCAAAGCCTCTAGAACTGCGTCAATTGACCTTTGACGGAGCATTCCGTCCCAACTCCAGCTCCAGCTCCAGCTCCAGCCACCTCCTGCAGTGCTTCCTCGAGTCTGCGGGTAGAAATTAATATCCGTGGAACAACTACGACAACAATTACTTCTACCCCCGCCACAGCTGTCGCCCACCCTTCGACATTCCAGACAGCCATCGTCATGTCGAGCCAGCCCTTGCTCCAGACTGCGCCAGGTATTTCCTGCCCTCGGGAACTGCTCACCACGCAATCGGCTGACATCTGTTTCTCCTAGGCAAACGAATTGCCCTCCCCACCCGCGTCGAGCCCAAAGTCTACTTCGCCAACGAGCGAACGTTCCTGTCATGGCTGAACTTCGCCGTCATCGTCGGCGCCCTCGCCGTCGGAATGCTTAACTTCGGCGACAAGGCCGCCAAGATCTCCGCCTTCTGCTTCACCGGCGTCTCCATCGCCACTCTGATATATGCGTTACGGACCTATCACTGGCGGGCCAGGTCCATCAGGGTGCGCGGCCAGGCCGGCTTCGACGACAGGTTTGGCCCCACGGCGCTGGCCATCCTGCTGTTGATCGCGGTGGTGGTCAACTTTGTGCTGAGGATCGTGGACTCCTCCAAGGGCCACTAGGTCGAATGCAATTGTACGATCTGAGATATAAATCAAGCAGTTTCACGAGGGCTTTCTCCATACGGTTTACGGGCTAGGGATGTGCTTGTCGCCGAAGTCACGATCTGGCGAAGCTATGCGGCTACCAAGCCAAGGTGTGCTTATGTGTGATGAGAAGGCGCTGGCTTTTCCTAAGCCGGCATCAGAGAGATTAAAGAGATTGGCGAGGTCACAGGTACATGGAGCATTGAAACGGGCTGTCGCCGACCCTCGCGGACGTGGACAATACCGGTTCGCCGCGGAAAGAGTCAAGATGAGACTCAAGGCAGTTCTTCGTTCGAGGTGTTACTCAAGCATGGGTGGCTCTGCAAATAAGGGTGGTTAATATGCATTCAGCATGGGACGGCACGCATCTGGCGGCGTCATGATTTCATAGAGCGCAAAGGAATGACACGAAGCATTCACATTCAACACACGCTGGCTCACGCATATGCAATGGTACGGCTCGGCGCAACTCCAGTTGAACGATTTATGTGACAGTTCCCTTGAGCATACACTTACTTCTTTAACCAGCTCTATATCATCACAATTTTCTGTCCGTCCAGCTTCCAGACATAAAGCTCTCATGGTGGTTGCAAGACCCACCATTGGGCATGCTATCCGCTAAGCGATGCCAGTCTTCTATGAACCACCCGCTACTGCCTCGATGGCCAGACCAACCTGAGCCACGAAGTCCTCTTCACTGATGACGAGTTCCACCTTGTCCCACGCATCACGCCTAGCTAGCTCAACCTCTACTGCATTGGGTGTGGCCCCTCCATGATCCTGCTCCACACTCGCTTTCCGGCTTCCCGCCTGATCAATGGGGACAGCCTCGGCCTCAGCCAGGAAGTACTTCCGCCCTAGCAGAGCAGCCAAATTTCTATATCGTGTTTGAGTCAGCCCCGCCCGCTGGATTTCCACGACCGCGCCATGGCCCTCGCGCATGAACATGATATGGCTCAGTTCGGCACCGTGGGCCCCGATGAGGACATCGGCCGAGTGCACTATGGTCAGCTGGTCCGCCATGGGTAATGCGGCAAAGTTGGCCGCATAAGCTATGACTTTAGGAGCGGGGAAGGCCCTGCGGAGCGCTTTGATGAGATGAATATTGTCCTTAACCTTGTGCGTGGCTGTCTGCACGAAGACGACTTTGACGGACCCGAAGAGGTGTTTTCCACGATACGACACGTGGTAATGCTGCAGCACCCGCCTAGCAAAGGTTTTCGCGATGGCTGAGTTGCGACAGTCCGATACGTCGTCCCCGCCGATCTGTGCCAGCGGGTTGCTACCGCCCGGGAGCGCGACGATCGCCGTGTGAGCGGACAAGAGGGCGTCTGCTCTGGCTTGGCCCTCTAGGATATCCTCAAAGCGTATTGGCGCTGAGCCGGCGAAGAAGGACCAGAGATCGTATACGGGTCCTTCTGGGAAATCATCTAGGATGATCACTTGTGTCCTAGGTAGGTCTGCTGGTATTGCGATGATCGAGTCTCCCAAGCGGCTGTCGCTACTCATACGCAGTATGTCCACGCTCAACATCATGGACAAGATCTCCATGAGGCTGCCCCAGAAATTTGCCGTGTCCTCCCGCTTGACCAAGATCGTGTAATTGGACTGCTCTGCCTGGCTATCGTCGATAGACAAAGGCGATGGAAGCATCCCTTTCGTCTTCCGGCCGATTTGGAAATATTTGTCGAAGACATCGCTCGTTTCCAGTTGTCCCTGCCTCTCGTCGAAGAAAGCAATACCTCCGGACGGCTTCATCTGACCAGCGGACCCGATGTCGCAGTCCAAGCGAAAGCGTCCGGTTTCCTCGTCGAGCACTACATCCCGCGCAATGCAGAAGGAGTCGCGGCCTTGACCAGTCGTCGTGCCGTGGAAACAGGTTATACTGGCCCCTGACGTTGAAGGACAATACTCCACAGCATGGCTTCTGAGGCCACGAAGATATTCTGCGCTATCTGTGTCGAAACATGCCCCTCGGTGATGCTTCCCATCCGCGCTCTCAGATACTATCCCGTATTCCGGCGGGATGGGTACGGGACTTTCGGCGCCCCCTTTGTTTGCTGGTACAGACCCTCTCGATCTAGGGGCAGATATATTGAATTTTGGCGTGATAGGAAAGAATAGGCCGTGATATCCCAACAAGCCTAGAATAATGGCGATTACGATCAAGGCCATGCTCGTGTTACTCGGTCGGCGGTTCAGTAGCAACATCGCGAAATGGTGATGTCCTGCTTTGAAGGCCCATTTCGAACAATGGGAGTGTTTGAAGCCTTGTCAACAGTCTACGGCACCATAGAAAACCACCAAGGAAAAGGGATGCGGCGCAGGACGTTACTGACGCGCTGTATGTTCTTTGGGTCTCGAGATTGGGGGCGGTACTGAAAGGTGCATTGAACCAGGGGTAACGGCTAGCTACATCCTTTGCTAATCAGGAAGCAGATCGAGGACCAACAGGTCGGCACAGAGGCCAGAAGACGCGTAATTCAAAAAAGAAAAACCCATACTAACTACGACTCGTAGGCATAATGGTCCAAGGGGAGGAGAATACCAAGAATGACAAGGTTGCTGATGCGCTCAAGATGGTACCATGCAAATGGCCCTAAACGTGAAAGGATTCAATACCACCTGGGCCTCCGCTGCGGCACAGGGACCAACAGAATGGTCTCATAGCATCATCATGGGCAGACCATTATCAGCCAGGATTGTCTTCCTTCCACTGTAATTGTTCGCCTCTCTCCACAAAAATCCTCCCAGCTCGCTCAAGTGGTGACTCTCGTGCTCATCATGGTGGTATCTCGAGCTCTAGCGGCCTTCTCTCGCTGCATTTGTCGGGTGGGTCTGGGGCATGTCTGCTCTGTACGGTACCTTTGCACTAGGTCTGGCACACTTCTTCTCTGTATGGTCCCTTTGCGCTCTCTATGGAGATATCCCTACTTCCTTATCCATAATTCAACGAGGGTGACCAGGTTGAGATGGAGCCTCGCAAGAGTGTACATCCTCGGGTATGCCGTCAATAATTTCGCACCGATAATGTCTCTTGTCAGACCAGGAGACAGTCCAGGGCATTGGCCTCGTCGACTTTCTAAATGAAATCGTGTGTTCATTCCACAATGGTGTGTAATCGGCGACCCATTGCCGAATCTCCCAATGCTGCGTTCCCGGAGAGGAGGGGGGGACGCAACTTTGAAGTGCCTGGGTTCGTTCAAGTAGATTTAGTAAAATGTAGTAACGGAAGTTTGAACAATATTTTGTCTACGGCACCTAAGGGCAATGTGATATGCCAAATCAGATCACACAAGCAAGGAATCGCGCACATCTTTTCAAGGAGCGTGCAAGAGGCTGTCATACACAACCCAATTTGCAGACGCTCATCCACTTGACGAGAGCCCTTGTCCAAAATGAACTTCGGCGCCAACCCCCTTATATTGAACGAGAATATCACCCAGCTCATTCCCTCTGGGGGTCGCCCGGGGCTACTGGGAGAAACCAGGCTACACAGGTATGATGGGCCATGGGCCTCGGCCCCAACTCTACGATTCTCAGTGTCCTGAGTAACTCTAGAAGAGTCGCCTCATAAACAACCACAAGCAGACGTTCGACACGGTGGGTGATTCATGCAAGAAACAGATGGTGGCTACTCTGGAGGACATGGCGCTCAACCTCGCCATTTGTACGGATGTGTGTCTCATGGGAGAGCCTGTGTCCAGTGCCATCTCTATACGCATCCACCCAACTCTTCCTGTTCCCATGAGCATAACTCTGGAGTCTTACTTCCATAAGTGGATGGCGTATGCGGGCAACTCCATCGGTGCGATGGCTCGTACAAAGGTATTGATCTGCTGGAACTTGAGATAACCAAGAGGTCGAATCGTGAGCCAAATCGTTTCTACTCGTGTCGCTTATCAGCGGGCTGTATCAAGCTCTCCACATGATATCTAATTGTCTCTCTCATGACGAATGCGGTCGCGACTTAATGATCACTTTGATTCGGCCCGTACCATCCGTATGCCGCATGAGCTTCTCGTCGTCCCTCACGGACATACTGGTGGATAAATCGAGGCTCTGTCCACGATACCACTGGACCTTGTCTTCTCATAAACTCTCGCCGGGACTTCAGTCGAAATGAGGTGGCTGTGCTTGTGCTAAATTCCTCGAGTAGCCCAACTAATGGGAAATCCCGCCTTCGGCTAGTTCTCGCTGTGGTCGGCTTTCCTTGCCCCGGTTGAGAACATAGTTGGCGTTGACACAGCACGCACAGAGATCACAGACTTGTGTGGCTGAGCGGCTAAGGATGTCACAAGCGGCGGTACCAGCTCTTCTGCTTCATGGGAACCTTTGACATTGGGTGACATAACCCTTGTCGACCAGGCCACTGGAGGAAATCACATATCCACAGGCGGTATCGTTGGTATCACAGTCGGCGCTGTAGGTCTCGGCGCTATCACGGAGTGTTTTGGTAATGTGTATGCAGCTCAAAGGGCTGGGGCCAGATTCGGTGAAGGTCCAAGAATACAAATCCCCTGTCGTCACACAGGCATGCACGCTAAGCGGGCATGAGCTGCAGGACACCAGCCACGTCTATGTACACGAGCTTATGGACACACGAGAGCAGGTACATATTTCATGGCTGCCTAGGAGCTTCAGCCTTGCTGTGATGTATGCTAAATTTATATCAGCATGGAGGCGCGTTTGTGATCGGTCGTCTTCTTGCCCTTTTCGTAAATTTCAAAATAGAGCATGCGGAACACGACTCACCTGCATGTATGTGGTATGCAGGCCTCGCAAGGCTGAGCGTATGCAGCGGCATAGCCCCGACTGATCAGTCGCTTAGGGTTGTTGAGGTATCAGGAATATCAGCCCCAGACTTCAGCTTTCCGGTGGACACACGACTAGTGGGCCACTTCCATTGTACTGGGAGACGGTCCGGGATGTAGGGAGCCAGCATGGCATTGAGTGCCAGCAGAATTCGTAATCGCAAGTGATAATTCCAACGACCTCAATTTTCTGTAGTCGACTGTGCAGTTCACTACCAATCTCTGTCTAGATGACGGAACACATGTAGCTCATTGCCTTGGGACTTTGGCTATGACTTTGATACCGAAATATATCTCTTCGTTATCAGCGTAACAAAGCTCAGATGACGAAGATGCATTTTACCAATTCACCCACTCATAGGTCCACATCTCGTGAGTTTGCAATAACCAAAGACCTCGCTAGAGGGCATGTATAGTTAGCTATCTTAGAAAACGATCCCGCGTCTCATTGAATACAATGTCATCTTCTTCTCTGTCCAAATTCGAATTCTGGCAATATCAGCTACAGTAGGATGTGCTTCCGCTTCGACGCTGACGTCAACGGCAAAGACTGGGAACAACCAAGGAAGCTGCGCAAATGTCGGCATAGGCGCTGCCATCGGCGTCTGTGTGGGAGAAGGCGTAGCCGGCGTCATCCAGCTTTTCATTCTGTAATTTCGGATGTATCTCAGGGACGGCAATCAAGAATGACGGAAGCAAAAGTGGTTTCTCACTATGTGGTGAGGGCGGAACTCCCGGAAGTCAGCAGGGACAGTGGTTGGTGACGTGCGGGATACTTTCATGCTGGCGACATCAGTAATCAATAACTTTGCAAGACGCTCCTACCACCGATAGCAATCTTTGGGCACACCAGGTCCCAGTCAGACAATTCCGAGATGCTGTATGTCTGCAACTGTGGAGACTGAAGTTCGACATGGTTCTCCTTATAAGGGTGTCCGCCCCCGATTAGCGAAGTCAATTGCATATATAATGACGTGTTGAGAAGACAAAGGATTTAAATAGTCCGAAAAATAAGTCTATGTATACTATTTGGTGCCGTATTCGCGCCTAAATATTCATGCGACGCTGCAGAATTATAAGACTGTGCACAGCGCACTTCTCTCCGGGGCCTACCAACCACCCCTGTCCCAACAGAACGAATAGTCCTGGGTCTCCCTTCAAAGACCCAAGTGGATAAGACTCTTATCTGAGGAACTGAGACTATCTTCTTGACCCGTTGCGCAAGGTCCCCTGAAGTCGGCCCTTGCAGAGCTGCAACTCTATGCGTGCGGTGCCGGCTGCATCAGTGCAAGATACAAGTCTCTCTCTCTATTTAGATCAGCTTATCCGTGATACCTGCAGCAGAGCTATGACTAAGTTTATATGAGTGAATGCTTGGTATAAGAGTTACCCGGCTAGCTCCGGTCATCAAAAGCAGTGGGCTAGTCAAGAGCCAGCAGGGATCGCAACATCTTCAATGTCCTGGGAAATCAACAGACAGGAGACATCAAGTGACTACACAATACCATCTGCCGATAATGAGGGGTATAAGAAAGAAAACCGCTATAATGAGCAACTTTTGAGTTTAGCTACACTGGATGCTATAGAAGTTCGAGAGCTTTGACATGACGCCACTGATAGAAGTACAGGAAGGGAGGATAGAGAAAACTCAAAAGGAAACACATATTAAGATTAACAAAATGCTGTGCCCAACTCATTCTTTGCCTCCCGCCCAGCAACGTTTTCTAGTACATGTCGACACAAATCCTCCCAAACTGATGTCTCTCATCCCCCCAATTCTAATCTTTATCCACCTCGTTTTCTATCCATGTAGGAGTGTATGCGAACCGTCAACGAATGTAACCCAAACCATGCAAAGTGTAGATGCTATGCCAAGTGCCGCTCAAATGCGATCCGTCTGTTGGTACAAGTCCGCCACACCCCTCTTTCGGCCCGTCGTGCCCGCCTTTCGTTGTCCCATCATTATGTCCGTCGTGATGTCGTTATTACAGAAACAAGAGGATAAGTAAGAAATTGAAAGCCAGAAAAGGAGGAAGAAAAAGAAACGCGTTGCGGTGACAAAAAAAAGAAGAACATTAAAACCACCTCCAGTTAACGCCCTCTTCGAGCTTCTTTAACACGCCCACCGCATCAACGTATAGCTGGCTCCTGGGGCCGACGCAGTCCGCGTCCAGCCTCCTCTTCACTAGCGATACCACGCCGGCGCTGGCCTCCCTCCGGTGCTTCATCCTCGTGGCATCTTCAGGCCTCTGGAGGGCAGCAACAGCCTGCAGCCAGCTGATGGCCTCGTCCTTGGGGAGGGGGGCCTTCTGCGGTGAGGTAGATGACGAAGACCGCGCGGCGCGGTGCCCGAAGGCCCAGATGATGAGCACGCAGACGTACATGCCCCAGTAGTCGCTGATGCAGCCTGTCTGGGGCGTAGTGACGCTACCGTCCTTGAGGAAGCACAGCAGGGCGCGGGCGGCGTGGCAGGTCGCCTGGGCACAAGACATGCCCTCGAGACTACCCGCGGGGGCTTGTTGCTGGGAGCTGGGCGACTTGGAGAAAAGTCTGCCTTCCGCCCAGGCTTTGAGACGCTTCTGGTTCTCCAAAAACGTCGAGGCGCCAAGCACTTTCTGGCTGAAGACCCAGCTGTCGCCGCTGACGGCGAGAAGGTCGTGGAGAGGGGTGTGGTGGAGGGCAAGGTAGATACTAGGGCTGGGGGAGACGTTTGCCATTGAGAATAAGTGTACAATGCGCTCTTCGGAGTGAGCGCCGTTGAAAGACTGGTTGTAGGACGCGGTCGTTGGTGTGCGCAGGTCGTCCGCTGTAAAGCTGTGATGATCGTCTTGTTCGTTTGAGGAGCGGTTGTACTGACGCCGGGGCAGCCTCGATGCTTCGGCATGGAGTATAGCCATCTTGTCAAGGCAGCTGTGTCTAGCCACCTCCTCCGGCTTCAAGGTGTTGGGATGGGGGACGAAACGGGGCATGCTAGCCGCTGGCGAGGTTTCTAGGATGTTTGCCCACTCGATTGCCGACCCCGCAGCCCACAGGGTGTCACTATGTCCTGTCAAGGGTATCGTTGAAAGGTCAATGTCATCCCTAGCACGAGGCTGTTGATGATACAAGGACGTGTGGTTGTCGACGATGAAGCATACGGTCAACAGCCGTCGACGAGCCTCTTCTTCAATCCAGGTGTGCCATCGCTCCTCATTGGTAATGCTGATACCCATGGTGCTGTTTCCAAGAGAAGTTGTGTTGAACATGGTTGGGGTATTTTCGAGGACCTGTGGAGAGAAGCTGTCTGAGTACGACTGTTCTTGCCCGATTGAAGTCAAAGGAAAACAGGCATTATCGAATGAAACATTATTGTATGTTTGGAAACCGGGGTTGAGAATGAAAGTATTAGGAGAAGAAGAAATCTGCTGCGGCGAGAAGGAAACGGTAGGCGAAAAGAGCACGGAGGTACTGCCATGACTGCCGTGATCGAATTGATAGAGTCCATTATGGGGCGAAGATGCAGAATTGGGCTCAGAACTTTGTGGTGACCAAGCAGGGAGTGAAGGAGTATAGCCGCCAGCAGAAGAAGACAGAGAAGGAACAGAGGACGAATCGGAACGAGAGACAGGAAGAAAAGAACGACTGTTGCTCGAAGCAGATGACACAAAAGACTGTGATCCACTTACCCTCGAGTAGAGGTTTTCAAACAGTTTTGAGGGCCGTACCGACGCCTTTCGGCCCCTGAACCGAGAAAAGAGTTCGCACAGAAGGATAGCCTGGCTGACCTGAAGACTCCACTGCGTGTACTGCGTGTTCTGCGAAGATGAATGAGTTAGCTAGGTGCTCGAAGTATTAGCTCGAGATGTGAGCTTTCCAAATACTCACGCGCTTCGCCTCCTGCCAAGCGTACTCGTGGAGCTGATTTCCCCGGATGCGATCGTCCTTGTTGTCGAGATATTGCGTCGCTATAGCAGCCATCGCGCATTTGAGAGCATCTTCCCCAGCGCCCTCAACCGTGCCTCGGTGAATGAATGGATACAGGACGTGAAATTTTTCCCAGTACACGTCGAGATACGAGGCAATACTGTTGCGCACAGAGCGCGGAAGGGGAGTCACCACCGACATCCCACCCATCCCGCAGCCACCCACGCCTGCCAGTGCCGAGCCCGTAAGTATGTCGCCTGGGCTGTTGCTCGGCCAGCTTGGACTGCTGCCATCACCGGCGTATATACCCACACCACCAATCATGTTGTTGCCGCCCACCACCATTTCCTTCTGCCGGCTCACATGAGCCATCGGGGCTGCTCGACTTGGGAGAGCAGCTGGAGTGACTAAAGTGTCAGCCCCTTGCGCCGACGATGGTGGATGGGATGGGCTACGAACTGAGGATGGTCGGTGATGGGCGACAGGGTGCGAGGCGATGGAGTTGTCCAGTAGAGACTGCTGTGTCTGATCGTCGGTAAACCCACCCATCAGCGAGGGGTCGAGAAGCGGGCCGTATGTGTGGTAAGGTGCCGGAGCTATGTGAGGAGACATTGGGAACGGCGGGGTGACATAATGGGAAGTAGTCACTGCGTCCAGGTTGCTTGTGCCATGTAGTTCACGCTGCGCGGAAAACGGCGATAGCATACTAGCGTTGGATTGCCAATCCAGAGAGCTGTGCGAGCGGTGGTGCTGCCAATACCCCCGAGGTCTGCTAACCTCAGCCGGTGGTGGGGTTGAATAGTTGCTTTCTGAAGCAGATGTCCAGGGTGAGTAGTCGGTAGTATGTATCAGCTCAGGCGGTTGATCAAGGCTGGTCTGCAAGGGACCTGCTGTAGTCGCCTGATTTTCGGTACCGATAAACATGGGCACTGTCCGAGGCGCCATTTCTATAGTCGAAAATGCCGAAGGTTCAGGAGAGGGGCTCATGCTGATAGGGAGCCTACTCGAATATAGCGAATAGCCGCCTGGGCCGGATGATGGACCGTAGTGATCACCGCCTGGGGGCGACATTGTGGGCACATGGCCTCCTGGCGCAGGACTGCCTCCGGGTGCGTAAGGTGTAGGTGGCATATTAGGAGTTGTGGGTGGCATGTCCGACGTTGAAGATGATGTTGGTGCTCCCCCGTAGCTGGCAGGAGAACCAAACCCATGAGGCGGCTGTAAACCTCCTCCACCAACCCGAAGCCCAGGCATTCGCTCCTCCAGAGTGGCTGAAGTTCCTGAGGCTGTAGAGTTGCGCCGGCTGCCCTCACCACTCATCGAGACCTTGTCTCCTTCTTGTTCACTATGTGTGCAATTAGTACAGCTTTGGAGATACGAAAACCGCTCGAAATAAGTGTTAGTTAACTTACTGTCTCTGTTGGTGTCTGGCCAGAAGATCCGGACGGTGGAAGGCTCGCTCGCAACCTGGGTAAGTGCATGGATAACGCGGCGTTTGGTGACTCAGTTGATGCCTCCTGCGAGAAAGTGGTTTAGTAACAATTCTTGCCAGGGAATATTATTTCCTCTATCAGATAGTCCTACCTGAGGTGCTCGGCTCTTGTGAAGGTCTGGTGAACATGTTAGCGACGTCAATTTCGGCAGCCAAGTGACGAGAAACCTTGCCCATACCTTCGGAGGGTTGCACATGTCGCACGTGTGAACAGGAACTCCCTTCTTGGCACGACTGACTCTCCCCGTGATCGGCGTCAGCCTGATGGGGACCTCGGGGTTTGGACTTCCCATCGGCCTCCTTGGATGATTTGGTGGTAGACCGCCGCCGCTGGCTCCCCCCATTGACGAGGACGATGCGGCGGACCCATAACCGTGTTGGTCCATCGAGTCCACGCTGGTATTACTTTCACGCCTGGACTGTTCTGCGCGAAATGTCGTGGGTGCTGTAGCTGCCGAAGATGTATCCCGTGGATCGCTGATGATGGCAGGCCTCTTGCCTTGCTGTATTGCTGAGCTTGAGCTTGAACCCTCGTCGGCGTATTGCTGGCTGGAGCGAGCGACCTCACTACCCTCAGCAAGCTGCGTTGATGAATGTTGCTGACTGGAACGAATGACGTGACCTGGTGGTATTGATGAAGGATTTTGACTTCGGAAACCGGAAGCGGGTGTTGCTGGGTCCTTATCCTTTTTATCCGTTGAGGGTGAGGCGTCATGTTGGTCCTCGTCCACGTTCATGATGGACTGCAGGCTAGACATGGCGGCGGCGGTTGTCCTCGATCAAGGACGTCACAGTTACAAAGTTAGTAATGTACACAATGTACACAGCCCGGCTGAATGTGCCGAGATCAGAAAAGTGTGCGAGTTCAGAAATAACCATCAAGAAGGGTAAGACTGAAAGAGCAAGGGGGTGTGTCTGCGGGAGAGAGCCTCAGTGGTGTCAGTATGTGACTGCAGAAGCAAGGCCTCAGCCTTCTCAGAGTTACAGTCGGATTGGGGCCGAGCCGTAGGTCGAGATGGTCGAGGTAAGAGAAAAAGTTCCGAGTGCTTGGGACGGGGGAAACATTTCGAAAGCAGGGCAACAAGCCCTGGAGGGCCACTGCTATATTGAGACGCTTCTCGAATGGAGAGGGCAGGAAAACCGTTCTTACAGAGGGAACGAGACTAAACAGAGGTACCTACCGTGCCTTGGTTCCCCTTTGGGAGGAGGCTGTAGTCTAAGTCGCCTTGAATCCCTGTCAGCTGGACGACAGGGTTCATCGCATGCCAGGTGCCAGGCAAGGAACGCAGAATGCAAGGTACGTATTCCTTCACGCACGTTGCACCAGGGAAAAAGTGACAGTGCTGTACTTTGTGCCATGGCCAGCATGGCAGCCCGAGCCCAGTGTTCTCTGTACAAGCTTCCGAGAATTGCAGCGGGGATCCCAAATCGCACGTTGATCGCTGCAGAACCTGAAATCCATCCCCTGACTCGATAATCATCTACAAATGTGATTTGGGGTCTCTTCGAGCCCTGATACGCCGCCCGAGTGGGATAAGGTTGACAGACGTGACAAACAGATGGGTCAGTGACTGAGCGCGACCTTGCCAGTTGTGTGATGGTGTTCTGCCCTAGGTATCCGCGGGGCGCCATATTTAGAAGGGAGAACGTTGTTCGGGCAGCTTCTCTGCCAGGATTGGGCGGCCCTCTTCTTCCCGAGCAGCCTGGTGTTGGAGCGCTTGTCCACCTGCAAACCTTGTGTACTGTGTGCACCGAGATGACTGTTGCTCCCCACCAAGACAGAGAGGGGAATAGCGGTCCAGTTTGTGCCTGCTGAGTCGGGCCCTTCCCTCCCATCTACCCCAGCCAATTCGCTGCGCTACAGGAGGTGGGTAGCAAATAATTACAGAGGAAGAAGGACGGTGTCAGGGGAGAGTCTGACAGCAGGGGGCGCAGCTCCTCTGGCGTATGCAAGTGAGCGGCCCAGTCGCACGTCCCTGTGGAACGGGTTGGTAGAAGATCACACAAAAACAGGTGGCAGGTACTTCGTACAACGTGAAAGCCCTTCAAGGGCGTGAGGGTCCTGGAAAGGATCACACATTGGTGGACTCAAGCGTGAGAAGCATCGTGATGTCGAACGTGCTAAGCCAATGGGGGATTGAGTCGTATGAGTTGCGGATGGCGCCTAATGGCTGCCGAGATGATCGGAAAGCTGGAGAAGATTTCATGCAGATCCTGGGATCCGGTAAGGCAGTCTGGTCACTGAGGCTTTGCGCCCGATGATGGCTGGGGCAAAGTCGCAGGCCGGCACGAGAGTAAGGAGATGGGTGGGCGATGGCTGTCAAGAGTTGGTTGCTGGCTTCACCGTGCGTGCTGCTGCCCCAGTCGGAGCCGGAGATGGCGCACCAGCATTGGGGGGTGATCGCATCGTCCCGTCTTGCTGTTCATATTTGGCCGATGTGATCAGATGCCCGGAAGCAGCCAATTCGCACCGGGAAGGAAGGGCGGATGCTCGTTAGAGATCCTTCGACCGGGATGTCAAGTCAAGGTCTACCAGTGTACATGCTGCTACTTACCCCAGCGACCCGTTGTGTGCCGCGCTGTGCCTGGGTGGCCCGGCCTGACCTGACCTGGGTGAGGGCAGTGCGAACTCCCAAGCACCAATCACCAAGCTGAGGAGTCGCTCTTCCGCCGGTGTGCAGAGGTACAAAGAAAGACGGCCCACGGTGTTCCTAGGACATGGGAGGAAACGTGAGACGGATCAGAAGAAAAGCCCAAACGAAGAGTGACAGCGAGGTCTGCCGTCTGCGGAACCCGCCGTCGCACCCGCACACAAGGGCCGTTGCACTGTGGAAGTCCATGTATCTGGACGGTGGAGAAGATGGCCGTGAAAGGAGGGGAGGGCTGCAGAGGGTTGCAGAGGGTTGCAGAGTGGCTCAGATGCACCTCAACCCTATAGGGCATTGCATCTTGCGGCACCAGCTGCCAGTTGCAGCGAGAGAACTATTTTTACAATCAACCGACTCGCTGGCTGGCTGGCCTTTGACAAATTCGGAGGGCAGTGTGATTCTGTTCCTTTTCCTAATCTTGTGTCTTAGACTGTAAGATAGTATCGGAACAGGAGAGTCACTGTCTCTGACGGCGCTTGTCCTCGAGAGGAGGAGGCGAGGCTACTAGAGAATAGTGGCTGCTCGCAATCGCTTGCGTGATGCGTGTTCCGCATAGACTCAACGAGCATCTGTGCCCCCAAGAAGTCGGTTCTACCCGTGCAGGATAGGAGCTCCCAGGCGACAGCTGCACTGAGGAGTCCGGGGCAGCGTGTCCTGTCTGGGGGCCGAACCAGCACATGCGGGCATCCACCTTGGTCCGTCTTCCCAGGGCCACCCAGGGCCACCCAGGGCAGCCCAATGGCTGATGGTGACGGAAGGCCATGCAGTGGATGACCTGCATGCAGTTCCCACGGGTTGGCACGCGACAACGCTGGTGTCGCTTCGTCCCGCACGCATTGCGCTTAGCTACCTAGTCGCTGCGATGAGAAAGATACCAGAGATACATGTGATACAATGCAACATTGTGTACCGTACCCTGACCGCAAGATCGGACGAGGATGAGGACGAGGACAAGGACGAGGACGAGGACGAGGACGAGGCGCAATCCAGGACACACTGTGATCTGATGAGACATGGTGTGAAGCCCTGCTGAATAAGTGACGATGCTGATGCAGGCAGTAAGCAGCCCTGCCAACCGAACCCTTGAGACACGCATGCGGTCCATCATGTCTCTGAGGAGAGACTTGAGAGATCCCAGGAGGCTGGAGGCGCCCTGATGCGACGGTGGCAGTGAAATGATACATGTCGCGCACTGCGGTACGGTGCGGTGCGGTGCGATGGGCTGCTTAGGATAGATAGGGCTGGAGTGGATGGATGAGTAGCCCCCTGGATCAGGCGCTTCTTCGGCTCGGAGCCACACGGTGGTTTCTTGTTCGTACAAGGCAACGCGTTGTCGCACAGCATGGGGAGCAGATGCCCAGCAGACATCTCGCAGCGTCAGTGACGAAATAGCTCGACGGATTCGTGCAACACGGGCAGCCGTTACGATCAGGCACCAGCATAGCCAGCACCAAGACGGGTCCCGCATGCATGTCGGCGAAATGGCAAGGCTACCTCGGCGCGCACAGTCGAGGCTGGATGGTTGGTTGAAACCGTGTCTGCGATCTACATGAGATAACACCTGCTGGCCGCCTGAGCGGTCAATGGACGGGTGACTGGGCGACTGAGTGGCCTGCGCCGTTGGCTTGCCTGAGGCAGAGACGTGGTCAGGTTGCAGAGCATCGCTAGATAGTCAGCTCATGGAAGAAGCAGCAGCAGCAGCAGCAGCAGTTTCGTGGCTCAGCAACGAGAGGGACCGAGATGGGCAGAGCAGATGTGACACGTCGCCAACGAGGTGTGGTGTGTATGGTGTGTGTGTGTGTGGTGTATGTATGTAAATGTATGTGGTAATGTGCGCGGTGCTGGGCGGAGAATCGAGGGCACAAGTTAAGACCTGCCTCGCAGTGTTGCATCTAGATACGCAGTCTAGTAGCATCCACCTGTGTCTGCCGTGGATGCCTGTCCGCTCGTCTGCGCCATTGGGCACTTGCAAGCGCGACCTGCAGACGCCGTGCCCGTGCTGTTCGCCGTTCTCCAGGCCCCGTTTGGGTGAAGCTATCGCCATTGGCTGGTGGGAGATGCAATGCCCACGCCCTTGATGGGGACATGCAGTATCTAGAAGCTGGAAGGCACGCAGTAGAAGCTGGAAGGAAGGAAGCCGCGTCTGCTGCAGTGCAACTGCTACACAATACTGTACGGACTAGGTAGGTACCTCAATCAGTCTCTGGCAGGCACGCAGGGATCACTTGACGCGGCTATTTTTAGCCCCCCTCGAGTGGCACCTACCTGCCATAGTGGGCTCGGTAGGGTACGCAGTACCCAAGTGGGTACGTACCTGTCTGTGCCTGTCTGTCCCATTCCCAAAGCATCGTACCTAAGACCCCCAAGACCCTAGGACTCGAGGATACTGCATGCCTAGTGTGCTCATAGTCCATTGTACTATGTCTGCCACTCCGCAGCCTTCTCTCTGCTTCTTCACGCGGTCATCTTCGCATCCTTCGACACCTTCAGTCGCCATCCATCACATCTGCCGTCCCTTCAGGAAAGGAAGGATCGCTCCCCTCGGCTCGGCTCATTCGGGAAGGCCAAGGTCGTTCGTTTTTTCTCCACCACACCCACGCAACGATCCTGTCTGACCTCGCAAACACCTCCCCTCCCACCCTCTCACACACATGGGCTCTGCCTCCATCTCGTCTCGCAAGCGACAAGCAGCACTGCGCAGCACGCGGTAAGGCATCCAGCCTGCTGCGCCCTTGATGACTGCTCACGGTGTTCCATGCCGTCTCTCTTGGATTCTCGGATGAGCCATCTCGGCTGCCAACCGCCCACGTGGTCACTAGGTCAGATGAACGAGCTTACTCACATCATCGTAAGGCCAAAGGGATGGTGGTCAGAGCCATTCCGGCAACTTTGGGACGAGTCCTGGGGCGCTTCTGGACATTCTGTAGATCTACCCTGCTCGTAGGGCTGGGCTTCCACGAGACCAGCCCAGGCCACCCCCCCCCTTCGGCCCCAGAAGCACCTCTTGATCTTGACAATCAGGCAGTTGAGCATAGCAGTGCGACTCTATCCCTGGACTCTTTCCCAGCGCTTCTCGCGCTGATTGCGAAGCGTCTGGACGTGACAACGATCCCTGTTGCTGTTTGGGTATATGCAGTTGGCACATTGCAACTTACACTTTTACTTCGTAAAATGTTTGAGTGGCATCCAATTCTGGACCCTGAAGCGGAGTTAATGACTTCAACTCCTTGATTTTCGGCCGCTCGCTACCATGACCGTCAGTCGAAGGACCCTGGATAACATCAAGTGATGCACGCGCCATTTGGCGGGGATCAAACAAAGCTCGTCGTCTGATGCGGGTCTCTTGGGGGAGATCTCCCGCGATACAGCTGTGATCGGCAACGGCAACGGCAGTGGTAGCATGTGTCAGGCAGGTAGGACGGCGGCATGTTCACAAGCGAGAGACTGGGAGACTCCGTTTGGCCGTGCAAGTGCTGGTCTGTGAGCCTGGGGTCAGTTTGCCAGGGGGGAGGCATGTCGTCTCAGCTACTGTTGACTCGAATCCCACAGTTTTTCGATCCAGCTGTGTCTTCAATCCACTGAAAATCAACTCCAAGAGACGTCGGATCACAATTCTGGGCGCCATATCTCTGATGGTCGCCCTCTAGCCAGATCCAACAGCGGGAGGTAGAGCAAGCGTCCTTGGTGAACGGCCTCACACAGCTGGACATGTGCTCCCAGGAACCGGCGTTGCGTACCCTCGCGTTCATCCGGATCTACGCATGAGATATACTGCTGCGAGACACAACTCGTGATGAGTAGACGTTGAATGAAGCATCAATCGCTGATTCGGTGGAACTCTATCTGAATAGTCAGCAAGGTCGGTTCACGGCTTATACTCGAAAGTCATTCAACCTGTTATCGACAATTACAATTGCCCGACGTACTTGTCCTTCGCGCCGGATGACTCGGCGACGTGAAGTTGACTCCGTCCCCATGCTGGATCGACCGGCACTTTATACTGCAGGTGCCCTGGCGCGGCTCTGTCAATCACGTCTCCTTCTCCCGCCTGTTCCAGCAGTCTTCGCCGGCGTGTTCCATGAGCTTGGTCCAATTACAACACTACCCATCCTTGTGCATTTCCATTGCACGTTCAATTAAGGTTCGCCTGTTCCCAGGACCAACCTTTACTTCCGACTGGTGATTGACTCGTGGCCCGAGGCTCGTAGCCGCACGACTCGCCCAAAAACATGAAACTACTACCACGTTGGACGCTCATCCGGCTGCCCGGGTGGGCTTGTATGCGGCTGCCAGGTTCGCAGCTGCCCGTGACCCTCGGTGATGAGCATTGAGCTTTGCTGCCCAAGGCCTCTAGAAGGTTTGATGGAATTACCACCTGGCGAGCCAAGTTATTCCACATATGGAGAACCGTCGGCTGTGCACCTCCAATCGTGCAAGCGAGCAACAACAGCCTTTCGCCTGTGCGGTCCTAACTCTCTTCGATCTTCCCACTTGGGGTAGTGATTGAATCAGGTCTCCTTTGTCTCTTCCAGATCTTTGCTCGCTTCCGCGTACTCACTGCACGCCGGACCCAGGTCGCCTGGCTGGTCTCAAACGTATCTTTCGTCTCCCAATATGTTGCTCCATGAGGTCCTCTCGAGAGCCGCGTCCGAGACCGATACCGACAGGGATCACGACGTTGGGGTCGGCACGACTATTGACACGAGTGACTGTAGGTGAGGTTTTGGAGCGGCTTACCAAACCTTCGTGCCCCAAGGCGGTGTCATAGGAGATATTTCCAACACCATACTGTCAAGACAGATATATTTCACTCCTCTTCAGAGTCTTGATATGGAAGTTACTAACTCCCAATACCGGGCAGATGCTGCCGCGAAGAGATACGCGGCTGCGGCCCTGCTAGCCGTCGCCATTTATAATGCCATCGAGATGATACCTATTATCTACTTCACCTTCTCGAGATTCTCTGGTCTATACTTCTGGAGCATGGTAACTGCCGTGACTGGCGTTTTGATTAATGCCACTGGTTTCGGTATGTGACCACTTGAAAAGGACTTCAGCTCGCCATTGCTGCAACCTAAGGCTTTCGTGCTCGCAGTCTATGGCCTCAGACACGCATCACATTCTGGCCTCCAGGGATTTTCTCCATGCCAGGCCTGACTGGCGTCAATTGCTGACCACTCTGCGCTATAGTGTTGAATAACTTCCAATTGACGGGTAATGTAAGTCTCAAGCTTTATCGACTGGCTCCGCTGTGACATTTCACTTCAAGAGAGTATTACCCACAATTCGCTGTTACGAGCGACAGTAGGACTACGACTGGAGAATATGGCATCACGAAATCCGATACAAGCATATGCTAACTCGAGGCCGCCAGCAAACGCTCCCTACGATATTAACCACCACGTTCTGGGTCCCGATGGTCTCCGGTCAATCGCTCGTCCTCTACTCGCGCCTCTACCTCGTCAATCTCGACAAGCGTATCCGCCGCTACGTGCTGGCCATGATCATCGTAAATGGCGTGGTGCTGCACACCGCGACCGCGGTGACGGCCGCCGGATCGAATAGCAAGGTCTCGGAGCTCTTCATTACGCCCTACGCCATTATCGAGCGCATCCAGATTACCATCTTCTGCGTGCAGGAGTTTATTCTATCAGGCCTGTACGTGTGGAAGGCGTGGGGCTTCTTGGCCGTGTACCGGAGCGGCGGCAGCCAGACGCAGGATAAGCTGCGGGCGATGATGCTGCATCTCATCCTGTCGAATGTCGTGGTAGTTTCGTTGGATATCACGGTCATTGTGCTCGAGTTCATGGGCCTCTACTACCTTCAGGTTAGCAGCTTCCTGAGACCAATTTCACCTTGTCAAGAACAGGTTCTCGCTATCCAAATAGGCTCTCACCGGCTGGTCCAAGCCCTCGACCAAGTTGCAACTGGTGAGAAGCCTATGTAGGCTCAAGAACTTTTTGTCTTACTCGAGTCCTTCCCCGCATGCCCTCATAGCTGACTTTAGGCTCATCAACAGGTTGCCTACAAAGCATTCGTCTACAGCGTCAAGCTGAAGTGCGAGGTCGGCATCCTCAACAAATTAGTCGACTTCGTCAAGTACACTAGTGCAAAACGGCAGCAGCACTCCAGCGACAGCTTCCGCATGACGTCGCAGATCGAGCGCGAGTGGGAGAAGACGCTACGGACGACGTTCGGCGTCACGGGGACGGCGTTCGGGGACGAGGACGAAGACGACGACCATAAGCAGCAGCACAACCAGCAGCACCAAAAAGAGCTCCCCGGGGTGCCGAACAGGCCCAGGGAACCCCTCGGGGCCATCGACGAGCGGCGCAGCAGCGGGAGCACCCGCGTCGACGGGGCTTCTATGGATGGCGGCTCTGGTGTGCGGCCGGAGGCGACGGCGCTTGCTGGGGCACCTGTGGGCTTGCGCGAGAGGCCAGCTAGTTTGGACGGGCCCGGCCAGCCGTTGTGGAAATAGAGGGCTAGTTTTCGTTGCAGAAAATTTGTAAAACCATGCCTCCCCACGCATTTTGGTGGACTGGCGAAGAAACATGAATACCCTATTTAACATATAATTACGTGGAAGTCGAGGTCAAGCACTACCTATTGTGAAGTCTGATCCGAAGATATCTTTGAGCCTGCTCTCTCCACGTTTCAGTACTCGGGATTGCGTATTTCTGAGTACGGTCGCTGATTCTGGCGGACTTCCATCAGCAGCATTTTTAACCCATTTCCTCGGTGAGCATGCAAACCAAAGAAACAGTTTACACTCGTAATTTCCCTGCTGGCCAATGATGATGCCTTGTTCCAAATGTTCCCCTAGATTTGCCTTGGGTTGACCCGAGCCGGCCATTAGACGGTGTGAATGCAATTTTTTTTTTTTTTTTTTTTTTTTGGTCCAGCTGGCAGTAAGCCTGGTTCCTCCTCTGAGTCAAGCACGTAACCGCAAAACAAAGAGATGACCCGACACATTCTCCGCTCCGTACCCAGAGGACCAAGCCTTGTGCCCAGCTTAATGGTACATGATGAAATAAATTGTCAGCTGTGATATCTGGCTATAAGCTTAGGGAAATCCCAAAGAACTTCCAGGTTCTTGAAAGTAGAAAGTACGGAGCCGAGGACGGAACACATGAAACCTTCCCAGATATCATCGCACAGGTCATCCTACAGGCGATCATCTCACAGGAGATTATGCTACAGGAAAGCATGTACTGCTAGCTAAGGCAATAGCCAAATGTTTGAGATGCCTGAAAGCATTACAACTCGGTGACTACTGCGCCAGGGACACACGTCTTCTGGTCCGTCCGTCTACACGCGCTACAGAAGCTCCATAAACACAGCCACCACCCGGCCCGTTCACTAGAAAGGAACCATCCAGCCACTAACAGAGAACCCGCCGGAAGGCCGAGCAGGCGAGCGACGATGCGTTCCCGCATGACTACTGCAAGAAACCTGTCTTAGATCCAGCGCCGCGAGCAGATATGGCCAGCTAGCCACACGGGCACCCCCTCCTCTGCGTCGATGCGCCAGTAGTCTCATCAATAGACAGGCAGGCTACCCAAGCGCGTCTCCACTCGGGTATCCGCACGGGGAGGAGGAGGAAGAGGGCTCGAGCGAACCCATCCCCCCGTCAGGACGAAGCCGCCTGTCTGACTGCCCGTCTCAGGCGATGCCCTGGATACCTCTCCCCCCCGCCTGCGTGCCTGCTCGTCTGTCCGCCTGCCTGTCCGTCACATCTGTCACACGAACGCTGGCAGCGGTGAGGTCCCAGTGCCTCGACGCAGTGCTCACACCGTCCGCCCAAGCACCATCACCCGCCCCTCACCCATCCATCCATCCATCCATCCATCCATCCCTCCATCCTTCCTTCCTTCCTTCTTCCCAAACTCACCTCGACCCTGCAGAGCTAAGGGGCCACTTCGGGCAGCAAAAACCGACTGACTGCGTCGTGTCCAGGCGGCACTCAGTCCCCACAAAACAAACCCCGGGCCCGGCAGTCACTCTTCTGCCCTCTACCAGAGGACGGCAAGAATCTTTTAGAAAAATGTCAGGGCCGGCATGAGGTCCGCGGCATGTTCTCGTTCCAGGAAAGTCAAAGCAGTGCGGGTCCAGGCCTGTGATTTCTTTTTTTCTTTTTCTTCCGTCTTAACATCGTAATAATGCACCCGCCACTTGAGGTGAACGTGGACGCGTAAGTATGTAGCATATTGCCTTCGGATAAAGATTCCCACCGGTAGGTGCATTCATCCGGGCTTTGAAAAGCTTACTTCACCCCGGTGATCGAATTTGATTACCAGACAGCGCTCCCGGGCTTTGCGCTTAGGCTTTTGATCTCCTGAACAAAGCCCCCCAAGGGCGTCCAGGAGGTGTTGATTATTAAACCTCTATGTCGTACGTGACGGGAGGGCGGGGGACCACGGATACGCGTTTGTTTAGATGACTACCTAATCAGTGTCTAGCTTGGAGCCTAGGTCATAGAGGATGGTTTTCCGCTGGCACAGATACGACGCTAAGTTATTCAAACTCCTTCCAGAACAATGCTGGACCCCAGCAGCTCCATCCTAAGGTATGGCACACACTCAGGCTAGGCAAGGACAGGCCCTCCTGCTGCCCAGCGTATGGGTAAGAGGATCATGGAACGATGCGACGCGCTGATTCAGTTTACTACCATACGCTCTCTACGGACACCCGATTCAGTACAGGCCTCCAACAGGGGGAGATAAAGTCCCAGCGTACACGACGCACGAGTGACACAGGAGGGTAGGATGGAACAAACGGCAAAGGCCTTCAATGGATGAGATGAATCCCAATATATGTGACACAGGAATATCACAACAGGCGAAGACCGAACAAATGGCAGAGGGCCTCCAACGGATGAGGTAATCCCAATATACGCGATATAGGAATGATAGGAGGCCAGGACCGAACAGACAGCAAAGGGCTTCAGCAGGGAGATTGAGACCCAGCGGGCCCGACGCACGAGTGACACATGAGGTCCGGGATCGAGCACACGGGAAAGAGCCCCATAGGCTGACCGTCCCTGAGGTGAACCTAAGCCATATCAAGAGGACTGGCACACCGCATTAAGGTGTGGTTGAGGGCGCTGGCATCAGGTGAAAGACAGATATATCACAGTGAGATGATGGTACGTGCGGATGGATGCTGAGAAATCGTATTGCGAGAGAGAGAAGTAAAGAGAAGATAACAAAACACTAGACTAAACAACCCACCCCGATCTGATTGATTGATAGAAAGCCAGAAGAAATCACGGGCAAAAAACCAACCCACTCCAACTTAAGCAGCATTTGATTACCCGTTCATTTCAACATACATGCCGATGCCCACCATAACACATGCAAATAACCCCCCTTTGATAATCAATCAAATGTCGATCGATATCCACCGTCCTTGAGCCGCGCCCCTCTTCTCTCTCCACATTCTCTTTAAGATTAGGGACGTTTTCCTCGACAAGGTGCGTGTTGATAGGTTTGAGTCAGGTATTATGTGTGGTAAGATTCATCAAAGATCGAGAGTAAAGGAGGAGAGTTTAAGAGGAAAAATGGGTATTTTGGAGATCCTGTCCCATGCGATCTCGGACTAAAATGGACAGGAAAGGAAGGAAAATCATCAACATCGCGGAATGGTATCTCTGAGCCCGAGGAAGGAAGAAGCTATCACGACTTGGGTAAACACTGCAACCCTTCCTCGCAATCGTCAGGAAAAACAGGGGAGCCGAAGCGTGTGGGTGCTTATTTGCTGGCCTCCTTGCTGGCCTCCTTATTCGCATCCTTGTTCGCAATCTTGGACTTGATCTTGCCAAAGAAACCGCTGATCCGGTTCTTCCTCTTCTGCTCCGAGGTGGCCGAGCTGGGAGTCGCGGCATCTGCGGGCTTCGTGTCCTTGTTCTTGGACGGGGTCGCGGGCGCCTCAGCGCCGTTGGCAGTGGCGCCATTGCTGGCTCCGTTGCCAGTAGGCTCGCTGACCTTGGGCACGTCTACAGCGGCGGCAGGCGGCTCCACAACCTTTGGTGCGTCGGTGGTGGCCTTGTCTGCGTCCTCTGTCGCCTTGGCTGGCTCAGACTTGGAGCCCTCTGTTGGCTCAACAGGCTTGACCTCCTTGAGGAGCTCGGCTTCGACAGCCTTCTTGTCCTCAACAGCGGCGGTGTTCGCGGCAGCCTCAGGGTTCTTGCCAGCCTCGACGATGGAGTCTTTGACCTCGGACGGGACTTCAGGAGAGACTGTCTCGATCGTCTTCTCCGCGCCACTCGCATTGATTGTCTCCTGGACGGAGTTGGGCAGCTGCTGCTTGACAGAGTCTGGCAGGTTTTGGGCAGCGATAGGGGCAGCGGTCTCGATGGCCTTGTCCTTGGTGGCAACGGCGGTGGCTAAGGCAGCAGCACCGACACCTGCAGCGGTAGCCGCAGCGGTCTCAAGCAATGTCTTGTCAGTCTCGGACTTCTCAGTTCCCTTGCCAGCGGTGCCCTCGGACGTTGACGGGGCTTCGGGAACCTTGTCCTTCAGCTCCTCTTCCACCTTCTCTTTGTCCTTGACCTCCTCTGCTATGCCGCTGGCTTCTGGGTCGACGCCAGCCTTGTCCTGGCTCTCCTTGACGACCTCGGGGACCTTGGGCTCCTTTGGCACTTCCGCGGCCAGAGCTGCCGTTGTCGAGTCGGCGCTGACAGAGTTAATGTGGGGGTTTCCGGTCCCGATTGGAAGACTAGATTCGGGGATCATTGTGCCGGCAACCGGGGGCACGCTCAGGTCCTTGGAGTCCACTCCAGGCAGGGCGTCACTCTTCTCGTAGGACTCGGCGTCCAGCTTGACGTTAGAGTTGACATCGGCGGTCTTGATGTCGTTGGGTACCGGCTCGCCAGGCGCGAGCTTGATGGGGTTGAGTCCACCAGCGGCAGCAGGGAGAGGGTTGATGCCGATGGGGTTGAGGAGCTCGTCAGCGGCAGGCGTCTCGGGGAAAGTGCCGGGCAGGTCGGAGGGCTTTTCATCCGCTTGCTCAGTCTTGGTCTCGGGCTCGGGCTCGGGCTGAGCCTTGACGTCCTTCTCGAGGGGAACGTCCTTGGCCAATTGCGCCGTGGTGGAATCTGCGCTGGCGGAGTTCATGATGGCGGCAGCGGCGGGCAGACTTGCTAGGAGGGTTTCCGGGGTGAGGACGTTGTTCTCGTTGCCGCTCTCGTCCTTTTCCTTGGGATCTGTTGGGTTGGAGGTCCAGGTGCCGTCGACGACGAACTGGAGAGGGTGAATGGATGTCAGTGAATCAGCGGAACAAGTGCAATGCAATGAGGGTGACACGAGGCCTGCGATATCAAACAAGAAGTAGTACGGAAGAGGCAACAGCGAGCAGGACTGGGTTGACGGAGGAGGGGGGGCGAGGCTGATAAGTACAACAGTGGTGACAGCGCAGCGTGGTACATGTACATGGGCACGGCAAGGCCGTCAACAAATGACATTTGCAAGAAGCAAGGGTCGACGTGGGAGATTGCTCCCCACCGGGCCCCAAGAAAACGAGGGGCAGGTCACGCGGCGCGAAATAAAAGGTACTGCCAGGGCAGGTAGCTAGCTTGTCTCTTGCGCGGACAGCGACCAGATCTGGACGGACTGCTTTGAACAATCAAGCATGTACACCGCTGGTGCGCGAGGCAGGTTGGTTGTGTTCGCAAGGTCACATCCCGCAGCCTAAGCCTGAGTATCCAGGGCCCAGCTTTCCCAAGACGAACAAGATTGCGTCATAGGCCGGCCAGGGCAGCAAAGGAATCGGGGGATGGATGGGTGGGTAGGTGTGCGAATGGATGACTGGACGGACGGGATGGGAGGCAACACTCGACAGCCTCCTAGTTGCTCGCAGGCGACGAGAAGGTGACGATTTCCCACGGGCAAGGAAAAAGGTAATTTGAGCCGCAGCATGGGACCTCGCGGCCATGAGTCCAGTCCATTGATCGACTAATGCCTGCTTGAGAGCGACGCTGCGACTCGAGGACTGAATGGCAGCTTGCGAATTGACCTTTGTCCGCTGCCTCGCGGCTGGCCCTGGTCCATGTACGAGAGTACATGACCATGTCAATATCGGGAAGAAGTCCCCATTATGCAAAGCTGCTGAGCTGCAGAGCTGGCAGCTGCCATGAGGAAGAGGCGCGAAAAGCGCCCCTCACCGCCCGCTCGGGAGCTTCTTTGACCTCGTTGAGCAACGAATGGGTGGGCGCGTATGCACATGTGAGTGCCGCCGCCCTCATCTGCACTTGTCAATTGAGCGCGGGGCAGTCTGTCCGGTGACGTGCTTGTCCTTGCCCTTGTTCTTTTCCTTTCGCCATCGCTCGTATCGCATCGCATCGCATCGCATTGCAAGTGCGGTGCACTGCTGAGAGCTACACACGCACACGCACACGCACATGGATGCGCCCACAGGCCCATCCAAGCTGCGCTCGTCTTGGTGTGTCGTAGAACCGGGTCTCACGGCGGCGCCAATCGATCAATTGGAGGGGAAATGTGTAGAACGTTGCAGACAGAAACATAGATAAGAAGATGCGACAAAGACAGGACTTGTACCGACCTTGTAGTATATCCTCTCGGAGGTGTCGGGCAGGTCGACGCTCTTCTCGAACTTGTCGCCGACCTTTTCCATCTGCTCGCTCTTGCTCCAGTTGTCAAAGGTCCCGGTCACGTAGACCTCGTCGCCGGCGTGCGGCCTGTAATGCAGAGACACAGATGAGTTAGCCTAGCCGCCCGGTTTCCGTCCGCGCAAATTGTGCCGTGGATGCAGTGCAGCTGCCATTGCGATTCGTGCTTGTTGGACGGGAGGAGCGACGGCCCCATGGCTCATGGCCCATGATCGCCGCCGCCCTGCGTCTTCGGAGCACCGTCTCGTTGGGGGATTGCGCGTGGCGGGGCCCCTCTCGAGCGAGACACGGCCGCGGCGAGCTTGTTGAAAAGCGGCGGATGGATCGGTGCTGGCGCTGCGGTGCTGGCAGATTATGGAGCCCCCAAGAGTGGGGTGTACAAGGCATGTTGACGTACCATTTGAAAGTGTAAGAAACCATTCTCGATTAGCGATACTTGGTCGGTCTAGGAAGGAGAGAGATATGCGCTCGGGGGAGAAACAAGTATTCGAAGCCCGTGGAGAGGGAATTCGAAGAGCCAGCAGGCGAGAGCAACGGATGCAAGAAAAAAATGTAGGCTGGCTGGGAGATTTGCTGGAAGATGGTAGACTATTCGCAGAGGACGATCGATATGACAGTGGTTTGATGATTACTGGGCCTGTGCCGTCGCTGCAACGGGGCGGGGCTGGATTGTACGAGGTACGATCAATCCGGTCGATGAGAGGAAGATTGTGCTGGGGACGATGACCTCGGAAGCTAGAGGCCTTGGATTGTTGGAGTGAGTAGCTGGAGAAAAGTGTTGAAGAGAAAAAGAGGTTGGAGCTAGGAGGGCCCCGGTCCTTCGATCATCTACGTAGGTGGTAGTATGGTCACTGTGGTGTATGGCTCACTCCAGCACCGAGCTCAGAGCTTCCAACCTGAGCTTGGCTCTTCCTCGCAGCCCGGGTACCGTAGCTATTTCCAGGCGCCAGGGCCGGCCAGCGGCCTTATCTTGCACAAAACCGGAGGCTGGTCTAGCGGCCCCCCCTTGCCGCTCCACATGCAGACATGATTGCCCACAGGGGCCTTAATGATGGGCGCCAGGCCCAGGAAGAGCTCTCCTGCAGCCATCCCAGTCACTCAATGCAGTCGATATCTCGTGCTGCATGTCTGCATGTGTCTGTGTTCTCCCGCTTTCATCGAGAGAAGCCCATTGTCTGGGAGTCAGTCAGGCAGGTTTCAAAATTACCGTACAGAACACGAACCCGACTGAGACATCCGCCACGAGGCACACGCAAGCGGTGGGACGATCAGTTCACCCAGAGAGCCGAGGATCATCACCATAAGCTTAGCTTAGCTTACTCTGTTCTCCCAGTCTTCCCAGGATTTGTCTTGGGGTGGGCTGCCTTGTTGCTGGCCCGGTTCCTCCGCTCGCTCCGGATTCCACCTTGGCCTATCCGTATCCGTCTGTACCTTTTCTCACCAGGTACTAGCCTTGGTGTTTCGTCATCGGGCCAACAAACCTTCTGTATCAGCACTTTGCCTGTTCGGGCTTCTATGGCTTTGAAATCTTATTAATTTATATCGAGGTTCAATTTCGCTGACATTATAGCTCAACAGTCATGTGCTGTTGGCATCCTAAAATCCCGACGGAGCCCTCGCCTAACCGATCCCAAACGCCACACGTAATGTCCTGACATCGCTCATGCCGAGGTCTCATTGTCCAATACCCCATACGGCTGCTGGTCGCCGGCCCCGTCCTGCCGCTCGCCCGTGCCCGGCGCGCCGCGGGTCTGCTTGAGCCGCAGGTGCTGCTCCGCCAACCGCGCGGGGTCCTCCTTGGAGCCCGGCTCGACGTCGAACTTGGCCGGCCGCCCCGTCAGCTCCTGGTCCTCGGTGATGTTCTTGCCGTGCGGGCCGCCCGAGTCACGGGCGTACTGGTTGTTGACATATGTCGGCGCCGTGCCGGGTGCCGCTGCTCCGCCCGACGTAGATGTGCTGGCTGACGACGTGCCGGGGGGCTTGGCGCCTGTGTCGGTGCCGCCCGACTCGTTGACGTTGCGGTTGTTGGAGAACTCGCCGCCGCTCTGGGCCGACTCGGCTGCGAGGGAGCCCGAGACGTTGCCTGCTCCTTCCTGTGTCACGGGAGCCTTGTCGCCGAGGGTGACCTGAGTGTGTCAGTCAGGCTGCGCTCCTGCAGAGATATGTCGATGTGACAGGTCATAGCTGTTCAAACTGACCTTGGTGCCTTCGCTAGGTGCCTTTCCGACCATTGTGGATATGTCTTGCTTGTCTAGTTGTGTTGGTGGGTATGGTTATGTCGCCGGTCGATGATATGTCTACATCAAGTACTAGTGACAGCGTTGATGTATGGATGAAGACGATCCAAGTAAACAACCAGCTTGGTCACCTCGTTCTTGCTCTTATATACAACATCAGACATTTTGCAACATTTGAGCTTCAATATGCTGATGTCGTCAGAGGTGATGTAATGAGCCTCGCGAGCCTATTCGCCTTGAGGTGAGGTTGGCTTGATGTAATTTTGTGGGCCGCTTGGAGATGCCATCCATCTCTCACTCGTCGAGGCCGATATGTCACAACGGCGAAACAATTACGTGCAGCAGACGGCTGACGAGCTAGTTCGCCACGTTGTGTCACAGTAGGCGCGTGTGTATGCAGTCTCGCGCAGAGTCCCGGAGCTGTAGTTCCGGACGGGTGCAACTAAACCAGCCAGTCTTCAGGCTATGCCGCCGGCTCACCATGTCCCTCTCTTAAAGGTGAGACGGATGTTATGCGCCCATGCCCTCGTGTCTCACTCACAAGGAGCTGCATCGTCGAAGTGTTTGAGATGTATTCATTTCAGATCTCCAATATCGAAATCCCAGTGTATACACGCCTACTGGCTGTCACCAACAAAAATGAAAAGGCCTGTGGCAAACGCCCTTGCTATGGCTGTTTCATAGCCTACTGCATCTTCTAAGCCAATATGCTCTGTCTACCGCCGAGCGTCTCGCTCGCCGTGGGTTTACGTGACCTCCTTCTCTATGCTGTAGAGTCGTCACCGTCAGGGCTCTTACCCACTCTGAGGATGTTGTGCCAGACAAGACATGACCCGCATGGTCGGTCGACCTTGCTCTCTTCAAGACGATGGTCCGAATGCATCGCAGTGCAACCATGTCGGAGCCTGAACTAGTTGCCTCTCTTACCACCAGTGCTCATCAAGGTGATTTTCTGTTTCTGTTTCTTTTTCTTCTTGCCTCCACCGTTGTTACCACCAGAAGTCCCCTCTGGCGTTGTATTTTCCACGCCCAAAGCCTCCATCTGAACAGCCAACTCTGCAGCCCCAAGTGAGTCTAGGAATTGATCGCTCTTGAGCCATCCGTCATCCACATCTGCTGCCGGTTCAGTCGGGCCTGCTGAGGGAGAAGGTGGGATGGCCGGGGTGCCCCAGATTGTTCTCTGCGTCGAGGGGCTGGTGGACATTGATGCCAGTGGGGAGAAGCCATGTCGGGGATTGGGAGGTGTCGTACTTGCTGCTCCAAGTGGTTGAAAATCTTCTAGATTCAGGCGATCAGAGTTGCCCTCGTCGCTATACCTCATGGTAAAGCTCTCATCCGCAGCGCTTAGAACAGTCCTGCCCGGCCCTCGACGATATGCAGCAGATTCCAACCGCTCTGCTTGGAGACGCTCGCGCTCCTCCTGTGCCTCCTTGTCTCGGTTCCGTTTCCGGCGCCGCTCAATCTCATCTTTGAAGTTATCCAGAACCTCATTGGGGACGATATCGGTCCAGTCGCATTCCAGGAAAGAGATGAGACATCCGCGAGGGACGTGGCCCAGATATTTTGCTCTCTTTCTAAGCGCGTCGTCAAGCGTGTTCCCTGTCGAAATGTGCTCGACCCTCGGTAACAGTGTTGACGGAAACTGTGGAAACGAGCCGTACTTTGTCTTGAGAATCCGAATATCTAGAGGTGAGAGGTATAGATGTGGAGGCGACGTGTAGAAGTAGAACTCGTGCTCAGACTGTCCACGTCTGCTGGAGCTGGCGTTCTTGGACGCCTCCGCCATGGCGACTTGAACTTCTCCAAGGTCCTTGACTTTATCTTTTGCAGTCTCAATCGCCTTGACCGCTCGCTGCGTCCATTCCCCATCCTCGTTGAAGAGCAGCTCATCCTCTTTCTCCTGTTTGGTCAGCTGCTCAATCTCATCATTATATTGCTCCATCATGTAATCAGTCGTGCCGCGCATGATTCGGGCGTAATCTAGAACGTTTGCTGCGAAGTGCCAAGGGATCTCGTCCCCGGAGCTCAGGACCTCTGCTCCGCCCTCCTTGGGTAACGCAAGTGTCGACTTGTCGTATCGCATCATAAGCCGGAGCACAACATCGTCGCCTGGCCGCGGCAATGGGCTCTCTTGACCGGCGTAAAAACGCACTGGGCGTACTTCGGACATCTGTACGCTGTCATCACAGATGGGACATTTCCTCCACCTTGCCTTCTTCTCGTTGACACTTGCCTCCTCGCCCGAGGTGGAGTGCATGAATCGAATCAGACACGGCAAACAGAATATGTGACCGCATGTTGCCATCCGAGGTGCCACGGGCTCCGAGAGACAGATGGGGCAGGACGCAGCCTGTGACTCGGCGGAAGCCAAGACCTGAAGCACATCAGCCCAGTCGAGGTGCTCGTCAGCGTCAACAGCCTGCTTGGAGTAGTCGCCCTTGGGCGAGACAATGAAGCGGTAGTTGGCGTGAACATAGCGAGCCTTGTCAACTGCGTGATAACCGGATCCTGGGCCCCAGGTCGGATTGCGGCGGTAATTCCGGTTATAGGAGGAATGGTGGTTCTCAAAGCGAGGACGGGGCGCGGAATAATTCAGCAAATGGGTGATCGAGGTCTGGCCCCGGCGACTGGATGCGTTCCGGATCGCTCTTATCTCGTCCATGTCGTCTGCGTCCTCCCTGTATGAGCCGGCTCTTTTTTGGGTTCTATGTTGCTTTCTTTGCCCCTGTCCTTTCCTAGGCGCAGCAATTTGAATCGATTGACTGCTTTGGAACGGTCGGCGGTTGGTATCGAAACTCGACGTTGCAGCCGGTGAGAAGGGGGCGCCGGAGTGGGATGCGGACGGTTGAGTCGATGAGGACTTGCCGCCAACGTTGGATGGATTCGACATGTTCCGAACGAGATTCTGGATGAAGTCTTGCCCAGAGCAGAAAGAGAGAGAAAGAAAGAGCCTCAAAGCAGCTGTGCCGACCAGAATGATGATGGCCGTGACAAGAACTGCTACGCGGTTGATGATCTGGGGTGCGGATGAGACGGGGCAGGATGGGGTGACGTAGAACGCGCTGCTTGCTGCTTGCTGCTTGCTGCAATCAAATTGAACCTGGTAGTTGCAACACCATAGTAAGGAAAAGTATCAATGAATCGCTTGGTATCAAAATGGACGCGAGAAGGTCTACCTGGAAAGTAGACCTGACCTTTGGATCCCGCAGGGAACCTCGGAGTGGTTGGAGAAGACGGAGCGTTTGGCGAGAGTCATCGGGTGCTGTCGGCGGGGCAAAGTGGACGCCCATGACCCCATCTCCCTCCATTAGTCATTCGATGGCCTGGCTCCGGTGTTAGCCTTTGTCCTAACCACGATGCTACACAGCAGGCCCCGGTAGGTGGATTGGTAGACTGGCTAACTAACTATGTGCCCAGGTGACAGGAACAGGAAATAATGGCCCAGTCCACTTCACACACGCATCTAGTTTGTGCTGTGGTCAATGAAATCAAGCCACCTAGATGGTGGTACAGAGCATTTGGTGGAAGCATGCAGGCACTTGTATCACAAAGTGGCATTGGACACAACCCAAGTATGAGAGACGAGAGCTTACTACTAGACTGCATTGTCCAACATATGCTACCTCCTAAACTGTGTGAACAGGGTCTTCATGAAAGCACGAGCTTAAGCTCGGGTGTCCGTTATGCGGCCACAATATTTATGTAGAATAAGTAGGAAGGCAAAAACAAAAGGAGGGGGGAGGTTTATGGAAGAAGCAAATAATCTCTTAAGAGAAACTAACTCTAAGATATTCTCTATTTCTCAATAGGGCAAATACCTAAGGGATAACCTCTTATAAAAATAACCTCTTAAAGAATAACGTCTTACAGAATAACCTCTTGTGGGATAACCTACTATGCGGTAGTCTCCTGTTGGATAACCTTCCAGAGAAAAGAGGGCAGAAATTAATCCACAGGCGGTTCCGCAATGACGTGCTGCGATTTCTGAGAGCGTAGCGGTGTTGTCCCAGTAGTGTATGTGAAAAGCTGTTCCATTCATAGTCCTGGCGAATGAAGCCGACCATATCCACAGGCTTGCCGAAGCGGATCGCGCGATAGGTGGGCGTGTCAAGACGCGCACACCCGCTTATTGCGGCACTCACTCGACGCGGCGGCGGCTTTTCCCTGCAACTACCTTTATGCACATCATATGTAGATAACTTCAACCCTGGTTTCCCTACGAAATCCTTGGCAACCTGCAATATCAACCTCAGTGCACAATCGGCATTTTACATTGTCTGTCCCTGCAAGCTTCAGAAATTGGCATTCGCCAACACCAGTTCCAGTAATGGACGAGACCGACGAGCAACAGCCTCTCCTCCGCGGCCAAAGCGACCCGACCCAGCAGCAGGGCGCGGACGAGGTCAGCACATACACCAGGCGAAGGAGAAAGTGCCAAGACCTGCTCGTCTCCAAACAGAAGCATTACCTGGTGCTGGCGCTGGTGGCCCTCGACGTCTCTTGCCTGCTCGCCGACATCTTCATCACGCTGATCGACTGCGACAGCAGAAGTAAGCAGCATCTTTCGAGCAAAGCTTCTTCCTCGGTGCTATGATTGCTAACTAAGTTCTGCAGTCAAGAACGACGCCTGGGTCCCAGGTGTCCATAAGGGCCTGGAGGAAGCCGGCCTTGTCTTCTCGTGTCTCTTCTTGGCTGAGCTGATAGCGAGCCTGTGGGCCTTTGGTCTCGAGTGAGCGCTGAACACATATTCCCTATACAGCTACATAGATTTTTACTGACGACGGGCCAGGTTTCTGCGTTCCTGGTTCCACATCTTTGATGCTATAGTCATTGTCGCCAGTTTTCTCATCGATGTACTGACTCACGGCGTTCTTGAGGAGGTCGCATCTCTTATCATCATCCTGCGTCTATGGCGCTTTGTGAAGATTATCGAGGAGTTGTCTGTTGGGGCTTCGGAGCAGATGGAAGACCTCGAGATGAGGATCGAACGTCTTGAGGAGGAAAATGCCAGTCTAAGGGACAAGCTGAAAGAACGTGCACCGACGGATGGGGATGGGGATGAGGGTGAGGGTGAGGGTGAGGCCGCATCATGAGTGCCAGTTGTGTGCTGCAGCCTTCCATCGAACACGGTCATTAGCTGGGCGTCATGCGGTCAGCGTGGACCGTCAGGCCTAAAGTTTGTTGAGGCCCCCTCACACCCATTCGTACCGTGATCGGCACATTCTCCATAGGACAGAGCCTCTTGCATCTGGGAGGATGGTCTGAGAGGTTAGAATCCAAGGGGGCATCCTTTTGCTCGTGGTGTTCTACCTGACCACGACGCGGCCGAGGAAGAATGCACGGAGCGCCTTGCCGAACAAGTCGGAAGTCGGTAGGTCTTCTTCGATCCCTCCAACACATTCTCTCGAGCACCTGCGCAGAGCTTTAGGATCCTTGCAAGATGTGGAAGGAAATGTAACTGGTATCTATAAAAACCGGTATATCACCACATCACCCGAGACCAGGCTCGAGACGGAGACTGTTCAACACGAGCGTGGAGGCAAATCCGCATGCGCTATGATCTCGTATCCGCATCTGCTTTGTCCGGCAGCACAGCCGCGCATACCAGCCAGCAAAAGCACGCGGTCCTCCACTTACAACAACACCGTCTCGGACAACCACTATTCTGGGAGCACAATTGGGGAATGCAGGTCACAGGCCAGACATTAAAAAAAATAATAAGTCCGATAGACTGGATTCCCAAGGAAGAAAACCAAGTCTGAATCTGGGAAATATTACCTGCGCGCATGACAAAGTCCCATTCAGCCAGGGGTGTTTTCATTACCGCCATTTCCTTCTGCAGCGGGGCCGACCGTCCGATAGCTGCATGCCACCCTCCGTTCCAGTCCAGCTGCAGCCCCAGAAAAGTCTAAATAGCTCTCGACAGCAGAGAGACAGCTTGGGACCCGGCCGAATTGCCCAGCCAACAAAGACATCCCGGACGCGTTCCTCGTCCAGCGAATCACGGCCGCTCCCCGACCCGACTCTCGTGCAACGCGCTCATCTGCTGCCCCCCTTGAGAAGGAACCACAGCAGATGAGGCCATCATCAATTTCTTGCAAGCCCCCGGCCGGCTGGACCCCAGTCCCCAGAGATAACCCCATGCCGGGTGGCTTCATCCTCCTTGGCCTTTGCTCCCTCTGGCCTAGTTCGTATTCCCAGTCCGAGACTGATTGGCCGGTCCGAGTGGATATGGCGGCCGGGGACTTTCTCTCCTTCTTTCCTTACTCTCCCTCCCCGGGAACAAGCTAGGGGGGATGGGGGATGTGCTCCAGGGCCCCCCTTGCCCATGCCTGTACTCAAAAGAAGCTTCATATTAGAAGCTTCTCGCGTTGAGGAGCGTTCCTTCTCTCCTCTTTCCCCCCTTCATCTAGCTGTTTCTCAGTCAACGAGTTCTCGCAGATCGTGGTTGCCGGTATAATTCAAAAGCTCCATTGAGTTTATAACCGTGTCTCTCGTTAATCAGTCTCTCGCTACTCAACAACATTGAACATTCTTCTCAGCTGCCCGACATTCAAACATCACCTCAGGTTTAATACTTTGCATTGTACTGCACAATAAAGCCCGCTTGCACAAATCAAAGAACATATACACGAGCTTCAAGCAACCCAACAAAACTAGACAAAATGAAGTCTTTCGTCCCTCTCATCGCCTTCCTGGCCCCTGTTGCCATTATGGCACAGACCGCCACCACAACAGCCTCATCCGCCTCGTCAACCTGCGATGCGGACTACATCGTGGAGGACTGCCTGCAGAGCACGACGGCCCGCCAGCAAGACTGTGACTCGCAAGACTACACGTGCCAATGTGCCGCATACCAAGCCATCGCAACGTGAGTTTCCATTCCTCACCCTCCTCCACCTGCTGCTGCTGCTGCAGCACAGACGAGGAGAAAAAGAGCCACGAGCCGCCAGCTGACATGAATCCCCCCCCACAGCTGCTACAACAACTGCCCCAACGACGCCCGCGCGTCCACCGCCCAGGGCCAGGTGACGCAGTTCTGCGCCCTGGCCAGCCAGTACGCCTCGACCAACTCGGTCAAGGCCACGGGCAGCGCGGCGGCGTCGTCCGGCTCCGCCTCGGCCACGGCCACGGCCACCGACGACTCGAGCAGCAGCAGCAGCACCTCCACCGCGTCCAGCAGCTCCAGCAGCTCCAGCTCGTCCGCCAACTCGGCCGCCGACCTCGCCATCAGTGCCGGCGGCCTGCTGGCTGCCGTCGCCGGCGTCATGGGTGCCCTGCTGTAGAGAGAGAGAGAGCCCACAACCACTCTATGATGCAGAGAGAAACGGCCAGGTGAGCGTAGGGCGCGTGTGCCATGAGGTGTACAGCCCTTTTTGGGGGTGCCCTCTACGTTTAAGCGAGTCCAGGTACGACGTGATGACGGACGATGCGTGATGGGAAGACGGCGCCGTACGGGACCAACTTTAATAAATGGAGGGACGTGTAATTAATTCTTGCATTGCACTGCGTGCGTGCATGGCTGGATGTTTGTTCCCGTCACGGCTCTGTGGGAGGCACGCTTGAGGTCGGGAAGAAAGGTGAGAAGCGGACTTCTCCCTGGATATCACATTTACCTGAAGCACATAGCCAGTCTCGCTAGTGTCTAATATGATCCACCGGATTCAAAACTTGCCCTGTGCCTGCTGCTTTTTAGTAATCTTTGGATTCTCCAGTTCGCTTGACACAGGTCTCCCAGTACAAGAGTATGTCTTGGTCGGCCTTACCCATTACTTCGTACGGCATGGTCTCGCTGGATAGTTACAATACTTGGTGCTTCAGTTCACGCAGGATTTGGCAGTTGAAATCCACTAGTATAGTCATACAATAGTGTAGGGGCGAGTAATGTTGGGTGTGGTATCTCGTCTTCAATTCGTCTGATCGTGTATAGGGTATGTATATACAGGGTAACAACAGGTATGTATCAAGGACACACTGTTCCAAAAGGCCTTTTTCTCTCTTCCCAATCCCATCTCGTGTCTTGTGCAGAAGCTCCGGCCCAAATTTTCCTTGTCGATAAGTCTATTCATGGCAAAGCCAGCACTCTCAAAACAACTTCGTCGGTATGACAGTTCAACAATGGGTAGCCCCATCATTGTGTTTTCCTCTATGTCGTGGTTTTCGCACAATCTGGTGTACACGGAGACAATATACGCCCCAAAGAAAGCAGCCATCCCACCATTGCAGTAAATGAGTAGGCAACCCTAATAGCAAGGGGGAAGACACATTGAACTGAAAACAGTATGCTTCAGCTTCTTTGTGCGAGAAGGTTCGAATCCAAAAAAGAAAAGTGTCTGCGCTGAAACAATGAGGTATTAAAAGTGTAATCATAACGTGAGCGCTCGTAAAATTCGTAAGTCGAGCAGATGTTCCGCGCGCGCGAAGTGTTCAAGGCTTGCGTCGCGCAGCGGCCTTGCCTGTCATGGGCGTGACGAAGGTGACATGTCTATTCTCGTCCTTTGCTCGGGTACCATTGCTGCTTCCGTGCTGCGAGAGATCTTGCACTTCGGGATATTCGATGTTGACTTCCGTGACCTCGGTCAAAGAACCGTCGTCAGAAGCATCTGAGGACGAACCATCATCAGACTCGTCATCTCCGCCGTCGTCGCTGACAAGTGACGGTGCATTGTTGCTAGTCGCAGTGTTCGGGCTGTGGTCAACATCCATCATGTTGGCATCATCGAGGCCGGAATCATCGTCGTCGTTGATGGGGGCACTCGTTATCAGCTTCGATGCTGTCGAAGTGAAAGCGAGATGCGGAGACCGCCCCTTGCTGCTAGGTGGGCGCGGCCCAGGAGCGGCAGGCGAAGGGACAGCTCGCGAGGGGACACGCATGCCAGGCGCAGGAATGCGAGCTCCAGCCGTCGACACCTTGTTCACGGCCGGCTGATCCGCATTTGAGGGCATGTACGGCTCTCCTTCATCGGACTCCTCGTCACCTGACAGATAATCATCGAATTCCAGGTCCGTCTTGGTCTTAGCATCCTCAACATGTTTGTTGAGATCGCCCTGGAAATCTCGTTTTTGGAGTAACTGGGAGAGGAAAGGAGTCGCAGGTGCACCAGCGAAACTCTTCGGCGGCTTCCCTTCGACCTTCACAGAAGGACTTGAGGACGGAGCACCAGGTGTTTTGGGAAGAGTGCCTTGGTGGAAGAGCTTGAGCGACTCGTTGATGCGCTTGAGCAGAGCCGCGTAGGCATTTTGCTCAGCCGTTGCGTCTGATCGTGCAAGAGGATGAACAATGCCAGGGGCAGGAGCGCTGGGAGGCTTTTCTTCGCTGACAGCGCTGCTGCTGCTCTCAGTAACGTTGATGGGTTGACCACAGTCAACAGCCGCCTCCTCGTGAGACTTGTACTCCTTCCTATGAGCAATGCGACAGTGATTGATGAAGCCCTGGGTGCTACTAAAATTGTCCCTATGACACGAGTTGCACACGAGTTTGACAACCATGCCGTTACTCCTCTTGACAATACAAGGGGCCTTCGGTTTCGGTGGTGGGTAGGTTGTAGCAAGCTTCTGACCGGTCTGTCCACGAGCCACCCTCTTGCCGATGGTGGTAGCCTCAGAAAGGCTGTTCCTCGTTGTCCGCCCTTCTGCCGAGTTTCTAGGGACAACTGACAGACCCTGCCACTCAGGCACCACGTCTCCAAATCTAGGATCTGGGATCAGCCACTTGGCGTAGTGACGAGCATAGGGACCCTCCGTCACTCCGAATGGCGGAGCCCACTGCGCAGCAGGCTCCCCATTCCTACCGTGAACAGCTGATCCCTTGCCTTGCGAGATATCCAACATCTGTTGTGGGGTGGGGCAAGAGGTTGGGTAGGGTATGAGGTGGCACCGACGCAGCTGCTCCAGGGCGACTTGACATTTGGCAAGTTCCTGGTTGATGAAGCGCAGCTCCTGATGCTTCAGTAATATCTCCGTGCCGAACTGCTGGTTGATGATGTCAACTACTCGATCAGTGTTTGGCGCCGCGGCTTTTGGGGACTGCGATGCGAAGTACTCTTGCCGTGCCATGGCGGGAGTTTCTGGTGGTGTCGCGACGCTGTAGTCAACCTTTGCACGCTTTGCGCAGCCATCATCATCGATTCCGTCGTGTGCAGGAGACGCCTTTCTTTTGAGAGAGTGTGGGCTCGTGGCAAGGCTGGGTAAGTCTTTGGAGCACATTGTCATGATTTGTTCAGCTTCAGCGAGCCTGTCACCTGCCTTTGCATCACCACTCCAGAAGCGGAACATATCACGCATATTTTTGCGTCTCCGCGACCACGGTTGCGACGCACAAACTCGAGGCTGGCCTCGACGCGACGGTTCTGGGAAGGAACGGCGTGGCAACGACTGTTTTGTAGTCGCAGATGAAGAGGCGACTAGGCAACTGTCGCGCAGGCAAGGCTGACGTAACAAGGGAGAACGGCGCTAGATGACTAGCGTGCTTCTTGGCTGCAGGCTGGGGTGTGGGTCCGGACTGGGATGTGTCGGAAGGTCGGAGCCCCAAGCGTTTGCGTGCAATGGCGCAGTGACGATGATGTGGCCAGTTCCAGAGGGCCGACCGAGCCCAAAGCGATGCGATGCGATGCGTCACACCACACCACACCACAGTTGTCGACGGCGAAAAGAAGAGACGCTGTCGCCTGGAGCGAGCACTTCAGGAAAACGGGCCAGCGAGAACTAGTAAAAGCCTCGCGGAATGAGATGAGCTTGCGCGACACAGGCACAAGGCTCAAAAGGAGCGTACGAAATGAACGAGGCGCAAACGGGCTTCGTACTCTGAGTTCGTGTTGTGTCAGTGTTTGACAGAAAGAAAGAAATTATTTCTTGTCGCGCTGCTGGTGGTTGTTTGTGACAGGAATTGTTTTGATTTTGGGGGGGTTGCGAGGAATGAATGAGAGGATTTGGGGGTTGAATACGGGATCAGTTGGGGGTGGTAGGGGGGAGACCGGGGTGTGTAAGAGAGATTGGGAGAGGCAAAAGGGGGAAGGGGCGAGAGTGAATGCGACTGATGGAGTGAGTGAATTGGCAACCCGAGCGGCGGGAAGCGGCGTGGGTGCAGTGCAGGCTGCGCCTGACGAAAGCGCTTGGGGTTGGGAGCTCGGGTTTGGTTTTGGTTGGGTTGGGGACAATCAGGGCGAGGAAGGGAAGGAGGGAAGGAACTGCTGCTGCTGCACCTGCACCTGCAAATGCAAATACTCGAATGGGACGGAAACCAAGAAGACGGAGGGAGGCGGGTGATTGACCGGGTGGTTTGGTATGGCTTTTGTTTTACTCACCCAGAGGTTGTGATGCGCTGCCAGAGCTCGAGAGGACGATACAAACAGACAGGCAGAGTCAAAATGAGGCCTCTCTTTTCTTCTAGAAGCACCACGAGGGCTTCCCTTCTTGCAGTGCAAAGCGATGCGGTGCAGTGCAGTGTGAAAGTGCAGACGGAACAGGACGGAACAGGTCAGGACAAGGGCCCTCTGGGTCTGGGGCGGCCTCGACGTGGACGTGGAGGGAGCGTTTGCAGGGTGCAGCAGGCACAGCCGTGTCGCAAACAGAGCTGGGCTGAGCTGAGCTCCCCGTATGTTTGCCGTGCCTTTCGCTGCGTTTTGCTCTGAGAGGGAGCGTAACACGCAAAAGGGGTGACAAAAAGGAGGTAGGAGAGACACACAGCGTGTTACGGGTGTGAAATATTGTTGTTGTTGAATAAAGGAATGGTAAATTCGCTGCGCAACGCAAACTATTGAAACACAGAGCTTCTGGGTCTGGTTTCCGGGCGAGAAAGTGCTCGAGGATCGAGCGCAAAAGGGCCTGGGGCTGGGGGTGTGGGAGGAGGGAAGCTGGGAAACCGAAGCTGGACCTGGGAGACGGGGGAGACGCCCGAGGGTGCTGGTGGGCTCGCTTGCTGGGCTGGGTAGGGGGTGGTGGGCGAGCGGGTGGGTACGCTGATACGTAGTCCCTCGTAGTCTACTGCTGTGCCAGTTGGGTGCTGGGAGAGGGAGACGGAGGACTTGTCTGGCTTGTCTGGGCTGGGCTGGGCTGGCTGGGCCGGAAAGTTGGAAGGATGGGGAATGGGAATGAGCGCGGGTGCGACGCCGATTGCGAGACTGGCTCACGAATGTTGGAGGAAGAGTGGGCTGGAATGAGCGTATGGATCCCGTCCTGGCGACGGGATTGGCTGGTGTGGGACAGCATTAGGTGGATTATGGCTGAGTTGGATCGCAGGCCCCCCGTCCATCCCCCGTTGGCTCGACAGTCGGCTGCATCACGACGGGGTGGTGGTGTGGGACCTGGTCTTACATGGCATGGCATGGTCATGGCAACCTTGGTCCTTGTCCTTGAAAAGCAACCTTGGGCCCCCAGCTAAGGCCAAGGTTTGGCCGGGAAGGGTGCCCTTCCTCTTGGTGGCACGCACACGCATAGACTACGCCTACCTGGATACAATGTACGCACACGCACCCTTCATCGACGTGCCACGAGTCGGCGCAATGCGTATTACTTGCGGTAGTATGTAGACGGGCACCACTAATCATATCCAGATGCATGCAGGCGCTGCGCTCAGAGCCAGAGCAGAGAGACATGTGGGCGCCTTTTTGTGCACTTGATCTATTTTCCCCCCTGTCAGCCTGTCTGTCTTTCTATCCTGGGTTGGTTGGAATGCAGACCGTCCGCGACTAAGTATCAGTCAACTGCGGTTGGTACCTAGGTGCGAGGTACTGCACATAGCTAAGAGCTGAGCCTAGCCGTGTTAGGTGCAGGCGCTCCCTCCAACTCAGGTCTCTGGTGTGGTGTGCTCCGACTAAGAATAGATGATGGATAGATGATGATAATATAAAGTCTTCAATCCTTTGAAAGCGGCCGCATCTAGTTGAATCCGCCCTGCAGAAGCCAGAAACGACCTGAACGCGACATGCGCAGCATCACCCTCGACGCCGTCGATGCTAGTGACGATGGTGCTGCAGAGGCTAGCAGCTGCTTGACGGCCGGATCAGAGCCGCGATCCATGTACTGTACCAAGTCGGGCCATCCACTGCATAGTGGCTCTGCAACTTCGTGATAAGTTTCAGCCAGCGTTGTCAGCGTTGCTGGGCTAGGGCAATACCTCCATTGCTCCTGCCCACGGCAGCCCTCATGCGCCGTGTCCTACAAGGCTGCAGGTCTCGTCCTATCAGTCGCGATATGTGTCAGAGACGTCGCAGCCAGCCAGATCCTGGGAGACGAAACAGCGGTACTTCACGGGTATCTGTCCGTGCTTTAAGCTCTCCCCGGCAAGTCATTAACTGACACTGACATTTGCCGGTCTTCCATCTCCAGTAAGCAGCTTCCTTGCCTGCAGGAAGAACAAAGAAATGGCGACATTGCGACCAACAGCAGCGTAACCGTCTCTCATCTCATTTCAGTGTTGCCCATTCTGCCATTTCAGACCTCGGACTTGAGCTGCAGGCTTGCTGCAGCCTGATGTGAGGCTCAGGGGTCCCTGTCATTGTATCTGGGGTAAATGGCCTTGGGTGTGGGCCCAACTGTTCTCGGCTTGCAAGTTGAATCTGATAAGAAACTGTCATGACACAGATATTATGGGATTCCAGGGTTGATCATATGCGTAATGAAGATAAGGATGGATTCCACTCTTCATTGCTTTGTTCATGGAAGACCTTCCTTGGTACCTAGGCACGATCTCTACCACTCAGGAAGTTGACAGCTGCTTTTCGTTGCAACTGGCAACCGTCATCCAGAACTAGAGAACAAAGAACAGCTGCATGGGTGCCTTTCTAGCATGTGACATGATGGCCGGCAGTGCCTCAGTGCCCCGATGCGCTTAGCAAGAAACCTCATCGTGCCAGCCATCACAGGGCTCCATTCAAGGACATGCTTTGAGCTGAAGGGGTGAGCATTTTTGCTATTGGACGAGTGTGCCAGCTGTATAGGGACCTGATAGCTTCCTACCTGGTACGTGGTACAACATAGTAAGCGGGTACCGTCTTCTTATCGATAAACAAATAATCAGGGATTTGCGTTCTCTTTCGCCGCCCTGGCGCTTCTGACGCGCTTTCATAGCTGTAGTAGGGCTTCAAAGTTCTGAGCTCAACCTCAACCTTAATCCCACCGTCCCACCTCGACCAGGCTGACTGCCCCCTTCTCCACCTCACAGCGTTGGTCATAGCCAGCCAACACATCTCCTGACAACGAATTGCCCATCCAACTGCCCACTTGGAGTCAATCCAACCGCCACGATGCATGCCGCAGCTGCTTCGTCCAACTGCACTCCCCCAAGCACGGGCGGCGGCGCAAAGAGGCCCGTCGCAGATGTCGACATCCCCGGCACTGAGCCATCTTCAACCGAGACCAATGCGAACAAAAGGCAGCGCGTCGGACGCTCGAACTCGACAATACCCAAGACACTGCCCATGCAGCCACACGAAGCTCTTCTGGAGGAACTCAAAGGAAAATACAGCATCGCCACAACTTCAGTCATAGCCTCCTCCAAGATCAACAAAAAGGTTACCCAGGTCCTCTCCCACCTCGGCCATGTCGACCTTTTCAGCCCGTCCTCCATCCCCGGGGTCATGATGGTACACGCGAGGGCCAACGATGCAAACAAGATGGTGACGGTCATGGAGATCGCCAAGAGACAAATGAACAAGGCGGGCCAGCCCTGGTATCAGTACAACAGGGTCTATGAGGTAGCAGACGAACGTGATTCGAGATTCAATCCCACCGGCCGGGTAGCAGACCAGACGGTCATCGAGAATACACTTATAAATGGTCAGGACGCGGACGGAGAGGAGGACGACGAAGACGACGCTTTCGAGCCCGTCGAGACTGCCTTCGAGCGCGCGGTTCGTGAGAAACCCGCGGAGGAGTCGAAAGCCACCTACATGAGCATCTTTCTCTCGCGCGTGCCGATGCCAGAGCTCCAGGCGAAGACATACATCACACTTCAGACGAACGGGGCCGAGATTGGCAGACTGCCCCGCCCATGAGAGGCAAACCAATTTTGACGAGGAATTGTAACGATTGCATACCGCCACGGCGGCGACGGTGTTTATGATAGGTTTGGCTCTGGGTTTTCTTGTTTCCGCATCGGACAGACCAGTCATGCTCGACAGGCGGTTTCGCACCAACCGGTAGGCGTGCTTCATTTGAACGAGGGAGAATTAGGAGTCACGGAACGAATTATGGCCTTGATACCCCCACTAGAGAGGTAGAGACGGTATTTAATCTACCAGATACGACCGCGCTTAAGGATTGATTTCCTGGGCACCATTTTCATTGCTGCCACACTGAATATGAACTCCTGTTGTCGTCTTTGTAGGCTGCGGGAGAAGGTGACAACTGGTGCTACTGGCCAAGTTCTATTAGTAAATACTCCTGGGACTCACAGCACGATCAACCGAGCATCGAATTCCGGTCGCTCCTCGGAGCGTCGGAGTAATGTAATATCACCACCACTATTGTTCGTAACGCACCGCACCGACTCGGGCGTGATGAGTAGACGCAACCTAATGCACGGTCACAGGAGCGCTCCAGAAAGAAGGCACGCACAAGCGAGCCCTTTCAACAGGCCATGGCCTCCCACGGGATCTATGCCGCGAGGCGATAAACTTCTATGGGATCATCTCCCGTGGTCCTAAACTTGAAAGTACAGCGCTGTGCAGACTGGCATCATAGCTCGACTGGTCCAACATGTTCATGGACCTGTTGATGTGGGATGGAGGCAATGGGAAGGTGTCTCCTGGGGCGATTAGAACAGTGTTTCCGCCCAAGCCCTCATGCAGGTTATATTTAAGGTAGTTGAATTCCGCCATGGAAGGAATGAGGACCATTTGTGGCTTCTTAAGAATGCCCCATTGTCCACCTTAGCACTTACGCTGTTCATTTTCTATTATTGTTCTCAGAGGACAATGAATATTTGCCAGTGTTTCTGTTGGAATAGCAGACAAGATAGCTTGATTGAATCTAGATTTAGCTTAGAAGTAGACTTTCTAGATTTGTCTATGGTGACATGATATGCAGGGTGATTTTGAATAACGGAAGCGAGTATGATCTTGTAGATGCTTTTGTAGAAAGGATTGTACTTGCTTCTGTAGTTGTAATACCAAAGGAAGAAGTAGAATTCGTCAATAAGATCCATTTGATTCTTGCTCTTAAGTGGTATTGCGGTTGTGGAAAACATACATTGCGCAGGTCAGCCTGGAGAAGCAAAAATTCTCAATTTTCGACGTAATAGCTGAGGGGAAAGCTCATTCTTAGAGAAGCAAATAATGTGACGTTATAAAATACACACAGCTATACCTAGTGCCCAATATGTTGTTACATATGATGTTTGATATACCAAACCTAAGTAATCATAAGCTTAAGCTCGAGTAGCCGCTTTGCGGTCACAGTATTTATATACAGTAAGTAGGGAAGAGAAGAGAAAAAAGAGGGGGGAGGGTCATACAGTGAAAAATAGTTCCTAATAAAATATTTTCCTGTCAAGAATAACCTCCTGTAGAGTAACCCTTTATAGATTAACCTTTTATAGGATAACCTCTTGTAGGATAACCTCTTGTAGGATAACCTCTTGTAGGATAACCTCTTGTAGGATAACCTTATGTGGAATACGTTCCTGTTGGATAACCTTCTATAGAAGAAAGTAACCAAGCCACATGGGGCTCCGCGATAACGTGTTGTGATGTTTGAGGTAATAGTGATGTTGTCCCAATAGTGTATGTGATGTTTATTGTAGTAGAGAGTATGTTGCATACTTTACAGTTGATTAATTGTTGCCTGTTGAATGCGGATTCCTGCTGCTAAAAGCATACCTTTTCTTCTTCCTAGGTCTTAAAATCACGGACGCAGATTCTCGTGTAATTCTCGCCACTGTATCGGACAAGGTTTGAAGAGACCTGAGAGTATCTTCTCGCAGAAGTCGTGGGTACGTTACATTTCTGTAGTCAACCAGTATGCTCCTGGAACACCAACCACCAGTATCATTTACCTCGTTGCCCGGAATCTCGGCAACTGCATGTCACTGCGTGTGAGCAACTGGGTTTGGAGGCAGAACAAGATAAGTATTGCGGTGTCGCTGTCTACCAAAGTCTCACGTGGCCCGTATGGTCCATGAGGGCCGGGATATCTCGTGTATCTACTCCCCTAAGTCGAGTAATTCTTGCTCTCCTTTCCCAAGACGCCATGACAATGCGGAACATGAGCTGAATGTCGCAGACGCTCTGCCCGCTGCAGTCACCCCAGCCCCAATTACCGCGGACCAATGCACGCCCCGACATTACCTCTACCTGTATTCCTTCCCAAAGCTCGCAGGACGATGCTAGTTCATAAGTTTCCGGGTATCGTTGGTAATGCGTGAGTTCCTGCGCCCAATGTTTCACTCCCAATACTCCCTCCCAACGTGATCGATTCCAGTGTGCCCAGGTCAAAACAAAATTTGAAACATCGAAAGCCTATCCATCAGAGGTGCCTGCTCCTTTTCGCACCAGATCCCCCAAAACCATCCTTAAACTGACCAAGGTTGCCCAAGTCAAAGAATTCCCCAAGGTTTACTTTGCGCTTCGTCCCGGCACCATGCCCCAGTCTGTTCGCTGATCGAGTTGCGTTGCGTCCCCCACTACTGACATGCCGTGGTCCCCGGGACGAATGACGTGAGACAGAGATGGAGGGAGGGGCCGAATTTGGCGACGAAATAGAATGGTCATGTCCTCGAGCATCAGAAAGGCGTAAGTTCGCCAGGTTGAGAGGTGACGGAGCGTCTTGAGGATAGGGGTGAGATGAGCGGAAATCAAATGTTTCCTGCGTAGGGACGACAATCTCAGGCTCATCGACCGTGATTTCCTGGACTACAGGTGTGTCGGGCTCCGTCTGTAGTTGTGTGTCGACGCGTGGAGCCGAAGTTGGTTGATGTGATGTTGATGTGCTGTTGGATCGATGTATCTCGGGAGATGACATGGGTTCTGGCTTTTCTGCGTCATCGTCGCTCTCGATGATCTGGGGCGAGGTGTCCGTTGTGTCTAATCGCTCATTCGCCCATGCTCTGATCTTCCAGCCCTCGCCATCGCCGAGACCGAGGTGTTCTTTGTCTAGAAACTGCAGCAGGTCGTCGAGACACTCTTGGTAACCATCTGAGCGAGCCTTTGCTTGAGCTGTCATCGACGACTTGTACAGCTTCGTGACGGACAGGGCAGCGGCCCTGAAGACATCGAGCATCTGTTCGGGGGCTTCGTTGGCCATCGCTGACTTTGCTCGAGAGAAATGAAGGTCGTTGGCAATTCAAAAGACTGTGCGTGCGTCCTACAGATCGATGTGAGCAAGTGTACGAGGCCGAAGCTGGGGAGGATCATATGAAGGAGTGACCAAGGGCAGGCGGGGCTTCGCTAGAAGAACAGGCGCTGCGATGCGGGTCCTCTGGCGTTGGCAGGGTAGTGGTGGATCAGGCCCGAGGAGTTCTGGAAACACCCTTACAGTTCTCTGTGGTGGGTCTCAATTTGACGCTCAATCTCGACTGTTGGTCAGCGAAAGAATGGCCTCGTTAGGTAGTGTTTCGAAATTGGCATGGCCGTGGTCCGTTCAAGGAGGGTCGTGTCGACGTCTAGGACAGGGTATTGTTGAGTGAAGACAGGTGAGAGGTCAGCCGAGCCCGACGTCCTCCTCTCTTTCTCTGTAGTTTGGTGGCTTGAGATGGGATGGAAGTGAGCAGGTACAGTACGGCACAGTACGGTGGTACAAGTGCAGCTCCAAGGACGGACGTCAGCAGCGGGCGCATTTTCCTCACGTGGAGTTGTGTTTGCCGGCCGGGCCTCAGGGAGGGCAACCCCACCTGGCAGCTGGCTGGATTCTCTCTGCTCTCTCCTCTGCAACCAAAAAAACCGCTAACGTCATGATGGCAAAGCTAGGCCTGTCGTTCATTGGCCCTGCCGTTTTCGGTTCCTGGGGGGGGGGGGGGGTTTCCTTTCACTGCACAGTACGTGCAATAAACACACAGACAAGGGTGGGGCACACCTTGGAAGAGCCTTATCGGACCTCACCCCCACTAAGACTCCAACGCTTAGACTATCAGACTCTTGATGACTGACTGTCCACATCGACAGGATCTAAATTTGTGAGACATAACGGGGTTACTGAGTAAGCTCATATAGCCAAAATGAGGAACAAAAAGAAAGAGGGCTTTTATATCACCAACATGTCTTTCCGCTGTAGTAGACGTTACGGGGGAATTATAATCGGCCAAGCAGATGTCAGCAATAAGTATTGACGGGAGGACGACCGAACACTCAAAGGTGTGTAATATTGTTGAACAAGCTCAAACTACAATAATCATATGCCTGATGGTTGATACAAGAAGCTCTCCAGCTCTTTTCAGGTCGCAAACAAGCCTTTCATCAATGAGCCTTGAGAAATTCACCAACCAGGGGATAGATTGCTTCGGGTGAACCTACCTACAAGAATCAATTACCGTCGGCTCATATCGACTCGCTCCCACCACAGCTTGACTGACAGGGCTTTTGGTCAACCAAAGGCCACTCAGAATCAATTTCTAGAACATGAAAAGTTTACAATTCGGGGAGCTCCTTCGTAATTAATCCGGAATGTTGCTAGCCAGCCATGTCGACGGAACAAACTCTGGCTTAAACGCCTATGTCGCAGTCCACTTTTGCCATCTGCGAGAATGAACACCCTACCATATTCAGACATCAGCTGCGTAATTCGGGAGACAGACAGAGAAGGGGTTGCATCCTGTTCGAGAGGAATCTAATCGGCCGCGCCATTAACGTGGCCCGAGCCCGCTGCAAAGCAGACTTGGGAACTTTCGAACAAGTGAATGCAGCAGCCGCACTTTGATTGGCGTTCGTGGTGGCCCTTTTTAACACACCCCTGTCCCTCGACTCGCTTTTGGGGGTGCGTTTCTTCTCACCTTCAGTCCTCCCAACTTTCCACTACCCTACCTTTATCCCAAAAGACCAGACTGCCTTGATCAGAACCGTCCTCAACCTCCACGCATTGCCTCCTTCCATCGAGTCAGCAGTCTCAATCATCAAAAGAAGGTCCCAACTACTCTCAGCCACACTTTTTCAGCGCGTCAGAGCGCGTTAAAGGGTACACCTCCCGCGTCGTCTCTACATCTTCACCATGGCGCGACCTCGAGGAGCCGGCGCGAGCGCCAACGATACCGACGTGTCAATGCACAATGCCTCTGATGACGGAAGGAACGGAGACGACTCTATGGTATGTTCTTTGTGGAAGCATTTCTCCATGAGCTCGCCTGGGCGCGTTCTTTGGCTGCAAGATCATGCGCTCTGGCAGTCATCTCCTTTCTAACAGGAAGTAGGAAGTCGACGAGACCCCCGACTATACAGACTCCGAGGACCCAAACACGACGGCTAGCAGCGTAGTGGGCGAGCCGACAACAGACGGCAGAAGGCGACGCGCCGAGGCAAACCAGCTGCGACGAAGCATATTTGGCAAGAAGCATGACAAACTAGGGGAATCGCAGGTAGGGGCACTAGGCGCGCGATTTGTGGCGCAATAAATTGTTGTGGCATGGGGTCTGACACAGATTATAGGAAGATGACTCTGTCCGTCGATTTCGCTACTTACTTGGGCTCACCGACCTCTTCCGCCACTTCATCGAGACGAACCCCAACCCCAAGATCAAGGGAATCATGGAGGAGATTGACCGCCAGAATGCGGAAGAGTCAAAGGTCAAGAAGGGTGCTAGGCGGCAAGGCGGAGCTGCAGCTGAGAGGCGCCGCCGAACCGAAGCTGAAGAGGACGCCGAGCTGCTCAAGGATGAAAAGCATGGCGGGTCTGCCGAAACAGTGTTTCGCGAGTCGCCGCCTTTTGTCAAGGGCGAGATGCGAGATTACCAGATTGCTGGTCTGAACTGGCTCATATCGCTCCACGAGAATGGCATCTCAGGTATATTGGCGGACGAAATGGGGTTGGGCAAGACTCTCCAGACGATTTCGTTCCTCGGCTACTTACGACACATCATGGGTATAACTGGGCCACATTTGATCACGGTTCCGAAGTCCACTCTGGACAACTGGAACCGAGAGTTTTCCAGATGGACTCCCGAAGTGAAGGTTTTGGTTCTACAGGGCGCCAAGGAGGAACGACAGAAGCTCATCGCGGATCGACTCGAGAGCGAGGATTTCGATGTTTGCATCACGAGTTACGAAATGATTCTCCGAGAGAAATCTCACTTGAAGAAATTCGCGTGGGAGTACATCATAATCGACGAGGCTCACCGTATCAAGAACGAGGAGTCCTCTCTTGCCCAAGTCATCCGGCTTTTCAACTCTCGAAACCGCCTGCTCATCACCGGAACGCCTCTCCAGAACAACCTCCATGAGCTTTGGGCTTTGCTCAACTTTCTCCTTCCAGATGTCTTCGGTGATTCCGACGCTTTCGATCAATGGTTCTCTGCACAGGACCGCGATCAGGACACCGTTGTTCAACAGCTACACCGCGTGCTGCGCCCTTTCTTACTGCGACGTGTCAAGGCTGATGTTGAGAAGAGCCTGCTTCCCAAGAAGGAGGTCAACCTCTACGTTGGCATGTCAGATATGCAGGTCAAGTGGTACCAGAAGATCCTGGAAAAGGATATCGACGCTGTAAATGGTGCTGGAGGCAAGAAGGAATCAAAGACGCGCCTCCTGAACATCGTCATGCAGCTTCGAAAGTGCTGCAACCATCCCTATCTCTTTGAGGGTGCGGAGCCTGGCCCGCCTTACACCACGGACGAGCACCTCGTCTACAATGCCGGAAAGATGCTGGTACTGGACAAGCTTCTGAAGCGAATGCAAGCTCAGGGCAGCCGTGTCCTTATCTTTTCTCAAATGAGCCGACTGTTGGACATTCTCGAGGATTACTGCGTGTTTCGAGAATACAAGTACTGTCGTATCGATGGCAGCACAGCCCACGAGGACCGTATCGCTGCCATCGACGACTACAACAAGCCTGATTCCGAGAAGTTTGTCTTCCTTCTGACTACTCGTGCAGGAGGTCTGGGTATCAATTTGACGAGCGCCGATATTGTGGTGCTTTATGATAGCGATTGGAACCCCCAGGCCGATCTGCAGGCCATGGACCGAGCTCATCGCATTGGACAGACCAAGCAGGTTGTGGTTTACAGATTCGTGACTGACAACGCGATCGAAGAGAAAGTTCTCGAACGGGCTGCGCAGAAGTTGCGTCTTGATCAGCTGGTCATCCAACAAGGACGTGCTCAAACCGCAGCAAAGGCGGCTGCCAACAAGGATGAATTGCTGTCGATGATCCAGCACGGTGCCGAGAACATCTTCCAATCAAAGAAGGCATCGGATGCTCCAGCTGATACAGCTGCTGGCATCACTGATGATGACATAGACGCGATTCTAACCGCTGGTGAAGATAGGACCAAGCAACTCAATGCAAAGTACGAAAAACTTGGGCTCGATGATCTGCAGAAGTTCACTTCGGAGTCTGCTTACGAGTGGAACGGAAAGGACTTCACTAGTGCGAAGAAAGAAATTGGCATCAACTGGATCAACCCGGCAAAGCGAGAGCGCAAAGAGCAGATCTACTCGATAGATAAGTACTACAAGCAGGCACTGCAAACTGGCGGTCGCACTGCGGACACCAAGCCCAAGGCGCCCCGCGCTCCAAGACAAATATCGATTCAGGATTACCAATTTTATCCCGACAGGTTGAAGGAGTTGCAGGACCGCGAGACAGCCTACTACCGCAAGGAAATTGGCTACAAAGTCCCTCTAGCAGACGGCGACGAGGACACGCTGGCTGAGCGCGAAGCCGATCGAGAGCAGGAGCAGCGCATCATCGATGAAGCCACTCCTCTGACCGAGGAAGAGTTGGCAGAAAAGGCAGAATTGGCCAAGAGCGGCTTTGAGGAGTGGAACCGTCGTGATTTCCAGCAGTTCATCAACGGGTCAAACTTGTACGGCCGCAACAATTACGATGGAATCGCTTCGCACACTCAGAACAAGAATGCTGCCGAGATCAAGCAATATGCCAAGGTGTTCTGGCAGCGGTACGAGGAGATCGCGGATTGGCAGAAGCATCTCAAGCACATTGAAGAGGGCGAGGAAAAGCTCCGCAAGATTGACCACCAGCGAAAGATGCTACGCAAGAAGATGTCCATGTACCGCGTGCCCCTTCAGCAGCTGAAGATCAACTACTCGGTCAGTACCACCAACAAGAAGGTCTACAGCGAGGAGGAAGACCGCTTCCTGCTGGTCCAGCTCGACAAGCACGGTGTCGATTCCGAGGGTATCTACGAACAGATCCGGGACGAGATCCGGGACAGCCCTCTGTTCCGATTCGATTGGTTCTTCCTCAGCAGAACATCACAGGAGCTGGGACGTCGCTGCAATACTCTCCTGGCAACAATTGTCAAGGAGTTCGAGGATGTGCAGCCCAGCCACAAGGGTGCGAACGGTGTCAACGGCAAGCAAAAGAGGGAGGTGGAAGACGAAGAGAATGATGATGATAGTGTATCTGGCATGGCTCCTGCGAAGAAGAAATCAAAGACTAACGGTGTCAAGGCAAGTATAATGACTAGGAATTGCCCTCAACGCCTCATTTGCTAACAAAAGTGTGCCTACAGAACAAGGCACTAGACAATGTCAAGTCCAAGGCCAACTCCGCGGCGCAATCCCGTGCGTCTAGCGTCGCGTCAACTAATTCGAACGCTGCTTCGAAGGGCAAGCCTAAGGGCAAGAAGAAGTAAGCGGCTCTTTGAGGCCGGTGGCAGAGATAGTGGAGGGGGACACTTCCAGTGCACCAACTGTTGTCAACTGTGTTCGCTACTTCCGTAGGGGAGGTTGTGGGTTTCAGGAGTTCCAGGAGTTTCTATTGTGCAGCTGATGGCTATGTGTTGAGACGGTTTTGGGTGTGAAAAAATTTGGCAGTCGAGATAGGCTGGTGAGGCGTTTGGTCTGTCATTGATAACCTCTGGAGTGGCTGGCTCAGCAGCGTCTGGGGTTCAGCCGGGCTGTGGATTGTGACATAGATGCGGCGGCGGCATACATAGACCTTTGCGTATCGCTCAGAGACAGGTGCAAAGAAAAGAATGTGACAAATGACTGTTTCATGAAGCCTCCAGTTCCATTTTCCTGACTCTACATCGTGATGAACAGGGAAATCTACACTGTGTTCCCGTCAAGCGTCATCACCTTCGTGGATCGCCCTTGATATCTCACTTTGGCCCTGGCCTCCTGAGTTCACGGCATGCCGTTCATCCACGAAAGACCCTCCCCTCAGCCATACTTCAACCGTTCCGGGTATTCGATCGCAGAATGCTGTTGATAGGGCTGAAATTTTTCTAGACCGATTCCTTACAGTCTTTGAAAACAAATCTCACCCATGCAAAACGCATCCAAGAAATGACCCCGCAAAGAAGATTTTCTTGCCAGAAACGCCTGCCTGCCTGTCTATGCTCCCTGAGAAGACTTTTTGGGGGGGACAAAAAGACGACTCTCCCTCTTTCCCCGCGCTCTCGCTCTCTCTCTCTCTCTCTCTCTCTCTCTTTCTTTAGCCCGGCGCGCAAGATGTGCCGATAAATCACGATTGCCTGTTGAGGTGCTCCCTCTCCACCTCGTACAGGAAGTCGAAGTAGCCCTTGTCAAAGTGGTGCACGCGGACGTAACCGTCCTCTCCTCCGGACGCGTAGCTCTTGCCGGTGGGGTCCGCTGCGACGGTGTTCTGACAGCCAAGGGTCAATATGCAAACAGGCCACTAACAGCAGGTCGTCGGGGTGAATTGGGGAACCTACCAGGGGACCGAAATGGCCACGGACACGGCCGACCTCCTCCTCGAAGATCTTGTGGTAGAACCTCGCCTCGAATTTACCCTGGCGGGCGGCAGTGGTGGTAACGTCCATGGCAGCCTGGCCACCACCGAGGATGACGAAGTCCTTCTTGGGGGTGATGGTGGCGCTGTTGAGAGGGGTGTCGGCGGGGTAGGTCTTGAGCAGCTCGAGGTCGCGGGCGGAGATGAGCTTGGCCGTCTTGTCCTTGGAGGCGGTGATGAAGTAGGTGCGGTCCTGGCTCCACTGCAGATCGGTGACCTGGGCGCCGAGGTCGTGCGGGGTGATCTTGTAGATGATGTCGCCGGTCTTGCCGTCGTACTGCGACACGGAGCCGTCCTCGTGGCCGGCGATGATGTACTTGGACAGGTAGCTCCAGCCGGCGACGGTGGCCTTGCTCTCGTCGCACACGATGGTCAGGACCTTCTCCGGGTTCTGCTCTGCGGTGACGTCCAGCTTGATGTCGAGCACAACGATGGTGCCCAGGTGGCCCATTCGCTTCTCCGTCACGCCCAGCAGCTGGGTTCCGTCTTCGTTGAACTCGACGCGCTTGACGGCGGTGGGGAACTCCCATGTCATCAGGCACTTGCCGGTCTTGATCTCCCACAGCTTGATGGTGTTGTCAGCGGCGCCCGAGGCGATGATTGTACTGGTTGGGTCGACATCGACGGTCCAGATGGCACCCTGGTGGCCGTGGTAGGTGCCGAAGCGCTCGCCGTTGTGGGAGAACCATGCGCAGATGTGCTGGTCCTTTGCTACGGAGAAGATGATGTCGCCATCGCGGTTGTATCTAAGAGTTAGGTTGGCGAGGTCAGCAGGAAGTCCTCCACCCCATGGTCACCTGAGACCTGAGTCTCCAGAGGAGGTCAGACGAAGGCTCATGTTTGCGCCTTGCGACTCGAGGTAGTGATGGTGTTGGTTCAGGTGCAGGTGCAGGTGCAGGCGTACTTGATTTGGGTCAGGGCTCTTTCGTGGCCCGCCAGAAGGATGGGTCTCATGTTGGCGGTTTGTGAGGCTGTCTCGCTCTGATCGGGCTGGTGATTGAACTCGATGGAATCGTATTCGAGGGAGAGAGGTGTCGTGGGCGGGTGGGAGGATTATTATGGATTATTTTCAAGTCGAGCCAAGGCAGATCGTTGTTCTTTGATTTAGGTATGGCAGGAGGGCGGCGGCGGAGACAAAGCTGATGGCCCCACCAGCTGTCGAATTATTTCTGTGCCCAGTCACCACCAGTCACACGCTAAGGAGGATCGCTCTGTGAGCATGGATGGGGGTTGGCTGCATGGGTTTTTGGATCGCGGGGCTAAGTCCGGTCTCTTGGTCGAGGCCCCCCCCCCCAAAATTCAAACCCTCCTGTCACTGACTCCTAACCCTGAGTCGACCTTGCAGAGTCATCATCTGAAGCACCGGACAAGGTAGGCGCGTTCAAGGTCTCCGATTTGGCCGTGTAAATTGGCATCGTATCAAGAGTAGTCATCGCCCGTCTGAGCGTGACGCATTGCTTCACCGTGCTCCTTTTACTTCTCGTAATAGGGTTTCCAGCAGTCCAATCGGTTGTCCTCACATTTCAAGATGAGGCTGGCCGTGTCTGAATCTTGTTTCTCTCCGTTGCCCTTTCTGTATTTGTTGATTCTGTGACATAGCCGTAGCTACCGGATTATGTCTGTGTTGTATAGAGCGTATTCAGGCAAAACGAGTCTCCTTCCGACCAAGGCCACTCTTTCGCAGACTATTACCAGCTATACATCTGTCCCCGTTGCCTTCTTTGTCTAATTGCCCTCCTACTCGGGGTCGGAAGGATTCAAAAAGCCCACGATAAGTCACAATAAAACGGCGAGTCACGATCGACACGCTACTGGATCCTGAGTCACCAAGGCCAGGCTTCTGCGAGACGAGAAAGAAGTACTGTGCTACAGCAGAGTCATCGCATCGCCATTGCACTAGGTCTAAAGGATCCGCCATCGTCGAAAACCACAAACATGGCTTCGATGATGTCTCGTGTCAGCAGCAGTCGGTGCTGCGGTTCGAGGCAGCCGCACCCATCGCTGCAGAGGTCCCATCAAAGAGCCCAGCTGGCGGCGTCGACGCGTAGAAGCGGTCTATGCACGAGTCGTTCCTGGCTTACTCTTCCTATCAGCTGCAGCTGTTGTCATCAGGGTCCCTTGGCCAGCAATTCGGGCCCCGACTCCGCCTGTATGTGTGCTAGACACCGAGCCCCAGCCGATACTGACCAGCACCGCGTCCGCCCTACTACTGTCACCCCAGCGTCCCTGACAGCCCGAACCCCGCGGTTTTGCCCGCCTGCGCCGATTCGGAATACCAACACTTTATTTTCTGCCCGTCCTTCCACCTCCCCCTCTACCCGAACCTCGAACTCGATCTTCTCACGCGACCTCCACAGCAGAAGGATCACCCTCGCCTCACACACAGTCGGTCCTCTTGCTGTTGGCAGTGACTCACTTGTCCTTGGCAAGGCCTACTTCTCCACATCGAGAACAGTCATGACCGCCCAGAAGATCGATGGCACGGCCATCGCGAAGAGTATCCGGGCAAGGTTGCACTCCGAGATCCAGGAGAGGAAGACGGCGAACCCAAAGTACATTCCTTCGTTGAAGATCATTCAGGGTATGTCTTCACAGCAGGGAATTCAACTACTGCCTGAATTGAGCCAGAATTGTTACTGACAATACTTGTCTTGTGTGAAGTGGGCGACCGAAGTGACTCTTGTAAGCCTTGCACGCACGAATACTCCATGTCGTCACATGCCAAGCACTAACTCTTTCCTAGCCACATATGTGCGCATGAAGCTCAAGGCCGCCGAGGAGGTAAGCTGAAGCCAACGAGTCTGACTGTTGTAGTGCGGCTGCTCATGCAAAGGGGAATATAGGCTGGCATCTCATGTGAACTCATCCATCTGCCCACAGACATCACCGAGGCAGAGCTCCTTCAAGAGATCTACAAGCTGAACAACGACACATCTGTCCACGGAATATTGGTCCAGCTTCCGGTCCCAGACCATATCTCTGAGTATGCTATCACCTCGGCAGTCATTGCCGAGAAAGACGTCGATGGCTTCGGCCCCGAAAACATCGGTGAGCTTGCAAAGCGGACCGGTCAACCTCTCTTCACCCCATGCACCCCCAAGGGCGTCATGGTACTGTTGCGAGAGGCCGGGGTCGACCTCAAGGGCAAGAATGCCGTCGTCGTGGGCCGAAGTGATATAGTTGGCGCTCCTGTCAGCTACCTCCTCAGACATGCTGATGCCACCGTCACTGTCTGTCACTCCAAGAGCACAGACTTAGACGCTCATCTCAAACAAGCTGATGTTGTCGTCGCCGCCCTTGGAAACCCAGGCTTCATCAAGGGATCTTCCTTGAAGCCTGGTGTGGTTGTCATCGATGTTGGAACAAACTACATCCCCGACTCCACCAAGAAGTCCGGCCAGCGTCTCGTCGGCGACGTTGATTTCGAGTCTGCATCCGAGGTGGCCTCCTTCATCACGCCTGTGCCGGGCGGAGTGGGCCCCATGACTGTGGCTATGTTGCTGGAGAATGTCGTTGATTCTTGCACACACTATTTTGAGAAGCAGAAGAACAGGAAAATCGTGGCTCTGCCATTGAAGCTGAAAGAGCCTGTCCCGTCAGACATCGCTGTGTCCCGAGCACAGACACCAAAGCAGATCACTCGCGTGGCTGCTGAGATTGGCATTGCTCCAGGAGAGCTCGAGCCCTATGGTGCACACAAGGCCAAGGTCGACCTCTCCCTGCTCAAGCGTCTTGACCATCGCCAAAATGGCAAGTACGTGGTTGTCACTGGTATCACACCAACGCCACTGGGCGAGGGCAAGTCGACCACGACTATGGGCCTTGCGCAGGCTCTTGGTGCTCACGTCGGCAGACTCACATTCGCCAACGTGCGCCAACCCAGTCAGGGCCCAACGTTTGGAATCAAGGGTGGTGCCGCTGGTGGTGGCTACAGCCAAGTCATTCCTATGGATGAGTTCAACATGCATCTCACTGGAGATATCCACGCTATCACGGCAGCAAACAACCTCTTGGCCGCCGCCATTGAGACTCGCATCTTCCACGAGAACACCCAAAAAGACGGTCCTCTGTACAAGCGTCTTGTGCCGGCCAAGAATGGCAAGCGGGTCTTCGCTCCAGTCATGTTCCGCCGCTTGAAGAAGCTCGGTATTGAAAAGACCAACCCCGACGACCTCACCGAGGATGAAATCCACAGGTTCGCACGATTGGATATCGACCCGGAGACCATCACCTGGCGACGTGTACTTGATGTGAACGACCGTCATCTGCGTGGTATCACCGTGGGAACGGCGCCTACTGAAAAGGGCCAGACGCGTGAGACAGGCTTCGATATATCCGTGGCCAGTGAATGTATGGCCATCCTGGCCCTCAGCACCGACCTGCAGGATATGCGGGAGCGACTGGGTCGCATGGTCGTTGCTACATCACGAGCTGGAGATCCAGTGACGTGTGACGACATTGGTGCTGGTGGAGCTTTGACTGCCCTGATGAAGGACGCCATTAAGCCCAACCTGATGCAGTCGCTCGAAGGAACGCCAGTCTTTGTTCATGCTGGCCCCTTCGCCAACATTAGCATCGGCAACAGCTCTGTCCTTGCCGACAAGATGGCGCTCAAGCTCGTGGGCACAGAACCTGACGAGGACCATGAATCTAAGGCAGGCTTTGTCGTCACTGAAGCCGGTTTTGACTTCACGATGGGCGGCGAACGATTCTTCAACATCAAGTGTCGGACGTCCGGCCTCGTGCCTGATGTAGTCGTCGTGGTCGCCACGGTCCGTGCCCTGAAGGTCCACGGTGGTGGACCGCCCATCGCTCCAGGAGCTGCTCTGTCACAGGTGTATAAGGAAGAGAACGTCGAGGTCCTGCGCAAGGGCTGCGTCAACCTCAAGAAGCACATTCAGAATGCCCGCCAGTATGGTGTTCCTGTAGTTGTGGCCATCAACAAGTTTGTTACGGACACGGACGCGGAGATCGCTGTCATTCGCGAGGAGGCCATCGCGGCGGGTGCGGAAGACGCGATCCTGTCTAACCACTGGGCCGAGGGTGGCAAGGGTGCCGTCAAGCTCGCCGACGGTGTCATTGCCGCATCACAGAAGCCCAAGGACTTCAAGCTGCTGTACGATGTCGAGGGCAACAGTGTTCAGGAGCGCATCGAAACTATCGCCAAGAAGATGTACGGTGCGGACGCGGTGGAGTTCAGTGAGCTTGCGCAGAAGAAGGTCGACACCTACACGAGGCAGGGCTTCGGCAACCTGCCAATCTGCGTAGCCAAGACGCAGTACTCGCTCTCGCATGACCCTGATCTGAAAGGCGCACCAACTGGATTCACTGTACCTATCCGGGATGTGAGGATGGCGGCCGGCGCTGGTTACCTGTAAGCCCACTTTTCTTTTTGTCTTTCGTGATTCTGTGTGCTGACAAGGAATCACAGGTACGCTCTCGCAGCTGATATCCAGACCATCCCTGGTCTCCCGACCGCCCCGGGCTATCTCAACGTCGATGTCGATGCTGAGACGGGCGAGATCGATGGCCTGTTCTAAACGAGCTATCAGGCCTCCTTGATGGCGTTCTTCAATATTATGGGAAGCGGGACTATATCACATCACTCAACGTGACGATAAAGCGGGAGCGGATTGGGATTGGGAAAAGGGTGATCGGGACATAGAGATATGACATCTTTCAACACACTGGCGCTGCATGGCGGAGGGAGAAGGGCCGAAAGACACAAGACAAGCTTGTGATGATACCTCAACTGCATGACAACATACTGATAATACCAATAAAATAAGTTCAACACCAAGTGAAACCTCAACTTGATATCCAAAATTCAATATATGAGAACGCCCCGTAATGCCATCTTAGCTTCTACCATTCTATCTCGGACCATCTCTACCCACGCAATGCCTCCCTATCCTCAAGGCCACCGCAGCAGAGGCTGCCTCTCGCCGCCAAACCCCCGCCGCCTCTCCAGGGCGTGAGACAGCTGGTAAGCAGCGTGCGTCAGCATGCCAGCGATGAAGCCCACGGCGTCGTTCCTGAAGGCCAGGATGCCAGCCGTGGTAACCAGCATGACGGTCCACCGCTCCTCCCGCTCCTGGTCCGAAACATCGCGGTGCCTCTTAGCAGCCAAGCCGCCGCCGCCGCCGCCGCCGCCGCCGCCGCCGGCCGAGACACTATCCTCCCACAGGTCGGGCGCGCCGTGGTTCAGGCTCTGGCCCACCTTGGCGAGCTCCAGCCCGGCGGCCGCGACCATGATGCCCAGGACCGAGCGCGGGAACGAGCCGAGCAGGTCCAGCAGCGTCGTGCCGAGGAAGAGGCCGAGGAGCAGCTTGAAGGCCCCGAGCAGGATGATGCTGGCCCCGCTGCGGGCGCCGAACCGGTGCTGCGCCGCCAGCCCGCCCGCCCCGTGGCACACGGGCATGGCGCCGAACCAGCAGCCCAGCAGGTTCATGGCCGCCACCGACAGGCCCAGCTCCGTCACGGTCGGCGTGCTCCCGGGCAGCGCGGGGCCCATGAGGTCGGACGCCAGGGCCGCGGCCGCGATGATGGAGTTGAGCGTCGTGAGCGGCAGCTGGGCGACGGCCATGGACCAGGCCTCGCCGCTGCCGAACCCGGGGATGATCGTATAAGGGCGCCAGACCTGCCACCCGGGCAGGTGGCCGCGCTTGTCCCCCGCAGCCGTGATGACCGCCACGACGGCGAGGACGAGGCCGACGAGGAAGACGACCAGCGCGTAGGGGAACCTCGGGGCGCGGGCCGTGAAGATGAGCAGCAGGAAGGCGGCGATGGCCCAGAGCCGGTTGTCGAGCGGGTTGTGGACCCAGCCCAGCTGGCCGAGCATGCCGGACCCGGCGGAGAGCACGAGCGACAGGCCCGCGCCGAACTGGATGCCCTTGACGACCGGCACGGGGATGTACAGCGTCAGGAGGCGCAGCAGGCCCGTCGCGCTGAGGAGCAGCACCGCGGCGGCGACGAGGGCGCCGGCCGCGAGCGTGTCCCGCTGGCTGGCGTGCGAGGCCAGGGCGGCGGCGGCGATGGCCTTCATCGGCTGGACGGGGAGCGGGATGCCGAAGACGGCGCCGGTGGCGATGTTGTAGAGGCCCGAGAAGACGAGCGTGCTGGGCAGCGAGATGGATCCTTGCAGTGCGAGGGCGATCATCAGCGGGAGGAGGGTGCCGAGGTCGCCCAGGGCGCCGGAGATCTCGGGCAGGGGCGCATGGCGGATGGTCCTGAGGTTGTGCTTGGTGAACTTGGGGATATCTCTAAGGGCCATTCTCGACTGGGTGGGCAGGTAGGGCTAATAAGTCTCTGTAGTGAGGATCACTAGGTACTTTATTTGTATTCGGTCATGAGACCTGGAGTCAAAAAGTCTATCAGATAATGCTATGCAGGCAAAGAAAAGGGTATCTAGGTGCTCATGATGCTGTCGATGTTGAAAAGTGAAGCGTGAGAGGAGAGGAGAGATGAGGTGAAGTGAGGTGAGGTGAGGTGAGGTAAGGTTAGGTAGAGTGAGTTGAGGTTTAAGACGGGCAGCCGGTTGCCGGAAGGAGATGGACGGAGATGTCATCGCGTCGTCTGACGGGGCGCGATTGCCGCAGCCCTGTGACACATGCTCCTACCACCCTGTTCTTGCCATCCAGTCGCTGGCACTCAGCCATCTTGCTGGCCAGTGATGGCAAAGTAAACGTGTGAAACGAAGAAAGTCACATAGTCACACGCCTAACTTCCACGTGCGATCCGTTCTGCCTTGCGACAAGATTCACCAAAATAGCGTATACAATAGACAATAGAGGGTTAGAACCCTAGCTTACACTATCCATGAAAGGGCCCCCATGCAAGTGTCTTACCATGCGAGGATGTTGACAAAACAACATAAATATTCATATACACTCAATTATCATTATCATCAGAGCCACTGATTGTTGCGAATTTCGAAGAGTGAGGCAGACTGCTTCAAAAAGACCGTCCGAGCTGTGCAATGATGACTGCATCGCGAGTTGGGTGCAAATTGCTTGTCTGAATGTTCCACACCAGTCTATTCGTCACTCATATCGGGAACAGCAAATGTTAGGAAATGGTTGTGGTATAGTGGTATATGGCTAATATAGCAAAACAGATATGCAGCACAGGTATAATGCGTTGGTATACAAAATGATGCAAAACGCTCGACCCGTGAACGCCATTGTGGATATCTTCCATCCCCTCCCATCCCATTCTGTGTCGGCTCTCGTAGCGACATACTCCATTAATTCATTACCGTCTTGCCCTAAAGACCGAAATCAACTTCCCGCCACCCACTTAAAACCACCTCCGCCTGCGGCGAGTCGTCGTCGCAGCACCGTAGTCGTTCTTGGGGACGGTGGAAGCATGGCGGCTGCTCCTCCTCTTGTGCAGGCGTGCGGAGCAGCACGTGAAGAAGACGATGATGGCGCCGAGCAGCGAGCAGATGCCGGCGATCAGGATGGTCCAGATGCCGGCGCTGTAGTAGGCGTGCGAGTTGTTGTCCTGGTCGTTGACATTGTCACGAATAAGGGCGAACAGGACAAAGTCGCAGATGAGCGCGACTACGGTCACGACAAACGCGGCGAGCGAGGTGAAGGCCGCAAGCAGGGACCCGAAGAAGCCGGACCCAGCGGCCATGAGGAATGCAATGAAGGCTATGCCCGCCGCGATGGGGTGGAGGATCATGACCTTGGTGAGACCATCTGGAGCCAATTAGTACTCTGCTTTAAATCCAGGGGCGATGGATTTGCCAGGCGAGCGGATGTAAACGTACAGGTGACCTTGCGGCTGTAGTCGGAGTAGGAGGTTTCCTCCAGGTTGGTCAATAGATCGGCGGGATGGTACCCAATAGTGTGACGTGAGCAATAATCATGGTCATCATCGCTGGGAGGGAGATGTTAGCAAGTCTGCTCCTGGAAGATGATGAGACGAAAAGGTGTTAACATACGCAGTGTTTAGCACACAGTAACCAAAGGTGCCAAACGACACTTCCGAGTAGTGGTCATTTGTGGCATTGCTCAGGGTGACCTTCAGGATGCCGATGTCGTTCACGACAGGCGCTGTAATGGTCGTGATGATGAGCAGGATCGTTGCTGTAAACAGCAAGAACGTGCCAATGTGGTGGATGAAGCCGGTGACCGCCATGTTGTCGACAATTGCCGTGTCTTAGCAGAAGACGCTTGGCTGGTTTTTGTGGTGTTTTAACGCAACAATGCCGTCGAAACAAAGTTAGAGCTGTTCGGGATGGCCGAGGGAACACATGTTCGTCCGGAAAACAGCAGGAAAGCTGGCCCATGATATAGATTGGCATGGCGGCAGCATGGTCGGCAAGGCAGGGGGTCGAATATGCTGTGAATCAGGATCTGGGGTAATTCGGCACAGCAACGACAGGGGAGTGGGAGCACTGCGACGTCATCGGCCTCATCCTACTGTTAATCTCTGGGCGGCCGCGGCCAGTGGCGTCACGTCGCACGGCACTGGGGAAATTTGTTGATCTAGACCACAGTCTCTCGTGACGTTGTGTAGCAGCGCGGCCGATAGGTAGGATTTGGTGTTCAGCGTGTCTGTGTGCTCACGGTCCTGTTTTGATCCCCTGTCGGTCGCGTTGGGGGGTGACGTAGCAGCGTCGCTTTTGGCGCGGCCTGGTTGGTTCTAGATGCCCTTGCACAGCAACATGGGCACCCTTGGACAGCGCCAGATGCCCTGTTTCCAGGTACCGAATGACGGCAGCCACCCAAATTGACAACCCCATGCCCTTTTTTCATCTCCTCGACTTCCCGTTCCGATTAACCGTGGCTGTTCTGTATCGCAGAGGTCCAGAGATAGCCTGTGATCCAGTGTCAATTGGCGTTTTGGGGCCCTGGCTGCTGGTGGGAGCATCCGAGTTGCGTCGCCCGGCGGACGTAGGATCGGTGCAGAGCCATGAAACCTCCAGATAGCCCGTGAATATAGGCGAATCCTGTCTCAATAGCTAGCCCTGCAGGCTTGCAGCTTTGAGCCCTGCGAGTGTCAAACCAGTCTCATCCCTTGCCGTCCAGGGGCTCTCTTGGCGTTTCCGGCAGATTGACAGTGTCTGCCTCTCTATTGAAGACTGACTTCCATTCATACCGCTGTCCCAGGTGGCCTATCCTTTTGGAAATCTTGTGATGTTTCCCGTCTGCCAGAGGATTCAAGCTAAACTGCGCGCGCCGAATCCAGGCCGGCGTCGGAGTAGTCGCTGACCCGGTCTCGTTGGTCGAGTCGGCCCCGGTACCACGCTGAAGACCAGACACCGGCCTTTCCCGCCGGGCCTCATCTGTAGATCCGCCCAGGGCTCCCAGGCTCGTCACGGCCGTGAGGTCGCCGCCGAGATGGGCCTGGGTGCCCTGTGCTTTGTTCCGCTTGCGCATTTGGCGCTCCTTGATGTGCCAGAGCCTTGCGTCTGCCGCCTGCGCCCTCATCGACGCCGACTCTCCAGACAGCTGGCTCCCCGTGTGCCAATCGCACAGGCCCTCCTGGGCGATGTTGTTCGGGACGACGTCCTTGAGGGCAAAGTACACAAAGTCCTGGTCTTCCCGGCCGGTGTGTGTCTTGGGCCAGGCGCCGTGCGTCGGCGACAGCCTGATGTTCTTCTTGTGCTCGTAGTAGCTCTGGCTGGGGTTGATGCGTACCGTGAAGGTCTTGACGATGCCGGACCCTCGCGGCTCGGTGGAGTTTGCCACGCTGGTGCTGCTGTTACCCTTGTCCTCGTGTACTTGCATGGGCGATGCGACACTTGTCGGATGTATGCCAGGTTTGGCCTTTTCCTCGACAGACTCGGGCGTCTCGGAGACGAATCTGAAGGTCAGTGGGCTGCGCTTGACCAGCTCCGTCGCGACTTCGGTCTTGGTTGGGGCGCAGACAAAGGTCTCGGGGCTCTGTGAAGAGAAGCATTAGCTACGGCAGAATTGGCTAGATCATGAGCACAGCAACTGACCGGAAGCCTCTTGAATATCTCAATCGAGCCGTGTCGCTTGAGGGCGTGCAAGACGGCGCGGCGTTCGGACAGGCTCGTCGGGGTCGGAGAGACGTTGACGAAGAGCGATCGAGCCCTGACAAGCTCGATTGCCTTGGATCCGAACCAGCCCGAGGCCATTGCGCAACCATGAATGAATGGCTGGTGCAATGGCAAGTATACAGCCGCCGTCGCGGTGGGTGGAGGTGTGGTGTTTGGTGGGTGAAAAGAGTATTGGGAGCGGAGGCTGGCGCTTAGACTCGAGCTTGAATAGATCCTGTGAATTCAATCCGCTAGCTTGGCGGGCAGCGGGGCCGAGAACGCCCCGGGTCCCGGAGCCCAGGTCCCACAACGGGCCGGGGCCAGAGATTTCGAGGCCGACACGTTGGACGTGGTCTACATGCGTTCCATCCCATCCTTAATTCATCCCAATTCATCCCATCCCATCTATCAGATCAGATAAACCCTGCACCTTTTTTCTGCCAGCTAATGCCTAGGAGTGTGTATATTCTTATATCCGCTCCATACTCAACCGCCGCCTCACAGACGTGAGAGTATGACTTGTATCTACTCTGGGAGGAACAGTACACTAGGAAAGAAAGTTTTATCATCTCGTAAAATCTCGATGGGAATGCGAAAGCTCGTAAAAGAGTTGATCACATTGAACCTTATGCCTCCAAGAAAGGAAAGAAAAGACCTGACCTAATATTGAATGGTGGTATTGCTCCTTTACTTCGTCGCCGCTCTCATGCCCTTGCTTATTTATTACCCAACACTCGACCACCGTTTCTCTTACAGCTCGACTCTTCGTCTTCCTCATTCATCTCACACATCTCACACGTCGCTCATGCAGTCAGTTACACCACACGGTACAACACCAACACCTACATCCAACAACAGCCCTGTTTCTTTCTTGACCAAATCAGAGACCTCGGCAATCAAAAAAGGGAAGAAAAGGACCCCCGTCCTGAGGGAAGAAGCACAAAGAACAAATAATGATACAGATGCTTCAGATGACAATACCCTCCTGCTTCAGCCGGTCCACATCAACCCCCACCTCAGCGAGGAGCTTCCTCTGCCTCTCTATCGCCTCCTTCTCGCGCCGCGCCTTGGTCTTGGAGCTGCCGCTCGGCGCCACCCCGGTCATGAGGACCCCGTGGTCGTTAGGCGTGTAGTTCACGAACCCGCCACCGCCACCACCGCCAACTCCTCCACCTCCCCCGCCGCCGGACCCGTCCGCCGACGACGACGTCGACGTCGTGCGCTTCTGCCTGCGCCACGATGACATGCTGCGCTGCTTGCGGACCGCGTGCGTCTGCGTGTCCGTCGTCGTCGTCGGCACCGTCGTGATGTCGCTCGCCGACGCCCGGTGTGTCAGGCTGGCCCGCCGCCCCGCCGACCGCGACCGCCGGCCCCCGGGCGTCGGGCTGGGCGACGACGACGAGCAGCTCGGCTGGCGCGTCTTGCGCGGCGAGATCGACGCCGGCCCCGCCGGCCCCATCTGGTGGTACCTGGCGCCGCTGGACGGGGCGCGCGGCTTCGGCCGCCGCTGCGTCCCGCCGTAGTGCCCGTGGTCCGTGTAAGGCCCTCGGAAGGAGTGCATGTTGTGTTGCGGCGTCGTCTGCTCTGGGAATGGGTATTGTGGGATATGCTGTTGCTGTTGCTGCGGCGGCTGCGGGTGGTGCATCGGCGGCACGCTTGACGACAACAGCGGCGCGGTTGCTGGTGTCCGCGGCTGCGGCATGTGGATCATCAGGCCGCTGGTGGCGAGGTCATCCGACAGCGGGGCGTGGTGGTGGCGGTTGTCTTGTACGTATGGTGGTGGCACCTGGATGGTGAGGTTGTGGTGGTTGCGTGTCGAGGTATGGCTGTCGTCTGCGGGCGCTGCCGGCCAGTCGAGGTTGCTGCCGCTGTCTGATAACGGGTCGAAGCCCCATGAGACAGACCCGAACGATGTGTCCATGCCAGTCGTCGAGCCGAAGCTGTTGTCCAGGTTCCAAGTGTGGCTCGGGGTGAAGAACTTCGTGAGCTCATCGTCCATTGCATGGTCGGTCTCCATGTCGGGAGTGTGAGAGGGCGTGTTGGGGTTGTTGCAATTCTGGACGTTGCCCATGCCGATGATCTGGGCCGCAGGAGCGAGACCGACCGCGTGAGTAAAGGATGCAGCAGGGTCGAAGAAGGGGTCATCGAGGTATCCGTTCCCAAAAGTTGCCGCGTCACTTGGTTGCAGGTTGTTTGAGTCTGTCAACGGTGGCGAAATAGGGAGACTATCCCAGTTGAAAGGAGCCGCCTGGCTCTCCGAAGCCAGCCTCCTCGTGGCCTTCTTGGCTGACTCGACGTGTGAGGGCGTCATGGTCTGCGGGATGGGGGCTGTGCTCGGGTGCTGCTGCTGCTGCTGCTGTGGTGGTGGTGGCTGCTGTTGTTGGTGCTGTTGTTGCTGCTGCTGCTGGGGCCCTCGCACTAGCCCTCCGACAGCCTTCTTGAGATTGGAGTATTTCGTCTCAAGCCACCTCGACGACTTGTGATTCCGGGTGTTCTGCGCCAGCTGGTCCAGGTCAATGTTCGCAGTTATCCCGGCGATGTCATAAGCCGTCGTGGTTGGGACATAGTCCTGCAGCGGCGGCGGCGTGGGTGGGACAGAGGGACCAGATGTCTGGCGAGGTCCCAGTTTACGGGGCGAGTTCACCGATAGACCTTCGAGCTGGAGCAGCTCTGAGTCTGTAATCGAGCCACCCGCGGCTTGTTCTTGCCCGCGCCGACCACTCAGGAGCCGCCGCCTTTGTTCGACGTCGTCGGAGTTAAGAGGCCCTAGTACGGCGTGGTGTGTGGTCTCGCTGTCGGTGCCGCTGGCTCGCTCTGGGAGTCTGCCCCGGAGCGGCTGGTAGTGGGTGGTTTCAGCTAATGAAATCGCTTTTAATGTCTCCTCAACCGAGAAATTCGACGTCGTTCGCGATACATCTGCTGCAGAACCGTTGGTGGAGGAGGCGCTGGTGATGGCCTCGGTGACAGACGATGTGGGTGGCGAGAAATCGTCCTCTCCTTGTCCCACTTGCAGCGGCATGAAGAAGTTTGCACCCAGGCTGCCCGAGTCTGCCCCGTCCGTGACCACATACTGGTCTAAGAAATCGCTTGGGGAGCGTGGGTCTTCGGTGTAAGTTCCCGCAGCTGCTGCGTCAGTAGCGCAGATCTGCCAGAACTCGTCTTTGTCTATCGAATAATCCATGGCTCTAGCGAAAGCCGTGTCAGATCCGGGGGCCAGTGTCATGTCCCGCGTCTCCCCCGAGGGTGACGGGTCGAGGCTCAGTCGAACAACAGCTCGGTAGCTTCCTGAGAGCTGTCGTGCTCCTGGTTGTACGCAATTGGCTGCGCTTATCTTAAACGTATGTTGGGCTTATATTTCGAGGAACTGTCCGTGGTCTGCCGCCCGAGTAGAAGCGGCGCCGAGTATGTGTGTGGAAAGAAGAATTTTGCCTCAGTAAAAAACATACCGTGGTAGAAAGGAACTTTTAATCGAGTAGAAGAAAGCTGAAATCCATAGAGTAAATAGATGCTTTTCTCCTATATGCCATGGCAACCAAAGATATGCAGGGCTGGTCTTATTTTGGTTGCTGTACGAATGCGTGGATGGCAACAGCTGGAATGCAGCCCAGACCTGAGCCTCAACTGGTGAGAACTGCATCTTGGAACGATCCATCGGGCTTGCCCAGATAGATCTATCTTTTTGATGTGCCTCCTGGATGCAGTCTGGAAGACCCCAAAGTCCCTCCCTTGGCTCGTCCGATCTGGCGGAGCCACGGATTTGAGTCCATGTTCGGACGCACAAAGAGGGAACCACAAAGACTGAGGTTTCTTCTTTGTGAACTACCTCGAAGACTCCCAATTCTTCGGCTCAGGAGGCGCTATTCCAGGAGAGCAGACCTTGCCGGTGAGAACTGCGGAAACTCTCCGACCAGTGTACTTTCGTCCAATACGTGGAATGGGCATCAATTTGAGGTCCCTGTAGACAACAGCAAAGGGGTGAGACATGGCCTAACGATGCTGTACCACCACCGTTGGTGATCCTAGCCCCACCAAGACTGTACCTGAACTACTGCAGATGCAGTCCAAATACATGCGCCGATAGCTGATAGCCAACTACCCCAGACTGCAAGGCTGTGATCCTTCCGGTTAGTGTTGCTATCTGGGATGCTGTCAGCCAGAAATATCACAAGCCCTCAATGTAGGGAGTAGCTTATTTGGTTGAGAATCTCAGCGGCGAACATTTTCGAAGCCAACAGATGCACGAGTGCTGCTCAGCCTTCAGCCCTGCAGCAGGCTCCGAACATCGAAAGTTTGCTGTCCACAAGTGTTCCTTGCCACTGGGCCACTGCATGATCATGAAATGAACGCTGTCGAGACTGCTGCTTAGGGCATAAGATAATCGTATTTTCGCGCACAAAGCCTCGCTGGCATGCAAGCCTTTGTACAAGAGCTGTCTCTCTCTGTCTCTCTCTGTCTCTCTCGCTCTCCTGGCCTGGCGTGAGCCGTTTATTGTCCTAAAAGACTGTACCTATGTCCTCAATAAGTACTGCTAGGCTTGTTCCTTTCCCTGTACACCGAAGCCGAAAATGATTTCCCCAACGCCATGACGTTGCCGTCGTTCTGAGTCTCCCCCACGATCCAATGTGCCGAGCGCGATAATGATACAAATTCCCGATGCCGCAGACTGACTTATCGTCCGGACGCGGAACGCCATGACCATTCCAAAGAAAGGGTATATCCCACTGTAAGAGACACAAGAACTGATGAGAAAATAAAACAAGGTGGCAAACAAACAAGAAGAGAAAAACTGAAATGTTTCATGGCGGCTCAGGCTCCAGAGGAAGCCTCCCCCGCAGACATCGTAGGAGAAGGAGGTTTTTGCCTTGCTTTGCGACGCCTCATTCTCGGCTTGTTTCGAACAAGATTTTGACAGCGAAGAGCCGTGTCGGTCGATGATCGATAGAGTGGGAAGCCATTCTTTCTGATGCCAACTGTCCCGCTTGCACGACGTGATGATAAGAGCTTGTCTAAAAAGGGAATACCGGACTCATCGTCGTCACCAGCGCCCTCATCAATTTCTAGACCGGTTGCTCCCACTCCATAGTCCAGGCCGTCGTTGTCGTCGGCCTCAATGGGAGCGACAGGTACTAAAGGCGGGGTGTACACATTGCATTGGGTGCCAGTCGATATCATCCCTTCAACGCGAGTTTGGATTGCGCTGTTGCCTCCTGACTCGTTGAGAAAGAGCGATGAGGGCTGCCGTCGTAATCGCCTGACGTCCTGCTTGAAATTATGTGAATGTCTGGGATGATCAGGTTCTGCAGCCGACGATGTAGACGAGGTTGCAGCGAGCAGACTTGGCACATATGACGATAACTTCTGGCAACATGGGTCCATTTCCATTCTCGGGTCGGTAGGTTGGTCTAAAGAAGTCACTGAGGAACAAGCAGACGTCGGATACCGATACAAAGGAGGCGGGACACTGTCTCCAAGACGCAGATGCGAGTTGCTAAGCTTATGCGTCAGGACGTCCATGCTCGCCGTCCGTTGTCGGTGCGATTCGGCTTGCTGTCCGCTTGTGAAGCTGTCGTCGGTAATGAGGGTAGAGTTGGAGGTATGCCATGGCCGGTGGTGTTGGGAGTGTGTTCCTGGCTGTGGAGGCGTGGAAGGGTTGAGGTCGTCCTCGGGGTAGACTTGGCCATTATCGTCACTTGGTGCCTGAGACCTCGACTGGGCCTCAGAAGCAAAGTGACCAAACATGGCAACCCCCGTTCCGACCCGTGGGCGTAAGGGTCCCTACCATCAGACTAAGCGGATCTTGGACTTCCACAACATGCAAGACGGTGATGCCGGGGAGGTGGACGGCATAAGATCGGGTAGCAGGTGTGACAGGCTGCTTGCAGAGGGCGGCAGAAGGGGGACACAAAGAAAGGCGCAGAGTGGTGTGTTTGTCTCTAACGGGGACGGGATCGTCTGGCTAGCGTGTGTGGTCCGCAAAAGGCGCCGTGGCTGTCACGATGGGCTGACTAGGGCTCCAGGTCGACGGGAAGGGGGCCTAGATGTTGGGCTGACGGGCTGGTAGCACACGGTAGTGGAGACGAGTGATGTGAATTCAAATGTGTACTTGTGAGAGGCGGGCAGACCTGGTGCGGCGCCCGGATTTCGGCGCTCCCAGAGGTTGGTCGACACGTTGCTGTGCGGATGTGCCCTGACGTCTCTCGACGTTACTGCCGGGGCAGATGCGGGTTGGCTGTCTGGGTAAGAAACAAGGCTGTGTCGTGGCAGTTTTGCCTGCTACCAGGAACCGTCCATGGCGTGGAGGAGAACAGTCATATATGGTGAGTGTCCTGGCGTTACACGGTATATTCAGGATAAATGTCGACAGCTGGAAGGCAAAAAAAAAAAAAAAAGGTCCGGTTCCTGGAAGGGCGAGTCTCGTGGGATGTGAAGGTTGGTGATGTGTGAGGAGCGGCAAAATCGACGGACCCAGGAATCGAGGACCCGACTGAGGGGGCGAGACAATGGAGTTTTGAGAAGCTACGATTTGGCAAGCTCAGGGCTCCTGCTGGAGAAGTGTGTACCGCAGTATTGCACGACACAACCAAGAGCAAGGAACAGGGGGCCACGGGGCACGGTGCAGTTGGGAATAGAACAAGACGCACCCGCTACCTGCTACCTGGATGCTGGGATCCGGAGCTTGGACTGGGTGGATGACCTTGGGTGGGGACTGTATGTACGCTACATGTAATATGTGGGTGTGCAGATGTGTAGTGTGTAGGTAGCATCTCCAGGGTTTTGGTACAGATTACAGGGCCCTTGGGTCGAGACAGCTGCACGGACTGTAGGGATGACACGACGGGGGCAGGGCCAAGGGCCTAAGGGCCACGGTGGGTGGCTGTGATATGACATATTAAGCGACCACGCGCTGCTCCAGTGACGATGGGACGAGATGGGATGGGGCGCCGCGATGTGTTGCGGTGGGTTGCGATGGGCTGCAGTGGGCTCAGCTGGGCTGCAGTCCTGGGGGAGCGAAACGGCTGAGCTTGGCTGTCTGGAAGAGGGAAGGCGCTGGAATCTTTGGATCCCCACTAGGAAGTAGCCATTCGTGCCATTCTTTCGACCTTGGACGTACAATGGCTCAGTAGCGCGCGATAAGAGAGGGCGGACGTGCAGACCAACTAAAGTGTGGAGGTGCAGGAATGTGTGCCCACGGGTAGTACTGTGTGACCTACATCACAGCAGATGCTTTTTATGATGCTGACGCTGATACGATCTCGAATACGCTGGAGACAATGAACTCGAAATGAAAGGCTACTGTCCACTTGTAAGAGTCGGAAGCTGTAAACTGTAAACCGTAAATCGGGACTGAAAACGGTAGGGGCGGTTTCCTTCCCTGAACTGAATGACTGTCACGACACTGCAGCTACAGTACTTGCCTCGCGGTCAAAAGCAAGAGCTGGTTACCGACACTGAGGGCCTGGAGCAGGAAAAGGAAGGGGTGACTCCACTTCAGGCCAGCACAACACCTGAGTGGCTGGCTTGTGGCAGGGGTTTAAGAACGAGGAACAAGGGAAAACGACTACCAAACTAGACCGTTGAGTACCTAGGTAGCGTAGCACCCGTTCGCCCCAATCACTGACAGAACTCGTCACTCTGCTAATTTTCCCCCAAAACCTGACTCTGTTCCTGGTCCTTGTCCTTGTCCTGGTCCTGGTCCTGTTCGCGTTCCTGTTCCTGTCCCTGGCTGTGATGCTGATGCTGATACATACTGGTACTGAAGCTGGGTTGGAGCTGGTGCTGGTGCTGGTGCCGATTCTGATTCTGACTCTGATGATCGACCTCCATCTCTCCGTGCCGCACAACTGGGTCTCGGAGATTTAGCAAGCCATCCCGGAAGGCAGACCTGGGTGGGCAAGGCCACAGCCCACACATGGATATCCTGTCCGCACCTGCCTTTTTGCGTTTTGCACTACCTGAGTACAGGACATTGCACCGCACCGCACCGCTCTACACTACTGAGTACCTGACACCCAGTGGCACAGCCGTTGCTATTTGTGCTAGACGCGCGTCAAATTCTCTCTCTTCCTGCCCCCTTCTCTCTCTCTCCATCCTATCCTTTCCTTGATATCAGTTTCAAACCCAAGCAGCACTCTTCCTAGGCACTCAAAGCGCATGGCCCAAGGTGTCGAAGCGTATTCTTGGTGCACTGTCACCGTTACCACCACCGTCACTGTGACCATCACCGTCACCGTCACCTTCACCGTTACCGTCCCCAGAACCGCAGCTTCGGGTTTCGGGGAAATTTAATGAGCGTCCCAGGAGGGTGGTCCTCCTTGTCCCCTTGCCGAGACGCTCAAGATTTCATTACTGCTCGGAATATATGTCAGGCATGCCCAGACTGCTCAGACACGGCCGAACTCACATCTCAACATCCACAGATCTCGGTGCGTCATCGTCTCAATCCCTCCGTCGCCACATTCAAACCTTCTTTCACGCCCCGGTGCAACATGGGCGGGGAAGGTTTCCCAGATCCCGCACCACCCCCTAGCGTACCTAGATATCTTCGACAATATACACTCTACAGCACCTGGATTGGACCCCTGATGCCATGCCGTGAACCGAGGACCCAGATCTCGCGACATTGCCTCCTGGAACATTCAGCTCAAATGCAGTCCTTGTCCAGAGCCGTCAAGTTTAAACGCGTGTGAGCGGTTGAGACTCGGGTCACACGGTCAGACAGTTACGGGTAACCTTGGTGCAGACACGGGTCTAATCAGCTGTGACCAGGGAGCATGCCAAGATTGCTGAATGCTGCCATTATCTATCGAGCGGGCATCGAGCGGGCATCAAGGTTTGTTGCTTTTCGGCCCTGCTCTGTCTCCCTTACTATAGTACTCACCCATCGGTATGGGCCTGTTTATCTCTACGCGATATGAATAGAAATATTCCGATGCGATGGATACCCTTTCGGAGATAAATTTAAGGTACCCTGAATCGAGGACGTACCAGACCGGATTGGATCTTGTCTCGCATTGCTCAATCTCAGATTATGTTTTTTTTTTCTTTCCCAACGGCCTCGGTAACTCCACAGGCTACCACGGCACCGGTATCCCCAAGTTCCATGCCCTTGGGCATGTCACTCGTCAGGGGAACTCCCAGCACGCCTCAGCTTCTCCGGGTGTGGCTCCGAGCCTGCAGTATAGCCTCATGAACTTCCCAACACTCCCTTTATCATAGGTCTAGCGGCCCTATTCTCCTCGCCTCTTCCTCAGCAATACCTGGGACGATTCATCGGCTAGGACAATCGTGTGTCGCAAGAAATAACCCGCCCTGTGGCTACGGCGTCAGGTGTTGCAAATGCAATGCAACTTCGCAATCCCTGTCCGTCCAACCGGATCCGAAGCTTCAGATGTCATCAGCCTTAGAGCGCGCGATGTGGGTCACAGGTGGGACACGCTGCGGCAACGCGCAGCAGTGATCTCCGGCTTTCCTCACTCAGACAAGCAAGGACCGACCACCCCCCAACACGACGAGCATGCCTCGCCCCCAACACCCAATCTCGTGCATGCACCTCTCGCATGTGCCGGTCCACACTGTTTCTGGCGCTCAAGCAATATGTATAGGTCGCTAATCCGAGGATCATCGCACATGCCTCGAGAAATCATTGGCCGGTTGGTAGAGATGTGACCCCTGCGGTCTGCTCACCGAAGATCAATGATCAACGACCTGGAACATTGGATAAATCGTGATGCAACCTCCGCAACACTACGCACCGACCAGCTTGGAACGTGTGGCTTGGATCTGGGCAGAACCCAACCGACAGGAAAACGTGGCTTCGTGTGTTTGAACGTCCCAACCAACACGTGGGATTTTGGTTGAGCACTGTCGGGCGATCTTCTGGAAGCTCTGGAGGACGAGGTCGGTACTTCTGCTGGCTCTTAATACCCAGTTGATGCGGACAACAGGTGATGCTGTGGCCATTTAACACAACTCCAGGCCCCGCCGCCCCTGCAGTCTCTTTACGCCGCGGCTACTGAGTAAACACAAGATGCCAGATGTCTCAGGTCCGTGGGACCCACCATCTCAATTACACTGTCAAACATCTTCTCGCGGGCATCTCTGTCTGTTGTCGCCTTGTAGGGTGACAAATTTTCCTTTCCGTTTCGCACTCGCACTGATATTCTCGATCCGGCAATCCGACTGCTCGACAGGAAACGCAGACGAGGAATGCATGTAAGCTTGATACGCTCTACCAAGCTTCGTTTCACCTGGGCGAATGAGTTGAGTGGCCCCCAGGGCAAGTGTCCTTGACAGAGGTATGCACGCACGGGTCTTTTTATAGCGAATGTCTCTACGCGCCCGTTTCAGCACATGCGTGTGCGACCTGCGTACCCGAGAGCTTGGGTCTCGGGAATACGTCAGAAGCCTCACCAACACCTGCTCGGCCTGCATGGACCCAGGCCAGCGGCCCCTCCACACAGCCCCCGCGACACAGTGGGGGCGAGATGCTGTTGGCTGTTGAGATGTCTGGGGCGCAATCGGGAAAGTATGACAAGCCCAGCTGAAATCCAGCCATTCCGGTGTGATCCAGGTTTTGGTTCGAGAAAGCAGAGAGATTCATGTTGGCATTGGTCACGGTCTGGTTGATCCGTGCTAATCTTGGCTTCGCAGCAGACGCAAGCGTGTGCCGTTGAAGGCCTGAGGATAATTCCCAAAATGGCCCTGGCTGTTGATGTCAAGTGACACAAGGAATATCTGAGGCCCATACCAATTCCTTGCTGGATAAGAAGAAGCATTGACAGTGCTCATCCTTCTGAACAGACATCGGTGTAGCAGCAATGGGCCTGGCCCCGTCATACAAACCCAGCTTATCACACGGCTGTAGATCATCCCCACGGAGTCCACCCATCATGATGCCTGAGGCCAATGCTTAAGCTCCAGCTCAGACGCCGAGGAAACCTTGAGATCGGCAAGAGCGTCTGTCAGACAGCTGCCTATGGGCCTATGACGTGGCAATCTCACAGGCTCTGTCCATTCCATATCTTGATGTAGATATGTTTTGTCTATAACAAGGTGATATCTCGGACCGACCAAGCCGGCGTGGGGCAATGAGCGTGATATATTCCAATGTGGAAGTCGCGCCTTGTACCCCTTCATCACAGATCTGCCGCCGGAGATTTCTGGTCCGGCAAATGGCCGTATTTGTAATTTCTCTTGATGCCAGCTAGCTCGTCTCTAAGTTTCAATCACTGGCGTTCAGACAGGTGGGAGTGGGAATTAAGGAACGGCAAGGCCATGCCTTGCCTTGCCGAAAGTATGCAGTATGCGTTTGGCTACTGGGATACCTGCTATTTGTAAGAGAACGAAGCCTCGTCCGGAGCAACCTCGGAAGATGTTGAGTTCGCGAAGTCACAGTGGCTTCTCTCGTACGAATGACGCGTCAGGGCGCTGTAAGGACATCAGAGGTAATTTGCTACACTCAGAAAAATCGGCCGGGGATCGTGTACATGGCCGACGGCGCTTCTTTCGGTCTGCCAGGCCTCGCAGGGATGTCTGGGCGGTGTTTGCAGTAAATATCATGCCCGGCCAAGGGACTTGACCGAAGGCCCATGCGACATAACGGAGACGAAAGTATCCAGGGTCCAAGTGCCTGGCCAAGATGGCATGTTATATGCTTCCATGGGAAATTCGAGTGTTCGGACGTTGGACCGGTACTGTCCTGCCTCTGTGCTTCGATCCTGAGACACATAATTCACCGGCAGGGACATCAATGAGGCCGTGTCAGGCGGATGACTTTAAGTTGCGCCAATACATCCTGCTTCTTTTCTACCAAGCACACTCTGAATCATAAAGCAGGAACGGCCGAGAATGTTATACCTCCAATTCCGGCTTGAAGCTCGTGCCATCGCCAACAGCAGACGTGTCTACAAGGTCAGGGGATAGCGATGAAATGATGAAGCGACGTCTCCATTGGTTTTCCGAAGTCGATATAGTGGGCAGAGAATGAAGTCTCCAACCGAATATGGGAAGCATGAAAGGGTGGAGCGTAGTTGAGATCGTTCTGTACCCGTGTAGTTAATCCTCGGGGGTGCCAGTGCAGCGAGGCGTGAAGGAGTAGTGCGACGGAATCAAGTGGACAATTTGGATCTCCTCCGTACGATGTTCCATGCTTGGTTATCGTAAAAGCAGCTGTGAACGCTATACTCCCAGGACTCCAGGACTTCTATGTGCTTTTCCCGATCTTGCCCAGATGGCGGAGCCATCTTGGGTCTGTTTACAGCTCACAGACTGAAGCACCATAGATACGGCCCTCAAGAAATGGGCCCAAAATGCTCGTCTCGTATCTCGGGAGGACTAATGCACACCGAGTTGTTTGTTTTGCAGGCGTCCGCGTTCCAGAGGGCTTGTTCTATCTCATACTCCATTATTAGTGGGACATAAGCGTAGACATGCTCTCTGCCTAGCTATGCCGTGAATAAGTTACCACACAGCTTATTGACAGTAATTTGCAGGTTTTGAGTCCAGAGAAGCATCATTTACTGCTTGAAAAGTTTGAGAGAGATCATTTACCACCGTCTCCTAAGTTGATAGCTGTATGAGGAGGCATTGAGGAACTTGCTCTGCAGCAGAAGCCCTCGTCAAGTCATCCGTGCTTCAAGAATCCGCATCTGTGAACCCCATACCACCAACCCAAAAGGTGTTCAACCGAGCAAAAAGAAAGTCCCCGAGATGAGTCCCCGACACGCAGGAAAAGAGCCTCTCACCAACCCGACGAACAAGAATCACCGTTCTTGATGCCAACGATCACATTCCACCAGCCATCATCAAACGCCTGGCCCTGCACCACATGGCTCGTGCTCGGGTGCCAGACGCAGCCCTCGGTGTCAAGGATCTTCTGCGCGCGGTCCGCGACGTCCGAGAGGCCGACGGTCTTGTCATGGTCAGGGTCGTCGTTGCACACGTAGATGGCGGCGCTCTTGTCGCAGCTGACGCGCGCGCAGCAGCCGCCGCCCGGCTGGTGGCAGAGGTCCACCTCCTGCGGGTCGTGGCCCCGGAGGTAGGCGATGCCGTCCTCGATGGTGCCCTTGTTGGCGTGGTCGTAGCCCGGGATGCGGCAGACGACTTTGTCCTGGGAGGAAGAAGCGTGCTGTCAGCGGGTAGTATTGTACAGGTTTTAAGGGTGGAGGTTACTTACTAGTTCTCGCTTGAGTGGACTGCGCGTCGCGGTGACGCCCAGTTGGACGAGGATGAGGTGGGCGAAGATGAGCATGTGCATTGTGAAAACGTATTTGTTGTCTCGATGGTGGCTGGACGAAGTTGTGAAAGATGGATGCCAGGTCGCCGTTTAAATATCTCCCAGCTTGGCAAGTGAATCACGGAACAAACCCGGCGCCCAGCCAGTCAGTCAGTCATTAGTCGTTGTCTACTTGAGTGCCTCCTTAAGAAGGAAGACATTAGGGACGAAAGGCTGACTGTGAATGAGCTACGGTCAACTCATTCACCCAAGTCAGATAATTCCATGTTGATCTTCAGAGACGACACCACCCGCCTGCCAGATCTAGACGGCAACGTGCCGGTTCTGTGCATGAGCGACACTCACTGTAGGCAAAAGACAGGCGGCCATAACTTGCATGACGATCAACACTCTTATATTGCAATAGGATCGACTGATCTTGGGCAGGACCCCCCTCTAAGACACCGCCGTCCAACGCCAGGCTTCCGTTGCGCTTATGTCTCCAATGGCCCTGTGTCGGGTTTCTCATACACACGCACTCATGACAGCGCTTCTCGTTGCAAATTGGCAACGGCGAGGCTTTGTGTGTGTTCTCCCGTCCTCTACGGCTTCCAGCTCTCCGACTCCAAGCTACCTCGTCATCCCGATGTCACCCTTCCATGTATTAGAGCCAGGGCGATCCCCGAGTCCCCCCATCACGACCAGGCCCTTCCGATTTGTTGTTCGAAATAAGCGACGTATTTGCGGCGAGCACGACCACGTCAAATAAAAGTAAGATACAGTTTCATAGAAGAGAGATTAACGAAGGGGGTATATGGGTAGTGTAAGTAGTAGAAAGGGGTATCCGGGGAAAAGGCCTCGGTGAGACCAGGTGAGACCAGGTGCACAGGTTGATGAGGAGAATTGTACCCGGAAAACCATCATCATCCATCATTAACCCCGCGTGGCCCGACTTCCGCTGCCTACGCACTCTGAGGCAAGTTCGCCGGCGAGACCTCACCGTTTCCAATAAAAGGGAAGGCTCTCCTGCTCCCAACACTCTCCACTTTGGACAGACCAAGCTTCTCAAGCCCGGCAACTGCGCTGTCCTCACCGTTGCCATTGCCATTATAGATGCCCAAACCGCCACCGTCTACGCTCTTGCTGGGGTCTGGCGACTCGTCTTCGCCAGCCTCCATCTTTTCATCCAGATTCATGAGCGCAGGTGGCCTGTGGCGCATTTGACGAGCTTTTGCGAGAGAGATGGTCTTTTGCTGGTAGCTAGTAACTATCGGCTGTTGGTCATCTCTGTCGATGGTCGCCTTCATAAGAGCTGCCATCCAGAGCCGACCCTGCTTGATATTTGGCACAGCAAAGTAGTGAACGGTTGGTTTGGTGAAATTGACAGCACGAGAAAGACCTGCCCTGGGAGGAACTAGCTTGAAGATGAATATAGAGTCGGACGCTGCTGTCGGGTCTGCATCAGCCTCGGTGGCAGCTATCGTCTGTACGTTGCTGTTGACGGGGACTGCAGGAGAGTTTGATGCTCCTGTGAGCGTTGCATGGAGGCCCGTCAGCCTCTCATTGTCGGCTGGCAGAACCCTGTGGAAGGATATGTCGATGAGGCCCTTTTCCTGTTCGTCGTCCTCCGAGTAGTAGTATGCGAGACGTCTGCCCTTGAGAACAAACAGTCTTGGCTTCCATGTTGTCATGAGGCCGTTGCTCTTCTTTTTCATCCAGCCGCTGTAGTCTGCGTCCACCATTGCATCGCGTGGTGAGACCTTCAGCAAGCCACGCGTGTATGCACTTGTCTCTTTCTTGCCCTTCTTCTTGCTACCGCGGCTTCCTACAGTAGCCAGAGTGCCTGGACTCTTCGAGACATCAGGAGATTCTAGTTCGAGGCTTGGCCCCATTGAAGGCGTACTAGAACCTGTTCTAGAGGGAGACTGCATCGGCGAGTCTCGTAGCGGTGAGTCGAGAGCTGGTGCAATCTTTGCGCGCTCCTGTCCAGTGACCGCATCGGATATGGCTCTCACTCCACTAGTCTTGAGTGGTTTCTGCATCAAGTCGTTGGCTAGGGCTTGACGGTGAGCAGGTGAGACCGGTAGAGACGGCGAGGGGCGGAGGTTGTCTGCGGATGCGGTGTCAAGCTTTGTGACTGTCGGAGGACTATCTTTGCTTGGTACCGCAGGGCGCAGAGACTCAGTTGTGTTTGTCGAGAGGGTCCTCCTATGACTCCCATTCGCAGCCGGCGCGCCGTAGTACTTCTGAGCAGCAGGCGACAGGGGCTCACCTCGTATCGAGCCAATACTACCAAACCTTGAGTGGCGGGCCATGGTGGTTGCGCTCCTGACCCTCTGCTCTTCCGTGTAGCTTGTATTGCGTGAGTGTGACGCTGTGCTGTCGCGCTTCTTAAGCACGTTTCGATTTCTGCTGCCGCCTTCTGCACTAGAGAAATAGCCGCGGTCGAGATCAACGGCAGAATCCTGCAATTCAGAATCAGCAGAGAGGAAGTTGGAGCCAGACACGGGCCTGGGAACAGCGGCGGCGCCTCCGAGTGTCCAGTTCCGGTCGAAGGACGGCTGTTTCTTATGGGCTGATTCCTGTAGAGGGAATGAACCACTGGGCATCAACTTTGGCGTAGGACCAGCGCTGTTGAGGCTCGTCCCTGGAAGCCGGAAATCCGTCGACGAATGTCTCCTAGAATGATGCAGATCGCGGATTGATGCGGCAGAGGGACGCTTCTCGTGGTTTGGTCGGGAAGGGCTGTCCAGAAGTGTTCTTGGTGACACGGGAGATCCGGGCATGCCCGCAGGCTCGAGCTTGGGCGTCGTTGCGACAGACCTCCGTTTCTGTTGTGACATGGGCCGATCATCGATCGGTGGAAGCCTGCTGATGGAGGTGATGGTGTTGTTCCTGCTCCTGCTCCGTCTGCCAACATCCGACCCTGCTTCGCTGCCGTACGTCTGCGTAGTAGGACGTGAAAAGAGCCCATTGACCTCGTCTTGTAATGCCTTGACCTTCTGCCAGGTCTTCAGCCTCCGACCTACGGAGCCGAGATCGAAGGCCTTGATGAAGAGTGATGTTTGATCCATACCCAAAAGCACCTCCCCAGTAATCTCCTGATCCCGAAATACCTCGCAATGGTGCTTCTCCACCCCGGAAGTAAAGAGGTACTCGGCGACCTCGTCGGGTGTCCAAGACTCAACCTCGGAGCGAGAGTGTGCGCCGTCCTCCTCTTCGTCTGTCTCCTCCCCTGCGATGTAGGATAGCCGGTGGTCTATGTTTGATGAGCTGTATTCACTTCCAGAATCGTTGGCATGCCGCGAGACACTGCCATGTCTTGGGGTAGATCGAAGGTCGTCAATGTGCTCGTCAATGACGTTGAGGGTTTCGTGGAGAACGTGGTTGTCTTGGCCCTGGTTGAAGCGCGAGAATCCAGCTGAGACTGGAGGACTCTTACTTTGGATGGTGGCAGAAGTGGGTGCACTATATGAAGACAACGGCAGCGTCACTGGGCTGTTTGCAGCCTTCAACTCAGGCGGCGGTGACAGAGCAGCTCCTGCTGGTTCGGCTGCCGGAGCGGCTGGCTGTGGCGGCGATTGGACTTGCACCGGTGTAGGAGCTTCGACAGGCTGAACTGGCGGGGCCTGTGGTTGAGGTTGTGGTTGCGGCTGTAGTTGCTGTTGCTGTTGCGGCTGCGACGACGTCGCAGTAATGTGTGGAGCGGGCTTGACGGCGTTGCTATTGCTAGGAGCTGGACGGGTATAGACTGAAGGGACCCAAAGATTAGCAACACAATCAACACTATGAGGGCCAGGAGCACCATCGAACGGTGGGCGATGCGGGGCGGGTGAGAGTGGTTGTGGGCTGTTGTTGGTGTTGAGGTGACGGCGACCACAAAACCCCCCCTCCTCTCCCCCTTCAGGTCCCCCAGGTCCTTCAGGTCAAGCAAAGGGAAGGGGCGACGCGACAAACAAAGGGCTGGTCGGTCGAACGTCGGACGTACCTTCTGGAAACAGGCCACTGTTGCCGTTGACCAAATGTTTGCCCAGGAACCACCCATCGCCGAACTCGTCGTCCCTCTCGACCAATTCAACGCGGTCACCCTTTGCCAGGGTCAGTTCATCGGAGCTTCGGGCAGTGAAGTCATCTGCAAGTGGTTCGCATCGGATAAGTTAGCCCACGGAAATTTGAAGCGTCCTGCCAATCACTCGCGCATCCCCGGCGGTGGTAGACGAGAGGAGGTGGGAAATCGACCGAAATCGACCGACGGGGAGTGCGCGCCTCGCCTGGTCTCGCTTGGTTGCGCTGCAGGGCGCGCGGCCAATTCCCGGTGGTGAACACTGACCAAGACCCCCTCCCTCACCCCAGAGCCGAAATCCACAGCTCATCTCAGGACAGATTGGGATAGTTTGCTGGGGACAAGAGGGGCCTGCACTTACGGATGACGAGCAGGATATCGCCCACCTCGGGCCTCGCTGCCGATGTCGCCATCGTGGATGCGCTGCTCGTTGTCGCTCCTTGGGGTGTCGCCCAGCCTCTGAACAGGTCGTCCTAGGTTCGGTTCGCGGCGCGCTGGAACGGGACGGATCAAGGGTCCGGGGCCACTCGCAGGCGTCAGTGGCGGCAAGACATAGAGGTGTTGTTTGTTGATTGGAATAGTGTTGGAGACGAGGGCGGGATTGAGACAGACGCGACGGTTGTGGCTGAAAAAAAGGGCTGCTCGGCGCCGAGTGAATGAGACGGGGACGGTGGAGGAGGAGGAGGAGGGTGATGTGATGAGAGATGGGCTCGAGGTCAGGTTGGAGTCGTCGAAATCGTCTGAATGCCAGACCACAAGGATGGTAATTAATCGTCACTTGTAGCGCCCCCCGGGGGGTATGGTCTACCTGGGCTGGCAGGCGGAACGGATGGTTAGGTTACTGTAGATTAGGAGCTGGTCCAGGTAGGGTAGGTCGGCTGTTGGTGGTAGGGGAGGGAGTGGCCAAGAAAAAAGAGGCACGAGCCCGGCGGCTTTGACGGTAGCGCAAGCGTAATCTGGGAGAGATTGGGATCCCTGAAAATGGGGATCTTCGACTTCGAGGTGCAGTTGTTGGGGGCCAGCCGACCCGACTCGACTCGAGCTGAGTTGAGTTGAGGTGAGTTGAGTTGAGGACAGCCCAGGAATGGATTGATGAGCTAAGACAAGCACAAGGTAAGATTCAACCTGGCCCTTTTGAGTGCAGTAATCAGAGCCGCAGGAGGAGGCTGAAGGAGGACGAGGAGGAGGATGGATTGCCGTGCCGCAGCCCAGGCCACCTTCAGTTCAGAGAGTCCACCAGATCAGAGGTAAGGTGGTCTACGGGGCTGACGGACGGATGGCCCAGGCGGGATGCGCTCGATACTGTACGCAATTCTGATGCTGGAACAAATTGTTCCCACTTTTTCCTTCTCGCAGGACAGTCCCCACGGACGGATGCCGATGGATTTGATTTCACTCCCACCTGCAAGTCACAAACGCACACACACACACACACGCACCACCACACGCCACCACACATGTACCGTGCAGTAATACGCATTACGCCTTCATCCGAACTTTGTCTCTATCCCCGCCCCCTGTAATACCTTGATTCACCGAGAGGAGCACAACTGATGAACAGGGAGAGGAGATGCCCGTTATGGAATTGCCACTTGCCGCACGGAGCAGACCAGATCGGACAGAAGGACAGGGTGGCAACCACTTGGTCTGCTGGTACTGGTAGACTACACTACAGTTGCTGCATGGTGGTGAGGATGCAGACAATGCTCCGCTGGACGGAACGAGTAATCCGTCTTGTCTAGTGGCTGGGGCTGGCAGGTGCAGTGTCCAGGAGAGGAGCAGAGGAGGGGATCAGTACTACTGGGGATCCGATATTTTAGGGACGGCCGCACAGTAGCGTGTTCTCCTCAATGCAGGTAAGGCGAGCCATGCAGGGTTCGCAGGGTCGTGGCAGCTATTCTGAGATAGCAATAGGCCGTCCAGTCGCGCTCGTCAGTCAATCCTGGCTCCGGGGGAGGGGGTGCCCTCGACAGAGTGGACATTCCACGGCGCTTTACCCGTGGATTAATTTGATGTCTGGGAGGTAGAGGTGACGCTGACAGTGGAGGCCGGTTTACTTGAGACCTGCGCCCAGGTGGAATGCTTCAAAATGGGTGTCACCGTCTACGGATGTCTTTTGTTGAACCTCATAGTGTGGTGGGCAGTTTGGCTGATAGAAGCAGAGACTGATGCCAGCCAGCCAGCCGCCAGCCAGCCAGTTCGTCGTAGGGGTCGAGGATCAGATCACGGCCTAGATCGGACAGCCTGAGAACCCCAGCTGCCGCCAGCAAGGATGAACAAGAGCACATTGGCTGGGGGTACCCTGACCTTTATTTAGAAAGAGGAAAGCGGATAGTGAGGGCCACCACGCGGGCCCCCGCGATCCTACACTGCAATACCGTACATAGTACACACATCTCTCTCTCCCTTCTCACTGCACCAATGCTCACTCAACATGAGAGCTCAGCTATCAAAACAAATGAAATAAAGGGGCCCTCAAGGTCGCACCAGGCGCAGCAGCACGCCTTGTCAAGTGAGATGAGATGGACGCTGTGTCACCCGCCCACGACCACTGACAGCACGGTAGCTCGTTGGGATGCTTTGGCCTGCAAAAAGTAAATTTCTTGACACAATGACCGCTGTGTGAGCTGACATCACTGCCAAGTGCCCACAGGCCACGGCGGGAGGGAGGGTTGCAGTCCGGGGCGGCTCGAAGATTTCACATGGGAGGCTACGTAAGTCAGTCAGTCAGTCAGTCAGTCAGCCAGCCAAATACTCCGTGTCTCTCCATCAGTGCTATTGAAGCTTATGTCGGAGGGAGAATCGTGGTGAGTAAGGCCATGCCCGAGTAATGTCAAGGCCGTTATGTGCCCTGACCTGCAAGCAACGGAGTCGTACAACCAGAACACGGATAAGATAGTAAGTCTATAGACCTAACTACTTCGTAGGCTCGAGGTAGGCTGGATGGATAGAGTGCAGTGAACTGTTGCATTGCATGTACTTGCACCCACGGCATGGCTTGGCAGGCGGTCGAGAAGATGCCTCGGCAACTCGGACAGCCACGGCCGGGTCCAAACCTACATCCCGCTCGACATTCTATACCTTCAACGGCCAGGAGAGTAAACAACCAGAGAGTTGACGGAGCTCGTTCATGAACAATTAACCTTCCGCAGGTCCAGGGTAATCTCACGTCCACGCACACACACAAAACCCAATCCCATCGCCAGGCCCGCGCGACAGCATCACATCACCGCTATGGCCGCGCAGTCAGCAAAGCCCCTGGAGGGCTACTCCAGCTACAGCCACTTCAACATCACCAGCCCGGCCGCCTTCGTCGCACACGTCGAGATCAACCGGCCGCGCAAGCTTAACGCTTTCATCCAAGCCATGTGGCTGGAGCTGCGCTCCATCTTCAACCAGCTCTCCGTCGACCCGGACGTCCGCGCCATTGTGCTCTCCGGAGCTGGTGAGAAGGCCTTCACCACCGGGCTGGACGTCCAAGCCGCCTCCGAGAGCGACGCCGCCGTCCAGGGCGCCAAGAGCGACGTCGATGGCGCTAGGACAGCCACAAAGATGCGGCGGCATATCTACGAGTTCCAGGAGTGTATTACTGCTGTGGAGAAGTGTGAGAAGCGTGAGTTACATCCCACGCCCCCAGAGCGGGGTCTCTACATCGTGAGCTACCGAAACAAAAGGCTGAGACGCGCGCACGTGCGCATTCACAGCTGTAATCTGCATCCTCCACGGCATATCCATAGGCCTAGCCATCGACTTGTCCTGCTGCGCCGACATACGGTATTGCGCCGCGAACACGCGGCTGGCTGTGAAGGAGGTCGACATCGGGCTGGCGGCGGACATCGGGACTCTGTCTAGGCTGCCCAAGGCCGTCGGGAGCTCCTCGTGGGTCAAGGACGTGTGCCTGTCGGCGCGCTTCTTCGACGCGGCCGAGGCCCTCCGCGTGGGGTTCGTGAGCGAGGTGCACGAGAGCAAGGCCGCGGCGGTCGACGCCGCGCTCAAGAAGGCGGGCCTCCTGGCCAGCAAGAGCCCCGTGGCCGTGCAGGGCACCAAGGAGCTGCTGAATCACGCCAGGGACCACAGCGTGGACGAAAGTAGGTCTATTCTGCCTGTTGCACTATCTGTACGACCCGGCCCACTGACCCTCGCCAGGTTTGCGGTACACCGCTGTCTGGAACTCGGCCATGCTCCAGTCGGAGGACGTCTCCTCCGCGCTTCTGTCCGGCATGCAGAAGACCAAGCCGAGGTTCGAGAAGCTCTAGATATAGACCACTGTACAGCATCGTGCCCCAGGACTTGTAGATATCTTCAACCCAGCCTGCCGCTTGCCCAATAGCTTCGGCCATGCTTCCTGTGACTGTCTTGCCAAGGCCATCAACCTCGTCCCGAACTCAATAACGCAGATGGCGCAAAGGAAGAGTCGTAGATGGTAGTCATCCGTAGGCAGTCGTGCAATATTGAACCAAGCGCTTGAGACTCGAAGAAGGAGTAGTTGTGTAATCGGTACGCCAGCCATGTGGGTGGGCGCATCACTCAGAGCCGGACTCGTCGCCGCCGTGCTGCTGGGTCGTCTCCCTCAGCCGGTCCTCCAGCGTCTGCTTCAGCTTCTGCAGCATCGTCTCCTTGATCACGACGTGCTCGTCGTCTAGGTCGTCGATGATGTACTCGTGGCCGCTCTTGGTGTCGATGTTCACGATGATGGACTTGATCGAAGGGTCGCACTCGACGAGGACACCTGCGGGGCGGGATTTGCGTTGGCCTCGTTTCTCCTGGTCGGGAAGGGGTTCATGGATGGTGGTGGGGACGGCGTTGCTTACCTCGAATGGCTCGCGCTGGCATGGTGTCGAATTGGCAAAAGACCCCAAAGGCGACAGTGCTCTAGTGCTTGAGGTATTCGGAACGCTGCAGCGGATCCGTGGGATGGGAGTTCGGGACGTCCGAGGTTGGGTGTGCTTCAGTGATGACGCGAGAATTGGCACTGTTCAGATCTAACTCCAGCTTGGAGCGACCCGTAGAAGGTCGATCCGCCCGGTCCGCTTCTGCTGGACCCCTGCAGGGCCGCGAGACTGGGCCTGTGCGCCGCAGGGCCTTGTGCAGGGACCAGAAGCTTATTCAGTGGGCTGCATTTCTTTGACCACCACACTTAGACAAAGCACACTTCTCATTCAGCGACATGCTCACCAGATATCAGGCGTCTTGTGTAAATTTGAACTCTCAGAAACTACCCAGTTGAAGAGGTCTCTACATGACTCACCTGCCTGACTAGTCCTGCTGAATGCTGCTTTCGCCTTAGAGCTAACACGGGCGCCAACATGAAAGCTAAGGACTGCCAGGATTGCACCACCAGCAGTCTCGTCATTGTCAAGTGTGGTTACTACGCTGTTTCGTATAGAATACGTCCAGCTATGGTCCAAGCTCAGTATGTGCCACTCTGTTGGTGTCACTGCTTGCAGCTTGTGAGATACAGCTCACTCCCAGCAAAGCACGCGGCAGTGGTCATTCACACGGTCACACTATCGAGAAACCAAAGCAGTTGTTGTGAAAGCAAGAGGTCTCCTCCGCCTCTACTCCTTCCACGTATGCGGTTACTCACCCTCACGCTACAGTTTTGTTGGCAGGGGTCCAGAAGTTACGTTTTCTAAGGACTCACGAAAGCCATTCTTTGCTAGCCCTGGCAACAGAGACATTTCTCATTGCGGTATAGTACCAGATCAGAGGCGACATAAACTGACCTCATCTACTCCTCAAAGTCACCCGGTATATGCTTCATCCACTTCACCCGCGCCTTCGTGTCCTCCCACTCGGGGCTCCCAGGCACATACTTGGACCTATCATAGTCCCACTGGCTCTGATGCTGCTCAGCCCACTCATAAAGTCTGTCCCAGTCCCGGCACGTGTGCTTCATTCCCATATAAGTCAGGTACTTCTTGTTCCTCTCGCTCCATTGCCACACCAGCGGCGTCGTGTCGGCGTGGCACATGAGGTGCTGGCGGATCTGGTCGACGCAGTGGTCCACGTGGCCCATCCTCTCCTCTTCGGTGTCCCCCAGGTGCGTCTCGTTCAGGTACAGGCCCTCTGGCGAGCTTCCATGCCACAGCATCAGCCGGATCATGTTTAGGCAGTGCAGGTGGTGGAACACGTCCAGTTGCACGTAGTGCTGGTCCTCATGGCCGTGGACCGGGCTGGACGGGACCTCGAGCCTGGCGGCTGACGAGGCTGGAATTTGGCTAATTCCAACCTTGTTGTAGAGGTCATGCCACAAGGCGTTGTTCTTGGGGTTCGGAGCGCCCTGGTAAGGCGTTTGGCCATTCTGCACTGAGCTGTCAAAGACGACTTCTCTGTATGAGATGGCTTCGTTTGCTGGGGCTGAGTTGCGAGGAGTTCCCCAGTCAGCCTTCTTTTCTTCCATCTTGATTGAATGAAAGGCAATGCCATGGTGAACAGGACAGCGGGGGAGGTTTGGCCTGCGACTTACACCATCGCCTCCCTAGACTAGGATCACTCGCCGGGAGAGACCAAAACCACACCATAGCACAAAGGAGTATAATATTGGCTGCCGCGGAGACGCTCAGGGCAACGCGGATGCCTCGTGAGATCCCCCTCACGACAACCACCTCACTGTGCGACTCCAAACTGCTTCGAAGGAGTTTCTCTCTCGACGATGCGGAGTCCGTCTCCGAGGCTAGACTCATCATGTGCGCTGTGGGAGAAAATAGCTTGACGAGTGGGTAGGGGAGAATCACGGTGTCAATAACTGACTGTGGCTTCACATAGACGTTGTCATCTCCGCCCGTGATATCAGGATCGAGGGAGAAATCCAAAGAGTCAACGCTCTGCCATTTCAAACCGTGTCAACTCCCCCCTATAGTGGTCTATCTGTGAATCTCAGGCTGTAAGGGAGATCTCGGTTCACGTACATCTATGTGTCACGCCATTTCTTCACGTATTTTGACTCAGCTGATACAGCGCGCTCCGATTCCGAGTCAGTCGATACACGATCCGCTGCATGTCGTTCTCGTTCATCTGAGGTCATGAGGTTGGCTCCTGCCGTCCGTACATGAACCACTGCGGAGCCCTCGAGCCTCCCGACTTCCGAAATCCATCGACCGGGCCATTTTCGGAATATTTCTCATCTAACCATCAGCCTTATGTGCGTTCTGACAGAGCTTTGGTCCCTGCCCGACTCCCGATCTATCGGCCTGGCGTTACTTCGGGGCCTCGCCCCCACCGGCCTGGTGAAATTTCGGGACGCATAGTGAACGGGTCCGAAAGTTAAGCTTTGCGGAGCCCCGCGTTACCCACCCGGCCACCACACAACGTGATACGGGGCGGGTAGGCTCTGGACAGACGGTTAGAAGGGCATATCCACCGAGCGGGAGGCTCGCTTAAGGTCTTGGAGAATGCTTCTTTACTCGCGTTACTCGCGTGATATGGTAGATCCCCCTGAGCGACCAGGGCCGACCTGGGGTCATCTTTATCCCCGGTCACCGGCTCGGAACTTCATGATTGCCTCACTGGTCGACATAGGACGGGCCGACCAGACACTTCAGTCTTCACAATACCTCCAACGAGGCTTCGACAACGCCCTTTAATAAAGGTATAGAAGAACCAAAAAAAGTCATGCGCAAGCGACAGCCGTCGAATAGCCAAGATGTTTTACACAACACTCTGCTGAGGCTGGACCTGATGAGGCCAAGCTCAGTCTAGGGACAGTTGGACATCAAGACCTCACCCTAATGGCTTCAAGGGCAAGTTCTATTCATCCGTGACTCGTGATACTTTACTTTGATCAAGCTGTTGGGATCAAGGTGATACAGCAACGATACGTGGGGCAACATGAGCGAGGATCTGGTTACAAGGGGAGTCATACAGGCAGCTCAACCTCGTGTTGTGGGACTGGAGTCCAAGAATGGCCTCGTGGTGGAGATATTCTTGAACTCCGGAGGCAGAAGCCTGTAGACGGGAAGTAAATGGAAACAGAAATTTGGAGTGAACCTCGCAGCTGTGATGCTGTGTCTCTTCCACGAATATAAATATGCCCATCGTCCCTGGACGCTTCGATGATTTGTGCTATCAGACCAGTCCATTCTCAAGACAACCCAACAAACAGTTCTTTCTGCTACTTCAACGAACACGCCCTTCTACAAATCTCCAAAATGAAGTTCATTACCCTCTTCGCAACTCTCCTCACGTCTTCCGCACTCGCAGTGCCTACCCCTGATGGTACGTTCAAGATGATGACTTCCTCAGCTCAGCTCCCTTTGCTAAGTCACACACAATAGTTGACGCTACTGACTGCAACGTCCATGGCGGCTGCTACAAGCGGGACGTAGATGCCACCGACTGCAACGTTCCCGGTGGCTGCTACAAGAAGAGGGAGCCCGAGGTAGCCAGCGTCGACGCAACCGATTGCAATGTTCCCGGAGGTTGCTACAAGCGGGATGTAGATGCTACTGACTGCAATGTGCCCGGCGGCTGTTACAAGAGGGATGTGGACGCTACAGACTGCAACGTCCCGGGCGGTTGCTACAAGAAGGAGAAGAGGGACGTCGACGCGACAGACTGCAATGTTCCTGGAGGCTGCTATTAGAGGGGTTATTGATCGCTCAGTAATGGGTCTCATTGATGACAGACATACTGAAGATGGTCGGGACCTCAAGGTACGAGCTGGCAGCCCGGATGTGTACAACCGCTGAAAGGCGCGTTTGAGAGGGTCACAAGAACTTGATAGTATGTATTGGAGCAAATACAGCAGTACGAGTTGATCTCTAGACTGAATCGAACAACATCGCCCGCATTGCGCCTTCAACCCCTACTTACTTGGGCAGCTCCGGGCTGTCACCAAAGCACTTGGCCAGCATGGCAGGCGGGTAGCGCTCGCCCTTGCCGCCGCCGACCTTCTCGACCTCGGCCCTGATCTCGCGCACCTCGTCCGGGCTGAGCTGGACCTCGATGGCCTTGGCGTTCTCCTCGAGGTACTTGACGCGCTTCGTGCCCGGGATCGGGATGAAGTCGTCGCCCTGCGCCAGGACCCACGCCAGGACCAGCTGGCTCGGGGTGACGCCCTTGCGGGCCGCGACGGCGCCCAGCGCGTCCACCAGCTTCAGGTTCTCGGGGAAGTGCGTCTCCGAGAAGCGGGGGTCTAATATGTGTTAATCACCTGCTACGGATCCCAAAGTGATTCATTCTAGAACATTCCAAAGCACAAAGATCAGGGAACTGTAGCAGGAGAAGAATAGTACTTACGGCGCGCCCGCGAGTCCGTGGGCTCGATGTCGTCGCGGCTCTTGATCGTGCCCGTGAGGAAGCCCCGGCCCAGCGGCGAGTAAGCCACGATCTTGACGCCCAGCTCGCGAGCCGTCCTGAGGAGGTCCGTCTGGTCCGACTCGATCTCGAGCGCAAATGGGGAGAACTCCATCTGAATCGCTGCGATCGGGTGCACGGCGTGGGCTCTGCGTAGCGACCTGGCTGAGCACTCCGACAGGCCTAGGTACCTGATCTTGCCCTCGGCCTTCAGCTCTGCCATCGCCTTGACAGTCTCCTCAATGGGCGTCTTATCATCAACGCGGTGCTGGTCTAAGGGATGTTAGCCTTTGATCTATTACGATGACAATATAGAGGGCCCACACATACAGTACAGATCGATCTGGTCAACGCCGAGGCGCTCAAGAGACGCGGCGCAGGCCTCCTTGACATAGGGAGCGTCGCCACGCACTGACATGTTACCATTGGGGTCCATGTAGTTGGCAAATTTGGTGGCGAGGAAGATCTCCTTCCGCCTGCCGGTCTCCTTGAACCACTTGCCGAGGAGCTTCTCGTTGGTATGAGGTCCATAGATATCACTGGTGTCCCAGAAGGTCAAACCAAGATCAGCAGAACGGGTGAGCACGTTGAGGGATTCCTTGTCGTCGTAACCACCGAAGGAGGTATAGCCAAAGGACATGCCCATACAGCCTAAGCCGATGGCGGAAACGTCATCGTCGCCGATTTTGCGGGTTGGGAATGGCATGGTGGCAGTATGTTTCTGTGGTCTTTGGTGGAGGGCAACCTTACGACAGGCTACATGAGTGGAAATTACAGAGATTTACAGTGACAGCTTAAATAGTTTACACATTTTCTTATCCTCGCAAGTGATGGCGTAGCCGATGATCTTCAGTGGACGCCCACTTAGCGGAGTTAAAAGTACTGGGGGCCTTACTGCCGAAGGGGCGGGGATAGTTTCATGTCACATATAAAAACCGAAATAATCGAAACCTTATACCCGGAGCCCTAACCCTTTGCAGTTTGTATTCGAACAGATCCAGATGAACGTAAAGAATGGTGAGCACGTGAACAGCATTTGACAGTGCTATTGAACAAGTTGGTCTGCAGTTCGAACAGTCCAAGCAACTGCCCGTCTCACTATATTTGCTGTCCGTGAAAGGCGAGGTCAAGGCATGCAATTCTTGATATGTACCGTGGAGGAAACTTGAGCAATGCTTTCAACAGGCCCACTTGCAATATATACTTCAGAAGTAACCACAAAAACACAGCATCCTCTCACTTGAGGGCATACAGCCAGCCCTGCTCCTTGGTCATCAATCTGTGCCGCGGCGTGCACGGTCCTTGAGGAACTTCATATATTCTGTGGCCAGGAGACACCAAGACTAGTTCTGAAGATGATATTTAGATAGTCTACTATCGGCTAACAATAGCCTAAGGCTTGCGTCTGAGCAGTTGCCCTTCGACACCCTCCCCCGGGGACGCGTCCCCGAGAGATATCGTATTCACATCTTGTATGGGCACATTGCAATGACAATGACTAGCACAGACCTGGTTGCCATGGAGCAGTCTTCTCAATTTCAAACCACATTTATTGCACCCAATGGACAACGATGCTATCAAGCTGTAGATTGGTATCTCTGCACTGTACTCCCACACTCCCATATACCCACGGCGCACTGAAAACCCCGGCTTATTAAGCCTGACTGGACTACTCGGGCATGCCCTCAAAGGGCTTGGCCAGCGTCTCCTTCATGAAGGGCAGCTTGGACTTGGTCCAGATCTCGGTGTCCGGCTTCAGCGTCTTCTTGATCTCCGTGTCGAGGGTGCCCGCCTTCAGGGCAATGATCTCGGGGGCCGCGTCGGGGTCGTGGGCGATCGGAGACCCGCACTCAGAGCAAAAGATCCGGTGGACATCTTTCCCGGACGAGCCCTTGCCAGCCCAGGACTTAGTTGGCCCGTTGATCGTGAGCTTGTCCTTGGGGACGACCGCGACTAGGGCTGCGAGGCAATCAGATTAGCATTCTCCTGCGTGCAAGGCGTCCAGAGAATTTTGTCTTCGTGTTTGTGAGTGATGTGAGAGGGCTGAGGGCTTGCACTGTGGGGTCCATGACCCCTCGCCAAGCTCTTCGTCGACAGGGGTACGGCGAGAGCTTCGTGCCGTCGGTTCTTGGACTGCGGGGGTGGGGCCACTGTTCCCGCCCCGCGATGACGACGACCAAGACTATCAAGCTTCCGCGCCAGACCTTGCGAAGTCATAGAACCTAGAACAAGAGACTCGGTGTAGACTTACAGTATGTCGAACCAGATTGGCGTTGGCAGTCGTCGCAGTGGTCGTAGCCCGTGATCAGGGGTTGGTCCACGTCGACCGTGTAGGTGACGGCCTTGCAGAGACAGTGACCCTTGAGAACCATATTGAAGTATTAGACTTTGTAGTGAGGAAGGTTGGAGATAGTGGACAAGTTTTGGCTGCAAATAGGCTAGAGGCTTGAGTTGGGCTTGTCTATGATGACAAGAGGGAGCTCCTTCGTCTCAGGATGTGGGAAGCTCCCTTGCTATATAAATGGCCCTCGAGCTCCAGCTCGCAAGGAGCAAGGCAGGCGATGCGACTCCGCGGGATCAGCGGTTGACGCAAGAACCCTGCCGCTGTCATTTGCGCTTTAGGAGCCGGTATACCTGTTTGCCGTCATTTTTGGCGGAACCGCAGACGACGCTAGATGGAAGCGTTCACTGATATGTGGGCCGGTGCGTTTCTGATTTGAATTTCCCGTCTTTGGCCCAGAGGGGCAGAGAGAAGGGCTGAGGAAACCCCCTCGCTAGAGCTCCCGCGATCCCACCGAAGCGGAAGGCATTTGATAAGTCGACCGTCCATCCCTCGTCATGCCAGGATCAGCTTGGCTGGGGCCTGCATAAGGAGACGAGATCGGCGTCACTCTAAGCTGCTGTTCTTGCAGAAACACTCTAGGCTGATGACAACGGACATGACGAGGAGCTCTATACCCTCGTCTGATAATCCCCCGGGCGACTTTCTAGAGTCGCATTAGCTTCTGCCCGCCAAGCCGTTGTCCAGCAACATCTGTCTTGCAGGAGGGATCCTGGTCTTATAACAGATGCACGGCGGATCACACGTTAAAACGGCGGGCCGTGGAACCATTCCAGGGCCCAAGTTGTTTCGCCCCAAGTCGGAGCGTCTGAACAGAGATCTCGACCGGACTGCCGGGATGGTACCGCAACGTTGCTTTATTTGTCAGGGAAGCACGTACAAAAGTTGGAAAAGGAGTCTGCAAAGGGCTGGTCGAAGACATCCCGCGAAGCCTGGACAGGTAGGTCATGTGCTGACCCACTGACCGCAGACGTTATTTGGAATTTTGATAGTGATAAATAGCGTAGCTTGTCAGAATTTGTGGGGAAACTTTCCGAATCAAGCTTTATTTCTTTCGCTTGAGCATTGACGCTCGGCGAATAGGAAGTGACTAGTCTTTCCTATTTGGGCATGTCGGTTGCCACGCCACTTGCAGACTACCATCTCGTTCAATCTGCTGAATCTGTTCAACGTCATTCAAGAATCATGAAGCTACCTTGACCGGTCTATTCACGACGTATGTGTTGTCTGACGGAGCAAATGCAAGCTCATCTATAGTGCAATGCTTTGAGACAATGCGCATGCTGGACGCCAGAGTGAAGATCGCCTGGCAGCTTTTGGCGATCTAAGTCGTGGAACTTGACATGCACGTAGCATCCTCCAAAGGAAAGAGGCAGCTGGCACTCGTGGACTTTCCGCGCATCCCCGGTTTGACTGCAGGTGTCTCTGGCGTCACCTCGCCTATTCATACCCACATATCCACAGGGCGACGGCGAACCCAAAAATGCGTGTCTTACCCTCCCACGCAAATGTCACGGTCCAGGCCAGCCACGTTCTCAACATAATGAGAGCCGCGTCGACAAGTAAGAGGCTCCCTAAGGCCAGCCTGTGAGCCACGAACAATCGGAGAACGAGACTGCTGTACCGCTTCCGCAAGTCGGCGTCCTCTTGCTTGAATATAAAAGCATCCATAGAGGAGATCCTGAAATCGCGGATATCTACCGCAGTAGTCGGCGAAGATTGTTGCAGGGATTGGCTCGATGTCAGCGGTCGCACAATTGTGTCCGGGCGTCGCCGAAGATATCGGATGGCCTCGTAGTAGACGAAGTCCATAGGGTTCTTCGCTTCTAGCGCCGGTGTAGGCTTCTTGAACAAGATTTTCGGAAGCAGGTCTGGTCGTGAGACCCAGATCGTGCAGCTCTCGCGCAGTTCGGAAAAGAGAGCCTCAAGGTCGTGTGCGTAGAACACGAATCTTGTATAGAAAACAGGCGTCAAGACTTTGAACTCCATTTCCTCAACATCAGCATCTTGTCCGTCCTTGGTGGCCGGAGACAGCATCAGCTCCTTGCCAGAGTTATCCAGTCCGCATGGGACATACTTAAGAGCGATTGGAACTTGACACTGCTCAACAAGGCTCCGTATGTATTTCCTGAACATGAGTTCCAGGTTTCGCTCGGTGGCATCCGCATTGCGTCCCATGCTTTCCTTGAGGGGCTCCGGCCGAAACCACACGTGTAGCTTCCTCTTGAACCAGAGACTACCAGCTTCTCTCACAATCCTTGGGAAGGTGACAAATCCCACCCACCACCACGACAGCAGGAAGTACCATTTCTGTGCTATGGTCATGGTCGAAGGATCAATCGGTTGGCCATTTGAGACAAGCCGTGCAACAATCTTGCCATGCCCTTTGGACGACTTCAAAGTGATAGTGCTATCGATCGATTCCCGACATCCAGCCACGGTCTTGAAAGGATCAAATGCTTGGAGGCTGTAGGAGCCTTTTCGTGAGTTGAACGGTGACACGTGGAAGTCCTTTGGCCACTCCTGCTTGAACACCGCAGGCGCGCTCGATCTTTGGTCATCTGCATGAACAGCCTCGTGCGAGTTTTTGATCTGATCGGCCTGTTCCGGTTTTGTTGGTGTCAGGAAATACATTCGCCGCTCGTCAAAGGTGTTGTTGACCTCTATAATCAAGGCAGCCAACGACATATCGTCCGCGTAGAGGTACCAGAAGGAAGCTGGATTGAAATGGTATCCCAGAAATTTGGCAGCTGTAACCAGGTACGCATGAGGATAAGCCGCAGGGTCGGCCCCCTAAAGAACGATGTCAGTTAAACTGCCGCCTGGTGGCCTGGTTCCCCAATGGAAGGAAGTACGTACTTGTGACCTGAGGTAGACATCCAGTTTGCCTCGCAATCCTAGGTGCCTGTCTCCTCGGTGTAGATAATCGGTGGGGTCAACATGGAACCATCCCTTTCTGAATTTGGAGAACCATGATTGTTCTGAAGAAGACAAGGAGATCATTCCTCCAGAGGCCCCTTCCCAGCCAACGGGAATGCCAACAACCAGATAAGAGTATATGAAGGAATGTTTTTTGGGGAAGAGTCTCGAATGAGTCGTTTTACAAGGAAACAGCAAGACTCTCCCATGGCCAGTCCATTTCGCAGTCTTGTTCTGGGCAAGTAGGCTCCAGGCCACTTGAAAGACAACGAGCGAGCTCACGGCATACTGTATGGCGGTCCAGCCCCAACTCAGGAGCCAGGCTTGCGAGTGACCTGGCAGCCACTGGAGTGCGACAAAGAGGGTGAACAGGAGCTGCTTGGTACGTCGTGAGTCCCAGCCAAAGGCGTGGGCGAGGGTGAGAGCGGTGGCACAAGACAGCCACTGCCCAATACCGCGACTCATGTCCAGGCGAGAGGAAGGTCTCAAGGCGGGGAAGACACGGGTAGATTGACTAACGCATCGAGCTTGGTCGCAGAGTTAGTGGTGCATGGAGAGTGAGATCTGGGCTTTAAAAGCTTGCCCGCGGGAAGTCCGTGATGAAGATTGGGAGTGTTGTATTGTTGATGATGAATTACACGCTGACTTTGGTCAACGAAGCGGCAGTTCCGAGCTGCTGAGACTCGGCCGATGTCTTGCCTTGCAGGGTCCCTTCCTTACTATCGTACCATACCCGGTAGCAGACCCTAGAATACCAAGACTAAGTACTGAAGTCGGTTGCCATTGCGGTCGATGGCTTTAGGCAGGCTGATCGTGAACTGCCTAGGACCATGCCGTTACCTGAAATGTAGGAAATTTATCCCACATTCCCCAGAATCTCACCTCGTACAGATAACTCCGAGCGTTCATGCCGGGGTAAATATACCCAGAAGTACCCAAGTACCTGGTCTAGGTCGATGCACACAGCCGCGCCTTAACGCCGGCCTGAGAGGCCCACATGCCGCTTGCGTACTAACAGCAGAACATGGTCTGTGCAGCACTGTTCAGTTAGTGATCAAGCACAGCCCCCCTGCCTGCCTAGAGTAGTTGGGCGCCCGCATTGAAGGCCAGGAGGGCTGAGAGAGGCCAACAGTCACCGGCTGACTGTCTACGCCGGAAATGACTCCACTGGACGACCGTCATCCATCGCCTTCTACGCCAAATATTTAACTTCACCACTTCACTTCCCAAAATAAGGCTGAACATTGGAACCCGACAACGTCATCAACATTCATTTACCTCTCCACCCCGTGAGCCCCCTCGACACCAGCATACCGTCCACGAGTCCCTTCCAAACTTACTCGGCAAATCCTCTGCTTCGTGCCTGACGACAGCCCAACCGCCCGTCTGATATCACGACCCCGCCAAATCCGACCGGCAACATCAAGCACACGACACGACATCACTCAATCAACAACAACAACAACAGCATCAATAACAACCTTCAAGATGGCTGACTGGGACCAAGTGACCAAGATCGGCAAGTCCGTCCGCGGCGGCGTCGGCGAGCGCGAGACCGTCGTCAAGGGGAAGAGCGCTCTTAACGCCGCCATGCGAAGCGGCGCCGTCGTCGGCAGCGAGAAGAAGTACGCCATCGGCAACGCAGTAAGTCCCCAGCCATCATTCACCAGCTCCATCTCTCTTTCGAATCCCCCTTCTCCAAAGGCCCCAGAAGGCAACCAAGTCTGACACTTCCTCTCCCCCCACCAGGCCAAGACAGGCGGCGAGGGCCAGCGCATGACAAAGGTGGACCGCAGCGACGACATCGTCAAGCCCAAGACGGTGGGGCCCAAGGTGGCCGAGGCCATCAAGGCGGCGCGCAACGCCCAGACCCCGACCATGACGCAGAAGGAGCTCGCCACCAAGTGCAACACGACGCCCACCGTCATCGCCGACTTCGAGCGCGGCACCGCCACCCCGGACCAGAAGGTCCTGGGCAACCTCGAGCGCGTGCTCAACGTCAAGCTGCGTGGCAACGACATTGGCCAGCCCAAGTTCCCCAAGAAGGACGCCGCCAAGAAATAGAGGGGCTGCGTCTGGGTGCCTGGGCGGGTGTGAAGGAAGGGAAAACAAACAAGGCAGCACTGGTTGTTTGGGTGGTACACAGCTGAACACATCCGGAGCGGGCTACCATCAATAGTCGGTCTTTTGGTTGCCCTATGGGCTGGTCAAGACTGTGCTGTGGGGCGATGTCTTTCTGTTGATGGAACAAAAAAAAAAAAAGGGAGTCGGTTGACTGCCTCTTATTGGGGGCCGGCCGGGGCCGTTGGTTCTTCGATCGAGGACCAGGTCGCCTCCGTGCTTGCATAGCGAAGAACGAAGGGGCCTCCCCCCAAATTTCTTAACCAATAGTGACACAATTAGAGTCGTCCATAGAGTCTGGGAATAGAATTTGATTGACATCAATTCCGTGCCTCCTGAGTTTCTGCAATGACTCCCCTATCATGACTTCGAGCAAATTGTACATGCTTTCATGCCAATGTCCAACGAGTGACCGTGTCCGTATATCCAACCGCAAACTCCTCGCAGTGATGCCACCCCAAATAACAATGCTCTTTCTGGTCAATGTACACAAACGACCACTGATGCTTCCGTCATGTGGAAATCCAACAAACGCCTGCGATGACAGGCCAAAATAATGCCTCGCAAATGTAGTCCCTTCTCTGTCAACAGGAAATGATTTCCCCAGCCTTACTCTCCACTGTCCCACTAAACAACCACTTCGACACTTATCAACTGGACAAGGTCTTGACCCTCTCCACTACCGTTCCCGAGCTCGGCGCCCGTCCCATCTGCACAACCACGTTCTCTTTCCCAGCAATGACCACGATCTTGAGCCACTCGGGCGCCACCTCGCCTGCCAGCAGTCGGATGCAAGCAGCACCCTCCTCCTTCGATATGGGCAATCGCAGAGAGTCCTTCAGCTTCTGCAGCAGCGTCACCATCTTGAATGACAATCGCCCGCCCATGCCCGTGCTACCCGATGCTTTGGCCAGCATGCCAATCACAGCCGCGACGTCGTCGGCACGCTGGAGCGCGGCGCGGCGCTCGAGCTCGGCGGAGGTGGGCCCCGTGGCGGCGAGCTGGGCGAGGTGGGCTTCCTTGAGGCGGAGACGGTCGATCAGGGACAGCTGTGTGGCGGCAGGCGTGCCCTCGCCCTCCGTAGACTGGGCGATAGCAGGCATCTTGGCAGCCTCCTTCTCCTCCTTCCTGGCTGCAATGCCGGCCTTCAGCTCCTGCATGTTGCGCTGCCCCTTTGCCAGCACGGAGGAAGCCTTGGTCAAGGCCTCGCAGTTCGTGACTGGGCACTTGGGCAGGCCCAGGACAAAAGCGTTCATATCAGCCTCTGCTGCATCTCTGAGCTCGGTCCAGATAGTCCGTAGGTTGGTCTCGAACACAGATACAAGACTCTGCTCGTCCAGCGGCTTCCCGTGGTGCTCGTCTCGCAGTTCCACGCAGATCTTCTTGTTTCCGTAGTCGACGAGGTAGAATGGCGACTTGACACTGCTGGACTCGACATCCATGACCCCCACGCACCGACGGATATCAGCCAGAGAAATGCGCCTCTTGCCCCATGCCAGGCTGACGGGCTGGCTGAGTTGCCGGATGTCGACGGGCGAGTTGGTGCCATTGTGCGCGTAGTGCACCACGATTGTCTTGAGGAAAGCCGTGTAGAGTGAGACGATGTCGAGAAGCTCCTGCGGGAGAGCAAGCTCGGGCTCGGGTGTGGTAGCAGCAGACCCATCGTCATTTTCCTCTTCTTCCGAGTCTGGGATGACAGACGTCGCCGGCGTGCTGGCCTGGGTGATCAGGGGCGAGGACAGGCGAGGGACAGTGACGGATGGCGAGGCTTGGATGCGCAGGCGCTTGAAGAGGTTGCCGGCCTCCTTGGTGCGAGGGGACTCGAACTCGGGTGACAAGGCCCGCTTCTTGTTGTTGCGGCGCGGAGTGGATGGGATCTGCTCTTGTGTGCTCGTTCGGGGGACAGCCTCTGGTGCTTGGAGACGAGCCTTCTTGGTAGACTTGGTAGTGATGTTCAGGATCCGACGCTGAGTGGGTGGTGTCGCGACTTCTTCTGGCTCGGGAGAACGGGCTGCCTTCCTCTTGCGCGTGGAGGGAGTGGCTGGCGTGCCTTGGCTGATCTCGACGGTCTGGACGACCTTCTTCTCGCTGACGTCCTTCGCAATGGCTGCTGCATGCTTCGAAACGCGGGTGAAAGTGCCAATGTTGGCAGCTTCTGAGGGCGCGGCTGCCTTGCGAGGACGGCCACGAGGTCTCCCGGTGGTAGCGCCTGGCATTTTGATTAGGAGTTACTGTACAATACACGCAGAAGTAGGTGTGGAAAGGCAGGTGCAAGTGGAAGTTGAGTGGTAGTTCAGTGTGTGATGAGTTGGTCAATGAGAAGTTGCGAGCAGTTCGAACAAACAGCTGGTGAAGGTGCAAAGTCAATATCAGTGGATATCGGCAGCCGCGATGCATTGGAGCTAGGTGGACTGGGTATTTCGAGACGGCTCTCTGCAGGTGGGCCCGACGCGTCCAAGGCCGCATTCGACGCGACACCAGCGCGTTTGGGTAAATTGAAAATAAGCTCAGTCTCAGATCACTCCGTTCGCGACTAGGGTGGCCCACTGCTCCTAAAGTCTTCTAAGCTGGGATAGCGCTTTGGACCAATCTGCACACCCACCTCGGCCCGCCAGCAATCACAGGCCATGGCAATCGATCTACAAAACCATGCAACCAAAACCATGTCATGATCCATGGTCGGTCGAGCTCCGGGAAAGACGCTGAGATCCGCATGCCTCGGTTGCAAGGCTGAAGTCAACAATTGCAACGGTCTCAAAGAAGACGGAGATTCGATATGCTTGTGAAGTAGAATTCTCTTGCCTCTCAGGCCCGGTACTTGGGTACATAGCACATATTGAGAGTTGTACTCGGATGCCTTTCCTGCAGTAGTCCAAGTTGTTTCGATCCTACGCGGACCTAGCAAGACTACATCCCTTCCACCGAAGCATGTGCCTCTGGGATTCTAAGAGTTCGGGTCATGTCGTAGCACGCGACACATCACGCTCGCACGACTTCGGCCCAACGCCGGATGCTCGGTATCTACAGACCTCGGGGGAAGGAAAGTCGCACACAGCGCCTGGGGAGCCCGTCCCTGACAATCCCGCACCTCCGGCGGTTGCGCCCGTGTCCAGTTCCCTCGCTCGGAGATGCCTTCTGCAGGATCATATGTGCGCACAACACCAACACGCAGGCAGGCTGCACCGGCGCATCGCACCCGGGATCTTCCCACTCCACTCGGCTATGCGAGCTCCTACTGGGACCGCTTATCCCACTCGCCATCAGGGAAGGGATACAAAAAGACACAGGCAATCGTCCCACATGCCAGCAGGGCATCTTCATGGGTCATGGATCACTTCATGTGGAAGCAGGCCGCTGGCAGATCGAAGCGGGCTCCGCAGGGGGACCCGGTATTATGGTTCTGGAACCTCTTTTTCCATTTTCGTATTGACGGGGGCCCGACTGTCTGTCGTAAGCTCAACGGCTCGTTCGTCCGGGCCTGTGCTGTCTATGTCTATCGACAGACCTCCAAAGAGCCTTCCGTCAATGTTGTCGCAGTCCGCCCTCGCCCATGAGGAAGACTGCTGGTTCCGTGAGAAGAACAGAAACCGTGACATCACCTTCTCATCTCCCCCCTTCCTCTCTCTCAATCACGATCATAACCCTGATCATCAACCCTTTTTCAATAAATCCGTGAATGAATGCCCGCTCCCTTTTTGTCTTCTCGTAATAAAAGTACAGTCCACCGAATTTCGCCCACCCTTTTCCGTCCATGCTGCATTACGCCGAGAACCCCCTAGAAGTAGAAGAAGCAGATCAAATGAAAAACGAAACCCTGGCATGAATGCTGCTGTTGCTGGCGGTCCCTTTCGCATTGCATGATGACAAGACCGAGAACTCCCTCCCAAATGAATTAAAAGACTTTGTGCAATGAAGAGTGAACGTGTGATGAGAAGGTGACCTCTTTGGCTCGCCGAGGTCCAACGTAGGGCAGTGGCGTGGCCCATCAGCGGCGAGAGCTGGACTTCTCGTGGCGGAAGCTCACGGGGCTCGGCGGCGGAGGAGCAGGGACGTCCCACTCGCGCGGCGAGTAGTCGTAGCTGGGGGTCGGCGACGACTGGAGGTCCTTGGACGACAGGGTCTTGGTCAGGCTGGCGAAGTCTTGCGACGTGATGAGCTGCAGCCGCTCGCGCGAGGGCGAGACGGCGAGGGGTGAGGCGATGTAGCTAGGCATCTTGATGTTGGGTTGGTTGCTTTCTTGTGACGAGAATGAGACTGTTGTCGATGGCGACAGTGGTATGATTTTCTTTGGGATATCGAGTTAGCCTCGGCCTTTTATACACCACACATGGCTCTGGGAGGTGAGTGATGCTTACAGTGGATGGTGAGTGAGTGACAGGACAGATATGGTATGGTATGATGTGCTTGACGTTTGTGGGTGACTGCAGCAGGTCTAGATGTCTGACGAGATAAGAGCGGGTGTTTGTTTGTCTGTCTTGAAGACGTCCAGCTATTTTGTTTCTGCTCTTGACGTGGTCTGAAGGTTTGGGAGGAAGCAAGAATCTGGGGAAAATGGGAGAAGGGCGGCGAGGGAAGGGACAGGGAGACGATTAAATAAATACGGCAGCCACTGACTGAGAGTTGTGTAAGTAATTAAGGTAGGTACTTTGGTGTTATGGCCGGAAGTGAATGAGAAAAGGGTGCAAGGGTATGGGACGCACGCCTTATTGTGGATAAGGCCCCTGTTGTCACTGCTTCCGGCTACATAACTCGTGGGAGTTGGGGAGTTGGGTGTGGGGGATGGTACGGTGCCAGGCCATGGGCCCCAAAGACCCCGGTCGGTACATTACCCTGGCTCGGTACGTCGCTGAGAGTCTGGGGGTCTGGCATGTCTGGGTACCTACTATAGTACCTCTCGTCGAGTGGCCGAGTGGTACCACCACATCGGGCTTCACCCCCTTGCTACAACAGGAACAGTTTGTGCTATTCAAGGATTCACTGGAAACAGCGGAGGAAGACAAGAGACGGGAGAGGTACAGCCTGACTGCCTACAGGCTCTGCAGGAAAGGGTGGCAAGCTGCGTGTCGAAGTGTGGGGAGGTCTCACTCGCGTACCGTTTTTTTCAGTCAGTTATTCTGTCCAGCTCCCAAGAAATTACCGTAGTATAGGTACGCTGTACGGTACCGTATGGTACCGTATGGTACCGTATGCATGGAATGCTGTCGAGAGCGCCTGGAACCCGCGAGCATGAGACTGTTCCACAATAGCATCGCAAAAATCTACCGAGTGGAAGGTGCATCGCCCCTTTAGGTGGGGACGGACAGCAGAGTGACTTTTTTGTGCCTTGCCTCACCTCAGGAACTGGCGGTTGTTGACCCAGGTGTGGTGTGGCCTGGACAGACACGACAGGGTCGGGAGACACTGAGACTGGCATTATCGTCCTCGGTGCCCGGTCAAGCACTTGACGAGGCTACACACAGTACAGTCTACTCTCCAGCCCACATGCCAGGTACTTTGAAAGGTCGGGAGATCAAAGTGGATGCCGTAAGGATACCTGACCGAAGTGAAATCCTACGCGCGCCCCAGGTCCGCGCCCGGGCTGGCTCGGAGATTCTCTGATGCGTGCCGCTCTCACCTTGGAATTCCAGACCTCGGAAAACATGGCAAGGATGCCTGAGACCTGGGGAATTGTTTCGGTGATGCCAGGGCCAGGTTAGAAAGTCCGTTGTGTCTTCTGTTGCTACTGCATCATAGTACATACAGTACAGCACAGTACTGCTATTGACAGATCGAGAAAGATCGGGGCAGGATGAGGGCGATCTGATGATAGGCATTGAGTGACTGAGCGAGGTGAGTGGTCTGGGTGAGAGAAGGGGGAACAAGGAGCGTGGCCCACGGATCGGGTCTCTGAGCCTCCTTTTCTCCCACCCTTTACCCCTGCCCATCCTGATGTTCTGTTTCTATCTATTGCGTCTTGCATCTTGGCCCCCTTCCTTTCCAAATTGTGAGCCCACGTTCGCTGCCCCCAAATTTAGTCCATTTGTTCTTTGTTCCTTTTTTTTTTGCGTTCTGAAGCGTCAACCTCGGTGTAGGGAATATGTCTGTAACTTGCCGCGTAAAACGTGTGTTGGACTCCCAGCAAGCCCCGGGGACTGGCCCGGATCTTCCACGCGGCGCTGACAGTACCTTGCAATCTGGGACGAACCTTGAAGAATTGTCCATGATGCCCGTCCATGCCTGCCAGGGCAAACAACATGCCGCCATTCCGAGCGACCGCCTTGTTGTCACAGGAGTGTGTAATTACACCTTTCAGCCCTGGGATGAGCCAACGCACACACACACACACATATGCACACATGCAGACACAACCCCTTTCACCAGAGGCACAGGCATGATGACTGATGTTGGCGCATTGGCAGGTCTGGGCGCAACTCTTTTCTGGGAGCTCGCAAGAAGAAGAAAATTTCAGAACTCCACGTCCGGGGATACAGACGCGCTGCGGCACCGCACAGGCTGGGACAGGAAAGGGACACACAGCTGGACTGGACAGGAGCCGCTGCAACTGTAACCCCCGGAATTCCCTTCCTGACAAGCCTGCGAGAGAATGTGGAGGTTGCAGGGTCCCGCCCGCCTGCAGGTGAGACTTGTGGGGGGCGAATGTGTGGGGATTCTCCCACACTATCCAGGGCTGTCGCGCTGCTATGCAGGTGCTCTGGGGTGCTCTGCGGGTGTTCCACTGCTTCCAGACCACCCTTGAATGCTTCTCCCGCATTGCTATCACAGCACCGGCACGACCATCCCCTGCCCGTCGGATCCATGCCGGAGACGGTCTGACGGTGTGATTGATGCCTTGACCTAAGCGTGGGACGGCATCTGGGGCTGGCCTGGCTGGCCTGGCTGGCAGACACCTGGCTGGCTGGCCTGTCGGACACCTCATTCCCTTTCCCAATCTTCTTTTCCGTGCTCACGAATGAGAGCCGCAGCTTCAGGAGCAGCCACTTGGGATCTCACCCGGTATATTGGCCCGGTGCGACCTCAGACTTCTGTCGGTGAGCGACCAACTTTGCCAACTTTCACTCTCCCGGGGCTTTTCTTTGTCGTCCTCAATCCATCTCGGTCCAACCATCTGCTGTTGGTGGATCATCTATGTATGGCCTTGGGTCTCCCTCCAGGAGGCCGTCTGAGTTGGCGCAACTGGCGATGTTGGAGCTTCACCATTCCACTCGCGGCCCCCCGTCCGTGGGCCTCCTTCCCTCAACCCACCCAACGTGTCATCCCACTTCCAACGCCGCATCCACTGTGCCTTCCCCAGACGCTGGGGCAGGCATTCAGTCTATTTGGGGCCGTGCTCTGCTCTGCCCGCACCTGGGGAGAGAAAAGAAATCCGGGGAAGAGCTGCTGCGCCCACGAGCTTAATCGAGGACGCTGATCGCCAATCTCATCTCAGCCTGGAGCCTGGAGCCTGGAGCCTGACCCGAGCTGAGCTGAGCTGAGGGAGCTCGCCCGCCCACCGTTGCATTCTCCCTCCCTGTCACCCCGTCCTCCTTTTTCCGAACGTGGGGGTTTGAGCTCTGCCAACAGCGCCACCTCCTGGGGAGAACCGAGACATCGCAATCTCACCACACCATTCCTCCTGGAACCAGCTGGCATGACTATCACTTTCCCTCAGCCTGAGATCTCGAGAATACAAACAAAAGCACCTGACTCTGACCTTTGGGCTTTTTCGCCCCTCTATTAGTCATGATGGGTAGTCCATGACCACTGGTCTCGGCCAGCCAGACCCCAGCGGAGATGCCTTCACTCTGATGTCTGAGGTCGCCTATGGGTCGGTGACAGCGTTGCCAGCGGTCAGCCTAGGCTCGGCGTGGCAAGCCCAAGATTCCCGATAGGCCAACATGTGGTCCGATTGGCACCACGCCTCTCCAAGTTCCTCGTTATCTCATTCCTCTGGGTCGCTAAATGTGGCGGCGTTGTACAAGTCAAGAGTGAGAAACCAACTGTCAAGAAGTTGGCCTGCCGGGTGCCGCTCAGTGCTACCCAAAGAAGCACGGCAAGGGCTTCGTTCGGAAGGGCTCACCACCCTTCAACAACCAACCATGTTGTCGTGGCCTGCTATTTTTGGGCCACATCGCGCGGGCTGTCTGTTGTGGGAAATGAACGGACGGCTCCAGGAAAATGTCTTCATCTCGCCTGTCTATACGCAAGCTGCTAGACCGGTCAGACCTTCTTTCATGACTTGCCCAGGGCTGCATGTGCTCATCACGCAGAGGCAATGGTTGCGAACAGGGCAAGGCCGTTGTCACAGCGGACCTCCGGCAAGGCTGCGATCGACATGATGGACTGAGACCTGTGTCCAGTGGAAAGCGCCGCCGTCCTACTCTTACAGATTTTCACGACATCTGGCTCTTGTAGAACATTACATGCCCGAATTGAGGCTCTTCAGCTGACACAGCAAGACTAAGTCCTCGCGCAAGACCCCTTTTCGATCGGTTGTGTAAGTATTTGTCATGAAGAGCGGACAAATATCGCTTGTGAGCAATATTGCTTACCTGGAAATTGAAAAAGGGTATTGGTACAAGAACGGGAACTTCATCGGTACATGTGTACCCAGTTATCGTCAGGTAATCCCTCGAAGGTGGCGCAGACCATGGCTACAGAGGAAAGGCAGTGATCCTTGGTATTTTACTTTCACACCCAAGACGTAATCATTTTGTGGCATGGCCTGGAGGTGAACTGAGCTGAGAAGCCGACGTCATAACTGGGCGGCCGTTTCCCTACGTTGCAGCGGGCCGTCTTCAAATGAGACAGAGAAAGGAAAGCCTGCCACGTGAGCTGGCAGAAGACTCCTCTAGACTCTTTTCCTCAGGCTCTTGGAGACATAAGCAATTTTCGAAAATGAGTGGACCACTATGCGTGGAAGTTTTCAGGTCCAGAAACGGGCTGTGATGGATAGGTTCCTTCGCGAGTGATCCACCCAGGAGCTCGCGGTCTCGTCACTTCGATCGCTTTTGCGTCTGTTTTCAAAGGTGAGGAAGGCGAAGTGAAGAGATTGGAAGGCGGCCCAGTCTCCTATCGGCGATTCCACTATGCATTTAGAGACGCTGTATCGAGTACAAGCTTCTTGGTAAACGGCTTCCCCGTCTTGGTCCTGGGTCGTCCGGCACCTGGGCGCCAAGACTCTGGGGTAAGATCTTCGGGACGGGGCGCAGTGCAACGGCATTCTGCGAGTGAACGACAACCGTCGACAACACATCCGGTACGTCGATCAAGTGCTCGTTTACAACAAAATCGGGAGACTATTCGATGTCTCCTGTCGATCTCCGCCATGTTCCTGCATACGGTGGCACCCAAGACCAGGCGGCAGCCTTTGAAAGGCGGCTTTTGCAACCACACTCAACCTGGAGCAGCATATTCCTCCGTCGAGATTAAGGCGCCCGGGCGGCTCCGCGACTTTGTTGTGTCCTGGCGTTACTTGTTGCACAACACAGAGTAGAATTGTCTGCCGTGGCCGCATCTGGTCCTCCCGTACCCACCTTGCCACTTACAAGTACACCTTGTCCAGCAAAGAGACTTCTGACTTTGGTAACCCTGCTACGGTCCTCTTTCTGGAAGTGAATCAATCCTTCTATCTCCGAGACGCGGACGAGGCGCTGTCAGGTTGCCACGCGTTAGGCGTCCAGACTGCCGGAACTCAAGGCCATGCATGTGCTTCACGACTGACTTACAATCGAACGACGCAACGTCGCTTTCGCCGGCATTGCCGAAGGGCATCGCCGATGTTGTTTTTCCACTCAGAAATATTGTCTGGGGCGCCGTTATCTGCTCGTGGCGGCTGTTCGTCCCAGTCTAAAATGATAAGCTTCACGTATGCGCAACGTTAGGTGGCATCGGCCTCCCGATCTGGGCATGGAGTCCGGGCCCGTCCGGCCAGACCCCCAGCACTCCCCTGCAAGCCGGCCCAGGAGTCTGGATGTCGTTCTTGGTGGGGATGGCGATGCCACCTGCTGCGGAGAGAGACGATGAGGGACATGGGGGCAAAGTGTCTTATCGGCGCATTTCGACACAATGCTAGGGGTTTTGAGTTTCCTCGCTTGCTCTGAGTCGAGTCGCGGAAGTCAGATCTGTGTCTTCCTCCACCACGTTCCGGGTCACTTGGCTCCAGAGACTTCCTCACGCATCCCGCCTTTTTGAGCTGTCAATACTCCTCTAGTACTCGTACTCGGCGGCACTCTTGCTCGACCACACAGCTCGGGAAGTATTGACGAGCCCCAGACTGCTAGAGGCATTGCCTACAACTGCACTTTGGCCCAGTAGCCTTCCTCCTCTCCATCACAAAGTCGGCCCCACAAGGACAAGATGCAAGACGAGGAGAAATACCCAGTCGAGCCCAAAGTCGTTGTCGGAGCCAGCGATAACTCATCATCCAGTGCCGAAGATGAGGTGCCCCCGTACATGCGAAATGCGAGCAAGAGGGGCGTCCTGGCCAAGATGCGCGGGTGGGAAGAGGCCTTGGACCGCAAGATCGGCGTCGAGACTCACGGAATATCGCGACGGCGTCCTGAGGACAGGAACCCAGTATACGCATCGTGGAGTAACCAGTCGGTCATGTTCTTGGTCAGTGTTTCCCTCGGAAAACCCCTGCCGTTCTGAATAAGCCTGGGCCGGATATTGTTCTTTGAGAAGCTTGATTACTACCAGACCTCTACGAATCGCTACCTTCACAGCTGGCCTTTTATTTCCCCAGCCACTTGGACAGGAGTCATTCACTAACCAGATCACAGATGTGGATGTCTGCAACATTGAACCTGAGCTGCTTCGCAACTGGGTTTCTTGGCTGGGAATTAGGCTTAGACTTATCGAGAACTATCACCATCACGATTTTCAGCACTCTACTCGGCAGTGCAGTTACCGTAAGCAAAGCATATCCTCCGACGGGACTTGTCAGTAAAGAACAATTTGACTGATACCATTGTCACACAGGGGTGGTGCGCGACAATGGGACCGGGTACAGGCCTCCGCCAAGTGTCCATTAGCAGGTACTCGATAGGCTGGTGGCCGAGCAAGCTTATCGCGGCGCTCAACGTCGTCGAGCAGATCGGCTGGTCGTCGGTAGGCTGCATCACGGGCGGTCAGGCGCTGGCCGCCGTCTCGGACGGGCGGCTGGGCTCCGAGCTGGGCGTCATCATCGCGGCCGTCTGCGCCTTTGTTGTGTCCTTCGTGGGACTGAAGGCCGTCTTCACCTACGAGAAATTCGCTGGCCTGGTGCTCGCCGTGGTCTTTGTCATCATGTACGGCTTCGCGGGCCCGTCCGCGGACGTCGCCACGCCGACCGCCCTCGCCGGCCCGACGCTGTCCGGGACCGCCCTGACGCTGTTTGCTGTGCTGTACGGCTCCTCGGCGTCGTGGTGCTCGATTGTGAGCGACTACTACGTCGAGTACCCGGTCGACACCAGTAAGTGGAAGGTCTTCCTGTTGACCACGCTTGGCAACAGCATCCCCACCTGCTTGGGCATGATCCTCGGCTGCATCTGTGGCTCGGCTCTCAACAACAAGGCCGACTGGCTGGAGAGCTACGATTCGGGCATCGGCTACCTCATCCAGACAATGGTCCACCCGATCGGCTTCGCCAAGTTCCTCCTCGTCATCCTCGCCTTCTCCGGCATCGCCATGACAGCTATCGCAATGTACTCAGCCGGTCTATCAGTACAGCAGTTCGCCCGTCCTCTGGGCGTCGTGCCTCGGTTCATCTGGACATCGATCATGTTCGTCGCTATCATTCTGCTGGCGCTGGTGGGCCGGGACCAGCTCCTCACCTTCCTGCAGAACTTCCTCTCGCTCCTCGGCTACTGGAACACGAGCTTCTTCGTCATCCTGGCCACTGAGCACTACCTTTACCGCGGGGGCTACCACGGGTTCCAGGACTACGACCTCGAGGGTTGGAACAACCCCAAGCGCCTGCCCGTTGGCTGGGCTGGTGGCTTTGCCTTCGCTGCGGGAGTGACGGGTGCTGTCGTCGGCATGAGCGAGACCTTCTACGTAGGTGTGTTGGCGGCCAAGATCGGGGATTCCAGCGGCGATATTGGTAATGAGCTGTCCTTCCTATTCACACTTGCCGCATATGTGCCTGCGCGTTGGGCGGAGAGGAAGTTCACTGGGAGATAGATCATGTCTGTCTAGTCCAAGGAAATGACATGACCGGGTCCGCCGCGGGTTAAGGCTGCATCATAGAGGCATATTGCATGCAGCTCGCAAAATGGCTTGACGGACCCTGCCAGCTGCTCGCCTGTGTGTCAAAGAGCCAAGCAGTATGTGCAATTTACATTGTATCACGAACATGATGACACAGCAAAACTGAAAGGGCTGATCACACAGCTTTCCTTCTCGTCCTCCACAAAGTGTGACCACTTCCACTTCCAGACTAACACATATTTGTGTCATTAATAGAAGAAGAACTGGAAATGTAGTATCTGGCGAAGAGCATGAAGTTTGGTTTGATAGATTAAAGTTTCCTTGCTCGGGATTAGTTAAGAATGTATACTTCAAACGAATTTGTACATTGATGAGCTACAAATATTGTTTTGCTTGACTAGATAACCACGTATCTGGAATCTCAATACTGTGAATTAAATTGAATAATGCAAGCCTTTATGTGTCTGATTTGAGCGATTCAAGAATCTGTTATGTGATGCTCGCGTATGGCCTCAGCCTCGGAGACTGCGAAACATTCTTGAGTTTGGCCGGATATCGTAGCGCGTCTTCTCGTATACGTTGAGTAAGGCAATTGTGGTATCGACCTTGTAGGTGATGGTAAGTGCAAGCAGTATAAGCTAAGTGGGCGCAGAAGACATGTTTTGTTGGATACAAGTATTTGATATGAATTACAAGTGTTCACATTATGAGAGTTTCTTGATACTCATCTCGCTTGTAGGCGCGTTGCAGAGACTTACGTGGGAGGGAGCCAGTATTTTTCAATCAACACATAATTTGATGGCACTTGGCACTTAGACACAACAGCTTTGGAAGCCTTTGTTGATACAGCTTCAGCACATGCATCCAAATGTGCAGGAAATTGTTCGAAAGGAGGAAACACGGCCAAGATGTATTTCCCAATTCGGCGACTTCTGTACCTAGGTACTGTATAGGTAAAGCTCCGGGGCTATCTTTTTATAGGACGACTTGGCGTGCGGCCGATCAACCGATGAACCCCACTGTCGAGCGAGCGGAGCTCAGGGAGTCGTAGGTTCATGCCGAGGCATCTTTCAACGGATCTCAACGGGCCCGGCCATTTTGCTCGGTCGCCTTGATAGAAAAGGCACCTACCCCTTGTTACATCTTTCTGGAAGTACACTGCCTGCTCACTCACCTAGGTTTCTTGTTCCAGAGTCATATTAGACTCAGATTGAACAAAATGTCATCGGAACAGCCCATAATCCTGTACCACTATCCCTTCTCGCCATATGCGAGGCGGATAGTGTGGTACCTGCAGCTTCGCGGCATCCCGTACAAACAATGCGTGAGAAGACCCTCTTATCGGCTTACCTGAACGTGCACAGCTAACGCATGGTGAAGATGCAACCCCCAATCATGCCCCGGCCGGACATTTCCAAGCTGGGGATTAAATATCGCCGCATCCCGATCATGTCTATTGGACGGGATGTATACTTGGACACGCGGTTGATCCTGCAGAAACTCGAGTCCTATCCCACCAGCTCCCCAAGGCTCGGCGCCGCAGAGAACACAGAGCAGCGCGCCACCGAGCGCCTGCTAGAGAGGTTTAACGTCGACGGCGGCGTCTTCGCCTGGGCCGCAACACTGCTCCCGCGCGAGCTGCCCATCTTCAAGGACCCTAATTTCCTCAAAGACCGGGCTGATTTCATGAATGGCAGCAACGTGCTCGGTCAGAAGTCAGGGGCAGCGAAGTTTGAGGCGCTCAACGACATCCGACATGTTTTTGAGCTTCTTGAGACAACGTTGCTGGCCGACGGGAGGGACTGGGTTCTAAAGACTGAAGGGCCGAGCTTGGCCGATATTGAGGCCGTCTGGCCGCTTCATTGGCTGTCAGGGCTGCCGGGAGCCCTGCCTTCGGACCAAATCTCGAAGACGCAGTTTCCCAAGGTATTTGCGTGGATCGAGCGTTTCGACAAGACTGTCACTGCCGCGAAAAAGAAGCTGGGTAAGGTCCCCAACGTGTCTGGTGAGGACGCTGTACAGAGCATTGTACACTCGTCCTTTTTCGAGAGGACAGGCAAAGAGGTCGAGCAGAGCGAGCCGCTCGTGAAGGCCCTAGGACTGAACAAGGGCGACAATATTGTGGTATTCCCACTTGACTCCGGATCGTCACATAAAGACTCCGGGGTTCTCCAAAGCCTCGATGGCGAAGAAGTTGTTTTTGAGACGAAGACGGAGTTCGAAGGGTCCCCAATAATACGGGTCCATGCACCACGACACGGCTTCCGGGTTGTTCGCGAAGACCAGGCATCTCGCCTTTAAGATGGAGCATGGGATGCTGCGCTCGAATTGCAGATACAGTTGTGATTTCTGGGACTAGTCTAATAAGCAGACTTGGTTTGCGAAGGTTAGTAGGAACCGTTGGAGGCACAGTCCGTGCATCTAGAACTCCTTCGAGACGAGGCTTAGTGCGTGCGTCGGCAATAGCATAAACATGAAAAGGGTGATCTCGAGTACTGAATAGACAATCATCAAGCAATCGGCAGTCAACACGTGCTATCGTGTGCCATAAAAGTAAGATTTACTCATTTTCTGCTCCGAGCTGCCTGCAGGGTCTCGAGCTGGTAGCGGAGACAGCCCGTAGGGCGGACCGGCAATCCCGACTGAGACGAGACGGGACCTAAGAAGCTGAAGCCATGCAAAGCGGAAAGGCCATGCGGAGCCGCATGTGGCGATGACGTCTTGTGGTTGTTGGCTTGGCTTTAAAGATCCGATCAATATTCGCCTATCAAGGTACGTACGTTGTCTTCCAAGAACGCGCCAGTCGTACCCAGAAAGGCTGCTTGATTCGAGGTACTCTGTCTGCGACACCGAGCGCTTTGTCTTCTTTGCAGACCCAGAATCCATGGACTGAGACTAACAGGACAGAGAATAGATGTGAGGTGGCGACACTGGTAACGGGCCAAGTCAAGATCTCAACCTTGCGCCGCCAAGAAAGTGTCCTCGAAAGTTTGTTCGGAACACTCCAGCTAGCACGTAGCTGAAAGGCGCGCGAGATGTTTGAGATCTCACGTTAGAGCACTTCTCAAATTTCGTTATACCAGCCGTCTCCTTGTGCCGGGTCTTGCAGGCAGAAATAGAGTTTGGCGCACACCAGCTGGCAGCTCACATAACCCCGCCCGAACTCGAGAGAGCCAGGCCGCGTGGTGTTGCGACCTGCGAGGCGCGCAATGGCCCTTCGAGGAAACAGGCAGGCAGGGCAGAGGTGCTGAGCCAGCGAATCTCCCCGGAGCTTTCCCACCACTAGATCCTAGGCGGCGCGTCGTCTGTGGTGTGGGCGTGCTGCAAGCTCCGGCATCCTGTCCGTCGTGCTCTAACCTTATTGGGCCGGCGTGCATGCAACAGAGGTGAATTCCACGCAAAGGGATGTCTGTCTTGCGTCATAGGTCGGGATGATGTGAATATAATCGCCTGTCAATGTACAGTGTCCTGCGACAGTGCGACAGCCATTGGGGTAGCGAAGGCGCGAAGTGCAACAATTGTTATCCAGCAAGACATTGAGGAGAGCCAGCCCTAGAAAACAGTTTGAACACAAGCCTCGTTAGAACATACGTCGCCAGGACTGGATTGTCACCAACTTCTATCTTGTAGCAAAGTCTTAAGGAGAAATGCCCTACCTCGGCGCACGCCGTTCTGGCTGTGGAGGACAATCTGAATGACAACCATCGTGATCCCTGGTGCCGGAGATGCATGCAGTCTTTCCGCTCTGCGCAATTTCAGAGTGCGCAAGAGGCAGGGCTCCGGATTGGCGGAGGCCAAGGTGGGGGTTGCGTACTTTGTCCATGGGTGCCACTGTGTGCCGAGTCTGGGTGCTGTGATGATCTTGGAAGATTCCCACTTCACAGACGCGCCTGGAATACCGTGACGATAAAACAGGGCCTGGCTGCGACCGGACATTTTGGATCCTGGCTGGCGCTCGACAAGCTGGAGCATCTCGTCCGTGTTTCCCATCGGCGACTCGGCCGGTCAGCCGGTCAAGCCTATGCCAAGCTTAATTTGCATGAAGGCCTGAAGAGATCAAGGTATGGATCAGGACATCCGTCCTCGTCCCCGTCCTCCCGGATACATGTCCCCGTCCAAGGCGGTTTGGCCCCCTTTCGCGGTTCTGGTTGGTATGTTGATATTGAAGGAGGATCTGTAGAATGGCAGGCTCGTGTCGTCACAACAAGATCGTAATCATCTGATGATTCTACTTCCTTGTCCGTGGAAGTTTTGGTGTTCACCTTGACAGTGACTGAGGAACTAAGTGCGGGATCGGACTTCGCACGGAGTCGGTACAATCGATGAAAAGGGGGTTACACTTGCGACAAGATTGTACCGTGACCTGATGGGGTGAGTGGCAGAGGACTGCAGCGACAAGCTCGACTCGCAGCACGACAGGGCGACAGAGCAAACCGCTGAGGTGGCCATCCAATATGTGAGCAGGCCGAGATGGCACAGACTTGGATCTATTCTATCTCGCTGGACCGCGGCCAGGTCAAAAGACAACGGTCGATGGTGATAATGGCTGGGAGGAGACATGTTGGGACAGGGATGGCCACACTTCGCCGGGCCTGATTGAAAGACTGGGCGTACCGGTAATGATGCGAGACTGGAGGTCCCCGCCACAGGGATTACATTGCTCCAGTACCATTGCTTTGTAATGTGGAAACGATAACTTTGCCTCCCGTTTTCTCGAAGGTCTGGAGCAACGGCACCTTGTACTGTACATGGCTGGTTGCGGGTGGCCATTGGCGAGAAAAAGTACATTCCCTGCCCCGTGTTGCACTTCTCTGCTAGGCCCTGTTAGTACGGCTAGTGCCTGGCCCCATTTCAATCTCTCCCAGAGCCCAGTGGCAGGAAAAGGCAGGAGCGGAGAGGGAGAGGCAGAGGGAGAGAATCGAGGGCAAGGACGGCAGAAAGCAGAGGAGGAGGCTAGGAGAAGGTGGGCACCGGGCCCCCGTTCCTTGCCATTTATTACTGAGCCCACTGCCCACACCACGTCATCGCCCCAAATCCGTGACGTCTTGTTTTTTTCTCTTCCCTCAACTCTTTTTTCCTACGCACCCAGGCATATCGATCATACGCCCACCCACCGCCCACGATCATCACATCCCGCCCTTGCACTTGGCTGCACTCTACCACACTTGCCCTGCACGCTGCACGGCCACTGCCATCCATATTTAGGAGTGGTATATCGTCAGTGCCACGTCGTTTTTACCACACCTGGTTGACGACCTTCACCTGCCCTCCACAGGGGTTGTTGTGAGACAGGCTGCACGAGAATAGTGTACAGAGAGAAGAGAAAGCGCGACAGAGACAGACAGAAAGATAACAGACCGTTGCATCGTGTGAAATCCCAATCCAGCGAGCTGGGTCGTTCGTCATATCTCCCCGTTTATCTCTTTGTCTGTCAAGAAGCATTCAGTCAATCAGCCAGCCCCAGCCTGCCTGAACATACCCGTTCTGTTTCCACCACTTCTAGGCTTGTGTCACTTAACTCCTCCCGAGGAGTGACCTCATGAGACCATTTTAACTTTCTCCCATCTAACCCACCTACCTCCTCATTGCGGCGCTCTTTCTTTGCCCATTTCGTCATCGCCCTCACTCGGCCTCCTTCTCGTGCCAGATCAAATCAATTCCTCGACCACAATGGCTGGCGATAGCGACTCCAAGTCGCCCAAAACATCCAATGCTACCACAAACCGCCCAGGTTAGTCATATGCACCCCAATCCATCGAGTCTGTCCCGTCCACCGCATCGTCATCGTTCATCCATCCACCATCATCACCACTTGTCATTATCGGCCTTTTTGCCACAAACCCTTCCATCACCCACCCGCACCACGCACTTCACCCCGTCAGCTGCATGCATCCAATTGAACACCATGCCGACATTCATTTTTTCCACATCTAGATGCCGCGGCCGACTCCAAACCCTCAGAGATTGTAGCGAAGACCGAGACGTCCAACGGCGAACCAGCTAAACCACTCGCGCCACCTCCGCGTCCCAGCCAAGCGGCCAAGGGGAACACGCCCGACTACTTTGGCCTCTCAGGACCCGGAGGCTCGTTGAATCAAGAGCCGAACCCCTTCGAAAGGTCATTTGGCGGAGATCCTACACTTGGTGCCAGTGGCGGTCCTCCCGAGACCCCGGGAGGCACGAAGCTACCTCCTGTTGCCTCAATCACCTCACCCTCGTCGTTGCTTCCCGGCACTGGCTCAACGCCCTTTAATTGGGGTGGTGGGTCGTTGCGCACCGGACCACTGAGCCCAGCCATGCTGTCCGGCCCTCAGACCGATTACTTCGGCGACCAATTCCGAGGTGGCTTTCCCACGCCTAACGAGTCATCACTCCGGACTGGTCTGACACCCGGCGGGAGTGGTTCCATGTTCCCCGTGGTTGGGAGCCCAAACACTGCTGCCATCTTCAACCTCGCCGGTGGCGGTGCGACACCAAGCACTGTCGATTTCCACCGCACTGCTATGAGAGCGGCTGCTGCCGAGCGAGAACAGCAGGCCCAGCAACCACTGCCCGCTACGTCACAGCCACAGGAACTCAGCAACGGCGCTTCGGCTGTCAAGTCCGAAGCAAAGCCCACTGGACCTTTTGACAACCACGACAACGACGCGGCTAACGGTCTGTTTATGCTGGCACAGGGCAGGAACGGTGCTCAGCAACAGAGCCAGTACCCCTTGCCGCCACAGCCAGCAGATCATGGCCATCCGGCACCTGCTGTTCAACATCCCAATCCAAACATGAACGGTAATTCCACCCACAATGGACGGACATCTCGAGGTGCTAGTGAGGCCGGAAGTGCACAGTCAGACGACAGCGAGCACGCCCGACCGAACACTAGGGGTAAAGGCAAACGCAACTCGGGCTCCGGAGCTACCACAACCAACGGCAGGCGTAAGGCTGAGGAACCTCCGGCCAGAGCACCCGCAAGTAAGAAGGCCAAGACTAATGCTACCGAAGCCCCACCATCTGTTGGCTCTGATGAGCAAATGGATGATGATTCCGACCACGAAGATGGCGGTGGAGACAACAAACCAAAACATAAGATGACCGAGGAAGAGAAGAGGAAGAATTTCCTTGAGCGCAACCGGTGAGTGCAAATGCATCTTGTCTCGCAGATCTACTTTACCCTTGACACTAACGACCTGTAGTGTTGCTGCTTTGAAATGCCGTCAGCGCAAGAAGCAGTGGCTGGCAAATCTTCAAAACAAGGTTGATCTCTACCAAACTGAGAATGATCAGTTGACGCAGCAGATCGCTGCGCTGAGGGAAGAGGTTGTTAACCTGAAGACGCTTTTGCTGGCGCACAAGGACTGCCCTGTGACGCAACAACAGGGACTACAGGGTGCGTACATGGCTGGTATGGAGCCGTATAACGCACAAATGAATCCGTATGGGATGGCCGCGCCGATGCCAAACCACCAGATGATGCCTGCCCAAGCAGGCCAACGTCGCTTCTCATAGTGGAGATTCTCTTACGCGGCGAGCAAAGCAAAACCTCCTGGCTATGAGGAAAGAGGGTTCACGGTTTGGTTGTAAAATATTTATTCTGTCACGGTGTGACATTCCCTGGCTTAGCGGGCATTGGCTGTAAAAGTATACGGAGCAGTCCATCACAAGGGGACGGGGAAAACAAGGTGTCTCTGCTTTACGGTCCAAGGGCATACATATGGAAAAGGAGGCGTTCTTGGTGCGGTTCGCAGTATCTTCAGGTGGCGTTGGGATGGGGACCTCGGTCGGCCTGGTTCCTCCAGGTGTGGGTTCATGATATTGCACGCAGTATCGGCTTCGCTTACTGGCGCATTTTTTCGCGAGAATTCTGTGCCTGGCTTCGACTATTTGATAGCAGCATATGGCAAGTCAAGGTTCACAGGACTCGATATTTGAGTTCTGCAAAGAAACAGTAATAGCTGTCTGATTGTAGCATACATAATCGACTTGACTTTCTCGTTACGTTGTTGTCAAAAAATGCGAAATTTCGTAGTCTGTATACCGCTTGCCCTTGAGTATGAAATTGCGGGAATAGATGCAGTTGAATGCTGTGAACGAGTGAAGAAAACAATGACCATAAGAATTCTGGGGAGGGAGAAGGAAGCAAGGAAAGGGGGGGGGGGGCCAGCCGTTGATGGGAGCCCCACTCTCAGGCCAGTGCTGTGCTGTTAGGCGGGTCTCTAAGTCCCCCGTTTTGGCCTAGCGCTGGTTGTTTTCGTTGCACGGCAGTAAACAGTCAGCCTAGAGGCGAAGAGAGACCAGACACATCTGGATGGGGGCAGCCCGTTTCCGCGGCATATGATGGAACCCCAACACCACTGACCTTGGAAAAGCCCAAAAACTTACGTCGCGAGCGCTCAGCATCAATTATAAGCGCGCAGAAATCCCGGCATCTGATGTGCAATACTGAACCACACGACATTCCGAGAATCAATTCGCCCATTCGACGCGTCTTCCACCGCAGCGGAAGCAGTCGCGAGGGGCAAGACCGCCTCTGGCCTTGGACCCGCGTGCCCGCAACGGTTGACCTGCAATCATAACACGCGACGCCGACGACAACAACACTCCCGCAATCCCCACGCAAACTCCTATTGAATGCGCTCCCCACTGAGACTTCATCCATGACGACCGTCGTGCGGACCCGGCACCCTCTGGAAGCATTGAGCATGAGCAATCAGTCTGAGCGGAGGCCGAAAAGCAAGCGCCTTGCGGGTATGTAAAGCTCCAACTGAGGGCCTACATAAGTAACGGGTGATGGATGCTGACATAGTGAATCGCCTTTGCAGCGGCCGCGGTGTACGACGAACAAGACGGCGACTTTCTCTTCACGCGCGGATCAAAGCGGCAAAAGACCGTGTCATCACCAGCGTCGCCGCCATCGCCGGAACCGAAACCAGTAGCAAAAGCTGCAGCGAAGAAAACTCAAGGAAGGCCACGTAATGGAACGAAACGCGTTGCATCATCACCACCACCACCTAGCAATGATCACGAGTTACCACTGAGGGCGTCGAAACGGCCGACACGGAGGAAACTCGATTCTTCACCACTCGTTCCAGATAAGCCATTGGTAGTACCCAAGAAGCGCCTTCCGAGAAGGACAAAGTCACCACCTGTGGATGACATCGCCGAGGAGGAGCCGGAGCCAGCACCAGCGCCTGCATCTGCGAAGCGAACAAACGGGGCCAGGCAAGCGTCCAAAGACGATGGCGCAAGGAAGAGCACGCGCAAGAGCACGCGCAATAGCACGCGCAAGCAAGAGGCGGCACCGGAGGAGAATGATTCACAAGCGACCCCCGAGCACGTCGACAAGTCCCTCGAAAGAGACCCGAATGCGCAAAAGATAGCACTGCCATTCAGTGATACTCCTATCAACGCCCGAAATAAAGACTTTCGTAAGAAGGGAGCGGCAGGCGCTGGTGGCGGGCGTCGGAGCAGCGTAGGCCTGCGAGGGAAACGGGCGAGCTCTTTGATCGAGAGCGGCCACAGCGCGATCCCGCATCGGGAGGTGGCCGCGTCGGAATTCTTCAAACATATCGAGTCAGAGGGGCTGAGCGAACCAAGGAGGATGAAGCAACTGCTGACGTGGTGCGGGGAGAGGGCCTTGAGTGAAAAGCCGAAGCACGGGACAGCAGGAGCGCCTGCGGTGCTGGGAGCGCGCGCGATCCAGGACGCGCTGCTGAAGGACTTTGGATCCAAGTCGGAGTTCTCAGACTGGTTCTCCAGGGAAGACGAACCCTCTGCTGCTGCCGCGCCAAAAAGACCTGTGGTCATCAAACCGAACCCGATCAATGTTGAGCATGAGGAAAAGATTGCTGCCTTGGAAGCGCGCATAAAACGGTAGGTGCTCCCGATCTGATTGACGACTCCGACAATGCTGACAGGAAACACAGATTAAAGGAGACTCGCAAGTCATGGCGTGCCTTGCAGGCACCTCTACCGCAAGTTTCGTCACTCGACCCAGAAGACTGGGATCCCGAAAAAGCGTCGTCACCCGACACAAGCCTTCTCGACGCAGAAGAGGCCAAAATGCTCGAATCACTGACGGAAACGTCCTCATCATTTGCACACCTGAAATCAACTACAAGAACGCGCCTCCAGACTGTCCAGGCAGGGGTGGAATTTAGGGTCGACCATCTTGCGGACAGCGTGCATAAGATGAATTTCAGAGTAGTTACTGCGGGGCGACAGGCAGATAAGGTCCTCGCGTCGAGCTCGGAGAGGCTAAAGGAGCGGGAAGAGAAGGAGCGGGCAGCGGTGGGCACGAAAGCACTGCCAACTATGGAAGTGCTGAGGAGTTTGAGCAGGATACTGCCCGAGAATGGAGGATAGGCTCGACCACTCGCAATAAGAGCCTGAGCCTCACAGCCTGGGCAAGATGGCCGGATGGAAAGAAAGGGCCTATATGGCTGTCAAGGACTTGTCAGCATGGGCTTACCCGAAAGCAGGTGGTCTTCATGTGACTTTCAGCGATTGTCTTCTCTGGGGAACGATTCCACATGATGTGACGACAGATTATGAAGGCAGAGTCAAGGAGTGGTGGAATCTTTGTTGGACACGCAGGGCGGATTCGAATTGAAGCGCCGCTCGAAGCCAGAGAGCCTGGGTGGTGGCGGGAGCAGGACTTTTCTACTGTACATACTGCCCCCCTAAATACCCGTATTGCAAATGATCGTGCTGCCACAGTAGGTCAGCCCTACCGAGCATCTATGAACCCGGCTTGCAACAAGGACTAGCGATTCATGCACGCCTGATTACCTGGCGTGCCTCGTCAACAACTTAGGCCACAGGCATTCTGTGAAACCAAACGTGAACGACCTCTAGACCGACCCTTCACTTCCTCTCCCCCAACGGCGGCATGAACGCCATGCCCTCGGCCTTATCCCTGTCATTGTTGCCCAGCACGCCCGCCGCGCTCCTCTCCTTGACGTGCCGCCGCAGCAGGTCCAGGACCTCGCTGCCGCGCCACCGCGCCGGCACGGGCCTAAACGCGGGCTTGAACGTGCCGATCGTCTGCGCCCACTCGCCCTTGGCCGGGCTGGCGGGCTCCATCTTCTCCTTGTTCGTGCCGTCCCGCTGGACGCCGCCGTCGTTCGCGCCCTGGTCGCTGAGGTACGGCTCCGAGTTCTGCAGGCCGGCGGCCGGGGTGTTGGCGGCGGCGGTTTGGTCCTCCGTCTGCGTCGCCCAGTAGTAGATGTCCCAGTCGTTCTCGTCCAGGAACCGGTCGTACTGCTCCATCTGCGCGGGCGTCATGCGCGGCAGGTAGGTGGCCGCGAAGGTGCTGAGGAGGAGGTCGGACTCGAGGGTGCCGCGCTTGCGGGACTGGTCTTTGATTATGCGCACGTGTGTGTCAGCAGTAGGTACAGATAATGAATACACGGGGAGGAGGCCTTCTCCTCGCCCTCCTTGTGAGAGTCCTGGGGGCCGGCGACGGGACATACAGGTTAACCTGGCGCGCGTGGTCTCTGGGTCCTCGCCTGTGCGCCGCAGGGGCTCGATCCTGAACTTGGCGCCCTCGAGCTCGCCCACGCCCATCTCGTGGCTTGCCACGGGATCAAATGGGCCGCTGTTGTGCTGCCATCGTGCCGGCACGGCGGTGGCGACGACGGGGCGGGCGCGCAGGATGTGCCGGGCGGCCGGTCGTAGGGCTCGTTGGATGGACATTTTGTTCGTATTGTGTTGTTTCCAAGGTACTTGGTGTCTTGAAGGATGTACACGAGCACGATACTCGACGACCCTAAAGATAGTAGCCGATGTCCAGAAGTGGTTGTCAGTGTATGCGAAAGAAAATGCCAGGGTCCGGTGCCGTCATAGATTATTCACCCAAGAACCGAGGCGCCGTGATCCCGCCCGGCGCGGTTCCATCTCGGCATCGGGACCCAGGCACATGCAGGGATCCCTCCGCTATGGGTGCTCACAATTCCTCGGAACAGCTCGCACGGACCGGTCTTGTGAGAGAGAACTTGCACTTGCTATTCTATGCTGGCCGCTATGCTCCACGGGAGCGAATATAGCAGACAGCCAAAAACCTAAGTCTACCGTCTGTCAAAGCATTCTCCCGGCAATGAGGTGAGTGCCTTCCACTGGCCAAATCATCGGCGACATGAAGACAGCCGGCTAACATTACCCGGCGTTCCATAAAGGTCTTCGAACAGAACACATTCGAGTTCAGGTTGCCAGACCATGATCCATTCATCTCGTAGCTATCCACCCTTGCGCGTATTTGCCGACTCAAGTGTACATGTATCTGAATAATTCCCATATGACCATGACCGACTGCTTTTTGCCCCAACCATATAGTTCATGAACTCCGGGAATCATAATCCATCCTGTTCGACTGCTCCTACTCTTAAATGAGATGCTTGGATCTGCGCATAAAACGATCAGAATCAGTGTTTTGCCAAAAGGAGGGTGCAGGGCGGCTGGGGGGAACACGAACCTGAAGTAAGCCCGCAGGTACAGGATCTGCCAGACCCAGAGCACGATCAGGATGAAGGTGGTGCAGAAGCCGAACCACTTGACGCGGTTGTTGGTGCTCTCGTTGGTGTCGCGCAGCTTCTGCTCGCGCGACCGCAGGTAGTCCATCTCGCTCACGACCTCGGAGACCATCTCCTCCATACGGCGCAGGTCAGCCTCGACCGGCTTGAGCTTCTCGGTGGCCTGGATCGCGGACCAGTCCTTGGCGTCGGCACCGATGTCGACGTCGAGCTCGACGTGGCGGGTCGCGTCGCCAATGTTCCTGGCTATTGCAGGGCTTGTGTGTCAGCGGCATGATTCCTGTGATTGCTGTGGTCATGTGCAGTGGGGGACAGCAAGTAGCGTACATCCTGTCAACAGGTTCTCGAAGCAGACATCGAACGCGGCGTCCGCGTGGGACGTAAACACTGTCCGTTGCTCGCCAGCGACGTCTTGTGGCCGGCCATACTCGTTCCCTACCGCATCACGGATCTATGCGTCGGCGACAGCAGTTGTCAGCATCGGGATAAGGCATGGTTCTCAATTCTCGGCAGAAGAGGAACCCAGAGAGTGGATAGGGCAACTCACGTGCATGTTCACCCGCATGCCATCCCCTTTGGTCCCACTGACGATCGCCGTCACAACCACCAATGTGTCTTTGGCGACAAAGTTCCGTATGCATCGTTCTTTTTTGCTGTCGTGTGACTGTGATGTTGCTTGCAAGTCGAACTTCAAGGCATTGGCGCAGGCAATGAAGAGGACGAGACTGCAGATGTAGTGCAGCAGCGATCGTGGGAGCGCCATTGTCGTGGTGGTGGACGCTGTTGTGTTGTCGGGAGGGAGCTTCTTGGGGACAGTTACAGCCTGGCTTTCTCGACAGCGTCTCTACAGTACTGTAAAGGTGTCGCGTTCACTTGCGGTCTAGCTCAATGCCAGGGGTAGCTCCTGCTCTCTCGGCCTATCAGCGCGGCAAGTCGAGCATTAATGTGGGGCCACTTGCCCCTCGAGCCTTGCCTGACTTCAGCCTTGCCGTTCTGTGCTCCAGTTCTTTGTCGCCGCTCCTTCGCCCGACTGTCCAAGCTTCGCGACACCAATAGGACTCGGGAGAAGTTCAACCCAGAAACCACACCAGTGGAATTCCGAACAGAGCATTCAAGATGCCGAAGTGTGAGCAAACCTCCAATCGCGTTCTGACCAGCAACAGACAGTACACTAACGCGCAAACCTCCTCTCACAGTCTTCTGCGACTACTGCGATGTCTACCTCACCCACGACTCCATGAGCGTGCGCAAAGCACACAACAGCGGTCGCAACCACCTGCGCAATGTCATAGACTACTACCAACGTACGAGTCACCCTCTACCTTCCCCAGTCTCCTTTCACTGTCGCCCCGTCGCGCTGACACTTCCGCCCTGCAGAGATCGGCCACGAGAAAGCCCAATCAGTCATTGACTCCATCACCTCCTCCTACGCCGCCGAGGGCCAGGCCCACAACAACCCGATGCTGCCCCAGAACCAGCCCGGCGGCGGCGGCTTCCCCCCGGCAGGCATGCCCTTCCCGCCGCCCTTCCCCGGAGGCATCCCTCCTCCAGGCTTCCCGGCCCTGCCAGGCGTCAACGGTGCCCCCGGCGCGGCGCCACCACCAGGCGGCTTCCCCTTCCCGCCACCCGTGCGCCCGGGCTCCAACTCGGCCTTCCCGCCCTTCCCGCCCCCAGGTGCAGCCGGCGCGCCCAACCTGCCGCCGATGCCTATCCCGCCGCCAGGCAGCGCTGGTCCGGGCGGCCTGCCGTTCCCTCCGCCTCCTGGTGGCCTGCCGTTCCCTCCCCCCGGTGCTGGAGGAGCCGGCGCGCCGCCGAATTTCCCGTTCCCGCCTCCTGGTGGCTTCCCTGCTGGTATGCCGCCTTTCAACCCTGCTGGCGGACCTCCTCCTCACCTGGGACCTCCGGGGGGCGAGGGAAGGTGATGGGGCAATCATTCAGGGATCGGTCGTCATTGGAGCAGCAGCGATATCGTCATTCGGTACTTGGAACTGGGCTGTTGTTCGTTGAAAAGGTCTTTTCGTGCGCTGTTGTTGGCGGTTTGAGATCTGTGCTGAAAATGCACGGTACGGCAGAATGGCGTTTGGCGTTGGGGAGCATGGTCGAGACGAACACCAAAAAAGGGACATGAGATTGCTGGCATATTCAAGACGGAGAGACGTGGAGGTGTCTGGTAGAATGACCATCACGGCGCCTACGACACAAGGGATCCTCGGCTGACAAACCAGAATTCAAGCTGTTCTCGACAAGCAACGCAAGGTCAAAGGTGGCAGAGTTGGGATGGTCTAGTCCACCATTCTACATGCTTCTCGCTTGCCAGTTAGTCAAATCTCGAACCTAGTGGTTCGAATAGAAGGTGGGGATTGTGAACTGGTACGTCATGTTGGCAGATAGCTCCCATGCCCCAGAGGACACGATGGGACCAGCATAAGGAACTCGGGGCTCATCACACGTAATGCAGACCGAAGAGGCTTCAAATGATTCTTCGTCGAAAGGCCGTAAGGTATCATTCATAAACTGCCAGTCAGGTACAGGAAAGGCTATCTATAGTATACAGCAGGTTCAGATTCGTGTCGTTCCGTCATCCAGGTCGTACTTCCATTAGCTTGACATGCTTTAAAGAAACCAAGCCGCTCTGCTTTCACCCGTAGCTTTTCAATGAAGCGAAGTATGCAAAACAGGGGAAAAAAAGGCAACAAAATTTCTTTTTTGTATCCTGCTCTCTTTCTTTGCAAGACATCGAGAAAGAGAGCCTCGTGTGGAAAAGCGGTCGCTCGCTCGCCCGCCCTTGCCGCGTGCGTGTCGTTATGATGATCATGTTCGTAAAACCTGACGCCAAAGCCCAAGAGTCATCATCCCGCTCCTCCACCAACCTTTGTACATCCTGTTGTTATGTTGCTCGTCAAATTTGAGTGTGAATGCCGACACGTCGTGACATGGAGCGTATGGGTGCAGGCCGTCGATATGAAAGAAACCCCCGGTCCAGAAAATGAAAAGTCATCCGTCATAAAAATATAAATTCGTAAAAAGCGTCGTTCCTGCAGATCCCAAACACGCCTTGCTTCTCAAACCATGCTCCAACAAGCTTCAATATGAAAGTCCAGCTCGTCAATCTGGAGATGTGCTGCAAAAAGGCATATCTGCGCGCGGCAGCTATACTTCGGTTCCAGTGCTACCGTCAGAAGTCGTTTTTGGCCAGACCACTGACCACCCTCCACGCATTGGGTATACTTGCTATGCTGATTCAACGCCCATCAACCTTTTGGGACATCCTGCGCGGCTGTGTAAACGCATGTCGATAACCGTCCCTCCGAATAACATCGACCACGCCATCACGGACCTCACGAGGACCGCTGATTTTCTTCCGCAGCTCGTTGCTTCGTTTTTCGCGCCTCTTATCGCTTAGTCGCCTTGTCAAGGCTCCCAAGTTTTGAGACATGGACCATCTTCTAGTCTCAGAAGTCCGGGGAGGGGTTGCACGATCTGCACTTCCGTTTCCAGAAGCGCCGTTGTGGTGGCCCCTTATGCTGCTCAAGCTGTTTGTCCGGGACCAGAACGGCCGACGATGCCCGTCCCCGTCAGGGGCTGTGGAGGGGCGTTCCGTTTTGCTATCCTTTTTTTGGGGGAAGGAGCCCGCGCTTTCGCGATGTTTGACGACGCGCAAATTCCCACTGGGAGTCCGTCTGATTGTCCTTCTGTCTGGACCGGCAGCGAAGTCATCGTCATCATCGAGCGGCATGATGGCAAACGTCCGTTTCATGCGCTCACTGAGGCTCCTTTTTGGTGGAGGGGGCCGGTTGTCAATAGCTGGGTACCGCAAATACTCTTCTTCGTCCCCATCTTCCATGTCATACACCCCATCATCAGCGTAGTGACTCGCATAGTATGATGGCCGCCAGTCAGGGTGGAGTCGAGTTTCATCCATGGGCTGCTCATGTGGGAACGAATCGCTGTGTGACCGGTCCACAACATGGTTTTCTGCGGTGTCTTTGCGTGCGTTTCTGCTCAGTGACAAAGTCCTCGCCAATAAGCCAGGACGAGTGTCACGGCTTGGAGCGGGCCCGTAGGATGCATACGAATGTCGCCTTTTGCTCAGCGCCCGTCGTACCAGTGAAGGTGCTCGTATCGGCTTTTCATCCAACTCATCGTAGAAATTTCCTAGCATTTTGGTCTTCTCTTCTGCAGGTGTCAACCCTGAGGGAGTTGCTGGGATGAATTTGATGGCAGGAGGCTCCGGCGGTTCTCGAGGATTCCGCAAGGGAGAGTCAATGCTGTCCAAAGTGAACGTCGGCTGGGCCAGAGGTGTCGCAGGCTCATCCACAGAGACTCCATCGACCTCCTTGGTTGTAATTGTAGGCCGACCCGCCCTTTCAGTGAGTTGACTCCCGTTGTCGCCATCAGAGCCTTCAGACGGCCTGTGATCAACCATCACAATAGACCTGTTCTGATGAGGGAACATGCTGATTGCTCTGGCTTCCCCAATATCCGCTGCTGACGTCCCGTTTGTTTCTACAGAAGCCTGTGAGAACGGCGTAGCCTTGGCCGAGAGTAGTAGATCCCCGATTCTCGACTCCGACTGTCGCGGTTGATGATTTTCAACTCTGTCCTGGTCGCTATTTGACTGGAGGTGTTCTAGGGAAGGAACAGCTTGCACAGTGACTACAGGTGGATGTCTCTGTTCGTGGTCACTCAGCGGCTCCACTATGACTCGACTTGTGGGTGCGGCTGCTGGCATTTGAGGTACTCCATTGGCTTGCAGGGCATTGTGAGCTCTGAGGCTCGCTGCAGTTAGTGAACCAGCTCGGGACCCATTTCGTGATGCGTCTCTTGACTGGCTACGGCTGCCAGGTTGACTGGTTGGTGCCGACAAGGAGGAGTCCCTTCGCGGTACAATGGGAGGAAAGTCCATAGTGCGCTGATCTCCAGGTGTCGAGCCATCCGACTCTGATATCGACTGACCACGTCTAGGCGGACGGTCAAAGTAGGGGGTCAAATCTTGGCCATTAGGCAGCTTGTCAAGAGGTATGGAGCCTAAACTCTGACTCTTTGATCTTCTGCTGCTGGCTGACCGTAAAGAGCGCTCGCGACTGCTCGATCTATTCGATGAATGCCGGTCAGGTACGACGACTACTGGAATGCCTCCATTCTTCCAGACATCACGACGAGCCTTTCGACTGCCCACAGAGTTGACTGTAGTGTTGGAGGCATAACTCTCTCGTAATGCATCCTTCGCCTGGTCTGCAGATTGCCTTCTGGATCTGATGCTATTGAGGGTTGATGCTGAGCCTACAGACGACGGTTGCCAGATTGAATCGCGCAAGGCATCGACTCTCTTGACGTGGCGCAAGGTCCTCTGCCGTCGCGGGGGAGTTCCGACCAGGATGGCTTCTACTACTGTCGAAGCCGCCGATTTGGAGGACATTCCTGAAAGTCTCCTGATATCCGCACTCGTGGCTGCATCCGTATTCGTTTTTTCTGGGGCTGTGAAGCTTCTCATGGGGTCGGGAGAGTCGTAGGTAAGGATTCTGCCCTGAAGCGGGAAGGCGCGCACAGCTTTTGTGGCATTTGTAGGTGAGACAGTGAAATCGTCCAAGACCTCGGGGTTTTGTACATTGACATGCGCGCTAGGCCGCCTCTTTCGCACGGTCACATTCCTCATTAAGTTGTCGTCCCATTCCTGTTCGACATCGTTGGGTGAGCTCCCGAACTCACCGTCGAAGCTGGTGAATTCGCCTGTAGCCTTCGGTGTGAGGTTGTGGTCGTCCACCAAGCTGGAGCCCAAACCTAGTCCCACGCCTGAACGGTTTTGCGAGTTCTGTTTTTCATAGCCGTTGCCATTGGTGTTGCCTTTGACAAGTCGGACAGTGACCTCGGACGTCCTTGCAGATTGCGCGGCTGGACGTAGCGTCGACCGCCCGTCTTCTTCATCTGAGGGCTCGGGACTCTCCCTCGCAGTCTTGAAGGATTCGGTGCGTGACTCAGCGTTGGTGCCTCTGGATGGGAATCGATCGGTGAGAGTCGGTCGCAGAATCAAAGGCCTTGGCCGGGTTGCACTTTGTGGAGGTGTGACGTCCGGAGTGGGAGGGCTTCGTTGATTCGGTGGGGTGCTTGGGCTGGCTTTGGAGGGCACATCCTCTGAGCTTTGGGCTGGCGTTTGAAGGGGGCTCAAACTTGAGAGAGGGATGGAGTGGCTGCTAGAAGATGTTCTGGAATGCGCAGGTGGAGTCGGCGGCAGGTCCCCACCACTTATCCTCCGACGTTGATGTCGCAGTGTATGGCTGCTAACCATGAGTGAGCGGGGCTCGATATTGCAGAAGAGCGTATAATTGCAGTATTCTTCTTACCTCTGGGATGTTCTCGTCGAGTCCGACCCGCCAGAGAAGCTCCCATTTGCGCTCCTGGGATGCGGTAGTATCTTGTGCCTCTTGAATACCCTCTGGCCTCTCTGGCTCTCAGGGCTCGCATCAAGATCATGCTCGGAGCCCGGCGGGGGCACGATATACTCAACGCCAGGAATTGCCATGGTGCTCGAAGTAGAGGAGTATGGAGACCCAGCCGTATTAACTGTCATATTCAGAGTTTGGGCCGTGTGCAGCAGGACGTGCACTTGCCGCAGCAACGCCCGTGGCTTGATGTGGTCGTCGTTCTATATTGCGGCTCGATGGATGCTGTGACGATGCTTTGGTTGCATGGTGGTGGTAAGGGATAAGATAAAGATACTTGGATGTGGGCTATGGTCACGCTCTCATGGGGAGCAAGCCTGTGACGAGCGTGCTCGATGCCGCCTACGAAGGTGCGGCCTGCTGGGTGGGTGCGGGCCAAGGATAGAGTCGAGGAAAGAGAGCTGTCGAATTCGTTCAGCCCTATGGCTTTGATGGCTTTCGTTGATGAAGTCGTGAAGCGTGGTCTCGGATGCGCAACAATGGCGATGGGGCTCCAAGGGTGGCCGTGGCCGCGAGCGCGAGAGAGGGGCGCGAAGGGAAATTTATGTTATGCGCTAGGACAACAGAAGGGGAAGATGAGAAGGATGGTGTCGTGGGAGGCTATTCGCTAATCGTGCATCCGTCAAACTCGAGGCGCAGGCCAATAAGGGAATAGGTAGCGTTCAAGAGGCTGCGCATGGCTGACGAGGGACAGGCCAAAGATGGAAAGGAATGGCTGACGTCTTGGGGAGATTGGGAGTAGGCAGATTGTGGGTGAGAAGGATGCTGCTACAGCATGCTCGGACTTCCTCCAACTGGCTGTGCTACTGCAGCCGACGACGACACGAGACTTGGAGAGAAACGGAGATGGGGGAGAAAGAGAGAGGGAGGGTGGTGGGAGTGTTCCAGGTTGGAGGCGACGACCACTGCGATGCGTGCGGATGGATGCGCACGTCAGGTCAGGCGGGGAGGGGACAGTGAGGGACCAGAGCAGGACCAGAGCAGGACTGGGGGTCACTCTCACACTCTGCTGTCAGTCATGGACGACAGTGCAGCGCAATGCAGTCAGTGCAAGAATCAAGTCAAGTCAAGTCAAAACAGGGAACTTGGGCTTGGGCCGGCCAAAACGAGGGGCTGGGGACTGGACTTGAGGACCGGAGAACCTGAGGGCCTGGGGCTACGGGTACCTCTTTCTCATGCGATAACGAAGCCCGGGCCGAGCAACAAGTGGCCCTGGGCATGTGGGCATTAGCATTATGCTACGCTGCGTCCTTGGAAAAGACACGCTTGTTGGATCCTCGTCCATTGATGCAAATTTTGTCCCGCCTGTGAAGCTTGTAAGTGAGATGGTCAGAAGCTCAGACCTGGGGACACATTTATTGCGGGATCCAAGCGTTAAGAAGTAGATCCAGGTCCCCAGGTCCCTGGTGGAATGATGGAAAGGGCAAGATCGTCGCCGTCGGAAAGGAGCTTGGGCCACGTGCGAAAGAGCTTCGACAAAGCAATTGTTGGTCGTCGTCTACGATTTGCTACGTCTCTGAGACCTGGCAGAGCTTCTCTTTCTCCCTGCCTACGTTCCTCATTAGACCCGCAAATCAGAGGTACGACAGCATACGCACTGCGATGACGATACCTCGGCCTCAATGTGGTGTTTTGCCTTTGCCTCTGACGACGCTTCTGCACCTCCATCAGACCAATGCCCCTGCGGCACAAATCATCGTCGCCCATGGCTCTCCGGCGCGCCGACATAGTGCATCTGCCTCTACACCACGCCCGCTACTTTGGACGGTTCCCTACCGAGTACAGTACCATCCTAATACAGCAACACTCTCAAATGCAGGAGCCCAGCTTGCATCGGCGCGAACCCCATCAGGCAAGTCAAATGTGACCACACGGCAACCTTACCCATCCATTCGTTCAAGACTTGCATACGGACTTGGGTAGCTTGCAGCCAGTCAGACGAATGGCATCACCCAGCTCTCATCTACTACTACGCACCTCTCAACGGACGCTTGTTCCGGTGACAGAAGATGTCAGACCTCAACAGAGGCCATAGCGACCTCAATATCAGTTTTGAGACAGGCAATGGCAACATGAACCTCTGAAACCGAGTGACCACGGGAGCGGCTCCTATGAGCGACTGACGCTTTGGTGTGCATAAGTCTGTTCATTAACTTTGCGACTACGAGCTCAACTTGTGTGAATGTCTAGGAACTCGACAATCTCGCAACATCGGTGGGAGAGCTTGACCAAGGCCTTCTCCACCCGAGCTGCGTGGTATTGTTGAAGAGGAGACAAACTTTCGACTTGTTACCTAGCCCGACCTCTTCAGACGAGTACCTTGATGGCCCTGCCTCCCTAAATAAAGGCGCGCGAAGGGAACGTCCATTCTAAGAGGTACAAAGTCTTAGACTTCTCCAGGTTACAATGTTACACAGCAGCCTCCAAACACTCTCGACGGCGCGGGCCTTCCCTTCAGGCTAATCAACCTGCTGATAATACACCGTTCTTCTGATCTGGCCATCCGGCCACAGCGACAACACCGACCTAAGCTGTACGGAAAAAAACAGACGCCCGTACCGAAAGCCACATCGAGATGAAGTTAGCTATGGTGTGGTCGTGAACAAGCTCGATCAGTTCGGACCCTGCAATACCACGCGAAGACCTTACTCTTCATCACCACCTGGCGTTGCGGGCGCCAGAGCGGGCATCTGGAGCAGCTGAGTCCAACTAGAGCCTCTCAACACCCCCTGCGCAGCAAATCACTGAACCAATAAATTTTTAGTACAGAAAACACCTCAATGTCTCCTCGTCATCTACAGTACTGCATCGGTTTGAGCGCTTGCTTACATCTTACTCCCTCAGCAGTGATTTCGCAACTCCAATATCCGTTCACAGTTCCCCCTTTGGACAGCCTCGTACTCATCCATTTGCGCTGAATCATTCAACGGCATTGAGTCCCAGTCAAAAAGGACTGATTCCAGAGACCTGTGCAGGTTACTGTGCGTTCAAATGAGTTCAAGCAGCCCGCTCCGATTATGTCCAATTCGGTCGAGACTGAACAATGCCGCTAGGTGGAGCCGGGCGTTCTCCCCCTTTTCCTCCAATTTTTCTGCTCTCTTTTCAAAATCAATTTCTTTTACGTCAAGCTCGAGACATTCGAACAAACTCTCTTCTGTTTTCACAAGTCAGTCTTACCTTGTGAGCTTGTGTGGAGCGGGCATTGTTCTTGTGGGGCTTCTTTCTCCCCGACCACGGCCAGTGCCGAGCCGGACCGGATCCCATCTCTCGCCTCGGGAATACTCCACTTTCTTAAATTGATGACTGCTTCGACAAATGACGAGTCCTTTTGGGTGCAATGAGCCTCTCTGGATCTACATATTGAGGGCAGGCTCACGATCATGTTCCACGAACAATTCGCGAAATGTTCGACGTTTGAGACACAGAGTCATGCAACAAGAGTGCTTGCTGTCGAGAAGCTTCATGACTGCTGGCCAAGCTGCGGGCTTATCTTTGCTTTCCTCCAACCCCACATTTATCACCGTTGAAGATAACCACGGAACCCCGCCAGAACAGCGGCAGAGCTCTATCACACGTCATTCATCATTGCTAGCTCAACGTTGTGGCCGGCCGGCCCAGGAGCTTGTTGGACGGGGTATCGGTTCCTGGTCTAGAAGTCAGACATGCCTACAGTTTTCATTAGGTTTCATAACATCTCACCCACGCAGCTGGCAGCACGATCCGGGGTTCAGAACTTGGGGAGCATACGGCCAGCTCCAGCCATTGGACAATGCCATCCTGCGGAGGCCATGCCATGCCTGGTGTACAGCTGGCAGGCCATTGACGCAGGTCATCTCCATCATGATGTGCAGTAATTATCTCGGTGCCCCGCACTTCATCGGCTTTCACGCTACTGGGGCTCGGTATCTCCTAGGAGGAGCCACTCGTGCCAATGGAGAGGACTCCGGTAGGGGAGCTATCCAGGCCATTCTTGCCCGGCGGCATGGCAATCCATGGGGCTTCCCTTGCCGTATTACTACGTCGACTGACTAGTCGAATGAGCTGGTCATAGGAATTGGCGACGCTGAGTGGACAGCCCAGCCAGCATGATGGTGATAAGCTACGGGACAAAATGCTTGATCTTGACCGCAAGTGTCCATGTCTTCCGGCGCATTGGAATGCTAGAGCAAGCTTGCTACAGCTCCGGGACAAATAAAGCCTGACTGGAAGCCCAGTATTCCCCGTGTGCTCTTTTGAAGCCCAAATCGTGACCTTCTCGCTTGACTTGCTCCTCCCTCACTTTTCAAAATGCTGTCGAAGACCTCACTTGCTCTAATTGGAGCTGCCGCGGTGGCTGCACACAGTAGCCATGGGCCCCAGAGTCCGATCTCGGGACCTCACCAGTCACTGTGGTACAATGTTCTGCCTGGTGATGGAGGCACTCAGGTACGTCATATAAGAATTTGCAGATTTGGGAATCCCATGCTGACTGCCTGCCATCAGGCTGACTCTGTCTTCTCTGGTATCTCGACCTTCGGGCGCCTGCCATATGCGCAATGCCTGTCCCCTCAGAGCAACGCGAAGTATGACATCGCCTTCATCGGTATGTAGATTATGGTGTAGCCACCCTACAGTCACCAATTGAAGACATGACTGACCATTTCACTCATCTAAGGCGCACCTTTCGACACTGGCACTTCGTACCGCCCGGGAGCTCGCTTCGGCCCATCTGGTATTCGTCAGGGTTCTCGAAGGTTGAACCTCTAGTACGTGTTGCCCAGCTTAACAGGATGGTAACATAACAGTTCTTGTATCTGACTAGAGTCGGTTTCAGCGGAGGATACAATGTCCCCCTCGACACCAATCCATTCAACAGTTGGGCCACAGTGCTTGATTGTGGAGATATCCCAGTAACTTCGTACGTATTACCTCTGGCCCGGCGTACCCTTACTTGTGTTGATATCTTTGTGCCCCAGCTACGACAACACATGGGCTCTTCACCAGATCGAGGAGGGTCACTACAGTATCCTTTCCCGTGATCCAGCTACTGACGCCGACAAATTCGGCCCGGCAAAGAAGGGCAAGGTCTTGCCTAGGGTGATCACGCTCGGCGGAGACCACACCATCACACTGCCCCTGCTGCGGTCTATCAACAGAGCCTACGGGCCTGTCTCTGTCATCCACTTCGACTCCCACCTTGACACCTGGCGCCCCAAGGTGTTTGGCGGCTCACCCTCTGAGGTCGCCAGCATCAACCACGGCACCTACTTCTACCACGCCGCGCAGGAGGGCCTGCTGAAGAACGACTCGAACATCCATGCTGGTATCCGGACGACTCTGAGTGGGCCCTCGGACTATGACAACGATGGATACTGCGGCTTCCAGATTGTCGAGGCCCGTGAGATCGACACCATTGGCATTGATGGAATCATCAAGAAGATCAGTGCGTCTGAGCCGTGCCCTAGTACAGTTCCTCTTGGTTCCTTTTGCAGATTGCTGACATCTTATAGGGGAGAGAGTCGGGACTACGAACCCTGTGTACCTTAGTATTGACATCGACACTCTGGATCCTGCTTGTAAGTCGACTTCATTTCGACGATGTACAAGGAACCGAGATGCACTGACACGGTGTGAATGTAGTTGCCCCTGCCACGGGCACCCCCGAGACTGGAGGGTGGTCCACGCGCGAGCTACGGACCATCTTGCGCGGTCTCGACGGCATCAACCTCATCGCCGCTGACATCGTCGAGGTTGCCCCCGCCTACGACACCAATGCTGAGCACACGACCATGGCTGCTGCCGACGCTCTCTACGAGGTCATGTCGATGATGGTCAAGAAGGGCCCTCTGAGCAAGACTGTCGAGCAGGGCAAGGAGCCGGAGCTGTAGATATGAAGAAGATATCGAAGAAATCGTGAAGCTTAAGATTGGCATGGGTACACACCTAGGTAGCTGACCGGAGTCGTGTAAAGGAAAAGTTTGCGCTTCTCGCGATGGTGGAGAGAAAAAGTGGTGGCTGATGGAGGAACGTGTGCAGCATTGAATTGAGACATCGATTCAATTTTTTTTCTTCTCATAGGCATATTTGCCGGAGATCTTGTGAGATTTAGACCAAGCAATATCGGCAACAATATTCAATGATCAAAGTACCAGTGCGTCCCCCTCGCTTTCATATACGGTCTCGGCCCGTACCATGCTGAACTCTTGGATCTCCAATCGGGCATTCTCAACCCGCTCCGGCTGCTGGAGGATGACCTCGATGAGACGGCATTGAGATGCGCAGCTGGGATTGAAGGGGCATAGCAAGAGGTTGGGTGTGCTAGATTGCTTGTACTAACAGCTGAATGAGCCTCACACGTGCAGAGCTGTTAGCACGGCAAAGGTCAATTCAAGGAAACTTCCGCTGCCGTAACTTCAGTCCGATTTGTAATGTCCTGGGAATGCCATCCGCTATTCCACTACCTAAACCTCATTGTCAATATCACACTGCTCACATGCGACACGTGGTGCGCTCTTGGGGCCGCTCAATACCTAACACCCAAGGACAAGTCGCGTAATAGCGTGTTTGACCCGCGTCTACCGAGACCGCCGGGATTTGGACGAGGGCTCAGCCCAAGACTTTGCTGAGGAAGCACCGTCGAGGACAACACATCGCGCGCCAATTTTCTCCCTTTCCTATTCCGTCTTGCCCTCGTGCGGCTAGAAGGCCCGGTCTTTCTCGTCATGCTCCTGAAGCTGCCGGTAGAGCTGCAGCGCATGGTCGTGGAGGAATTCCGACTCCCTCGCCTGCCTCTCGGGACTCGTCGGTGCCTCAATCCAGACTTCATCGTGCCACGCTGGGCACTCCACAGCCTGTGCCTCACATCGCGTCACTTCCATGACCTTGCTGAGCCTTTGCTATATGAGAGTATTGCACTCACAGAGGACACGCAATTCCCGCAGCTGCTCAACTCCCTGCTTGCCAACCGGGACCGGAGATCATGGATACGACGAATTGCTTGCCCAATGTGCATCATGGAGGAGACGGACACGATGGTTGTTCTACCTCTATGGAATCAAATTATTGCCCCAAGAAAGGGAATGGACTTAGACCAACGAGAGAAAAGAGCACTGCAGCTTGCCGGCCTCGAGCTTGACCACATCCTCGAAGAGGACCGGTGGATCAACGATTATGGCTCGGAAGAGTCTGGCTGTGGTCTACGTGAGGACGAATGGGCATTTTGTGATCAGCTGCTGGCCGTCATAATATGCTTGACAACATGCCTGGAAGATCTTCTCCTCCAAATACCTACTGATAAAGAGGGTCTCGGAGGTTTTGACAATCTGGCCAGGGCTCTAGGTTCAGGCGTTAATGCCCACGAGACGGGCGTGTTACAGTCGCTTCGATCCGTCAGGATTCAACCGACCCGTTCCAGGGCACGAACACCTGGATCGAATGGGCCAGATCCAGGGATTTTGGTAGAGCCACGGAACGTCGAACCCGGTCGCGACCCAGGCTTTGGCATAGACCCACTGCGCCTCTTCAGCTTTGAAGTACGGAACGTCGAGGAGGTCGATATCTGTGGTGACAATGGCATTTGGTTCAGACTTCTCAAAGCCAGTCACGGTCCCTGGACGGATGATACTCTCCCCCATGATTTGAAGCGTTTCAGGTCTCTGAAGACCTTAAAACTGAATGAGAGTAGGACCCTGCCATCATATCTGCGACACCTGCTCGAGGAAGCTCACAGTCTTGAGACATTTCACTACACTACGAGACAACAAGAATGGAGGCAAGAGTATTGGTCTCCTGAATATGCCGACTTCGTTTTCATGCCTCTTGACGTTTTCTCCATGAACGAGGCATTGTGGCCCATTAGGAAGACTGTGAAGGAGCTGTCATTAGGGAGTGTATGTCGGGATTGGGACGACGGCGACGAGGAGTTCCAAAATCTCGAGCTGATAGTCCTCCTGGGCCTCTTTGAGAAGCTGACTCATCTATCGATCGATCTGAGGTGGCTGGCTCCCATCACATTGGACCTAGAGGAAGACGTGGCTTTGGTTTCACTTTACAAACGACTCCCTCAGTCCCTCAAAGAAATCACGCTCACTGAGACATGGACAAGGACGGATCTCCGAGCCCTAAGTGAGAGCCCCAAGGTCGAGAGGAGGTCAATGGCCTGGGTGCAAGCTGCGCTCTGGACTCTCTTGGTAGGCGACGACGGACAAGAGGGCAAGAGCAAAAGACTTGCCCACTTGGACAAGGTGACCCTCGTCGCAGTGCCAGCCTTCCATAATTACGAGGATGGAAGGCCAGACGCAGATGATGAATGTGTGCCGCTCAAGACGGACGAGGGGGTAGAAGAGATGAAAAGCGTATTCGCGAAGTACGGTGTGGAATTCCACGTCGAGTGGTTTAAGCGAATATGAGAAATGAATAAAAATAAATCCGCGATATTGTTTTGATGCTTCTCTGTTCTCTCTTATACTGCTCCTCTGGGCGATCCAATCGAATAAATGCTGTTCTTGCAAATTAAATGTACCACTTTATAAAACATTTAAGCTTTGAAAAGAGATGTAGGGTCTGGGCACCTGGGCAAGTCGTGCTGATGCAGAACCATTCAAAATATTCCAGGTTTGTGTTCTTGACCCAAGACATCCAACACTACTCCCTCCCCTGGTGACAGATGATCTCCTATTTCATTTTTAAAGGTCTCTGAGCAGATGATACAAATGTGAGACAGAGTCACTCAGAGCAACGACCTGGCTAAGTCTCACCTGGCCAACTAGAAAGACGGAAGGTTTATATACTGGAATCCGTGCTAAGAACGACGCACGATATAAAGATAAGTGTTGTAGAAACGCAGGACAACGAGGAGGGATTATGGCCATCTAATGACATGGGGTTTTTGACCATGGGCTGCTCAGACTCATCAACTTCCACCCTTTGGGCGCTTGTTCCGAGACGACCAGGGTCTGTCTTGGATACTGATTCCAGCTAATGATATTAACATCTCTCAGCCCGCCTGAAGATATGATCAATTTTGATTACATTGTATGCTGTCAACTCGATCCAGTTCACCAAAAATATTTGTTGTCCAAGCTGACTGATGCTAGGCCACAGTCCATTTTTCCGAACGTCTATATTGTTTAATCTTTGAAAATATATAAAGGAAGGCGAGCGAAAATATCTTTCTCGATTTAGCCGGCCACCGCAGACATTCACCACAGGCAAAGGCACCCATATCCAAGTCAAACAAATCACATAGTGCTGTAGTGTGGGATAATGCAGATTGCTTGCTTCCCTTCCTTCTTTCACTCCGTTGTTCAATATACTTGCTTCATGAGTGCTCTGTGCGTTTATATATACGTGCTTCTCCAAGACCTCACACCGGACGGCGCAACTTGACCGCACGGTCCATCACAATGCCACCATCTTTCATTACTCAAAGCATACCTGTCTAGATCCCAGCACTTTCCGGATCCTGCTGCCATTTCAATCAAGGCGCACTTGAACGCACTTGACTAGCAGCTCTGACGTCGCCGAGCAGCTCCAGCGTCTTCAACAGTTTTCTGTAGTCATCGTCAACGGCTCACCATTGAAGATCATGCCTGAAGATGATTCTCTGCTCAAAGGAGAGCCGTGCGTATATGAGTCTATATCATCTTGTGATGGGATGAGAAAATTCCAATGCTACATCAGCCAAGCAGGCGCTCGCGCAAGAACTTCATCGTCATCAATGTTGCCCTTGCAGGCTGGGTCACAAAAGGGGGCTCGCTGAGTCAGCTCAGGAGATTTATGGGCCGGACAGAAATCGAGACAGCGCTACCACTTCACCGGTGCTTCCGACTCAGCCTCTTTTACCGCAGTACTACCAGTGACGTGCTTTTCCAGACTTCCCTAATATTCTTTTGCTCCATATGACTTGCGATAATACAGTCGTTCATAGCGCATTCCTTATACTTATATTAGTCACCCTCTGAACTTGCGTTCGGGCTTCGGAGCGTAGCCTTGGCTGAGCTGTCACCACAAGATCGACTCTAAGTGAAGCTGAAACTCTATGTCATCAAAGCGAAGAGAATGGAAAGTCGATGAGGACGTGCTGCCCGACTTTCTAGAGGACTCACCATTCTTGCCTGTTTGGAATGACAACGAGTCCAAAAGAGCATCTCGGCCAAAGCCTCCCAGCACTGCACAGTTGCTGAGATCAAAACCAGCACGCCTGACATATGCTGTGCTTCTCTTATTTTTCACGATTTTATGGCTTCGTAGCATACATGTCTACGAGCGATTGACAGGCCCGTCTTGTTACTTCCGGGACCCACTGACGCCGAAGGACTACCAGAGGCCGGCAAGTACAGATTGGAGCCAGTATGCATATTCGCTGTATGCTACGGATGCCGAGTACCTGTGTAATGCCTTGATGATCTTTGACGATCTGAATCAGTATGGAAGCAAAGCGGGAAAGCTGCTACTATATGCAGATTCCATGGATATCAATAAAAGCCATACTCGCGAAGGAAGGCTGCTTGCCAAGGCAAGAGACGAGCTAGGTGTCAACCTGCAGCCCGTCGAGGTCTTGCATGAGAAAAGCGCTGCCTGTGAGTAGTTAATCCGGCCAGTTGTACCTGAATCCCATATATCTCGGGGCACACAGTAATGACAAATGATCTCAACCACAGACTCGGGACCCAATTGGGCGGACTCATACACAAAGCTGCTGGCCTTCAACCAGACCCAGTATAGCCGGCTAATAGCCATCGATTCTGATTCTATGCTGCTTGGGTCACTGGACGAGCTTTTCTTTGCCCCACCAGCTGCGGCAGTAATGCCTCGTGCCTACTGGTTGAGCACACCCACGATGTCATCTCATATAATGGTCCTTACTCCGTCCACGGACACATTCCACAGAATCCAAGATATCATTAAACGCAGGGCCGGATACAAATTCTACGACATGGAAGTTATGAACACGTTTGGCGGCACTTGCGAAGTGATTCCGCATGAACCATATGCCTTGCTTACAGGCGAGTTCACGAAAACCGAACACGCGGCGTACCTCGGATCCAAGCATGGTCGTGTCTGGAATCCTAAAGACGTTTTAAGACAAGCAAAGTTGGTCCATTTCAGCGACAACCCATTACCAAAGCCTTGGCTTGCGACGAACGAGAAAATCGTGGCTGCGAAGCCTGACTGTTCTTTTCACGCCGAGCCAGGACAGGAATGTAAGGCCCAGGAAATCTGGCTAGACTTCTATAAAAGGTTCAGGGAAAAGAGAAATGTAAGTGTAGCCACTGCGCAGCAGTGCATGACACCTACAGCACAGTCACTTCCTAGCTGACACGGAGATCAATCGACACAGAACATATGTGCTTAACTCTGCGTCTCGGGTCGCAGCGCAAATCAGCGCACACGTAGGAACAGGTACGACGTGTAAAAGTGCAAGGATCAGCTTTGACTACAGATATAAGCATAATTTTGGCCTTCATACCGTTCAGCATGATCAATTCTCTGACGACAGGTAGAAATGGAACTATCTTGATCAATCCTCACATCGCAAACTTGTCACAACGTTTGAAGATAGGATATAGACCATGAACTGTAAGTGAGCATGGTCTGTTGTTATTATCTCTGACACAGAGCCGACAGACAGACTTGCCATCTGAGAATTTTCGTCCCTACCTTCCCCATGGCTGCTGAGGTGTGGCCTCGCACAATAATGTCTTCATTCACAGGATTACACGCCTTTGATGCCGGAAGAAAAGGGCTCCACTTTTGTACTCGGCTTGCTGCTCTTCGCTGGACGTATAGCCTTTCGAATGAAGACGGTGAAAGTCTGGCAATTTGTTGTTCGTGATCGACCAGTTGACGGGAAAGAGTGTGAGAAACTCCCAGATTGAACATGATGAAATGAATTTGCGCGACATCTCACGACGTTTATGATCTCAGCCTTTAACAGGAATTTCTTCTTGTTGCTGTTGGATGTCCTGGAGGGTATTCCTCAATTAGCCGATCGTGAAGCCGAACTCTGAAAATCATTTGCCGCAGCCGATCTTGGGGAACCGTAACCTCAATATTTGTTTAACTTCATTTTCTTAACAAAATTTGGGGAACTTAACGAGCATGGTATGTGTCCGTGATTGACAGCGCTAAGTACCCAAGGCCGTGTGCGATGCTGCTGCGTCCTCCAACCTGATTGACCAGTTGCTCAGATTTGCCTTGCACCAGAATCTCAGGGGTACAGCTTGATGCAAATGCCGAGTGCTCAGTGGCTGCAATGTCTCGGGGCCGCTGTCCCAGATTATTTTCGTGTAAATGCACGTGCTCACCCTCATCTCCTTTGCCTTCGCCAGACCGCTTGAATTAAAGCCATCATGAGCTTGGCACTCGGACGCTTCCTTCCACCTAGCCCGTGAGGTCGACGAGTAACAAGCTAGCTGGGCTGGAAGGCCTTCTTATATCAGACGGATCGGCCCTTGTTCTGTTTTAAGCTACGTTGCATCGCATGTCTTGCACACTGACTTGTCTCTGTGATCCTCATCACAAGAGGGGTTGATCCTGTAATTAACTCGCTGAAATCTTCAGACCTTATAAATGGATTGAGAGGCACTCTCTTCAACACCGAGTCATCCTAGCTCCCCTCATAATACTGAAAACCACTGTTCAATTCATCCTACGACGAAAATGAGGATCACCTTAATCATCGCTGCGTCTGCAGGCTTGGCCGCAGCCCAGCTCAACTACAATTCAACAACTGGGAAATTCACTTGCGCTCAGCCAAACCAAGCGTACTGCGCATCGGACTCGTTGAAGACCAACATTATTGTGAGGTGTAATAATGACGCGGTTGGGCAGCCGGGTAACTGCAACGACGTGAGTTTCTCTCTTCCTGCTTCAATTGGGGCGCACAAACCATGCTAATCAATGAGACAGAATCTTGACGGGGAGCCTCCAATCGGCAATGCGTACTCTCCCTGCTGGCAGTCGTCCAATATTACAGGTGATGCAGCTTGTAGTAAGAATTGCATTGTGTATGGTGGTTCTGGCAACTATAATGGCACCTTCACCCTGCCAGCTACGGATTGCACGCCTACCTACACAGCTTCCTCATCCTCTGCGACGTCCACAGCTACTACGTTGACGCACAGCACGACAAGCTCGTCCTCTTCAGCTTCAGCCTCGTCTACGTCAGACCCCACAACTGGGCCAGCGAGCGGGACCGCGACCACCATCGTCGGGACGGATACCACGACGTTATGCACGGAGAGTCCGAGTAGCACGGCCTCCACAGGGGCTGTTTCTGGAACTCAGCCGTCCACAGCTCCCACGTCCGCCGTTACGGCCACAACTCTCGTCCCGCCGCCTGCGCCTCCATCTTCTTCAGGTGGTGCAAGCGGTCCCGGCTCACCTCCACCTGGCACTTCTGGCCCAGGGCCCGTGGTTACCCTCACTTCTACTTCTTCTGTGGCTGCGGTCTCATCAACTTCTTTCCCAACTGCTGGTGCGGTGTCTAATCACGTCGGTGTTGGGCTGGGTATTATGGGTTTGTTCGTCGGAGCTATGCTCTGAGCCAGCTAAACAGGGGATTCCAGGCGATTTTGAACGAGGCAAGGGGCTCAGATACTAAGGTCCTATTGTATTGATCCGAGGCAAGATTACTTGCCATCCCCTTCAAAGCCAGGCAGCTTTGTTTCCTACCAACCAAAAGCCACTTGGCAAAGCGGTCTGGCCCGAGACCACTTGCTTTTTAATAATGTTCTACTTGAGCAGGGCAAGTTAGTGGAGAACACATAACCTTTTTGGCTCCTCTTTGCTTTCCCTATTCGCCCACGACACGCCGTAATTGCACATGTTTGGCTTGTTCTTGCCTATGTGGCTCCTCAGATAAAACAAGAATTTGTTCACCATTGCTTCTTTGTCAACCACATCCCTTGATGTAAAAGTGAGTGAGCTAACAGCCGGACTTTCAACTCCGTTGCCTAGTATGTCGAAGTGTCTGGGCCCAATTGCCTCATCAGGCGGCTTGAGATAGATGCTTTGGGGTTGCTAGACTTGGGGCACCGGATGAGAATGTACAGTGTCATGTTCATTAACAGTCTATCCTATTCCTCTACCTGAAATTGCTCTACTATGTCTAAACTTCAGCAGCTTGAGGATTGACTGCTCCGGCTTTTTGTGCAATTCCCTTCTTTTTCCGAGGGAGGAAAATATGATGCAGGGACCTTGGTACCTCACAAGGGTCATAGGCATCTTGTCGTTTCACGGAAGCAAAATAAATAGTTCGTGGACCCGAGAGGCGCTCGAGTGAACAAGTCGGATGTACGACATTCCGTGTCCACTTCTTGTAACACCCACCGAGTACTGGGTACGAACAAAGACAGCATGATAAGGGGGCCGCCAATCTAGCCGCAGAGAATTAAGCGAAGGGCCGCAAGTTTTCAGACATAAGAGCAAGACAAGTTCAGCTTTAGGTAACATGCTCTTCGTGTCTGACACACACGTGTTATGTTACGATGCGAATTAAAAAAAAAGGGGGGGGGGGGTTCCTATCGTCCTCTGGGCCTGGCTGTAAGGTCTCACCAGCCCATTGCTTCAAGCCAAAATAAACATCCATTGAGCACATACCTAAGCTGAAAGTATATCGCTGATTACGATTTGGCTTTCCCAGCTTTGCGCTCAATGCATCTGCTCCAAGTCCGCCACCATTTGAATCGGACACTATGAGCATGCCATCACCCGTGCACGCATCCTGATTGCCGTGAGACCTAGTTGTGTGCTACCCTTCTGCCAGCCAGTGAGGTCACACAGCATCCACTGAAAGAAAACGGACCTGAAAGCTGTCTCACACCATGCAGGACGAAAACCTAATCCGGCCATGCGACTGCAAATTTTGCAGCTGAGATGCACCGTGCTGTGCTTTGACGTCGCTGCTCGCCGAAGAAGCATGGCGGAGGAATGCGACCGGGCAGATTTTGCATCAGCTGCTACAAGAGTTTGTGCATGATCGATATCTATCGAGCTTCCGACAGCCTGGATAATCCATTTTCGTAGTAAGTTATGTACATTTCTGATTCATTAAGGTAACACGTGGATCATCGTGTCCTTTACACTCGGGCGATGAGCTTCATCCAGTATCATCACAGTGTATAGCATAATGCAACAAATCAATAGGACATGCGCCGTGGCCATGACATGAGCGTAGGGGAAGTTACTAATAGGATAGCATTTCTATAATTATTTCGATTCAAAACGCTAGAGGTAAAACTTTAAATTCTCGCGTAGTCATAACTTTCGTCAAGAAGTGGTACAAATGCCCATGCCGCCAAGTTTATGGCGATCTTGCAATGGCTCGCTGGAGAAAAGGGGAACAAGGGAAACAGTAAAGGATCCCTGGAAGAATTGCTGTAGAGAACACGAGACCGAAAAACAGCGCCGTCCTGACTCCACCAGCCAGGCAACGCCTGAAGCCATAACTGAGCCTTCCATAGTAAGTGATGCCCAAAGACCATGGTGAAGATAAAGCCATACATGCCCGAGATCAGGCCAGTCCAACCCGCTCAGAAGCCACCGCTAGCCATCCCAATCATGCCTTCCTCCTCCCTCCACCAGTCCCTAAACGTCCTCAGCCTCTTACTCCTCTCCTTAGCCAGCCTCCTGCCAACATCAGTCTTCATCATCTCGCCGACCCTCAACAGCCTCGTCTCGACCTGGCCCATCGCCTCCTCCATGCTCGTGCTGTCCGTCCTCGCCCCGCTGAATGTGAAACACCTCCCCACGCCGATCGCCCCGATCGAGTCCAGCCTATCTGCGTCCTGGACGACCGCCAGCTCCGGGTGCAGCCTGATTAGTTGCCGCGTGCGGTCAGGGTCTTTCATCTCCGAGCTGTACGAGACGCCGAGGCAGATCGCCTGGACGCGGGTGGCGAGGTCTTCGGGGGCGCCCAGGGTCCGCAGGAGCGTGTAAACCATTGTATAAGGGTCCTCGTCGGACTTGAGGTATTTTCGGTCACCGACGTCGTGGAGGAGCGCCGAGAGCGTGATCAGCCTGATGTCGAGATGTTGACGCAATGGGTCCGCTGAGTGTGTGTATATGTATTGTGAGAGGCTGACGACGCGCTGAATGTGCTCGAAATTATGGGATGCGTCATTTTGTGACATATACTGCCGTACAAAACATATGACTGATTGCAGTAGAGGATCGGAGTCGGGGAGAACGGTGACAGCCATGCTGAAGGAGTAGCATGAGGTGTGTACACAGGAATTCGGCGCGATTTCGCACGAGTTTGCAGAGGTCTGGGAATGTTTTCTTGTATATCGATCCTCAAGCTTGGAAATACATGACACTGTTCTCTAAGATGGCCAGCTATACTATCTTATAAGTCGAGCCGGCCATATGGCCGACTCCTGAAGTTCAATATGTAGCAGGCCCGAAGCATGACAAACTGTGCCGCAACATTTGAAACTAGGGTCAAGAAACGGGCGACGGCAGTCCATGGCCAGAGAACATGGCTTTTTCGGCCTGCGCCTTCGCCATCCACTCAAAGCTGCCATGTGTATGCGGGCGGGACAGCATCTTGGTGCTACCAGCACCATTTCAAAACTGGTCTTCTTAGGCTCAGATTGCGCGTGGCTTGATGGGATCGAGTCTCACCAGATCTAGCAGGCGGAATAGCCACTAGGCATCTCAAATCGATCATGAAGGAGCTGCCAGAATGGCAGCTGGCCAGTCGGAGCGGCCCGGCCACGCTGCCCGTTCGAAGGAGCTCCCACCCCAGGCTTGAAATGCTGACCAGAGCCGGAGACCGCATGCTTCAAACCTCGAGAGGCCCGATATCCTGCCACAAAATGTTTCAATCAAGCCCGAAATGTCCTGCACAACTTTCCTAGACATGCAAAATGCCGAGACCCATCTTACGGAAGTCTAGCATTATCGATGTCTGAGGGTCCCGGAACAATTGCAGCTTTTGGCCGAATACAGGTAGCACACTGGTGAGACTTCAAGATCGAGGGGATTTGTATGAAGTCCCCCGTGACAAGTAGAGCACTTGCTCGATCTTGCATATGGGCTAGGATGTTGAGCCATTTAGTCGTACCAGATTCCGCGTCTCCTGGGCCTTGTGAAGCATCCGACAATGAATGAAGTGTGAGAAGCACCGATCGAGTAACACCATTCGCGGACCTGACCGACCAGGCGCCGGAAGCACATGAATGTCGTAATTACGCGGCCCCCGCATCGCGTCGTGCGACGAGTCGATCTATCTCGATACGCATGTGTAGGGCAGACGCAATTGCTGTTGAGCTTGTGGCTCACCTTGAGCTACAGGTGCACGAGACTTCCAGACACACGAGTCTCTCCAACGTCCACGCCGACGCTTGTCAGGCAGTTGCTTGTGATCAGCTACTGCCTCCTACATACCCGCCGAGGCTAGTGAAGGTTCATGCATAGGTGGGAGGGGAGGAAAAACAACCTCGAGAGCGGAGGCAAGGTCCCACTGACTGTGGACTGTGGATTGACCTGTTACGTGATGGATAGTTGTGGAATAGGCAAGTAGGGGGCCAAAGGCGGCTATGGGAATAAGAGTTGACCGAACGCCCGAAAGGAACACAGTCTCTCGGAGGCCTAGATATTGCTGGACGAATTAGATTAAAGGTCTCCACATGGTCGTAAGTCGCATTAGGACCGGATTCAGCAGGACCCGTGAATCAAGACCCTCAGAAGGAGAACACAATGTGGGCAGAGCGAAGTCTCAACAACCCCTTTGCTTGGGCGATTTATTGCGAAGGCCCTCGGTGGGCATACTCATGTCTTCCTCGGCAAGACAGTAGCTGTAGCCACTCCAGGAGAAAGCGATGGCTTCGCTTATCGCAGCAGAGACAACGACCTGGCCTTATGTGCCCTGCAGCCACCTGCTTAATCGTAGCCATATCGGAGACAGCCATGATCCTTTTGCAGCAGCCAAGGTTTTGGTACATGCGTCACAACCTGTCGACTTCCGCTCCGAAATGGCAGCCAATGCAGACCAGGTTAGGGAGGGCCCTTTTTGAGCCCTGAACCTTTCCGGCAGAACTAGAACACGATACCTATGTCATTCAAGCCGCATGGAAGTGGGGAGGAGGGGGCCTCTTGCATGCAATTCGACCTCCTAGTGAGTCGTTCCCTGGTGGAGAATGGTTGCACGCGGGTGCTATTTTCATGCTTCGAATAATCGGCAGGCATTTGTCGACGAGGCTCCAGTTATTAGACGCGGTAGTCGCGAGGTTGTGAAGAGTGGATACAGAACGGGGTAGTACTGTGATAGTTCTCCCAGGCTGGCCATGTCAGTTTTGTGCGCCTGTTCCTATCGCTCACCGATCGAGTGAAATGCCGTAGCAGCGTGAACGCCAGATCGCCGCCGGCAGGTCACGATGAGCTGCATGTCTGGCTCGTCATTCGAGCGATGATCGTATCTTAGACACCGGGAATTATCCGCATGCGCCGTGCCTTTGCCCCAATGGGAAGCTGGGCGGAGCAGATTGCAGCTTGCTTGCACAAGTGCCTTGGAGGTTATGCACATTCTGCATGCATGCAGAGGGCTGCATGTTGCTGGGAGGGGCAGAGTCGAGAAACCCGCATGGGAGCTGAAGCTACCCATGCCCGCCCTTCACCCTTGTCGTGCCTCGTGGGCATCTGGCCTGGCTGGCCGGACGAAGAACCATGGCTTTTTAATGAAAAAGCACGTCTGGTCGCGGTGACAGGGCAAACATAAGAGCCGCGCTGAGATGACCTGATGTGATCTGATGTGATCCGATTCGGCTGGATGCCTTGTCCTCTGTGCGATCCAGGTCGATCCGCTGTACCACAGATGGCTGACCTGCCAACTTTTGTCGGGCCCGAGCCTCTCCCTGTGTTCCGTGATGAATGGACGAATGAGTGTGGCTCCTTGCACGGAGTGGCACTTGTTCAGAGCGTGGCATTCCAGACTATCCGCTTGTTACTGGCGGACAAGCAGAGGATAGGCGAGCGATCATGATGATTGACTGACTTGTCAAGGGCTCCACAGCGGACTCTAGACTTCCTTTCGCCTCGCATGGCACCTCATGCAGCCACAGTTGACGATTGAAAGGATGCAATATATGCCGTGATTGGGCGAGTCCAGACAGCCAACAGGGAAGAATTGACGCCGAGTAGAAAGATGGATGAGGAGGGGGTGGAGCCGTCCGAGAGGTGGAGGGGTGATTTTGTCATGTCAAAAGACGGGAGCAGAAGGTTGAGCTTGCTGTTGCTGCAGCCGAGCGGAGCGGCGGATGTCAGCAGAAGCTTCAGGGTGCCCACTATGTGCCAACGACTGCCAATTGGCCGATGCAGGCAGGGATTTAGACGCCGGCCAGGGTAGCACCAGAAACATTTGTCCATCCAGAGCTCGACTTGACCCCTCTGCTCCCACCAGCCTCTCCTCTTTTTCTCCTCCCTTTCCGGCTCACTCTCAAGTCGGCCGACCATTCACCTGCATAACCGCCCAGCATGCAGTAGTGCCGTCATCTCCCCCATCGACAAGTAATGTTGCTGCATATACCACCGTCGCCAAAGTAACACTGGCTGCCTTGTTGCTGTGCGCAGGGAGCCCAGGGCCTGCTAACATCCGGCGAGGTTACAATGTCAGCAGCCACGGGATGGGCATGGGATGGGAATCGGATGGGTCATGCCCCCGTCCCCTCTCCCTCTTCGGCGCTGTGATGAGGACCCGGCACACCTGCTAGTCCTAGTCGACGCCCTTCTCATTGGCCTCACGGCCGCATCAAGCGATGTGGATTATTCAAGATCTCCATGCCGGCCGGTATGGTATGGTACAGTACAGTATGTGGTATGCTGATGGAATGGCATGCGCATGCAGCCATGGCACACTATGGTATGCTCATGCATGCGAGGCAACGGGGGCACATCGAGCGCCATGGATCATGATTGCTGCACACTGCAGGGAAGATGCGAGGGAAGCAAAGGAAACGAACCGAGAAGGCTCCGTCAGGCTGTCCAACGCGAGTTGTCGTTGGTGGTCTGGTTCCGGCTTGCCTGGGTAACGGTAACTTGGTAACCCACAACCGTGCGGGCCGTGATAGATGGCCTCGACATATAATGGTTGGCCCCCTCCTCCCAGACTTCGTTTCTTCTCTCCTTTCCTCTCTTCAGCAAGCCCTCAATCCTCAAACCAGTCTTCGTTTTTTGTGTCGTTTCTTCCTTCCCCCTTGTTTTTTCTCTGTTTTCAATCATAGAGCTGTGCTCTATTGATCTTGTTCGCTAATCCACACCAATAATACCCAAAAAACCCCAAATCAACACAACACCAGTTCGAGCTTCACGATAACGCCATAGTTGCCGGTCAACTAACCCTCTAATACCCAAGCGACGATTACGACTCTTCCTAATAAAGCAATTTCTGGTTTACTTGCTCGCATCGACATTTTTATTTCAAGAAACGAATTCGGAAAGTCAATCCGGAGCAGCAGCATTAATTTTCAGTGTCAAACACAAGCAAATAAGTATCAAAATGTCGTCAACACAGCTGTCTTTCTCCCTCCGTGTTTCCGCTGGCGTCAAGACTGTCCACCTTCTCGGATCCTGGGACAACTACGTCGGACAGCTCCCCCTGTCCAAGGACAAGAACTCCTCAAAGGGCACGTGGAAGGGCACCTTTAAGTTCCAGAGCGCCACCCTCGCCCCAGGCCAGCGATACTGGTACTACTACATCATCGATGGTTACCATGTTTCGCACAACCCCAGCGAGGCCTCTACCAAGGAGCCCACAACCGGACGTGAGCTGAACATCTTGGACGTTCCCAAGTCCAAGTCCTCATCCTCATCGTCCCACCACTCCTCTTCCAAGTCCTCCAGCAGTTCCAAGCACCACTCATCCTCGTCCTCATCCCGCCACCACTCCTCATCCTCGTCCAGCAAGGAGAAGTCCCACCGCTCATCACGGGCTTCCCTGTCCGTCGACGTGCCAAAGGGCCGCCCTCTGTCCATCTCTCAGATCCAGGCCCCCAAGCCCATGTCTCCACGAGGACACCAGCACATCCTGAACAAGGAATTCTCGGACGAGTCCATCGACGACCTCGCGGCGCGCTTTGGCTCCGCCGGACTCGAGGACTACCCCTACGACTCCGAGTACATCACCACGGACTTTGGCAACATGTCCGAGTCGCCCGTGTCTTCCAGCGGCTCGTCCCTGTCCTACCGCTCCGACAGCTCCAGCCCCAACAGCAGCATGTCCGGCTACAGCACCCCTTCGTCGGACTGCTCCAACTGCACGTGCGAGCGCTACGGTATCACGCGCAAGGGCGAGCGTGTGCGTCTCGACTGCGGTGGGTCCCGCTGCGGCTATGGTGATGACAGCAGTGATTGCTCATCTGAGGATGGCGAGTACCGGAGCTCCTCGCGCCGGAACGGCATCGTCGTTCGCCACTAGATGGATGAGTGATGGACTTTGAGGAATGTAATGAGGGATGATCAGGGTCACCTGAGAAGGGATACACAGAAATGACACCAGGCCCACGGAGAAGAAAAGGCCGTTTCATTCATTTTCGAGCAGGAGACATCTCCCACACTAGCTGTGGTCTGACGAAGTCGAACCTGTCTCGAGTGTACTTGTTGCTTCACGCGCGCAGCCATCGACATTGGTGCTCTGGGCACAGTGGGCTGGCTCGCAGGTGGGAGAAGTTGCAGACTGGTTCTCAACTTGCCCCGTCCTTGCGGGCCAATCACCCCTTGCCCGTGTGAGCTCTTCGATGCGTCGCGATACCGCGTGCAACCCACAACCAGCTGGGTCGATGCTGCGACCCCATACGGCTGAGCCTCCCCCTCCCCGCGCCGAGGGTTATGGCGGGCCGTATGAAACTTCTTAATTCTTGTTTGTCTTGGAATGATTCAACTATTTCGGACAATTCAATCTGGAGGCGCCATCGTATCACCTACACTGATCTGTGGTCAGTCAATGGGATATGTCGGACCTGCCTCCTACAATGTATGGTACTTGGAATTGGGCTGTATGTATGAAGGTTCCAAGCATGCCACTGTTCTGGCGGCTGTTGTAAGGGGGTTGACGGACTGATGCGAGGCACTGGCCTCTGCAAGATCAGGCAAAGCAATGGATAGATGACTATTGAATCTATACATTGGACATGTTCAAGCTCCTTCGTACCAGTGACCTCTGTATATCCCTCTCAATGTGACCTCGAAGCTCCCGTCTCCTTGGACTAGACCGACCTGTCAGGTCGACATCAGATGAACTTAGCCTAGCTGACCCGACGGGTATTTCCCGCTGCGCTCTAGCTCATACGCCGTCCTCTCGGGCCAACGCTTCCCCTGAGATGGTGGAGTTCCAAGTGCCCACAGCGGGGTATAGCCGTTGGAGATGTGCTGTACGGCCCCGCATCGTGACGTTCAACTCATGAGCTGTATTTCCATGCGCTGCCACGATTGCGAGGTCGTCTTGTCCCAAGCAATTCTGTGAATTCTGCTATTCAAGAGGCCAAGAATCCAATCCAAACTTCTCTCAACTTGGATTATCGGAGCACTTGCAAAGTTGTTCTCTCTTGCCTGCCCAATTTCTGAGAAAGCCGTCGCATCCCTTCCAGCGTAACGCAACGCGTTTCTCGACGACCCAACTCACCTTCTTGTAGAATCTTGCATCGTACCCCGTACCAGCCTTGACAAACACGCGCATAGGGCCTCTCGCCGACACGCAGCCCAAGATGACGACTCCCGTCCCCATAATCGACTCCCACATCCACCTCTTCCCCTCTAGCGAGCTCGACACCCTCGCCTGGGCGACGCCCGACGGGCCCCTGTACAAGCAGCACTCCATCGCAGAATACCGAGAAGCGACAGCGCCGCAGCACGACCTCCTCTCGGGCTTCGTCTTCCTCGAGACAGACCGCAAGAACGACGAGGCGGACCCCACGCCCGAGGGCGGCTGGAAGTACCCACTGGCTGAGGTGTCGTGGCTGGCGCGGATCGCGGGCGGGCGGCCGCGGCCCGGCGAGGGCCACGAGGAGGGGGACGCGTCGCTGTGCAAGGGCATCGTGCCGTGGGCGCCGGTGCCGGCCGGCGCCGAGGTGCTGGAGGGGTACATCGACGCGGTGCGCGAGACGTGCGTCCGGGACGGCGGCGAGGAGGTCTGGAAGAAGGTCAAGGGGTTCCGCTACCTGCTGCAGGACAAGCCCGCAAAGACCATGCTGGACCCCAAGTTCATCGACGGGCTGAAGCTTCTCGGGCGCAGGGGGTTCGTCTTCGACGTCGGCGTCGACCAGCACCGGCGCGGCAGGGCGCAGCTCGAGGAGGTGGTTGAGATGGTTGACCGGGCGCACGACGGCGTGCCGGACGGGGAGAAGGTCACGTTTATAATAAGTGAGTCTTCTAATATCTCCCACTCACATTTGGCTTCTCTCCTGTCTGTCCATTGCTTCCTGCAGATTAGAGACTAACCACCAACCGCCCCATCCAGACCATCTTTGCAAGCCCGACCTGACGACCCTTCATCCGGCCGACCCCTCCTTCATCTCCTGGCGCACGGCTATCTACACACTCTCCAAGGCCGACAATGTCTATATGAAAGTCTCGGGCGCCTTCTCCGAGATGTCGGATGCCCTGCGGCAGCAGCCCGCCAACGACATCTTCGAGTCCATCATGCCCTGGCTGGCCGTCGTGGTCGCCGCCTTCGGGCCCGCCCGCCTCATGTTCGGCAGCGACTGGCCGGTCAGCACTATCGGCGTCGGCGAGGGCGACGACGACGAGGGCGCGTGGGAGAAGTGGAGGAAGGTCGTGGACCGCCTGTGCTTCATGAGCAGCTTCAGCGACGAGGAGAAGGAGCTGGTGTTTGCACGGACCGCGAGAAGGGCGTATAAGCTTGATTGAGGTGGTCTTGCTTGATGAGATGTTGGGCTCGGCTTGACACAGCCGGTTGAGAATGTCGGGTGGAAGAGAGAGCTGCCGCGCCCGCAGGCGGTGACTTGAGGGGACTGAAGCCGGTCCGGCGAGATTCAGACTGCAAATCTCAGACCACAATGCAATGGTGTTGCATACAGAGAATGCAGGAACCAGGAATTCACCTCTGGCTGCCTCATTTGGTAAGTACATAACTACTGCGGTGCAGAAAGTGACACTTGTCACAGGCAGTGGCAGGAAGAACATATCACATGGTACATAGTCTCCCGCAAGCATCTTCATGACACTAGAGGAATGCCAGCAGCTCAGAAGAGTATAATCTTTCTACCATTAATCCTGACCCTCAGCGTGGCCGAGTATGAAGCTACCTATGTAATGATACCCAATTTGCATCTATGTGCCTCTTGCCCTGTATTTACAAATGCAGGCCTGATTGGGACTTCTACTAGTCTAATGAAAACCCAAGTCTATCCCGTAACGCCTCGCCAAAATTCGCAAGATCGCTGAATTCAAGGCCACCGTCTGGCCTGGTTTGTGTGGAAATATTGTAACACTCCCTGCCACTCCGGCGACGCCTAGGGGAGGAGTTTCGCATATGGCTCTTCCTTGCTTTCAGCTATATCCACCATTCGGCTATCGCGTTTCGAGCTCTTCTCCTGATATCGAGAACAAGGTCCGTCAACTGACCCAGAGACACCCGTTCGATCTAGGAACTTGTGCCTCGTTGGTGTTGCGGGCTCGGTGCTTTTTGCCTCTCATTGACGGCCGTCATATCGGATTCGTACGAGGGCGGCCGTTCGTCTTGGAACCGAATGGACCGTAGTGTATTGGTCCTGCTCCTGCCAGCCTGTTGTGGCTTGGTAACGGAGCTGTTGGACCGGCTGACCTGCCCGTTATTACCGCGCAGGGTGTTGGACCGGCTCACGTTGCTCGTGTTCAAAGAGTTCGACCGGCTGACTCCGTTCTCGTCATGCGTTGAGAGCGCCGTGCCGCTCCTGTTCTGCCCCGCCGGCTGTTGGTCGAATGAGAAAGCGGTGTTGCTCCGACTCCTCCCTTGTGGTTGCTGACTAGCCGCCGAAGTGTCTCTGGAGTGGTTCACCTGGGACATCTGAGAGCGCTGAGAACGTTGTGACTGCGCCCTCTTCATGCTCGAGTGCCGCATCGGCTTCTTGCCACTCTTCAGGTCCCGTCGGCTGGTACAGCAACATCCCATGCCGGCGTGGAGGATAAACGCTATCAATGCACACCCGGTCGATATCCACATGAAGACGAACATGCGGGTTCCCACATACGCATTAATGTTCAGGGATGTCTGCGCGGTGGCGGCGTACTTGAAGACGAAGCTGATGACCGACGCAATCACACTGCCGACCAGAATGACCAGGAAGGTCAGGAAAGAAATCAGCGACATGGGCAAGGCCCACCACCTCGAGAAAATGGCGATGGGGGATAGGAAGACCATCACGAAGGAGATGACAGTGCCTGCGAGAAAGAAGGCGAACATAATGTTGGAGCAAAGCTTGAGAATACCAAGGATCTGAGTGATTTCGGCCGGCAATGCTATGGTGGCCCCGGAGAGAAGTTCGTTCAAGATAATCTCAACTGGGTTAAACCAGTAGTAACTCTTGGGAGTAGAGCAGCTCGTAATGCCTCTGAGAAGAATAGTTAGAGTTTCGCTATCATCACAAAACCCGGCAGGTTAGGATACTCACTCATCGTTATAACCCTCGCAGAAGTTCCACAGACCGGGCTGATAAAAGTCATGGAGGCCAATGCCGCGGGCGATGGAGTTGATGAGCTGAGCGTTCTGGATAGAGGTAGGGATGATGTCGGCCAGAGACAGCCTGAAGAAGTAGATCTCGCCGAGTATACTGTTCTTTCGAGTTTGGCCGAGCTCGATCTGATCATGTGTGGTCAGCCAACAGTTCATATCAGAGAGGGCCAGGTGGAGCTCACCAGCATGAGGAATATCCAGGAGAGGAGGTAGAGGAAGGAAGCAAGCCCCGCGAATATGCTGCGAGCTCTGGTATTCCTGCGAAGGTCTAATTTGTACCAGTAGCCGTCATCTTCCCAGATGGTAGAGTTTGCATCGAATGACCCGGCCGAACTCTTAGTTGTGCGCCGCCTATGCAAGCTCTGAAAGGGGACCGTGATAGCCATGACACTGCAGGCAGTACGGTCAGCTCAAGGAGCCTTCCTGCCAGGGAGCCGTGAAGGCGCGTACGTGGTGTTGGAAACCCGGGCCTATGACGGTGGCGGAAAGTGATGAAGTTGAAGATCCAACTTATCAAAGCTAACGAATGCAGCTTAACGGATTATGTATGAATGGATATAACGAAAGAGTCTTGGAGTTGCGAGAACGAGAGAGACCCTGGGTGTCGCGGAGCCGGGCAGTCTGATCCAGAGCGGTGCAGTGAAGGCGGTACACGCGCGGGTGGAAACAGGCGATGAATGAGTCGGAGGCGCCCCAGCAACCGCCAAGCAGGAAACCGAGTGCTTGACAGGCCGGATTTGCTGGCGGTAAAGAGGCTGTGCGGCTGTGCCCGTGTCCTTCCTATGCTTTGTGCGTCTCTCTGGCCTGGAGGGGTGTTTGTTGACCGTAATTCCTTCCCTTCCGTTGTCCGCGCCAGGGTGACGACATGCAAGTACTAGCCCGTTCAAAACTGTACTATGATATGTGCGTCCACCTCATCGATTCGCCCCCCGGGGAGACAGGCGAGAAGCAGGTGGGCGGGCACGCGAGCGGCTGGGAATGGACCTGCTGGCGCTGGCGCTGGAGCTGGACTGGAGCTCTCGAACGCAGACAGGCAGAACTGGAGAAGGAGAGGCTGGGATCAAAAAAGAAATCTGGACTGGCGCCACGACCCATCTGCTCATGCGGTTGGGTAGTGGGTCAATCAGTTTAGTCGGCCAGTGACTGAGTGGTCTGGATTGTACGTTGTACTGTGCTGTCAGGTCAGGCAGTCAGACAGTCAGCTGTGTGGCAGTCAGGTGTGTAGCAGTCTCACAGTCTGGACACGCGCAGCGCAAAGTGTGGTATTGAACGCTCCGGTCTGGTGGGATCAATTGGAAAGGGACATGACCCCTGAAGCGACCCGGCGATCGTGGGTCCTTCAAGTCAAAATCCTGCCCTAGGTGGCAGCTTGGCGGCAAGGGCAGGGGAGTGAGCTGGACTGGATGAATCAAAGAAAACGAGACGAGACCTGAGCGAACAAGCTGCAGGCCGGCAGGACAGGCCTGGCAGGGGAATCAGGCGAGGCAGGATGGCGGCTCTGCGCGGTCGGCAAAAGCTTTATTGGATCCCCAGTCCCTGCTCGTTTCGAGAAATATTCCCGGAAGCTCCTGTGATTCTGCTCTGAGATCCTGAGCTGTGAGCCCACTTTTAGTGGAGGCCTACATGAGCCTGAGTCGACGATAGGCTTGTAGATCATCAATTCGACAGTAGATTGTCATTTCTGCCTGTGCTGCCCGTGAATGTCGGTCTGTGCCTGTGTTGTACTGTACTCTGACAGCTGTCGCATCTCACCAGCGGTGAATACGAATGGTAAGAGACACATCACGAACGAAGGATGCGTAGATTGCGTATGCTCCCATGGCTGAGGCATTGTACGGGTCCTGGCAGCTGCAGCTGCAGGCCGTTCAATCCGTCCAAGCCAGTCATATCGTCGTATGGACCGATGGGTTAACGCATTAGAGTTCGATGCGGTCTGGAGATGGCTGACTGAGTGCCGAACCGGGCAACCTGGGCACGATTAGCTCATGATTGAGTGATAATCAATCTGTATCTGCACAACACAGTACCGCCCGTTTGGTATACAGTACGGTACAACACACACTAGAGTGAATGTGAGAGCGGAATTGAGTGCGAACGAGGTTGAAGGCGAGACGCAGGGACTTTTCTTCTGCCTTTGTCTTCCCCTGAAACCTGGCCCAGGGTGACGTCAATTTACACCTTCGACAGTGAGGCAGTCCAAGGTTCTTCCCGTCGCGACTGCAGGCTCGACCACCGCAGACGCCGCAGGTCTACAAAATTTTGACAAATAGTCAGATAGTCAACCCCGTTCATCGTCAATGCTGAGGCTAGTACTGTGTGCCTAATGTAGTGTGGTGGTGGCCGATTGCCGGAAACCCGAAGATACTCTATTCGGGGTAAAATTGAACACGAGCAAGCGAGAGGAGCACATATGGTGATGGGCCAGGAATATTGACTGGGCAGGAGTCGCCTGTCGCCAGACGTACCAAAGATGGCACTACGGTAATGACCTGAGAGTGAGATCTTGGTGCTGCGCCCCTGTTGTGGCCCCTCCGTGCTCCCCCCCAACGTTCCCAACATTGGAAGGGGACCCCTAGTCTTGACGCTGTCACAAGCGCTTGCCGTTCAATTCTGAGATATCCACATTTTACGGTGGGCACCCCGTGGGAGCTCCAGCGCCCCAGCTGTCTGGTCGTCCAGCTGTCTGATGAACCACCAGGCCACCAGGTCACCTGCAGTATCTGTCAGCCCTCGCTTTCCACCTGGCCAAATTCTCATCAGCTGGAGGTAACGAGTGAGCCAGCCAAGCAGCTGCCACCGCATCAGTACTGTATTTTCTTGGTACACCACAGTGCTGTGCATAATAGGACAGACCAGACGGCAAGGGCCACCCAGCGACCGTTACCCACTCTCCACGGCGACAACGCGGTCTGGAACTCTTGTCGCTGTCTTGGACCCTACAGGATCCTGGCAGCACCCGGCCAACATCATCATCGTCATCAACGGAATATAGGGTATCCTGAGTTGGCGTCATTTCCTGGGCACTCGTCCTCTACTGCCATCACCATAGCATCTCAACTTCATCTCACAAGCAGCCAGCAATAGCCCATCATCGCCCTGATAGTCCTATCACAGCAGGCTCACGGGCTCCAGCCCAAAGCACAGGGAGCTGTTTGATATTCGCCCTCCAGAATCATATCCTGTATATTCACCAGACCTGGCACGGTCCCAGCCAACGATGGCGCCTTTGAGGATCTGGGGGCTGCTGCTGGTCAGCCTCGGGTCTCTCGTTCATGCTGCGGACAACGACAAAGATACGACCACATCCGGGTCCGAGTCGTCGTCGTCCTCCGAGTCTGGCGTCATCATCCTTACGGGTACTCATACCACAACTCCGGACAGGCCCACGAGCGCTCTTGAATCGAGCACCATCACCCTCGCCACAACCACTCTGACTGGAACCGACCTGGAGACCGCCACTGATAATGCCACGGAGTCTGAGACCGGGACCGGGACTGTCACCTTCCTCACGGGATCCATCACTGGAACAACTGTCTCGGGGACAGCAACCCGCCCTGGGAACTTCTCTGTCACCCCTTCGTCAACTTCCACAGCGCCGACTGTGGTCAACACCCAGCCCTGCAACGACTATGTAGAGCTGTGCGACCGGAAATATAGCAACATCACTATGGTGGGATGCCACAACTCGCCCTTCGTGAGGCCCGGTAACCTCGCCTCCAACCAGGCCTTGGATGTGACCCAGCAGCTCAACGACGGCGTGAGGTTTCTCCAGGGCCAGATGCACTGGAATGCCAACGACAGCGTTCCTCACTTCTGCCACACCACTTGCGATATTTTCGATGGAGGGCGCATCACAGAATGGCTCACGGACGTCAAAAACTGGGTTGCTGCCAATCGTTTTGACGTTGTTACCATCCTGCTTGAAAACGGCAATTACTCGACGCCGGACCATTACGTGGATGCTATCAACTCGACGGGCATCCTAGACTACGTCTACACACCACCCTACCAGCCCATGAACTTGACCACCTGGCCCACCCTCGCCGAGATGATCATTTTTAATACCCGGGTGGTTCTCTTCTTGGACTACATGGCCAACCAGACAGCCTACCCGTGGTGGATCGATCAATTCAGCAACATGTGGGAGACTCCCTTCGACCCAGTGGACCAGAATTTCCCCTGCACCCCCCAGCGGCCCGACAATCTACCCATTGAGCAGGCCAAGAACATGATGTACCTCACCAACCACAACCTGAACGCCGAGGTATCCATACTGGGCCAATCCATCCTCGTGCCGGACGTGTCTCAGCTCAACTTGACCAATAACTACACCGGCTTCGGCAGCCTTGGGCTCGCCGCCAACAACTGCCGCTCTGAGTACGATCGACCCCCCACCGTGCTGAATGTGGATTACTACAACTTCGGTGGCTCAGAGGATTCTGGCGCCGTTTTCATGGTCGCGGCGGCCATGAACAATGTCACGTACCGCGGCGGATGCTGCGGCAAGGCATCTACGAGCGACTCGCCGCGGGGCCCGTCGCCGATGTTCTGGTACGAGGCAAGGAAGAACGACCGGCGGTCCGTGGCAGTGTTCATGCTCGCCTGGGTCACCTGGATCCTGCTGGTCTGGTAGCGCTTGGGCCAGACGAGGAGGCGGGGAGATTATTGTGATTTGATGCCGCGGAGGGACTGGTGGTGACAGCAGCCCTAAGACGGGGTAATCGGGCCCTACTACATTGACATCAGGCGTATCTGATTTTTCTAGAGTACTCACTCATTGCAAGGCGTTATGGTCAATCTTGGATGTTATAGACCGTTCTTAGGATAGACCATTGCGGTCGCGAACGATTGTGGAGTCACTCCTTGAGAAGAGCAGCAGGGCTCGGAAGAGACCCATATAGAAAATAGGTATGATTTGAAAAGGCTCTGGTCGAAAGAGCTTTTGTAAAGAATTAATTTATTGACTCTCCAAGACGTATTTCTCACCCATGGCCCATGAACAGCAGCCTACGGAGAGGGCTCGTAACTTGTGTTTTTGTCATTGCAACCGCAGACTTTCGTAGCCAAGGAGCCTGACCTGCGCCAAAATAGGTAAGATTCTTCCAAGACTTGTCTTTTATCACTCCTTCATGCCTGTCTTTCAAACTCTCGTCTCATGTTGGTCAAGTTGCTTGCTTACTCTTTCCTCCCTGAGTGGGCTGCATGTCCTCATCGTCTTTGATGCTCTGAGCCCGGCTCTAATATTGCCGCATGGCATACGCCGAATGAAAGGCCGCACCTGTCGCTGACCTGGTCCGCACTTTCCTCGGGGGCTGCCGCTCGTCATATGTATCATCATCGGAGTGGTCGTTATTTTGAGCCCTCCGCTTGCGAGCGCCATGGCTCGTGCCTGAGGCCCCGTTCCGCCTCCGTTGGTGATCCGATTCACTACCATCATAAGATGAGTCTCCGGAGTCATAACATTCCGGTAGCGTGATCCAACCCTTCTCCATTGCCGTGGTCGCCTTTTCTGTATTCACCAGATCGAAGATGACTGGTTCGGTCTCACTTGACTGTCGGATGGACCTCTGTACGTGTGCCCAGCTTAACGTGGGGCTCTGCATAGTTTGCACACCGCGCCCTGCTCGAGAGCCGGGGCCGTCGCGGACTCTCCATTGACCGATGTCGTCGGCCAGCTTGCCGAGCGTGAAGTTGTACCTGCCCCCGAAGTCCAGCAACGTCTTCTTGTCTTCGGGAAGACCGACCGGGGTGTAATCGTCCCTGACTAACCACAAGACTTTGAGGGGAGTTTCAATCTCCATGACAACAATGTAGGGCGTAATGATGGCTTCATCGTCTTCTGCGTTGCGGGCGACGCACAGCCTACCCAGCGGCAAGACCAAGGTAGAGTGGCCCACGCCGTCGGGCGCAGAGTTGGATCTAGAGGCTTCTTCATGAGGGGTTTCTTCTTGAAAACTTTCTCCATCCTCATTTCCAGAAGCACCATCAGTACTGACAGTACCATCGGAGACAATGAAATCATCGATGTCATCATCCTCAATATCGTTGTCAGCAACAACGCCATCGTCATCGTCCTCGGCGTAGACAATTCGGCGGACCTTAGTCCCATTCCTCCCGTCAAACGTTTTCTCCGCCGGAATTCCATCCATTCGACGGTAAATTTCCATTCTGACCTTGACAGCTGCTTCGGTGATGAACTTGTTTCGGTCGCCATTGAACCTCTCGGCGTTCTGCTGCAGGAGGTCGACGTGGCGTCTGAAGTCTGCCATGGTCCCGTACCTGCTGTGAAAAAGCGCGTAGTGTATGGTGCTGAGGTCCACGGGCTCCGCGATCACCTCTCTGTAAGCATTCCAGATTTTCGGGCGCAAGGCTTCCACCGATTTCCGGAACTCGCGCGAGTCTTCAGTGCGGCTTACCGCTGCCACTATCTTCATGAGAGCGGCTCTTCGGTACGGTGTGATGCTGTCAGTGGCAAGAGCGGGATCGCTGAGCTTGCGCACGGAATCGTTCGAGAATTCCATTGGGTACTCGCCGGCCCATTCACTGTAGGCCAGCGACCTAGCTGAGATCAAGAATACCCGGCCATCCTTTGCGGTGACCAGTGGAATCATGCTGTTGTTTTTGTGGGCCGCAGTGAGCTGGCTGAGAACCTTTGGCTGAGAACTGTTCAAGACTTCCTTCAAAACGAGCTCATCGTCTAGCTGCAGGCTTTGAAGTTGTTTCACCAACTCACGACTATCGTAAGGCTTGTTAATATGCTCCACGCGCTTGCTGCCAGGATTATTCGTATCGATGGTGATGTCACTGTCACTATAGATCTGGAGATGGACTCGCTTCTGATCGTTCTCGGTTTTTCTGTTGTCGATGCGGACTTTGAACGGCTGGCCGGTATCGACAGATGCTAGTATTGCCTTGATATCGTCGAAAGAGACGTGCTTGCCTTGGGGAGTCGTTAATCCTTCCAAAGAGCACGCCATGTTGGCTGGTGCTTTCTGAAATCTAGTCGATAGCCAAGCACTCAGACATGAGTGGTGTTCTCATCGGACGATAGCTACTCGCCCTGTGGTAGACACTGGTAAAATTGATGAGAGTTGGAGGCTGCGAGATGAAAATAGATTGGACGGGAAGAATGTGAAGTAGAAGGATCACAATGGCGGTAACTGAGACAGGTTGCATGCGTGCTTGGGCCATCCATGAATGAAGGGCTGAAGAATGAAGCAGTCTTTTTGACGGAATGGTTCAAGCAAAGAAATCGGAATGAATAGCAGGCTGTTTCCTTGAGGATGTGTCAGGTAGCATGACCGAGTGGAGGATGGAAGGCAAGCGACTAACAGAGAGCAGGTCAATAACTAAGCAGACGCAGAGCGAGAGGTCAGTCAAGGGTGAAAATCTAATCAGAGGAAATTTGATCACTGGTATCAGGCATGAGGGACTGCCGCTCGGAGGATAGAGACGAGGTGCGGGTGTAATATTCCATGCGCAGAATCACCAGTCAAATAGTTATCAACGTTCTCGAGGCTGGCCAGGTGTCATGAAGCGAATCAGCGAAAGGTCAGGTTCCTCGAAGAAGGGAACTGTTTTATTCAAAGTTTGGTTCCTTGAATAAGCGTGTCATTGTTATGAATATTCTTTTCTCACTAACATGGGATCTTCCGCCAGCCATGAGATGCTGTTGACACTCGATGAAGCTATGACGGAGGAGGGATCACTGTCATCTATCAGACCGGCGACAAATCAAATCAAATCAATTCACGCATACGTAGACTTCGTGCGATCTGTGGACACAATGGGACAGTTTGGATCTCAGAACACCATTGTGTTGATGTAAGGCATAAGCAAATCAAATGATAACCTGAATTTCCGTTATTAGCAGCCAGCCTCGAGATGAAAGCCCACTGCCGCCGTATCCGAGGTCGCCTAGTCCTGTGCCAGTGGTATCAAATCCAACAAATCCAGGCCCGCGTTGGCATAACCACACCATCTTCACAGATTCTTTCAATTTTGACAAGCCCGCCTTCCTCTATGCACAAACCTGTCAAAAGTCATCAAAGTTCACTTCCTGAATATCGACGCAGCCAAGGTCGCCTTCAACGCGGTCCACCTCCGTCTCATAGACCCTGCCATAGTGCCGCTCCCATCTGTGTGTTCATCATCAGTATCGTCCGCATCATGGTCAAAGTCAGAAATGTCCCTGCCAGACAACCCACCAGATCCCTGCGCCGATAAGTACTTCTGCGAAGCCGCCACCTGCTTCTCCCTCCGACTCTTGAGCACTTCGCCGCCCAAGGACGGGAAGATCGCGCCTATTTGCTCCCCTGTGAGCGCAGACACCTCCATGAAGCTCACACTAGCGCCGGCCGCGATACCTGATGGACCGAAAAACTCCTCTGCGGCAATCTGACCCTCGAGCCAGGATACCTCGCGGAGGGAATCGGGCACGTCTCGCTTCGCGCCGATGAGAAGGAAATGATAGGGTCTTGAACCATGCGCCCCGTCGCTGGTATTTCTTCTCGTAGGTGATCCGGGGAGATGAAATCCGGTCCTCTTCTTCGTTGGGGTCGTCTGGCCTGGGTGAATCGAATTGTAAATAGTGCTCGCAAGTGACTTGAGGTACGTCAGTGACGCCGGGTCCGTGATGTCGTAGACCAGAACTGCTGCCTCGGTGATGGCTAGGGCCTGGGAAAGATGGTCTGGCGACGATAGGTGCTCTACAGGTAGCTCGAGCGCGTCGATGGTGTACAGATTCGACTCGACGTGTTTGCCCTCGTTCGACTCGATACTTATGTTGCGCCGGCAGCCGTTGAGGTAGCTTGATGCGGCCAGACTCGACGCGTCGGGGAAGTCACCGGTGCAAAACTGTCGTGAGATGATTTAAGCTGAAAAATCCCAACAACACGTCTTGAGCTTTCCTCACCTTCGTTAGAATTGACGTCTTGCCCACTCCCTTGGCTCCAATCACCAGGATACGAAACTCGCCGACGGGCTTCTTCTTTTCGGGTAAGCGCAAGCCTAGCATCCAGCTTGCTCGACTATCATCGGGGGGCTTCTCCTGCCACTTCAGGACTGCCCGAAGGTAGCTGGCCTCCTCGTCTGAGAAGATCATTGAGGCCATGATCAATGATGCAAACAACTTGAAGTCACGGAAGTAAGGGTCGCGTGATGCTTTTGTGGAAAACTATGAAAGACTTATGGAGACAGCTTCTTGAAGGAGGCTTTGGGGTGAAAGGGAGAGAGGTGGAAAGTTTCCAATGGAAATTGGGTTGAAGCAAAAACGGCACCTTAGACCTGCCTGCGTACAAGTGAATTCTCGAGAGCTTCACTGGCCAGCAAAAACAACCCGGTCGCTTGACCAATTGTACGCAACAGTCACGTTTGCACGGACTATTGCAAATGCTAAGTGTGTGTAAATATTCTTCCTATGTTATGTAGACTGTGTCGCTCCTGATTACCTACAATCTTGGAACAACCTCTACCCCTGTCCGCTCAAATACCGAGCGTGACACAGCAGCTTATATTGAGAAGCATGCTCGCTGCTCTGCGAAGAAAGCCGAGAAGTTTGCAGAGCCTGAAGCAAGGTTGAGTGGTCCAACAAGTACAACAGGACACTTCACGCCGGTGTCAGGAAAACAAGAGAGAGAACCTCGTCAACTGGTCAGCCTGATGACACGGTGGTGTCTGCACACGGGATCACAGCATCAAAACTGCGTCACGCTTCCGTCCGTATCGCTGATACGAGCTGGGCCGATGAATTTCGAAGCCAGAATAAAGGGGATAGCAAGTCACATCATTATTAGTCCTTGATATTTGAGACAGCCTATGCAGCGGCCCAGACAGTCGGGAGGCCCTTGAAGGGAATAGGATGTGCATAGTGTCCTGTTCCGGTACATATAATTCTCGAAGCGGCTGCGGACCCGTTGATGCTTTGGAGTGAGACAATCCCCCTTGAGCAATCGAGTGTGGTAGGATAGGAAGAGGAGCTAAGCAACACCCCTTTCTTTGTTTCTGCGGAGCGACGTGCGGTCCTGCTTGGTGCGTCTGCAACGGTCGGTCTAAAATAGCAGTACAGTTGGGCGAGAGCCGCTAAGCGCCCGCTGACACCCTCGACGGAAAGTGCTTCAGGTCCACCTTGCATCTGGAGTGACCACGTGCGCCCAGGTCCTATCACAAGATAGAGAGGAGTTACTGGGCTCCTTCGTCTTCCCGAGCTCCAAAGCTGACACGTCAACAGGTCTCATATGATACGATTTGAAATCCGAGCTGCATTTGATCGCGAGAGGTGCTCGAAGAGACCGAGAAGGCCGTGACCCTGTCGCATTTGGGCGAGTGTTCGTCACACAGAGCCTGCTGTACCACCCTCCATCAGCCAGAACAAAATATGGCCAGCATCAATTTCGGACTGCTTGTCCTGGCTAAACCCGGTCGGGCTTACTATGAAGATATCTTCCATACCTGGCTGCCACCTTCAGAAGAGCCACTGCTGGTGCAACAAGATTGATGTGCAACGGGCAGAACACCTTCCACGCGCTGCCATCTCCTGGGTCCCACTGGCACATCAGGCTGGATGCAAAGGACGAAAATGTTTGCTGTTGGTGGCTGCTAGCTGCCCGCCGGGCTGTTTCTTGAAGATCTCCTTCATTTTCACCGTTGCTCTTTCACTACTTCCTTCGCGTTCGTTAGGGATTCTGCAGGCCCTCCTTGGCACCTACAGTCTACTTGTCGGGAATCTGGTCTACTACCCTGTTGGCAACGTGGCGTAAGCAATGTGACGGCGAGCATCCTTTGAATGGTATACCCAGTCTAGCGCGGGCGCGGGTTAGTTACGGTATTCAGCCGCATCGGAGCATGTCAATACGGTCTCATCCCCCGGTCTCACCTCTTCTCCGGTGTTTATTCTTTGTCGACGCGATCTACTCATTCTTCTACTTCTTTAGAGTATTCATTCTGATTATGTCCGATTGATTTTGGGGTTGAAAATTCTTTTGCTAATATGTCGTTCGCTTCTATATTTGTCTTTATTCATTTATAGCACCTGGGAAACACAGCAATAAGCATACGAATCGGCTCAATCTATATCTGTCACGTCGCTAAAACAAAAAGGCCGCAGATAACCTCAGGCACCGGTCTTGACACCATGGTTCCGCCTGGAGGATTTTCTCCTCATTATCGGCCCGAGGTCCCTCAGGATGACGGCCATAATTCCCCAGATCAGAGGCTCAGCTCCCGCATAGAAAGCTTCAGCGACATCGCCGAGATGGAATTCGGAGGCTATTACTATGGTGAAGCTTGTTGCCCGATTACTTCCAGCCCACCATCATCTCCATCACTTCGGGGACGAGAATCGTTGGTGTCGCTACCGACGCAGCGGTCCAATAGCACTCTGGGCATTGCTAGACTAGAAACCAGATCGTGGTTCGCAACAACTGAAGAAAATGCATACCAACATATCAGGGGTTCCACGCTACCTGATCTGGGACAAAATACGAGCATGCGGAGTGTAGACTCTATTCAACATGCCGCTGAAGACATCCTCATGGCCCAGGCTGTCCCAGAAGACAGAGAGAGCATGCATATCGCCTTGATACCTGCCGCAGCACCCATACATGGAGTAGGGCCTTCGGCATCAAGTCCTGAATATACCGATCTGGAAATGTCAAAATGGCAGGAGCAAGAGAAAGCAGGGAGACTATCGAATGGTCTAGGTGTTGGGCTCAAGCCAGAAACAACCATCCGGGAGGCAGACCTCATGTCTTCTGATCGCCAAGTTGCCTCCCCAAGGCTTTCGCGATCGATGTCCCTAACCGGACAAAAACCATTGCTGAGTCGTTCCGCAACCCGCAAAGCACTCGGTCAGGATACCGCAGACAGAACCGGCCAAGCCGTCCAAGTCATCATCGAAGATCCGGAGTCTGAAGAGGAGGAGGATTATGCTCTGCACCATCGCGACTCAACTGCCGGCTCAAGCTTTACCAATCGAGATGCGGTGCATTCTGAGGAGCTTGCTGACCTGAAGAACGTCAGGACAAAGAGTACAGGCTTGAGACCGAGGGTCCAGCGGACTGAGACTTTCTATCCTCACCCAGACTGGAAGCCGTTCTCGATGCGTTGGCCATACCTCACCATGCTGATTTTCCTCTCGATCGCACTCGCCGGTCTGACGGAAGCACTCTACCAGTCATCTGCCAGGAAACCGTTGGTGTCTTTCAACACACCACAGGAGATCAAGCCAGGCGTGTACTTTGTGATCAAGTTTCTTCCGACCATCGTGGCTGTGACCTATGGTGTATTGTGGCAGGTCACCGATTTTGAGGTCAGGAGGCTGGAGGCCTTCCACCAACTTTCGAAGGAAGGGGGTGCGACGGCCGCGGAGACACTGAACGTGGACTACATCACCAATCTCAGCTTCTTGAGGCCATTACATGCATTCCGCCTGTGCCACTACGCAGTCACGGTATCCTCGGTAGCTTCGTTGCTCGCGGTGTCGGCCGTGCCCACACTGACTTCAGCATGTATAATTCTCACTCCAGACCGCAAGGAACGAACCCAACACCCTGAAGGGACAAAAAATATTCTGGTCGACCCGACATGGTCGCGGGTACTGGAAGTGGTACTTTTGCTCATTGCCTTGATGGGAGGGGTCCTCTTCGCCCAGCTAAGATCACGTCGATCCGGCCTCCTTGCCGATGTTAAGGGAATAGCTGGCCTAGCAGCCATGGCGAACGTCTCGCACATTCTCATGTACGTATAAGAAGATGTCTGCCCCAATGCCATATCTCGCTCGAGAACTACTATGTTTAAGAACCTCACTTGAGGCTCGACCGCACACAACTGACCTCTAGTAGGGACTTCAAAGACACGGACGTTGCGACCCACAAGGACATCCACCAGAAACTGGCACATAATCGTTACATCCTTCGGAACTCGTCTCTTGCGCCCTTGCCGGCTGGGGAGAACGGCCCCTCGACCGCGCGGGAAGATGACCACGGCGCCAGTGGCTCGAGGAGGAGCAGCGTCGAGCACAAGTTCCACCTCTCACTCAACCCGCATCCCCTCATGCTCCGCGCAGCAGGATGCGTCCCCTTCATCACGGGCATCCTGCTGTTCGCCGCGCTGCTCCCCATCCTCCTGTTCACGCCCGCGGGCTACCTGACAGACAAGGCACCCTGGGTAGTCACTGCCCTGGCTGTGTGTATCAAGCTCGCATGGGGCGCGGTCGACACCAACGTGAGGATGATCGAGCCCTTCTTCATCCTGTACAAGCGGCACGCGCCGCCCAAGACGCTCACGCTCGACTACACTGCCATGCCTTTCGCTTGGGTAGCGCTCAAGGCACTGCTGAACAGGCACTGGCTGGTCTTCGCCGTGGGATTCGGCACCATCATGACGGAGGTGTTGACCGTGCTGGTGACGAGCCTCGCGACGGTGGAGGGTAAAGAATTCGCGAGGATGATCAGGGATCACCGTGGGGGCATGAGTGACGGCGGCGGCGACATCCGAGGCGGCCAGGAGACGGCCGGCTCGTTTTGGATCTCGTTCGGCCTGGCCACATTCATCCTACTATACATGGGGGCCGTGGCCACGGTGGTGTTCGTGCGCCGTCGTAAGCCATTCCTACCGCGCCAACCAAACACCATCGCCAGCGTACTGGCTTTCATACACCAGTCCAAAATGCTGTGGAGCTTCGTCGGAACAGAAAAGCTGGGCAACAGGGAGATTCTCCAGTTCCTGGATGAGGTGGGTCAGACATACGGGCTGGGCTGGTTTGAGGGGCGTGACGGCCGGGAGCACTGTGGGATTGACCAGGAGGAGCTCAAGACTTCTTACCGCCACGGGCTAGACTACAGCCGGAGTAATAAGCCGTGGGTAGAGACCTTCAGTGAGTGGCTATGATGATGTTACTCGACATGCTTGCGAGAGCTGGAATGTGTACTCCTCGAAGCCGCTGACGAGGATATCATAATTCATCAGTATCTTGAAGAGGATACTTGCCCAATTGCTGGAGCATCCGTATCGCTCAGCCACCAAATAAACAGTAACATGATTTCTGGGCAGCGTTCAGAACGTGAAGTTGAAACCATTTTGCAAAGACTTCTGGTGAAGTTCTGCGTCCTGCTGACGACGCTTGCACAGCAAGCTGCGTTCCGTGCCTGCACTTGCGGGACAAAGGTTTGCTTCCTTGTTCTAGAATTCTGGGTTTGCCTCGGAAAATTCCTGGAACTTCTTGATATCTCCCATGTATGCTGTGGAACAACTGCCAGAAAAGACGAACCCCAGTATGAGAAGAAACACCCTTGAGAGCGATCGTCACAGGGAGCAGACTTAGCTATGTGGGCTATGGGGCACCGCATGGCGAGAGACATCGCCTAGGTCCATACCGGTACGCTTTCCTCTGCTGTCGGTCATGCTACAGTAGCAGTCGTGTGAGTTGGCATCGTGTGTGGTTATCACGAAGCTGTGGATTCCAGATCGGCCGCCGGTGCAAGGAGTGGAGTGTAGCTCCCGGGGACGGTCGGACCGGAGCACATTGTGTTACGGAAGACGTGCCGCAGGCCAGCCATCCAGGCAGGGGCTTTGTGCGAGTTGACGCAGTGGGCGTCGGACGGAGCAAGATAGCCGTGCAGCAAGCACACATGGGCGACCCCTAGGGCTGCGACGTAAGTTATGTCCAGAAGGCTGTGCAGGGCAGCATTCCACAGCAAGGTGATCGATCGGCGCGTCACATAAATGAAGGGATGCCCACAAATTCCCCGATGACGAGGCGGGATCTACTGCGTATACGTATTGCCTTCTGTAACACAAGTGAGCCTGACAGCGCCTGTCAAGAGGGACGCGGAGGGCAGTGTCTGATGCATTGAATTGAGGCTGGGGTGTTGCTGAATCTCAAGGCCCAGGGTTTTAGATTTCGCCAGGGCGGACATGTCAGTGCATGTGAAGTTTGGGTGTGGGTCTAAGCGATGGTGTCTGGTGCTGGGCCCACGAGTGCCAGCGGGTTCTGATCTCAAAATAAATCCAGAGATTGGATCTTCAAGGGGAAAGCCCCGGATTTTACGCGAAAAAAGAAATTGATAAACAGGAGACGAGCCTCGACATGCACGAAACATTGAAGCCCAGCGAGAATCCTCTTGTTGCGCGAAAGAGGACCGCCGTTCAGAATATTGGCTCCAGGTTTCCAGCTGGATGGGCATCGGCTGCCGTCTTGCAAGTGTTGCACCTGCACCGGGCAGGGCTTCCTGAGACTAGGTGGCGTCGCAGAGTGGTGGCCCACGAGTCGGAAAATATCGCCCAGGTCCACATGAGCCAGGACGCACACCATCACCCCAGGCTTGTGATCGTGAGTGTGAACTCGTGAGCTGAGAAGTCGACGCTTGTTGGTCATATCGACCGAACGCATCCAATTGATTCACACACCACGAGGATCTGCCGCATCGAAACAGCATGCTGATCTGAATCCGGAATCTGTAGAACTATGACGACAGGTGAAATGGTGAGGCATGCTGCACCCTGTTCTGCGTGTGTCAAGGTCTGAGCACGGAGATCTAGCGTGCTCAAACTTTCAGAGTTAGGATTCGAGATTGATGGAGCCTGAGCTTGTGTCGGATGAAGATCCCCCATGCTTGGGCCCGAGGAGAGTCGATTACCTGGCTTGGTCATGTAGATTTCTTATTGCTCGCACGTATTGCTATGATGAGAGTCATGAGCTTAGCCTAAAGCCGCCCTTCCCAAGGGATTGGCAGATGGCACGGCAGCACGGCAGCATTTTGGCAACTGGGCCGAGGGTGGCTGTGCAGGTTGGCTGCAATGAAATCCAAGACACGGAGTGCGTCAGGCCAAGGAACACGCGGGTCTGGCTTCTGCGACACCAGGGCAGCCAGGGCACCGAGTGCTCGAGACGTTGACGTGGATGTGATTGGCGCGAGCGTGGCGCCCTCGAACGGGAGCCGCCAGACCATAGCATACACTCGCTGCTGCAAAAGGCCTGGACCCTGGAGATGGTGGTGAGGTGATTAAGTGAGGCCAGAGGCATAACAGGGCCGTAGGCGCAGGTCTTGACACGGGCTGGCCTGCTTGGATCTCTTGGCTGTGGTTGTTTGCCGGTTGTGATTCTGGAAGGTTAGGGTAAGCCAGGCCAGAGTTATTATTATCCTACCATCTGGTCTCTGCGGTTGAGACCGTTTGGGCCATAGCGTGAACGTTGGAGACTAGACGATGACGGCGCTGAGTTAGTAACACGAGGGACGAACCGATGCTTTGGAATTGGGTTGTGTGATTGCAGTACTGCCTGCATACAGTACGCCACACCATGATCAAGTCTCGGCCCAGCTTTATCCGCGTGGTCAAGAGGCTTGGGGGACGCGCCTTCTGGGGCCCTCAAGACCTGTGGCTCATTCATTGTGTCGACGTGTGTAGCAGCTTATTTTCCGTATTCGGGCACTCCTTGAATACGATCATCATACGAGGGATCGAAGGGGGGAGAAGAGGAGGGCCAGTGGTTGTGTGAGTTGTGTGGTCGGCAATGTGCAGTCAGTCAGCCAGCCAGCCAGCCAGCCAGCACCTCTCAAATCGGCATACAGGCCAGCCAGTACTGTGTGTCGCTCAGTCAGTCACTCACATCAATCCAATCAATATTGGTCCTGTGGTATGGGAGGCCTGGCTTGGCCCAATTCATGCGAACACAACTGGACGTCATTTTGGACGGCGCATCCGTGCCCCGCACCTGAATGGGCTTCTTCTTTCTTCTCTAACACACAGGAAAATGAGAGAAAAGGCAGTGAATTAGTTGATCGCAGTGCTTGTTGACAAAGACAGTCAGCCACGACGGCTGCATTCCTCTTTCTTTGGTGCGTGTTGATCGAGCTGATTGACGGCAGAAGCGCAACCTTATTGCCGGTACCTGCAGGAATCTCGAGGGACACCAAACAGGTACCTACAGTAGCGCTGCGGCTTGGCTGGTGGGGCCAGTACCTGGTGACCACTGCAAAATTGCATGGCGTACAAAGTAGCTCTGTGCCAAGCCCCACCCCTTTCTTACCAGGTGCTACCGCAAGGGACTAGCGGCGCCCGTAATCTGTAGCCTCTGGCCAATGGTTTCGTGCTGCCGTGGCCCCCCAAGGCCCCCCCAGGACCCCCGGGTATCCTGGGCCCCTTTTGATTGCGACTTCCAAATGGGTCCGTCCCCCTTCCTTCTTCCCTACTGTGCTCCACCACGAATCTAACCTGCCCTGCCCTCGACCCCGACTCGCTTTCTCCCCCATCTTCACCTTTTGACGATCTGATCTGGTCCTGATCCTAACATCCAGTCCGTCCGTCGACAAACAACACGACCCGGGCGACACAGACACGCCCAGCGGCCATTTCCTATCGGCCATCTTCTCGTCCTCCATCACACTCACATTCTCATTCTACTCGTCGCCCTTACCCTTCTACAACTAGTCTACTTACTTCCCTTGGTATAATCCACCACATCGTCAGACACAACTCACAATCATTTGAATCGAGGCCTTCCCCGTTGAACCGGTCTCACCTCTGTCAAAGGCCGTATTTCGCTCCTTGCCCGCCTGCGACGCCCGCACGAACCAGAGAATCATCGACCAGGAGAGTGGCCCCCACTGCGCCTCCTCGTGATTCGCAAATTAAACCAGACATTCACTTCGACAAATCGCTTTCTTGAAACCCCCATCCTCGACCATCCCCAGCCCGTCGACCGAACGAACGACCGACCGATTCCTCAAATCGGCACGAACTCGGACCTCGAAGCCCTTCCTTCTTTGATGTCGACTTAAACCCCAACAGACCCTCGCTTCTCACTCAATTCGACCGCTGGAACACGGTTCGACCGCACGAGGCAACAGACTCAGCACCGACGGCTCACGCCCCACGGGCTACCCTTTCCCTCCACGCCCCACGGGCTGCCGCCACCTCTCGTTACGCCGTGTTGCTTTTGCATCCCGTCAAAATGTGGTTCTCTCTAAGGACCCCGTTATTACTGCTCGCCTCCGCTGCCGCCGTCCTGCGGCCGGCGGCGGCCGAGCAACTGCTTCAGTCCAGCTCTTTGAACACTTGCCAGGACAACTCAGGATTCACAGCCAGTCTCTTCAACGTCGCCTATACGCCAGCCAACGGGACCGCCATGATCGACATTGTGGCAGTCTCATCCATCCAAGGAAACGTTCTCTTCGACGTCTCGATCACGGCATATGGCTACCAAATTATTCGACGACAAGTCAATCCGTGTGACATTGGTCTTGCTGGACTGTGCCCCATGTACGTCCGCCTAAATCAAAACTCCCCTTTGCTAAAAGGTGATACTAACATGTGTCTTTAAAGGACTGCTGGAAAAATCCCACTTACTTTCAACCTGGATGTCGGCGACGAAGCGGCCAAGCAGATTCCTGGAATTGCGTACACTTTCCCTGACCTGGACGCGAAAGTCAAGGTGTTCATCAACATGACGTCCGGTGACCAGGCTAACACGAGCGTGGCCTGCGTCGAGGCTGATATCTCAAACGGAAAGACCGTCGATTTGGTTGGAGTGAAGTGGGCTACTGCTATCGTCGCTGGCCTGGCCTTGGCTTCATCTGCCGTCATTTCTGGCCTTGGACACTCGAATGCCGCCTCCCACGTTGCCGCGAACGCTTTGTCACTCTTCGGCTACTTCCAGGGCCAGGCTATGATTGGCATGACCTCCGTTCCTCTCCCTCCGATCGTGCAGTCATGGACACAGGACTTCCAATGGAGTATGGGCGTCATTCGCGTCACCTTCATGCAAAACATCTTTACCTGGTACCAACGTGCTACTGGAGGAACACCATCAACGCTCTTCGACTCTCTGAGCACAGTATCCGTGCAAGTCGAGAAGAAGAAACGATCCCTGGACATGGGAGCCGAGATTGGAATGAACTTGTTCAGGCGTGGGGTTTCTATGATGCCTCGTGCTGTCGCTCAGATGCCTTCGGCCGTCGTAGAGGGTGCTTCGAAGCTTATGAAGAGAGGAAACGTCATGAACTCCAGTGGCAGCTTTGTCGTGTTCGGCATCCAGCGTGTTGCTTACAGGGCTGGCATCGAGTCCACCAACCTCTTCATGACCGGGCTGACCTTCTTCTGCATCTTTGTCATCATCACCATCTTGGGAGTCGCCGCCTGGAAGGGTTGGTGTGAGTTTGCCGTCAAGCATGGATGGATGAAGAGTGATACGTTTGTGGACTTCCGAAATGGCTGGTTTACTGTCCTCAAGGGTATTCTGTTCCGTCTCACCTTGATTGGGTTCCCTCAGATGACCATTCTGTGCTTGTGGGAGTTTACCCAAAAGGACTCCGCCGCCGAGGTTGTCCTGGCTGTCTTCTTCTTCTTTGGAATGTTGATCACTCTGGGCTGGGCATCATCCAAGGTCATCAGGATTGCACGCCGCTCCGTTGTTATGCACAGGAACCCGGCGTACATTCTTTTCTCCGACCCTCAGGCTCTGAACAAGTGGGGTTTCCTCTACGTACAATTCCGTGCTTCGGCCTACTACTTCATCGTGCCTAGTCTGGCATACCTGCTGCTCAAGGGTGTTTTCCTCGCTTTTGCGCAAAACAGTGGCACTGCACAGGCAATCGCCTTCATCATCCTGGAGGCTGGCGCTCTCATCGGCGCTAGCGTTCTTCGACCGTGGATGGACAAGAGCACGAATTCTTTCAACATCTCGATTTGCGTCATCAACTTCCTCAACTCAATCTTTCTTCTGGTCTTCACTGATGTCTTCAACCAGCCAGCGATTGTCACTGGTGTTGTTGGTGTGATTCTCTGGATTGCGAATGCCGTCTTCGCGCTTGTCTTGCTCCTCATGTTGATTGCAACTACTGTTATTGTCTTGATTCGCAAGAACCCAGATGCGAGATACCAGTTCATGGCGGATGACCGAGCATCATTTATGAAATCTCAGACGCAGCTGAACACGACGACTGAGTTGGACGCCCTGGCAGCGACTGCCCGAGGTGATAAGCAGGGATATAAGGCTGGATTCGACATGGACGAGGACAACGAATCGATATCATCCGACTCGATGAAGCGACGTACAGACCCATCACACATGCAAGTGCCTCAACAGGCAAACTCGCCACTGGCACAGTCCAACTACCGGGAGCCACCCAGGTCCCCAGTGGACCCCTCCGTACCGTTGTTCCCAGCAGACAACCGGAGTCGTACGCCAAACCCTCAACCCGATTACGGCGGTTATAACAACGGGGGACAATATCTGCGTCAGCAACCAAGTGGCTCTTCAATGGGCCCGGGGTCCTTCACCGGATCATCATCCACCCTATCAGCCCATCAGGCCCAAAACAACGCCAGTCCAGGCGGGGCATATCGAAGCCAGAACACTGCCAGGTAAGAATCGATCAAGTGCCGATACTGCTGCAAGGAAAGCTAACACTCTTTCAGTCCCTGGCAACGAGGCGCGGGTTACGAACATTAATGAAATTGGGTTTCGATACGAGCTACTAAGGCTGGTGTCGCGCCGTTCACGACGACATGGAACTCTTGGGCCTTGTACTTTTCTTGCTATTTGATCATCACTTTACCATTAGAGTGGTACTTTACTTTTGTGCCAGCTGAGGGGGTTCAGCCATTTGAGGCATTGGAACTTATTCGGACCAGATATTCCCCACCCCTTCGTCGGCTAACGATGCATCAACCGACTTCCCATACCTTTTTGACCCGTCCTCAAACATTCCTCTGTCTGGGATTATAGAACCCGGACCCCTTATCATCAATTTTGAGACCCAACAAGGGTCTACTTACCATACCACCAATTCCCTCTGTTATCAAACCAAATCATAGGGAGCATTGGAATGGCGTCCAGGAAGTTACGGATTGGAGGAGAAAACCAGAGAGATCCAAGAGAGGTCATTCATACCCGATCGATCAATACAAATATTATTGCAACCAGTCGCATGCATTCTGCCGCCGAAATCGAGCGAAATGAGGGCAGTGAAATCAGTTGCCGATACCGTTGGGAGCCAGGCAATCTCAGTCAACGAGTATTCGTGGATATTGTACACGAGAGGCGTCCGGAGTGCTATCCCATCTTCTTTCGCAACACTACGACTGTCCGTCTCGGACCATGTGAATGGCAAGCATTAAGCCAAAGGGGTTGCCCTCCGCCGCTGTGCGTGCGAGGAGATGGCATGTGCGCATGTGCCGAGTGGTGCCGCGTATTTGATTGGTGTCTTTTTTGGTGCGTGCGATTGTGGCTGGTTGGTAGATCAGCATAATTAATTGAAATCTTTTCAAAGATAATCAACCTCTCTGATGTGTGCTGCATGCATTCTGTTCTACTAGCTCCCGGCCGTGGCCATGCCGGCCCTTGCAAGTAGGTCTGCTTGTCAAGTACAGGTGGTGACCTGATCAATGTAGTGAGCCCGCAACTGCAAGAAGTCTGGGGACCTATGTGTCCCCAAGTCAACTCTTTGACTCTTCTTCACTCCTTAGCATCTTTGATGATCAATGGTTGCGCGTGTGTATTGAGTGACCTGAGATGTTAGAATACTTTCATTAAAGACGGTACTGGACTTGACACCGCCCCTGGGTGGAGGTATGTCAAGGCGAAGACCACGATCTGACGTCAACGATGGCCGAGGTGACAATGCATGTCAGGAACGACGGATACCGTAGCTTAAGGCTTCACTGTGAGGCTTGACGCCAGTATAACATTGCTTTCTTCAGAAATAACTTGTTGGGGGTCTGTACAGACTCGGGCTCATACTTATGCTGGAAAGAGCTGTCCAATTTTCGGCCATTACGATAAAAGCTACACTGCAAACAACATACCCGCCGCAACGCTCCCGACAGCGTATTTATATTTTCATTGTTGTACAACTTTTTGGATCAGATGTAAGACTGTTCGGCTTCTTCGGCGATTCGTTGATCGCCGAGGCGAGTTTATTATGGAGAATCGAGACCTCAATGGCGCAACGCTTCTCCAATCCGTAACATCGAACCTTCACATCTCCTCACCTCAACTCCTCAGGTATCCGGCATCAGCAACACCACCATGACAGCCGTCGAAGCGCAGCATTTTGAGGACACCAAGGCGATCAAGGCCCTGATCCAGGCCTTTTTCGACTCCATCAATGCTGCAGACAGCAAAGCTCTGAAATCGCACTTCTTCCCCGCAGCCAACTTGACCATCATCCGCCAAGACCCTCCCTTGCCAGCAGACTCCGAGAGGGAGAGGGCGGATGCCGCGGATGAGAAGCTCACTGTTGTACTGCGGACCACGATCGAGAAGTTCGTCAAGCTGATCGACGACGGAGAGAAGAGGAGGAAGGGCCAGCCGCCCGGCCCGGTGCTGCACGAGAGCCCGGACCTCGACGCCACGGACGTCAAGGTCGATGCACTGTTCGGGTCGGCCTGGAGCCCCTTCAGGGTCACCTTTGACGGCGTGCTGCACCATTACGGGATCATGGTGTATACCCTGGGGAAGACCGAGGTCCCCGAGGGAGGCGGCAAGAGGGAGTGGAAGATTGAGGGCGTAACGCAGAACTACCGCCGGACGCCTGGGTGGCCCGAGGGGGAGCTGTCGGGGACGGTGTGACGGAGAGTGGTGTTGTGGGATGATGGGCCAGCCTTAGAAGTGTGACGGCACCATTGAGTGTTAAGCTGTGATTTTTCTGTGGAACCCATTAAGACACGGCACGCAAAGAAGAGACTGAATCTGTGCGTTATCACTGGGCCTTTTGCTTGGACGCCGGTAGTAAGATCTGAAGCAAAGCAATCGAGCCATTTCCTGTCCGTGATTTCGGTTGCATTGTCTCGCTCGACGCATCTAGGTGTGTGCCATCGCCGCTGTGTGATGGTCTCGGGCTCTCGCCAACGTTGACGAGTCCCGGATTCGCTTCGTCAAGGTCTGACCACACCTGAAAGCTCTGTAGAAGGTCATACATTGGCGTTTGCATCGCCATCTTCGTCAGTGCTGAGAAGCTGTCAGTTGCACGGGGAGGGTTGAACAATGAGCCAGCACAACAAAAGCGTGGAGGACAATCTTACTTGTGTCCGATGTGGACCCCTTCCTATGGCCACGAAATACGTAGTCTCAAGTACTGTCCGACCAACTGCACGACCAAGCAATCGGTTAACACCCGGCAGAAGTAGGGGGAAGGAGGCTAAGGAGGCTGTCTGGGCTCTAAAGGTGTCGCACAGGTACTGCAACTTCTGAGACTTTCGTTTCTTGTTGAAAGTGGGAGTACGTGGACCAAATATGTGAGAGACGCGTCAACGTTGTCTTAGATTATACGCAAGTGCATTTAGATGAGTCCAGCTTTATATTATACTGTCAAATGTTAGGAATTGCGGATGGCCTCCAGCTTCCTATACATTGTTCCCATAACGCAGAATGTCAAAAAGAGGGGGCAACAAGGTCGTGGGAACGTTCAATGTAAGTATAGGGTCGCCCGGCAGTTACAAGGAGACAAGGCCGGGATGCGGTGAAGAACCTCAAAGTCGGCCGAGAAGCTAGTTCTCGGGGATGTAAGCCGGGCATTTAGGGGCGGGCTTCGGTCCACAGCACTGGTTCACCTGTTGAATCTTCGCCCATACGGAGCACTGCCGCAGAAAGTTAGAATTGGGGAATGGTCCGATGCTACACATCTCGGAGGGTTCATGAAAAGACCGGTGAGCTGCGGTCAACCTTGCAGATGCCCCCTCGGACCACCCGAGCCAGCGTGCGATGCGAGAAACCAAAGAAGGCCGCTTGCGGCGGTATCTCGTAACGCCGGCTAATTCGGATGTTCACTGATTATGTCCGCACTTCTACCGGTTTTACCGCTTTGCGTATCTTAGGCTTGTGCGTTGAAACGGCCGGCTTTCTGGACCCGCATACAACTGCCACAACATGACATATGAACTTAATGCTAAGAATGATGCGTGGCGTCGCGTTCTATGTATTTGGAAGACCCGCATCGTTATAGTAGCATCCGGCCAGTATCTTGCGTTCAATCAAATGTCCACAGAGAACTCCACACACTACATTCGGACTTTGTGTTGAGAACGACATCTGACAGTGTAATACACCGGCGATTACTTGAGAGGCGGCCTCCACTTTCTCTGTCGTACAATTTCATGCTGCTGCATCTAACACATACGCAAGTGAGACCATATGAAGTGGAAGGACAGCCCTCAATGTCTGGGCTGTCTCAATTACCGTCACAGATGAGACTCCCATCGCAGGCATTCAGTGAAATCACAACACTTATTTGGGCCGCGGCTACCACCCAGGTAGCTGCCAGACTTGCATCGAGTCTCTTCACATTGCACACACGGTATCACAAGCAACTTTTCGCTTGATCGCTGTGGATTGGGCCACAAAAAGGCAACACCCGATCTGGCTGTCTCAAGATCTGTGTTGCGGTGACGGTCACGCCGGCAAAGCGTTGGAACAACATTCAGCTAGCCTCTCCTTCGGGAGAACAATTTTGCAATGTGTAAAGAGAAGATATAAATATTTGACCAAGATTCACCATGGAAAAGCTTCGCCATGGATGGAATCGCATGTGAGCCGGTCTGGGCACCTTATTCACACGAAACACAATAAAATCGAGCATCATGACGGAGTCCACAGGTGAACGTCTTCTTCTCATCCGTATCTTCCCGCTACTCTTGGCTGCTTTGAGCCAGCTTTTCCCATTGGTCACAGCCGACTGCTACTGGCCCGATGGATCATACGCTTGGGACATGCAAGAATGCTATGGTTCCTTGGGTGCAGATGGACTGTGCTGCGCTCAAGGAGACCTCTGCCTTATGAACCATCTCTGCCAGAGCCCCGCCTACCAAACGTTGTATCGAGGCGCTTGCAACATGCCAAACTGGACCGAGGCTGAAACGTGCCCTCAGATCTGCTTCGACTCGGAAGATGAGGACAGTATGAGCGACATTCAACTCGTCGAACAATGCGACGTGACAAGTGAACAGTATTACTGCAAGGCTGAGGAACAAATAAGAGGCGTGGATTGTTCCAGGTCCGACCTCGCCGTCCCAGTCTTCACTCTACCTGGTAGGGAATCTCTTTCACGCCATCCGAGGAGAGAGTAGTACTTACGATAGCACAGGATGTCTCAACGTGTACAACACGGCTGGTAGACCGATGCCAATGACAGATGTGCAAACCTGTACCATCGCCAGTGATCCGCCGCTCTCTTCATGGACAAGTTTTGACTTGGATCCTGACGATTCTTTCACAACTTTCGATTTGGGTCCGGATACGTCGTTCACAAGTTTCGACTTAGGCCCTGCTCCGTCTTTTACAGAAGACTCTGCGCCGACTGGCTTTGTAAGATATTTGATCCGAGGTGCGTGATGGTCTCAGGTGACCTGTACAGTGGTCCTCAATTCGCGCTCTGAATGAATTCATAGATTCCTCGTTCAACTCAGACAATGAGGAAACGCTTGACGCAGAGTCAGCCGGTCCTGCGAAAGTTTCTGGAGTAGGGTGCCCCCAAGCCTCTAATCAGCACAATCAATGACACTCTGAACTCAGGGGCAACATTACCAGGCTCGCCAAATAATAGCAACTTCAACCTTGTCGGAGCCTCATTCGAAGGCCTCCGTGCGGCCATCTCTTTTGCCACCTCAATTTTAACCATTCGTTAGTGGCGAGATCCAACTCAGAGAATCAAGGTAGCGAGCAAAATACGTAGCGAAGCACAGACATTCACTCAGATTGCCAAACAGCCTGTGTCAGTTTCCAAGTCGTAGCAGCTTTCACTGTTGTGAAACGCTGTGTTCGGGTCGATAAATCATGGGGTGTGAATTCTCTCTCGCTGAGCATCAGCAAGGACGCATGCTACGTGGAAGTGGAACCGCAACACTTTTGTCGGTAATTCGAATTCCATGGGGGCAGAATACAAAAGAGCTCGCCTCGTAATACAAAAGACTACTGGCCATGCTGGCTACACAAATATGTTATTCCAGACCTTGGTGGATCAAGGCAATTAGTCTGGTGGTGTTAGATCCACTCAAAATGAAATTACCATTGCTTTGTGTTGCGCGTACCAAGGAGTTCCAGATGATGTGGCCAATTTGACGACGAAATTTTTTGAGGACCCAGGCTGCGACGCAGTACAACGTCATAAAAACTTCGCTATGCTCCTGAGCTGGCAACACAAAGCATGATTAGGATGTCTCTCCAGAATTATGCACCGACCGACTGGCATGTTGACCCCCTCAAGCCACGCCCCGATTTCAAAGCTGGCTACTTCGATACTGTAGTAAATTTTATGGGTAATTGGAGTAGTTTGCTGTCCTGAGAATAGGTTAGAAATCCCATATCTGACTTGAACCTGGTACTAGGCATCATTTGAAGTACGAAATGTGTGATATAGTGTGACGGATCTGACACACCTCCAGTCTGGGTTGAGTGACATGAGATCGAAATGGACTCAGGTATATACAGGGCAAATTGGAATTACTTCGTCAAAATATGCCGGCTGTCATGTAGTGAAGTGCTTGAAGTAAGGTTGGCTTTTCATGGTTGTTACACAAGGACCATTTCCTAGTAAGAAGGAAATCACGCATGCCTTTCTTCTTGCTAGCCTTAAAACAAGCTCACTGACCTCTGCTAACATTCAGGAGAGAAGAAAAGAAAAAGGAGAAAAAGTCCATTCATTTACCAAGATTTTCTTCGGGTATGTCTCTCAATTCCCATACCTGGCTCCGTAACCATCTGTATAATTGAAGCAACGATCATTTATAGGCATAATGAAAGGCACCCTTGACGGATTCCGAATGTGAGAATTTTGGAGAGAATTGAATTTATTTACAATCAAATAATATATGTTTGATGAAGCTCGTTCCAATGACCTCAATGTGACTGGTCTCATCATCCTTAGAAATAAATGGTCGCCCGTACTGATATCATTCAAATTTCAGACAGCTGCAACAATACACTCGACAAGGTCGAAGGCACTGCTCGCGTAGTCAGAACAGACAAGCTTCACATTATCAAAAGAGTAAGGGGCAAGAACGGGCATTCACCATTCGTATCTCTCCAACGTCGAATCGTCCATGTATGCAGTCGTTGCGCACTGCAGCACTTAAAGTCAGCTTTCAAGGCAAAAAAGGAAAAATGGGGATGAAAAGGGGGATGAATAAGCCACTGTGTGCCGACAGCGTTGTTCAGAGGATGCAGCCTAATTGAATGCTTTGGAACAAACGCTGAAATAGACCACAGATGACAAATGCTTTTTCTTGAAAGAGTTTAAATTGTATCCATAAGACACGTACACTCGCACCCTGCTCAACACAGCCAAGGATACTGGTGGATGGTTCCTGAGTCTCATTCTGTGACTGTTGTGGCTGGCTGTGGTGTCTCCTAGAGAGGCCTGTGCGAAGGAAGATGGCTATGGCGAGTAGCAGTTGGGGTTGCATTTTGTCTGTAGGGATCTTCTGTCGCTCTGGGGGTCTTGCAGGTATTAGAAAATGTGCTGAGAATTTCCCAGATTGTAGTGGTGTCCCATCTTACTTATATTTACGAATACGGGGGCGTCAATGTCATCGGGACACGCTTTACCAGAATTCTTTCGTAAAAAGAAATAGCTAGTGGTTGCAAGTACCTGTTTGAGACGTTATGGCCAGTAAGCTGGACATATCTTCAAGACGTCCGAAGATTTGAAATGGGAAATACAAAACTACCCAATTTTCCTATCAAAGATTCCCCGCAGTTATAATCTTCGGTGCCAAGTGACTTCTCTGCCGTACTGTTCTCGGAGTATTTGATGACATACGACGAAGTGTGTCCCCAGCCACGTCCCCAGAAAATCCTCCAAACAAGACTTTTGCCGGATAGATCTTGTACCTTGGTCAAAAAAGGGCACGCAATTGTCCGGTATGCGGCGACATCCCATCAATCCTGCACCTTCGGCCCGAGCTTCATCAAGTACACGCCTGCGAGTTCGCATGTGTTCCCTAACAGAGGACGTTGTCTGCTTTTTCTGCTATCATCCGATAATTTGGCTGCTCAAGCTTTCGCCAAGGTCCTGTCATTTTTAAGGTTCGCTGCATCAGCCGTGCCGCCGAGGTGTTCGCGATAAATTGTCAACCCACTCCGATTTGTCGGCATTCCTGTCGGAAGCTGGCAATTATGACCTTGCTGAGATTCTTAGACAGAGTATTCCAAGTATAATCGTTTATCAGTAGCCCAAAGCAGAAGCTTTCCAATAGCTTATCTTTTCGTCCAGCAACCCATCCGTGATCACCCTTAAAACAGAGAATTCTGGGAAGGCATTGAGTACGGTCCGGAACATGTTCTCGCTGTGGCTTCCTGTTCGAAAATTTCTATTCAAAAACGATAATGCTAAAGTTTGTTTCCTCTTTTCCCCATGGATCACAGTTTGCGAAGTCTTTCACTAACTCAGTTATACCCAGCAGCTGAAACAATGGCAACACCTTTCCAGCTCCTCGGATCTATTGCTGAACAGACGTCACGATCAAAAGAGTGATGAAGCCATATCTGCAGTGTGTAAGTGAACTTACCCGTATGTTCTAGAAGATAGGCATACAGCATCAGAGCCTTAACCTGTGCCAACGAGTTTGAATTGCAGGAGTTTGGTCAAAAGAAGACCGTCTACGAGATCTCTATCGGCTGGATTTCATTTATAGCCAATGGAGCAAGATACCAAACCCTCTTTTTCTTCAAAAAATCACTATTTTTCAAGACCAATCGCCATCGTCAATTATCTTTGCCCCTCTTTCGCCAAGTTCAAGAAGCTCCTTTACGGTCCAAAGTTTGAACGTGTGGCCTGGCGGCGTGTTTGTGTTCTGGAAAGGCGAACCGGTGAGAATGTGATTAACGCACTTCTCATACATTTTGTAGGCGTACTTCTCAGCATCATACTGCTCAACCCAATTATCGACTTGTTTGAGGACCGAGTCTGGATTCTTTGCCGCAGCGTCCCAGTCGGTGTTGTGGAAGTTCTCTCTGTTCTTGAAGCCCATTTTCTGTGCGCAAGTCACCCGCTCGAACCTGCAAGCACGATTAGCAAGATGGAATTCGATAGATGCAAGATAGCCCACCTCAATTTGTTTTGAACCCTCAAAGCTAAGGGCGCGTTGTTTTTGCCACTTATGTGAAGCAGAGCCGCGAGGGAGAACGCATCCTCAAGTGCCATGGTCGCACCGCTTGCTGATGTAGGAAGGAAAGTGTGAGCCGAATCACCGATTTGAATGACCCTGGCCTTAGGGGAAACCCATGTCTCTCTGGGATTACGCCACATGAGCTTAAAGTCCACCACTCCATCGGAGGGTGTCAATTTTATGAGTTCGCTCAGCCAAGGCGCCCATCCCTCGACAAAAGGGAGTGCGTCTTTGGGATTCGCAGGCTTAGCCCAGTCCTCGGAGGAGTCTCCATTATCCTAAAGCACGACACCACTCAGTTCTATTGCACACAAAAGGCTGGTTGTCAGACCGGACAGGACTCACGTGATGTGTGAGCATCCACATTATGTCTTTGTCCGTTTTTCCTAAAACGATATGGGCTCCAGGGCCAAAGTATAAGCGGGAATCGTTGGCTGTATACGCTTTCGCTATCAATGGGTTCTGCATTGCGAGATCGACAGAGAAGGTAGTTCGATACATAGCGAAGGAAGAGCTGATAGGCTCCTCCTTGGTACCGCACACTAATCGCCACGACCTGGACCCAATGCCATCTGCGGCGACAACAATGTCTGCAGCGAGGCGCTCCCCATTCTCAAGCACAACGCCGCCCTCAGTATCAGTCTCGAAGTAGTCTACTGCTTTAGCAGCATAGCGGATCGGAATACCGAGGTGAAGTGCATATTGGTGCAAAGACGAATGGAACTCAGCTCGGCTCATTCCTAGAATCTCCCCTAGTATGCCAATGTAGGTCCCATCATACTTGTATGCATAGTAGGCAAGTTGAGGGAACGCGGCTTGGTAACATGCCTCGAGGAAACCAGGCCAATGCTTCATGGAGGGTAGGACAGAATTTCCAATGCCAATGATGTCGCCTATATTATTTGTTCAGTTTTACCAGAAAGGATCGCACAAAAGAACAGTTTCCAACCTACCATAGTCATTTCATCGAAGTGTGGTCGGCGGTCAACAATGCGAATGTCATGACCTTTACGATATGCTTCGATTGCAAAGCCAAGCCCAGCAATGCCACCACCTACTACCAGTATGGATATTCCAGACGAAGGCTCTCGTTCGATTGGCTCCACGCTGATGAATTTGTTCGGAGTTGCAGCCATCGTGTACAGAATTTAAGTGCTCTTCGGTGAAAACGGTGGAATGTTGTTTTCTTGTGTACTGGTGACGAGCGAAAGCTGAAGGGGAGGAGAATCTGAGGGCATAGACTTTATATTCGAGGCTCTGGAAAGCCTACTTTGGTACAACAACGCGACTGCAGTATTGTGCCTAGCTCGGATCAGTTGCCAGCCCCATTGGGTAGTAGACGCAGAGTCTCTCAGGACAGTTAGACCATTCAATTCATAATTACCGAATCACTCGGGGACTATTTGGGTCCCGGTCGACCGCCGATAATGATTTCCTCGCATCAACCAGAAGTTTACGGATTTATGTTTCACTGTGCAAGCACAACCCACGGAGAGTTTAACTTGTTATATATGCCAATTTCTCAGGAATTTGGCCAACGCTGCCAGGTAGCTGGAAACAATAATTGATTAGGTTTAGACTAGCCTCGTGAAAGTGACCTCGAATCATACCTGCATAGCTGTTAGAATACCGAACGGATTTGTTTGCCAAGCAGCCTGGATATATGGCCAACTTATAAATCCGTGATCCGCGGTGCAACAATTGATCCGACTGAAATACATCCAAAAGTAGCGACGACCTTAATGAAACGGTATAGCTGCACGACCACATGGCTCGATTTTGAACTCTTATGATCTTTCAAAATCGTGGCTTTCAATTTACTTGCCCATTGACATGTTCTGCAATACTATCTATTTGTACAGCGCTACGATAGATACCCTCGGGATGGAATTCAATGGAATTGAAGGCAGTAACCCCATCGAGGAAGTGTTCTGTACGGTGAGGGAGGGCGAGATAATGAGACAAGGGTCGTGTCATGCCTGAATAATCTGGAGTTCTCGTGTTGGCCATCAAAAGTGCCCAAGCTCAAGGTAATTCGTATTCTGATAAACGGCATAGCGAGCAAAGAGGTGGCAGGGCTTTGGTAGACGCCTTTGGTCAATTTATTCAGCAGCGGTCAATGCTCTGGCATGAACGTGGGGACTCATCTAGAGTCTATTCAATCTTCTGGAGGATACTGAACATAGCGTTCTATTCCCAGTGAGAAGAAGGCTTGCAAATAGTGTCGCATGGAATTGAGGGACGCAGGCATTGGCGATCTGACCGAAGTCAGAACTAAGGTATTGCAGTTACACAACCTATGAATTTCTACTCAGGTATCCAAACTGTCTATATATACACAGGAATTTGATCGCCGTAGCCACCATTCCAACAAGAGATCCCTTGCAGGATATAATTGTGTACAAGAATCACAACGATCATCAGGAGCCTGCAGTAAGCTGGACTCACACTCGCCGTAGTAGCATCTTAGTTCTTAGTCTCCTCCGAAGTCTTGGTGGTCTTGCCGCTGAAGAAGTTGTTGACGTCCTGGACGAAGCTCTTGAAGTCACGGGCGTGGTTGCGGGCGGGCTCCTCCCTCTTGGTGCTGCTGAAAGCCAGCGCGGGGCCGGGGATCGGGTAGGAGTCGAAGGTGGTGTAGAGGTTGAAGTTGATACCCTCATCATCGGCACTGTACAGCGCCGTTCCCAGAGTTCCCTCAGGCTGCTCGGTACCGCTGCCAGTGACCTTCAGGTTGACACACTGGGGGTAGTTTTGAGCGCCGTCGGCGTTGGAAGCCGAGTGCAGAGCAATGATCTCGTGACGGAGCACGTAGTTGCCGGGCTTCAGGTTGGCCGGGATGGTCACCTCATGGGTCAGGGAGTTGCTGATGAGCTCGTCGCTGGCCCAGGTTCCTGGGGACGAGCCGGAGATGAGGCCGGCCTCCTGGATCTTGATGAACTTGAGCGTGGTCTTGTCGACAGTAGTCGGGTCATCCGCAGGCGCAAGGTAGTCAATGACGGGACCGTGCTATGCTCAGATTAGCTTGAAGAAAAGTACTCTCCCGTGGTGACGAAACTTACGTGAGACTCAGGCCAGGTGTTCCAGGTCATGCTGATCTTCTCACCGGCGGCAACAGTTGCATTGTTCAGAACTCCGTTCTTGGCACCCCTGTGGCAGATTATATCGGCGTCTCCGTAGGCGCTAGGAGCGACAAAGCCGTTGTCAGATGCCGTCGTGGACCAAGCGATGAAATCGTCAAGCTGCGACGCGTCGGTCTGGTACTGCTGGTCGAAACCCTTGTACTCGACACCTCCAATGTTCCAGGAGTCGACGTATCCGTGGGCCTGGACGAGGCTGACGCCAGTGGCGACAGCGAAGACGGTAGCTGCGACGTGGGAATGCATTTTGCTGATATGATCAAGGTTGTACTTGGGGTGAAGAACTTTGGCCTGGTGAGATTCAAAGATTCAATGAAACCGACTTGCGGAGGGACGAATTGTAATGCAATCAATGCAATGAATGAGTGAAGCTGATCAAAAGAATGGATGCAAGGCGGTGATCGAGGTTGGATTAGAAACAGGAAACAAAACATAGCCAAATAGCCGCCTCTGGGAATTTATATAGTCATCATATGTCCTGTCACGCCCCGCAAGCATCACGGCCTCGTCGAGTGCACTGGCGTAGAGTCTCCGCGTCACGCCCAGTTTGATATTGAAAGCGGGCCGCAAGTGTTTGCTTGGCAATAAACATGCGGCCAGGTTGGGAGGTGAAACGGTGGGTTCGTCTGAAGGAAAAGCTGCGGCTCAGCGCTATACTGGGGTCTAGGTGAAGATCGTCGCCGTCAGGGGCTCAGGAGAAGGCGGCACTTCAGCCAAGTACATCCAAAACGGTGAAATTGTTTCCACAAATGCGGCTCCAGGTCCACATGATTGACCGCTGCATGACGATCGGTGGAGCATCTGTTGGTGGGGGACAGTTGTTTAATCATGACTGCCAAGCCCCGAAACGGATATCACATCGCTGCAAACCAAGACGGAGACTTGCTTCTCGTAAAGGCATCCAAGGCATGCAGCACGCCATTGAAGCCTCCTCAAATGGAAAAATAGTAGGCATACTTGTTCTTGGACCCCAGCAGACAAGGTAGCTCATCTCAGACCGAACGAAGAAACAAATTCGGCGTGAATGCTCACCGTCAGAGCCAAGTAGAATGCCGGAGTTGAGGTCTGCGCCTATTCACACATCCGGCCTCGCTTATGCCCAGGAGCCTGTGCGATCTGAGTGGTCTATCTGCCTACGCAGCCGCCCAGATACTAAAGCTCCGCTTTGTTTCGCTCTTGCATGCCAATGACTAGCAAGTCCGGAAAGGGGGCTCAGTTGGCCTATTCGTCTCCAAATGTGGAAGCTGGATCTGTGATCGCGGCTGTACACGATGTACACCGTAAAGGCCGAGTCAGCCAGATCCAAAGGAACGAGACATGTGCGATCTCGTAATATTGCGAGATTGATTGGTAGGGAGTCGAATTATGCTGTACATTGGCCCAGGCACCGCAATCCACATAAGCCCGCTCGATCTCGTATGCTGGCCCCCTATCCGAAGATTTTCAATTTGGGTCCACAGCGGATCTGACAGCCTGTTATGTCAGATCTCAAATATAGTGATCCTGTGTAACCTCAATCAGGGAACTCACCTACTCCCCGCGACGCCCTATCTGCAGCATACTGCCGATATTGATAGCAAATCGACAGCCACGACGACAACAAGAGCCTCTTGCAAAAGCGTCCTTTTCAGGAAGTATTGTGTCGAAAGAAAGTATAGCCGAAGGTATGTACCCCCTAGAGATCCCAGCGCGGTTCCAGAAGATTAGGATGCGCGCAGTACCAAGGCTGTGATGGCACATTCCCCCTTTTTGGCTCTACCGTTGGTGGTCCGTCTGTGAAGATACCTCCAGCAATTCTCTCTTACCGAGAATACATTAAAAACGATCTCGTGCTCTTCATACTTCAGTGATCATAACTCCCGAATTGGCTCCCGCACTGTAATCGGTCGCTCGCTGTCCCCGCACGCCATCCCGGCCGATACTGATTGTACTATTGTGTCAACACGTCAGAGAGTTCGCCAAGATTTGTTGAAGACTTGCATATCCTTCATGGATGTGGCTTGTTCAACTTACTTCCCACTGCGCACTCCTTTCGACCAATGATGTGCAGTCCATCTCTCGGTTGTGAGCCAGTTGTCCCACCAGTGCTTGTCAGATTGCCAGTGGCGCTCCTGCTGCACCGACACAGACGGCCTCACCTGTCTCTGTCTATAGAGGGCTTTGATATGTCCCAGCAGGACATTGCAGGAAGGTACAGAGGCGCAGATGAAGCCTATCGTGAGTTCCGATATCCTACACATGTCAGTCGGGATGAATTGGCTGCGCAGAAAGGACTGGATAACTTACACTGTAATGTCGAGGTAAACAAATGCTGAAGTGACATCATCTGTCACTAAGTACGAGGATAGTAGGTACATCCGATAGGTAGTGATACCCAGCGCTATGCCTCCGGCACCAAGTATCGCCGCGATCTTGAGCCTCTGAGTCAGGGGCATGGCGAGGTGCCATATCAACACAATGGGAATAATTAGGATGATAGAATCTGTCAGAATTGCCAAAGAGAGGTCAAAAATGAATGCTTTTGCCTGGCTGAGGCACCTCGTCGGCTGGATATTGTGGTTCCAGAATGACTCGACAGGTACGCAAATAAACATTTTGATAAACTGGATAGGGATGTACGTAAGTGCAAGCGCTGTGACAAACCACTTGATTGCCTTCGCTAATCGCTCATAGATGGCGAATACTCTAGCTGTGAGAAGCAAAAGGGTTGCTTTTATAAAATAGGCAGCTGGGCAATACAGCACACTGGTGATGTAGAGCCACTATACCAGGTCAGTATGGGTTTGCCGTAATTCGAGCTTAACAGTCCTAATGGGAGGCAATGTGCGGGGCCCCACAAACCTTCAAAATGACTCCATATTGCTGTGTAGTGACATCCCAAGCATGATAGCCCGCTCCGTTAGCTAACACTTGTGATTTCCTTGTGTCAGACAGATATTTCATGAACACACTTCCATGAAGATGGATCTTCCTTACTGATGTACGACGCTACAAGAAATGCTGCCATGAATGCCTATGAAGCTTAATTAATATGCTTCATCCATTCCAGCTGTGTGAATGTACGTCTGAGATTGTACGCACGATTGAAATCAAATAAAACACTTGTCAATATCTAGTCAGTCTATACTGATCGCTCAAGATTTCTGTGTCCAAGGCGGTCGACAGACTTACCATCTTCTATTGTAATTTGTCGAAGAATAAAGACCTTGACATAGCCTCGCACCAGGAATAGACTCAAGATCAACACTGTGCTCGTGATGGCAATAGAGAACGCAATATTGTGTCCAGCATCAGGAGGGTCGTCGAAATTTGACGTTACACCGGGCGGAGGCTTGACAGCACTGTCACGAGTCGGAGCTTCTGAGCTTTGGCTGCTTAGTGTCGCCGTCATGCTCATGGCGGCCACAACCCGCACTGGTCGGAAGGAGTAGTGTCTCGCTGCGTAGTTTCGGTCATATCCTATCCATGATGCCGCCAAAAACACAGCGGACGTCTTTCGGGTTGACAACTCACGAGAGTTGATGGGTTGAAATGGTGTAGAATTCCAGGGTAAGCGGCGAAGAGGACAATTTGTGTTTTTAAGGAAAAGCTTCCTGACTATAAGGTTTCGGTTGATTTGCGGGATTAAGCCACCTTCCGAGCATGGGCACGTTCCGGTTTAACAAGCATTTGGTACGGCTGAAGTCTCAAAACAGTCGAATTTGCAGATGATCAAAACTAGACCGAATATTTCGTCCAGTCAGTTGCCTTTGTTATCGTCCGAGTGTGAGTATTCAAACCCACTCCTTCAATGTCGATCATCGGTGTGCGGTGATCTATCGCGCTTTGTGTCCACTGATAAGCTCCCAGAGCCGTATAAGGTTGCTTGGGCTGCATGCAGAAAGTCTGTTCCCCATAATAATACATCTCTGATCGTGGCACTGGTGTGCCACATCGGCAGTAGCTGGAGCAGATCAGCTCGCTATCGCGCTCAGCTCACGCAAATATAGATATATCGTGCTCGTATAAGGAATTGTAGTCCGCAGGCGTCCGGTATACTTGGTCGATACAGAAGTCTTTCAAGGCTAGATCGACCCAAATGTAAAAGGAAGACTATTCCCTTCTTGATGTGTCAACATAGTAGTGATAATTGTATTATCTGCTGTATCCAATCAAGCTATAATCATGGATTCGCGTCGCAGATACAAAAGGACTTGTTAACACATGACCACAACTTCGGGATATTTCGTAAGTATTCATCCACTGATAGCCGATAGTATCATGACATTTAACGACGTACGGCACCGCTCTAGCCTCACCTTTGAACCTCCCTGCACCATATGACTGCCATACTTCAGACAGATGAAAGACGCGTTCCGACCTGTAGTAGAAGTTGAAGCTCAGAAGTAATATATTGTTTGTGCGTTCCTCACGTACATCAAGAAGTATCCCCACCCTATTGCTGAGCATCAATTATGAGTCTTAAAATATAAACCATACTGTGCTAGGGGGGGGAAAGCTGACAAACAGGGTTGTTTGCATTCCAAAATCCTCACATTGGCAAACCGGCTGGCAGAAGTTTTAGTCTGCATGACTGGCATTCTTATGATGACTTGATCTTCATCTCAATAAATGAAGACTAAACCTTGTAAGGGTCTGGCATTAACTTGAGATAATCGTCCATACTTTAATAGACTTAGATTGTGAAGCTCTGTGAGGGAAATCTAGTCCAAGTGAGGACATGTATTATGATCAACCTTCAATGGATTGCAATTCTTGTTTGTAACACAATCTGAGGTCCAACATTGAATTCGATGCCAATCAAACATGGAGACCGTCCTCAACAGCCAAATTTTCGCCAGCAACCTGCCCAACATGCAATCTACATTCTGCGTGCAAGCTATCTAGGAGAAGAACGTGTGATGAGGTCCCCTTAAATGATTTGTGCAATGATTGGCCTAGATCATGTAGTCCTTTGTCCAGGTCATCCTCACCTACGCATGCTATCTGTGTCTAAGAACTAATTCATTTCTCCTGGACTGAGAAAACAGAGTGGTCTTGACTGTCTGCCGTGAGTTTGGAAGTCACCATTGATTCTGTGACAGTATCTGAATTCGTCTTATGGATTGGAAAAGAACGGCATTGAATGCCCAATGTCTTCACCATGCCTTCAGATATAGCTGTTTGAGTTGATCATGAACATGGAGCGATGACAGCTGAGATAGAAAGCTATATGAAGTTTCTTTGAGCTGCCAGGCGCGAAGACGAGTGCACATCGCCAGGCCTCAATGTCCTTTCAGTATACCTGGGAGTCCTGTCACCTATCATGCCTCCGCCCTTCGCGAGACAGATCTGTGTGCTCTCTCAAGAACCATGCAATGAACTTGTGGCCCCACAGACGGGGATGTGAGCTAGTGAGTTGATCCTCGTGGGCAGAGATACCGCCAATGTGACTCGTTTCCAGCTCAGGCCAGCTGCAAACGCCTTGCCCCAACTGCAGCCCCGTCTGCAGGCCCCGTCTGCAGCCTCGTCCCCACAGCCCGGTCCCCAGCCCGGTACCCAGCCCGGTCCCCAGCCCGGTCCCCAGCCCGAAAAAGTCGAAATCCCTCGACAGCTTCATCTTCGCCCAAACATCCTCCCAACCAACCCAGAGAGAAGATGGCCGCCTACTACAAAGGCTTCACGCTGGAGGAGCTGGTGCACGTAAGTCAAACATTGCCCGTTCTTTATATTTGAACAAGCGGACTGACGCGAGTTTCGCCTTACAGGAGCGCCAGTGCGAGTACCCGCCTCCGGGCGAGGAGGGCCGCGCGGCGTAAGTAGCATCTCGAGATGACTACCCCCTTTGGAAATACCACCATGGCATCACCAAGATACTGACCTGGACTGTGTAGGTTTTACGCCAGCCGCGAGCTCTGGCCGGTCTGGCCGGTGCCCGCCCCTGCGCCCGCCGCCGCCACCGCCACCATCACCACCACCACGACCACCACCATCACCACCACCGTCACCACCACCACCTCCACCACCACCACCATCATCAACAACAACAACAACCTGGCGGGCCCCGCCATAGCCCAGGCCCAGGCCCCTCCTCCTCCTCCTCCTCCTCCTCCACCTCCTCCTGCGGCCCCAGCTGCCCCTGCCCCTGCCCCTGCGCAGCCGGGCCCCGCCGCCGCTCCTGGCCAACGCGTAAGTCTTCTCCAAGTTTGTGTCTTAGTATAGCAGCCATATGCTGACCTAGTCCTTGCTTCCAGCGGGCCTGGACCCAGGCCGAGGAGGCCACTCTGCGTGCCCGCCGTTTCAACGGCGATAGTTTCGACGACATAGGCGCTGTATGTCTAAGTATATTCCCGCGATATACTTCCTCTTGATCTCTGCCTCTTACAGACACGTACTAATACAATCGCAATCGCTAGTCGCTGGGCAGGACCAAAGCGGCCTGCGAAACCCGAGCCAAAGAGCTCGGAATTTACAAGTTCAACCAGCACTGAGCTTGGCGGGGTGGCCTGTGGGCCGTAGATAATTCTTTTTTCGTCTTTTTCCGGTGTTTGGAGGGGGGGGGGGGCGTGCTGACTTCGCACGCAAGTAATCAAGTCTGTTGTTTCGGGGATCAAAGAGGACCAGAGGACCAGAAGTGCAACGTGACGTGAAAAAGTGTGTTATATGTTTTTCCTGTTCGTCCAACGGGGCTATGAATCTCGACGATTAAATGACCTCGTTCCGTATCCGCCACGGAATAATCCCAGCCGCACACCACCTCGCGCTCATCCTTCCACAGCGGCAATGCCCGCGACATCACCCTTCAGCTCGGCCTCGTTGAAATCCTCGTCGTGCACAGGCAGCTCCAGATGGAACTTTGAGATCGGAGCTACCTCGACATTGACCTCGCCATCGGAGGCCAGCGCCAGCAAGTGACCGCCCTTTGTCCTATCCTTAGAGAGGAAATGCAGATGATCGCCGGCTACACTGACGCCCTGCATGTAGTCTGGGGACCGGAGCCTATAATGACCCCCTCCATGGGCTCCTCGAAGGTGTGAGAGGTCTGGTGCTTGCCCACCTCGGCGAGGCCTTCACCAGGCTTGGACTGGCCGCCGACAGTGCGCACGGTGATGCTCTTGAAGACGCCAGAGATACGCACAGCGAGATAGAGGTTATGGGCCTCCGGGAGCAAGAAGGACAAGAAACCAAAGAGGTCGGCCTTGTCCGCCAGGACGGCTGTGGTTGCGTGGGCGGGCTCGAAGTGTGTTGCCATGGCGAAGGGCGCGACGACCGAGGAGTCCAAGCTGGTATCGACAGTTGTCACGGAACCGTCTGACTTCATCTGGTAGGCTTCGCCGTTGACGACAATCAGCTCGCCAACCATGTGCCGGAACGTGCCGATTCCGTGGTCACCATGCTGGAGGAGGGTGGAGATGAGCAGCCCTTTGTTGGCGACGCCGTCCATCAGGGCGTTGACGACCGAGTACTGGTAGAGCTCGTTGGGTGCCATCTTGACTGAGTGATGGGCCGGCCGGCTGGATGAGGGTTCGATGTCAACCTGGCTGCGAGTGAACTCCACCACAAAACAACAGGGCTGCTACCGTCCTGGATGTCTTGTCGTGACGTTGCGGCGGTCCCTCGAGAGTGTCGTTGAAATAGGGCGTGGCCTGTGCGTCCTCGCAGGCAAACTCCGCCGGAGAGAGATCTACCGCAGCCTTAGCTCCGGAACGGAGGTCGAGCTCTAGCCTCTTTCGACCTCGTCGCTTGTGGGAGAGCGCTGGAACACTCGCTGAGGAAGGGAGCCTGGAAGTAAAAGGCGCAACCTCGGAGCTGGCGGCTGAGGCGCAACGGGGCAGATATAGACGTTCACGGATGGAATCGGGAGGTTCTGAGGGTGACGTCGGTTGGCGGGCCTAATGCGGGAACTTAGTCAGGGCCTACAAACATCATGACGACGGCCCGAAGCCTCCAGCTGCTAATGTCTTAGCAGTTGTTATTCGCGTTAGCCGCAGCATCCTGTTTCTGTGATTCACAGGAGGGACGACATATTTCGAAAAGCATTTGAGAGCTGGGGCTTACTTCAGGGCAATTGAGTTGCGAGCTTCCTCAAGCATTCAATTCTTCTATCGCCATGGCTTCAGGCACGGAAACAGTGGATATCGTGATCCAGTCGCTGATCAATGCCGGCGTCAAGTACGTCTTTGGTGTTCCTGGGGCAAAGATTGTGAGTGCTGTCCTTGATTGTCTGCAGCCTCACGAACAATATTCTGACCAGCTTCAGGACTCCGTGTTCAACGCCCTCGTCGACCAGCCCGAGATTAAGCTCATCGTCTGCCGCCACGAGCAGAATGCAGCTTTTATCGCCGGCGCCATTGGCAAAATCACGGGAAAGCCAGGAGTATGCATCGCCACCTCGGGCCCCGGCACGAGCAACTTGGTCACGGGCTTGGTGACGGCCAACGACGAGGGAGCACCTGTTGTCGCCATCGTGGGCAGCGTCAAGCGGGTTCAGGCTGCTAAGCGCACGCACCAGAGCCTTCAAGCCGTTGCCCTGCTCAGGCCAGTCACCAAGAAGGTCACCGCCGCGGTGGTGGAAGACCAAGTATCAGAGATCATGCTGGATGCATTCCGGGTTGCCTCGGCGAGCCCACAGGGAGCTACGGTTGTGAGCTTGCCTATCGACGTTATGACGGCGGGCCACAAGTCTTCGATCCCGGCTGCCCCTCCTCACGCATTCGATCCTCCTGATTACGGGCCGTCGTCCCAGAAATCCCTCGCCGAAGCTGTCAAGCTCATCGAGGCGGCCAAATTCCCTGTCCTGTTTCTTGGGATGCGAGCTGCAGACCCCAAGGTGATAGCGGCCGTACATGGATTCCTGCGCAAGCACCCGATCCCTGTTGTGGAGACGTTCCAAGCTGCAGGAGCTATATCTCAGGAGTTGGTCCATCTCTTCTACGGCCGCGTTGGCTTGTTCCGCAACCAACCAGGAGACAAGATGATGTCCCACTCGGACCTGGTCATCACCGTTGGCTACGACCAGGCTGAGTACGACGCCGATGGATGGAACAGCTCGGGGAGGCTGCCCATTATACATATGGACACAGCTCAGGCAGCCATGAGCCTCTCTTACAGCCCCAAGCTGGAGCTGATAGGGTCAATGACGGACAACATCACCGCACTAACGGACAGCCTCACGAAAGTAGCCCGCCCACAGGAGACGGAAACAGGCAAATCCATATACGAGACCTTCCACGAGTGGGAAAAGAGCAAAAAAGCCCTGGGGAGCATCAACAAGACCGGCCCTGTGCATCCGCTTCACTTCATCCGGCTGCTGCAGGGCATGATCTCCCCGCAGACGACCGTCATCTCCGACGTCGGGTCGCACTACATCTGGCTTAGCAGATTCTTTTACTCATACAACCCCAAGACCTTCCTTGTCTCAAACGCCCAGCAAACGTTGGGAGTTGCCCTACCATGGGCCATCGGCGCATCGCTTGTCCACGGTCCGTCGCAGAAGGTCGTCAGCGTCTCGGGCGACGGCGGCTTCCTGTACAGTGGGCAAGAGCTGGTCACGGCTGTGCAGCAGGGCTGCAATATCACGCATTTTATCTGGAATGATGGAAAGTACAACATGGTCGAGTTCCAAGAGGTCGATAAATACGGCCGTAGCGCGGTAAGCCCTTGTCCTATCGCGACCTCCGGTACCTTAGACGAGAGTAAGCCTATTCAGATCACTAACATATCACAGGGCGTTGATCTCGGCGGTGTGGATTTCGTCAAGTATGCGGAGGCATTTGGCGCAAAGGGGTTAAGAGCGACGAGCTCGACGGAACTCGAAGCGGTCATGAAGGAGGCACTGGCTTACGAGGGTGTCTGTGTCGTGGATGTGGTGATTGACTATACGGATAATCATGACTTGATGAGCCATGTTATCCCGGACACAATCTCGTAATCGCAGGAGTAATATTGTGCGTGGGGAGGGCGTTCCGGGAGAAAGCGTTGAATCGTCGGATTGGAATATTCTGCTCAGTCTGTGTAATTCTAATAAATCACACATGGTGCCCATACCTGCGTACGGCCACAAACAATTGCGTTTGAAAGAGGCGATTATCATTCAAGAAATTCAAGATCCGTGATCCTTGAATCCTCTCACCCCATAAGTGGAGGGATCCATTGTTAGTCGGTTAATCCTTCCTGACATACGCAGCGTCTCGCAGTCGAACGTTAAAAGAGTTGAGTAATCGCGCAAAGGACCGGGCCACTTGTTGAAAACCTCCCAGAACCCGTTCCAGGCGTGAATCCCGAGTCTCATCCTGCTGCCTATATCAATCCGCAGCGTCAACCGTGTAATCATGAGACCTCTTCAGCAGGAAGTTTGTCACCAGACCGGCAAACAAACAGAGCGTAGTACATCACGCACACAGCACGGGCGAGAAAGTGTAGTGTTTTACGGTATTGGAGATTCGTCGAGGTATTGCTCATCCGTGGGCCGTCGCCAAGGACAACCGGGCATCAACTCCCAGCTTGACTGATGCCTTCCATTTCCATGTCATCCATCCGCTCGTGCCCGTCTCGTCTCGTAGTGTACAGTCGTCACGGTTCTCCTTGTTGTGCATCCTGTATCACAATGAAATCCAGGCATCCCCCCTTCGGTTCGAGTCGCGTAAGATCCGTCGTCATTTTTTCAAAACGCGTTTATTGTCTTGCGTTGGTCACACAGTTAGTACCTAATGGCCTACGTCCTTCTATCATTGTTCGGGAGGGGCAGGCTGCGGGTGTCTCAGCCTTCAGGAGGGCTGGAGCTTACGGAGGAAGCAGAAACTCGCCCCACGAGCTTGCAAGGAAAGTAACGCCGACCTAAAAAGCAAGTTAGCCTTCCGCCATGATACGCATGCGAGTGGAAGCATGGCGATGGGGGCATGCACTCACGCCGAACGAAGCAATGGCCTTGACCATGGAGGAGTTCTCAGGCGACGTCAGGGAGTCGTAAGTGGACCTGAAGAAGCCCTTGGGCTGGCGGCGAGAGCTTGCGGGCTGGACATAGACCTTCTTGGGCGGCATCTTGACTGTTGGTTGATGTGATGCTGTATGTTCTGCGACAGTATCAGCGGCAGGAGCGAAGTCTGGTCGCAAAAAGTCGATGGGAGCCGACGTCAGTACGTAGTGGAAATTTTGGGCGCTAAAAGCCGCGGGAGGCTTCCGGCCGCTTGCGTTGCGGCTCGAGGAGCTTGGGTGACCTGAGCTCCACTAACTTCATTCGTCAATCCAGCATCTCTTTGAGCTGCGACGCATTGCGATCACGGCAATCTCTACAGCTTCTGGCCTGGAAAATGCAATGGAGACCCGAGAATTTGCATAACACCCTATCATTCAGTGTTGATAATGGCTGACACGTCTAAATCCCCTGGCCCGGGAGGCTTTCTCCCGCAGCACCCTCTCCCATCGCCCGCGCCCAGCGGATCCTCGACGCGCCCTGCTTCCGGCCTGCCACACCCAAGATCCCATCCCTTGCGCGCAGGGTCGGGAAAGGAGCAGAAGATCCGCGCGTATGTCGACAACCAGTTGATGTATATACAGCGGCGCTTTGTCAAGAAGAACGTGGTTGCTAAGCCAGACGATGACATCGTGGGATACAAGACCATAGGGGAGCTTTGCAAGGACCTCGGGGCGCTGTTGGACATAATATGGCTGTCTGGAACGCGTAAGATTAACCGATTGCTTAATCGCGGGATGTATGGCTAATTCTGGTTCCGCTCGCAGCCGGCCTCCAAATACCCTACCTCCTTAACATTGCGAACGAGTTCACCGAATGGGTCACAAAGTTTCCTCCCCAGCCCGAACCTCTATTCACGATCCTAAGCAAACTCGACTACTGCTTCGCTAGCCTCTTGGCTGGCCAAGATGCCGATACCAAGGAGACGCTCCCAGGCTTTGAGAACGGCATCCGCGGGGTGATTAACCAAACGGACATGGTCCGCTGTAAGAGCATAGTGGAGCAGACGCGCGTGGTAATCGTAGATGTCATGAGCGAACAGCCCGATGAGAATGGCGGGAATGATGATAGCGAGACCGAGGATGAGACCGAGAAAGAGATCACAGAAGCTGAGACGGATACGGAGGATCCCACGAGCGCCGTGGAGAGCAGTGGATTCGTGGACCCTAATTGGGAAGATCCTGACGATGAGCTGTACATGGACGTGGCGAGAGTCTACGAGAAGACGCTTGTTCAGCTGGGCGAGGTAATGGATCAAACTGCCTTGTCATGAGAGGTATACAATGGCTTGGTGGGATTAGTTTGACACCGCAAAGCCACAGCGCGACCACACAGTGCTGTCCTGGATCGCTTTCGAGGTCTAAAGGCGATGCTCAGATCTATTCATAGGGTTGCCTCAAGCAGCTTCGGTCAGTTCAGGTGCGCGCGGTACGGTCTTTCGCCGATTTGAAAGGCCACGCTTACGTCTGGTCACGGCTGGAAAGCCCTTGGGGCTCTCGATCCTCAGCCAACAATACACCGCGAGGTCAGTTCGTGGCTGTAGCTGCCAATTCGCGTGTCTTCACGGCAGAGCCGGTCTCCAGTAGCTTAAAGTTTTTGTAAAAGGTCTGCTGGAATGTAAACGGCTAGCTGTTGGGGACTCTTTGCCCCTCCTGAGAGCCTTGCTCCCCAACGGACGGCCTTGATAACGTGGTATAGACTGCGACCCATTAAGCGTGTGTGGTATTTGAGACCACCTTGGTCGAATGGGTTGGTGTGACACTCCTCGAGATCGCACAGCTGTCCTGAGTATTCATTGGCGACCCTCGGTTCAAGTCCGGGCGCAACGCTTTTAATATTTTGTCTTCCCTTCACGTTCTCACGTTCTCACTTCTCTATTCTTCTCTCTCCTCTATTCACTCCCAGTGGACCGTTGCGCTCTTGCGTGTTGAGTATGTGCTGAGTAATTACACACGGACACGTTGCCTTTTTTTCGCAGTCCCGTTTGCTCTCAAGACTTCATAAAAAAAAATGCTGATGGTGAGAACTCGCTCTGCTCCTTGTGGAAGCTTGCATCACTTTAAGGCTGTTGCCTTGACGATGCCTCGTAAGGCAAAGCAGACAAAAGGCCTTCCCAACGCCGATTGCCCCTTGGCAAAGCCTTGATTGATCCATGCATGTGCGCAGCTTGTTTTGATAGCACGGGCCGAACGTCGAGAGAAGAAGCAATGGCTCAGGAGCCTGATCCCCGTGGGGGCCGGAAGCCCAACCCGGGCGAGCCGGGAGGTGGGGGCAGCCTCAGCCTCGTCATGACTTACAAGGCTGAGGATTTAAAGATGCATACATGCTTATTCTAACAGAAGGATCATTTACCTCCAACGCTCTGTTCTTTCGTCGACAATCCCGTAGCCTCGCACCCGCACGCTTGTTCGCCACATGACTCGGAGATCTGACCCTGTTAGCTTGTTATCAGCATATTCGTGTCTATATTTGTAGATACTCGAGATGTGAGAGTTCGTTGCGTCAGAAAGAGTCCGCCTTCAACCATTTCTGTAGATATCTCAAGGTTGACCTGGCCTGCCCCGCCCGCACTTAGAAAATGCTTTGAGACTAATATGAAGATGTTGTACTATTAGGTATGTCACTTGGAAATCACAAAGGAGAACGTTTAGAGTAGAAAGCAACAATGTGAATGGTATCTAGTTGCTGAATAAGCACTAAAAACTATGTACAACAGAAGTGGTATCTATCTGGGTAGCAAAAGAGGTATATCCAAAATCAGTTGATCGTCGCTCATAAAATTTGTTGCACGAGAAGGTACGGCAACGCGGGCAGTGCCAGCAGAATAGCTGTAGATGATAGCCCGAACAATGTGTCAGAGATGAATGATGCGATCGTCTTTGGTGTGCGCTCAAATCCGAAACCATTAGCCCAGGTCGCACTCCGTATTTTGTCTAATGTTTCCCGAACCCAGAGGGTTTCCCCGTACGCCCAATCAAGCGGTAAAGACTGTGTGTCGAACTTGTGTCTGTTTTGTTGAAGATCCAGATTTTTCTGGCTTGATGAGAGAGGAAGCCGCGCAAAGGCGGTGTTCCTCCCTCTCCACCATCTTAGAACGGGGCCGAAGTCAAACGCTGGATGTATAGATCTTGACCCAGCTGAGACTGAGCCAAGGCCGTTTACACCAGGGATTAAAATCGGATTTGAGGAGTTCCCAGACATGGGAGGATCCATGGTGAAGTTCCCGCTGCCCCCATTAGGCAGCGGGAGCACAGTGACAGTGGGGGTCGCCGTTGCAGGCGTTGACCCCTCACTCGACGGAGTAGCGACGTTGGTGCTCGTTGGTGAGGCTGGGAGGGTCGGAGCGATTGTGCCGGATGGAGACGGCGATGAAGCAGTAGGTGACTGCGTTGGAAGTGTTGAGAATGGAAGACTGGAATCTGAAGGGCTGGAGCGTGCCTCGGAGGGAGCGGGGGTTTCAGTGCCGCTGTTTTCGCCAGGTGAGGAGTCGGCGAGTTCCTAGCTGGAATAGACCGCAGCGTACTCGACCTCGAGCATGTTGCCGTAACCGGCCAGAGTGTCTGCGTTGGGGTCACCTGGCCACGTACCGCCTACTGCGACATTCATGATCAGATACAATGGTGAGTGAGCCAGGGCGCCCCAGACAGATTCGTCGCCGATGGTCGCGCCAGTCACGGTGAAATACGACACGCCATCTTTCATGAATGAAATCGACTCGGTGGTCCAGTCGTTGCTTGTCCTGTCGATCTTGACAGCATACGAGTGCCAGTCGTCATCGGTAGCCGTGCTGCCCTGAAGACCCTCGGCTCCATTGGGACGGCATGCTGAGGCACTGCAGTGCAAGGTGCTGTAGGCCGTGCCGGCCTTGTTCACCATCTCGAAGATGTCGATCTCACCGCAGGCCGGCCACTGCGTTCCGTGGTGAATGCTGTCTCCCATCATCCAGATCGCTGGCCACATCCCCTGCGCTTGGGCTGCTGCTGCGTCGCCGAGCCGTGCTGAAGCCTCAACTTGCATGATCTTGCCAGCCTGTGGCGTCCACGTTGCCTTGGACTCGATGCGTCCAGACGTCCAGTGTCCCGTGGCAGACTTGACAGGGACAAATTGCACTGTGCCGCCGCCGGAGATTTGCAAGTTAGAGCTTGCGTCGGTGTAACTTTGAAGCTCCTCGTTGGTGTCGATAGCTGGTTATTTCGTTAGCTGCTCTGATCTGTAACCAATTTGGATGCGAGAAAGCCCAACACACCTTGAGCGATATCCCACTTGGATGTGTCCACAGCGTCACCAGCTGTGCCAGCAAAGCTGTCCGACCAAATGATACTCAAGCCATCCAAGTTAGGGGGCGTGACTGCCGCGACCAGTGCAGGAAGCACCGCGGCCGCGAAGGTTGATGCTTGAACGCGCATGTTGGATGAGTGGCTCTTCTGTTTCTCTTCTAGACTGTGGGTCTACAAGTCTTGGCGATGATTGCAAGCCAGTTGGATACCGAAAAGATGTTCTGTATATTGTGATGGCCGGGGTAGTAGGCTTGCTACGTGTGGGCCAACGGGAGCTTGTGGTGTATATATATGTGGAAATATATATATGTGCTCCTGTAGCTCTGTGAGAAGAAAAGAGTGGTAAAGAGGTCGGCAGTGTGCTATGGCCGGGGCAACGAGGTGAAATAGAAATGAATGTGAAGAGGTAAGCTGGAAGAAAGGTGCCGTTGCTCAGCAGGCGAAGCAAGGAAAACGAGAGTATCAATAATAACAGGCTGGGACCAGAGGCGAGGACCACAACTGGGTCAACCTGAGTTTTTATTCTAGATACAGGGAAGGAGAGATAGGGGAAGCGCCCGGGGGGGTGGGCGACGGGCAGATGTCTACACGGGAATGGGAGACCCACCGTGTTGTTAGCCCATGCCGGCACATGCCACGCGAAGGTGGGAAGGGAAGTCATCCCTGATCCCAGCGTACGAGAGCAGTGATAGTGGGACATTTCCGATCTGAAAAACAGTGGTTCCGGAGTAGGAGAAATAAGATACTTAGTACGAGAGTTGGCAGACAGGGGAGGTTGTGGCGGCTCTTGATTGGGAAATTGAGAGTGGGTGTCCAGGCTGATGGGGATGAAACGAGACGTTGTTGAACGATCCAATCCCGAGGCTGTGCGTGTGCGCGCCGAGACAAGGGCGGTCGGGTCGAGAACTCGGAATAGAGCAGCTACTGTTATGGAGCAAACAAGAGAGCGGAGCGGCGAAGACAGCAGTGGGCATGGAGAATCAACAGCACAGTTTGGCTGTTGGTCTCTGGATTTTTTTTTTTGTCGACGCTCTCACATGCCAACTGACCACTGCTATCGCCCCGTTCACCGGCCCATCCGTCTCTTCCTTTCTTCCTCTATCCAGCTTTGATGAAAAGGAGGATATAGGAGTCATGACCAGGACCAGGAGTACTGCTGGCTTGGTTGCTTACTTGGTGGCACGCATAATACTGTAGAGGAAACGCGCCATAAAGGGACGAACCGGACACACATGGGTGAATACCGTGAGTAGGGAACGTCGAGAGCAGATCCCTGCAAGCATTCTCGGCTCCTGACGCTCGGCGCGCAAGGTGCTCTCAGGGTGAGGCGTGTGCAGGAGGTGCAGCTTGGTAATAAAGTTGGGACGGAGGCGATCCAAGCATAGCTTGCATCCAGCTGCATGCAGCTGGTTAAACACCCAGACTAGCACTGACTAGGTAGTCTGATAGAGATTCGATGGGGTGGGGATTGTGATGGGCAAAAAAAAACATCTGGGTGGAATGGAACTCCTATTGCGATATGTGCACGGTTTTTTGGCAGATCGATCTTGGTTGACCGGATTGGGTGAGCAAGGAAGCAGGACCCAGTGCCAACCTTGTTGCTCCTCCTGCAAAGCCTGGAAGCTCAACCTGGCGCGGGGCACGGCAGTGTGCGTGTGTGCACACTCCCAGCCTTGAATGGCTCCTGGCCTCAAGGCTCCTCCTGGTCTCCTGTCCAGGTATTTGGCACGCTTGCCACTCATGACTTGGATGGGCAGTGGTGGGTGAGTGAGTAAAATGGCTGGCCCCCACCTCTTCCCAGTTGCCGCCGCATTTTAAAGCCGCGTTGGCAGGCTGGGCTGGGCTGGGCTGGCAGGTTGGTTGGTTGATTGGCAAGCTGGGCCCCACGCAGGCTGGCAGGCCTGGGCTGGTGTGGGTCCTGCTGTACTGTGGTACAGGTAAGAAGAGATGGGCAGGCGTGGACAGGTGTGGGCGGGCAGGCGGGCTGGGCAGCTTCCGCACCCGGTACCTGCACTAGCCTGGCCTTGGGGCTGGCGTTACTGCGTGCCCAGGTGGTGCGTGGGTGTCACTGGCGCGCCCCCCAGCTGGCGCCAACTGCTCTTCCCCTATCTGGACAAGTGAAACGGCTCCTTCCTCGCATCCCGAGAGGCAGGAGCAACAAGCGGAAGCCACTCCCGACGCTGGGGGGCAACTGAGCCTCAAAGTGCAATCTCCCAATTTCAAGCGCATAATTCACAAAAAAGGGCATCTGCTGGGTATGCACACATGGATCGGGGCACCCCGTACTTTGGATATGCAGGTTTTTGCAGGTTTGCAGGCTGCACTGCCGCCGCCCGTCAAGGTTGCTGAGACGCACGGGAATATAGCACTGACGAGGTCCACTTGGCTCGACTAATTCTCCGATCCAGCACGTCAGGAACCATCGCGCCGTCACTCTCTGTGTGTCTGTGTCTGTCTGTCTGTGTACCAGGCGAGATGGAGACATCGACCCTATTTTTGACTCGTTCCGACGACGATCGTGGCCTGGAGCGTTCGCCAGAACCACACCTGGGCACCCACACATGGGGACACTCTTTATTACCCCAGTGGCACAGGCTGGCAGGCTGGTCGTGGTCGTGGTCGATCAATGACTGTTGGCACGCGGGCAGCGCACCCTTCTCTTGTCGCGCCCAGCGAATCAAGATTCCATCTTCCACCCAACACCATCAAGTTAATTTATTCCCTATCGCCCTGTGCGTGTTTTGTTTGTTGCTAGCTGGCCTGGTGTGTGCCGACGCCCGTCTTGCTGCATGTGCATGTGCATGCGCATGTACTGTATGTGCTGTGGATCCAGTGTCCCGCGCATAAAAGCCCAGCATTATCGTCAAGGTTGCTATCTCCAGCCCCTGCAGCACCAATGATTTTCATATTCAGGGGCCAAAGAGGCAGCCAGTCCACTGCCTCAGGTGGAGAGCTATGCGTCCTGTTGTCGTCCAATCGCGGCTGTTAGATGCGCCCTGGCGGCTCAGCACGTCAACTTAGCAGCTTAGCCGGGCAAGAACCTTTTTCACTGCAATCTGTCTTCGGGCTTCTCTTCACCAAATCACATGCTTCGATTTCTTCCAACCCTTTCACACCGGCGTTGCACCCACAACTCGGGTCAGGCATTCGGTTCCTTTGTTGTTCACCCTCTTTCCTGTTTTGCAAGCTTCCGCACGCGGCAGCACAGAGAGCACCGACGCTAAACCAGCTGCAGCTGCGTGACGGGGCTGACGGGCCATCGCAGCCTCGAGAAACCCGTCTTCCGAATGGCGATGAGCGATGTACCGGTCTTACAACTTGAGGCTTCTAAGGGTTGATTCGTTGCCTCATCTGCGCTTCAAATTCACGCGTGCCCGAAAAGTCTTGGACGGGTTTACTCCCCAGATCTGACAGGAATTTCGTCTGATGAGAGCTTCCGAACTGACGAACGCTTGGTGTTTCACGTTTCACCAAGCCAAACGCCTAGAACTGCCGCCTGGGCATCCCTTTGTGTCTCACCACCAACTTCCGACTCGACTGGGCCGGACTTTTCTGACCAAGTCGGCCTCTGCAACGTATTCGACGCGGTAAAGGAGTCATACGAAGTCCCAGCTAGCCTTTCAAGGTCCCTCGTGGCTACGCCCTGAAACGGCGCCCGTCCTGTGCACCTCTTCGAGAAACAATCCTGCGTTGTGAAGCTCCCGCCCGGCTCCCCGGCTACCCGGCTCCCCGGCGCTTGACAGCCGACCGGACTTACTCATGGCCACAGTCATGGGATGCGACAGCTTTCCCCGCAAGAGTCCGACCGGCTCGTCTTTCACATCAAACAGGCTTTACAACGTGCCGAACTGCCAGGACTGCCTGCGGTTGTCCAATGTGTGAAGAAGCATCTATCGCTCGAGCCCCTGACAATAAAGGGTGTCCTTAATGGTTTCTGGCTTGGCAAAGAGTTGCCTCTTTCAGGGTCCATCCGGTATCGTCGATCTTAAGCCCTGCAGCAAGGTTATCCCCGGCCAATTAAGCTTCTCGTGCCGACCGCCGGCCATCGACTGCAACTGTAATCCGGGTCGTCGTTTTCGTCTCGGCCAGCCTGCCAGACCAACGATGTTGGAGTCAAGGCCGATCATAACATTTCGCCACCAGGAAAGGCGCTGTCTGGTTCAGTATGTGTGCCGAACCACACAGTACCAACGCGAGAGAATATGCCAGCACAACCTTCGATTTCCGCCCCGATGTGTCACATATAGTCTGCTTCGAAGCCCGGTGTCTGAGCTCATCCGGGCAATTCTTGGTGGTTCTGCCGTCGAGTCCCCGTGGTTCATGTTGAGCAACATTCAAGCCGTCGGGAACCAGACATTTCGCTGTGTTGCCTCACATGCAAATGAGTGATCGCATCGTTACCTCGGGAAACCCAAGGGGTCTTCTATCTTGTTCCACACCGGACTGGAGGAACGGCTGCTTGCTTGTCTTCACTTACATCATCCGTCATGTCCAAGAGGGTCTTCCTGGTGATTTGACCTCGAGTAGAATAAGGTGGCCGAAGTCAAAGCTGCCATGCTCCCCATGCAACGCTTCCATTCTCTTCGCCGAGCGGGTGCCGACTTCTTCAATCTCCACTGCGCACCAATGATCTTCTCTGCGTCAGTTGTAAGCCCAAGTTGGTAGTCTTCGTCTCCGCGTTTTGACAAACGTGGACCCAATCAACGCGGCAAAGTCAGAGTCAATCGGCGGCTCAAAACCTTGTCTGCCGCCGGCCGGTGAACCTTGTGCTCGGAAGGAAGAAAAAACCTTTCCTCTTATTCTTGAAGTACTCTTGTACATCGTACGATGTTCTTCAGCTACAAATTCTCGCGGATTAAGACCCGGCTCTTTGACAACTTGGCTTAATCAACGTGCGGTTTTGCGTCTTCTACATGGACTGAGCCCGGACGTATATCACATATTGCCAGTGAGCCGCTCGGTGTAGGTGATACGGTCAAGGCTCAGGTGATCAGCAAACTCAAGCTACCGAAAAAGCTTGTCTTGGTGCCAAGATTGTCAGAAGGTCAGCTTGATAGGACGCTCCCTCCTCAGCTGCAGCTTCTCGGTGCGACTTGTCGGTCCGGTTGACGTCGTAACATCACGGCTACGGTCAGTCTGCTAGGACGTGAGTCTATAGCCTTATTTGTTTCAGGTGGCTCTACGCGAGGCACGTGGGTGTAGCGGCAGAATCGTAGGCGACTGAGTGATCTCTCGTGCGCGAAAAGATTGCCTGGCCGCCTCTGGAGTTGCCAAAAACATATGAGCGCACTGCACTATGAGGATGCTCACCAGCTAGTAAGTTCTGATAACAAGCAAGACCAATAGGGCCCAGTGTACCCAGACAGGCAGGCAACCGCTCTCGGGTTGTTCTAAGCAACCCATGATACTGCAGTCTCACCTTCAGCTTGTCGATGCAGACAAGTTCCTACTGTTGTGTATAGTGTTTGCCTTGCCCTTCGCTCAAAATATGTGGGCTCCCGCGAACCCAGTCCTGCATATATTCGTCGCCTATACTAGTGTCACCAGCCATTTGCAAGCGATTTCCAAGAGGACGCAGTGCCTCCTTCGGCATTCCTTCGTCAGCCAGATATTTCAAGCTGACTTTGCATCCAAAGTGCCTTAGCAGATCCCTTCTCCGCAGCCTCGGCAAGCGGGAGCAAGGTGCAACGTAGTACGGCTAACTCTCATCATGCGCTGTGGTGTGTGCGCGGCGACGCTCTTGATGTTGCCAGAAAGATTGAGACGAGGTGAGATTAAGAGCTAGTCACTAGGTACAGCTGTTGGTTGTTCGCCTTCTAGAACCTCTGGCCCATTCGTTCTCGCCTGTCTCGGACACAGGCATCGTGGACAGTCATGCAGCTCGCATTCTTCAACATGCTGCTCGCCAATTGCGGTAGAGCAATAGTGTCGGCACACAAACGGAGTCATCTAAAGTTCATGGATGCTGTGCAGCTACCTGTAAAATATTCAAATTGCAGATGGACCCTTCCTGGAGTCGTTCACGCGTTGGTTTGGCACTTCAAATTTTATCGTAGTCTTTCAGCGCACGATAACGCAAAGATATCATCCTACTTATGTACTCGAGCAGACCATACAGATCAGGATCTAGAAGTAAAACTCGCGCTGTTTGCTGAGCGGCTGGTGAGAAAAACACAATCAACTCAGCACAATGTTACAGAAGTGGCCCTTGGGCGCTATGAGGAAAGTCTCAGCCATCGCCATGACATCCTCGGTCGTCTTTGGACTCAGCCTTGCCCCTGTGCACTGTCTGAAGAACAAGGCAGTGGCAAGTCGAAGCTCCATGTACGCCAGGTGCGCACCGACACAGACTCGAGTGCCGCCTCCGAAGGGCATAAAAGCAGCCTTCTGTACTGGACTCATAGGTTGTTTGACAAATCTCCAGCCGTCAAATCTGTATATTGGGGAGTACCGTTAGCCACTCTATCCAGGGGGTGGAAGCAGCATAGCTTTTGACTTACTCGAGCGGGTTGGGGAAGATATCTGGGTCTCGGTGCAGAGTATACGCATGCGTTGTGACAGTCGTGCCGGCAGGAATGAAGTGGCCTGCTAATGTAGCGCCGCCTTCAGGGACTGTGCGAGGCAGCGGTCCAGGGGCTGCGCCATGAAGGCGGAGGGCCTCGTCGATGATACTATTCATAAGCGTAGCCTGTTGAAGTTCCCCAGGATGCAATTCCGGGCTAAGTGCCGCTACTTCCTTCTCGAGGGCGGCTCGCAGCTGAGGCCTCTTAAGGACAGCCCAGACCAGGTATGTCAGTGTCACCGCCGTTGTGTCAGAGCCGGCGACGATGAAATTGGTGGCTTCTTGCCGGACCTGCCCCTCTGTTAGCATAGTGGTCATGTGGACTTGAACACATTAAGATTACGGGCACAGAGCGAAGTTGGACAGTCTGTGTTGAACAAGTTGTCAAGGTAACTCACAGTTGAATCAGTGAGATCAGTCTTCTCTTGACTATCAGCCTGGGAAAGCATTTGCCCGAAGAGGTTTTGAGTGTTGGCGCTATCTGTTCGCATGTTCTGTACGGCTACGGCGCCGTGTTCAAAGACAAGGTCCTCTCCTTTGAATAGCTTCTGGACACTCTTTAAGGGGATGAGCGGTCCGATCCAGCGGAGGAATGGGGCTTCACTGATCATGACCCCTAACATTAAGGCTGCTTGAACCGCATCGATGAACGGTGTTTGCTAGCCATTGTGTTAGCTCTAAGAGGTTTACTACTCAAGGGGACGGGCATCTGGAACATACGCGACCCAGCTCCAACATTCGGAAACTCTCGCCAAAAGACAGGTGTGCAATCACATCCGTGGCCATCAAGGTCCACCATTTTAAAATATCCGCTTCCCCTTCAGCTCCAGCCTCCTCTCGGATCTTGTTTACGGCCAGTCGCGCCTTGCTCTGAACAACAGACTCCCAGTTCGCCTGCAGCGAATTCTGGCTGAATGGCCTAGCAAACAACTTCCTTCGCGCGGCGTGTTGCTTGCTGTCACGCATGGAGAAGATACCAGGTTCAACGTCACGACGCTGCGAGGTGATCGCGTCGTAAAAGGCCGACTTGTTGAAGCCTGAGCCCACCTTATGTATCATCTGGGTAGCTTCTAGGCTCGACACCGCGGCTTCATCAGGAGCGATTCGGACGATTGGACCATATGTTCGGTGGAGGTAGTCGACGTAGTACATTCTCCGCCCCCGGACAGTGTGGTACTTGAGGACCGCCTGCGTGAACCTGGAGTACCATGGCCCGGGAATCGAGCGGACAGGTGAGTTCACGGCTGTGAGCACCAGCCGGACGAGCCAAAGCGCCACGGCGACGGCGCCTAGGAAGTACGGCGAGATGAGAGAGGGCATCGCGGTGATTTGGCGGAAGACAGACGTATCGGTAATTGAATTCAGGCGATTGGCTTCTGCAAACTTGCCTCCCCCTTGAGGTTCCTGATGAATTTAACAGTCAATTGACCGCATTCCGGTGTTGCTAAATACCCAGGCCCCGGTTTCCACCTCCACATTCCGGCGTGGGGCCTAGTCGGTGTCGGCCTGCTGCCATGCCGAAAAAAAGAAGTCCGAGAGCCCGAAAGTGCTCCACGACTAGTCGCTGTGTGTGACATATCTTTTATAAACAGTATGTCAGCTCTGGGGACTGACGCAAAGGATTCCATGCCGTGAGAAATAGGTGGTGTTAGAGTCGCCGGAAAGAAGCCTCCGGGCATGTACGTCGAATAGGGAAGGAAAATGTATAGAAAGTACACCGTAGTCAAGAAGGAATGTTCCAGCCTTGAAAAGATTTCTACCGGCTTCGTCCTGTGCAATTCTCTAGTGCCCTCACTCTGTTGCTATTTCTGTCAATTTGGGCCCGTCTCACAATATGTTGACCGTGAGTCTATTACCATGTAGGACATCGCATGAGCACTCACGTGTTGTGTCATTAATCTTATTCGCTACAGCTGTGTACTACTGAAACATTCCAGAAAAGAACACGCAAAATTCATTTGGCAAAGCGAATCCAAGGCCCACGAAAACTTTGACTTGCATTGAACATGCTGGGATGTACTAATTGTATTCGATATATAGGTAAGGTTCATTAAGCTACCTGTTCGGTACCTAGCTAGATCAGTCGCATAGCGAAAAGAACATTTGTATTTCCTACCCACACTTGCTAACGTTAGGCCGATTGCTCGGCCTTTGCATATAAGTAGTCCTCAAGACGTTTCCTTTGTGCCAGCTGTTTCTGATCGCAAAGTCTCATGCTCATCATCATTGCTCACAACAAGATGACCCTTGGGCAACATGTTGAGTTGGTCTTCCTCCTGATCCAGCTTACGGAATTGGATGTAGAAGAGCGAGCCTCCGATAGCAGCCAGGATTGCGACGACAGTGTAATTCCAAACCAGGAGAGGATCCTGCGTTTTTTGTTATTAGTATCGCCACGCGTGAGATCATCAAATGGTCTGTGGGCTTGGTACGAACCTCAGCAAGAGACACCAGAGCGAATCCAATGGCCGAAGACACGGCATTCATGAAGAGCGCTACTGCCTGCACCATGCTTCGCATGTTTGCCGGTGCCTTTGAGTGAGCGTATTCCAAGCTCGTAATGGAAGCCATGATTTCCGAGAAGGCGATCAGAATATAAGACCCGGCTTGCGCCCAAACGCTGATGTCCACATTGGCGCAACGCTCTTCGCTACCAGGCAGGTTCTGACCAGCATAGTTTCCACACTCGCTTCGACGATATATGTACGCCTGGATGACGGCAGCCCAAATCATGGCGCAAGCGCCTGCGAAGTATCCGGTTGTGATCTTTCTGATAGGCGTGAGTTTGATCTTAAGTTTCCTCAGGAGAGGGTATCCGAAGAGATCGAGGAGCGGAATGAGGATGATGAGCGAGAAGGGGTTCAGGTTGGTCAGGACATCGTTAGGGACTCCTCCGAGCCTCATGGTCGCCGCTTGGGAGATAAGGTTGTTGTTGATCTGATTATAGCATATCCAGAAAAGAGGGTACCACAAAAACACTGCACACGCGTTGAAGCCTCGTCGTACCTCATCGACCCAAGCATCGTCAAAGGTCATCCATTTTGGCCGGTCGGCTGGAGCAATGTTTGAAGGCTTTACCTTCGACCAGAATGTGCCGTCGTGAAGGTTGCGATAGGTCGTCCTTGGGTTCAGCGACCATCGGCCTCTATTAGCAAACACAAAAATTTTAAAGGCTTTCCCGAGCACCGATCCCTCAGGTGGGACCCGTCGATACCGCCGCCTCCCCCAAAGCATGACCATTGGGCAGAGACACAGCATGATCGTGGGCAACAAGAACGACATATAGAAGCCGACGTAGTACTCGCAGTAGACCATGCCAATTTGGCCTATCAGAGCCCCGATGTTGATAAACATATAGAAGCTATAACATCAAAAGTCAATTATCTTCGCTTCTGCAAGGTAATCCAGTACGAGATTGTTGCGCCCTGGACTCGAACTTCCTAGGACGTGATAATTCCCTTATGGTCTACACTAGAGGACCGGAAGAGGCTCAAAGTAGCACGACACATGCAGCCGCGTATATCGGAAGTTGCTTACTAGTGGTAAACCCGCGAGGCTGTGATCGCCGGATCGACGATGACACGTTCACCCGAGCTGAGCGTGATGACCCGCATTGAATCGGCCGGCAGTTGCTCGACGATTAGAGGATTGACATTCGGCTTAAAACCGCCAGTGCCCACGCCCATCGTAATGATTCCAATAATGAATGCAGCCATCGCCCCAGGTGGGTGCTTGATGACGGGGGGCAGAGCAGCGACGATCAAGATTATATGACCAATAATACCAACGAGCAGTGCCCAGAAAATTGTGCGGTAACGGCCCAAGTAAGAGTCAGCTATGTAGGCCCCAAAAAGCGGCATAGTACTGTTGGATCTATTGTCAGCCACTTCGATAATCCGATTACGCGATTTCTGTGACCGAAGCCCTTGACTCCTGGGTCAAGGTGTCTCGAGAGGCAGGAAGGTTTGAACGAGGAACATACTATTGCCAGAAAGCGTTGAATGTGGTCAAGCCCGTGGATGCTCGCTGCCCAAACCCCATTGCACCAGCCTGGCCGGTGCCATAATTCGCCCCGGTGGTAGAGCCTTCTGGCAGAGGCCACTGAATGAAGTTTGTGAAGACTGCGGTAGTACCGTAATAGCTAAAGCGCTCGCAGAGTTCTACGAACGCGATCGTGAGGACGCTCCAGGGAATCTTGTCCGAGACACGGCGCAGCGTATTGAGTTCTTCTGCAGTAGGAAAATCGCTGGTATCTGGCTTCTCCGTGCTGGGGACCTGCGCAAGAACTTCTTGTTTCTCCACGATGTCCTTTGTTGCCGCTGCACGAATTTGGGCACCGCCATCAGCGGTGCTTTCGATATCGGCCATGCCTGCCCTATGCTTTGCCTATACGTTTGATATCTGACCACGAGGTAGGATCGGTCACACCAAGTAGACTCTAACCGCAAGCTGCTGGCGGTACAAAAGAAATGAATCAACCACTGAGATGAAATATATAAGGTCAGGGAAGTGTGGGGCTGTAGTTGCATTTTATAGCTGTGCAGCGACGTTGCAGCGAGAGAGTTCTCTCTGAATTCTCCGGACCAATGCGGTTGATGTCGGTTACGAAGAGCCAAGATGTTGTCCAGCCTATAGGGCACAGAGATGTGACAGTCTTGAGGTGGGCGGTCATCCTCACTTGGCATCTTGGATTATCTCGGAAGGTGACAAGCATCCAAAAGTCTTGAGTGTGATTAGTAGCAGTCTAACATACTTTCTTTCTGGCACATGGTACGGTAAGATTAGTGGCTGGAGAAGGCCTTTCTTTTTCGTTTGCTATTGACCTCCAAGGCTGTCTAGTATCGATTAGGTTGCAAAGTTTCGATCGTAACACGCTGTGATTCTTGACTGCGACATTGCGCTTCTTCTCAGGATGAGTCTTCTTGTCGACACAAGTCTTATCACCACAGATTCATAAGAGGGTCCCGAAGCCAAAGGAACAGCTTGTTGATTGCGCCCAGCTTCTTGGCTGCTGGTGTGGCCCGTTATCAGCTGCGGAGATGCTTGGCTGTCACCTCACGATTGTGCTTCCTCAAATGCAATGCACTGTAAATGCAATCTATATACCCAAAACGGTTCCGAAGCCCAGAAATGCCAATCATAATCCTTCCGCCGCTATCTTGTCCGCCGATAGCCGGTACCAACACCCAAGGGTCACAGTCCTCCCCAACTCGCGACAATAGATGAAGGCGCCTCGGTGTGAGGCGCCATGGGGGGAAGCTGAACGATCATCGACCTCTGTGTCACCCACATCAGTCAGTCCGCGAACGGACTAGTGCTTCAAAACGGGCGATTAGCAGCGGCGGTCTTGTTGGCGGGAATTCAACGGCAGCAGTGATCGTAAATGGTCAGATGTTCATAATCTAGGCGACGTGCGTTTCTTGAATCTGTGTCACCACTCAAGCACTCCTCGGTATCTCATCTGACCGGTCTCAAGGCGGTCAAAGGCTTCTTTTAGACCCGTCTCATTCATGGGGAACACTTCTACCCAAGGTCTGATCTGGTTGCGAGCTGCGAACGATAACATTTCTTGATGGTTTCTCTTTGATGCTTCGGTCGACGAAATAATCTGGTGTCCAGGCAGGATGAAAGGCATGTATGGAATACTGAGAGGCTCCATCTGAATGGACATGAGGACGATCTTAGCCATTCTGTTTAGTAATGGCAATACTTTGTCCCAATCCGGAAGACCGTTCGAAGTGACGAGCAGTATATCGATTGGACTCGTTCCCTCGGAAACACCACCAGCCACTTCTCTCCCATCTGGGGCGAATATCTTCTCGTGTCCTTCTGAGATACATCGTACCTCGTCAGCGCCAAGTCTGAAAGCGTCCTGGATCTTCTGTACCGGTGGCTGCCGTTTAGAAGCAAACAACGCTGTCACTCCACAGCCCATTGCACGAGCGAAGAGGATGGCCATATGTCCCAAGCCGCCGATACCGACTACACCGACCCTGTCGCTAGGCTTCGTGGACGCAGCGTCCAGAGCCTCATACACTGACGCACCAGCACACATGAAGGGCCCAGCGTCTATTGACGTGATAGCGTCTGGAATCTTGTAGACAAACTCGGCATCGATGATCCGGTAATCGCCAAAGGCGCCCTGGCCCAGGTCGGAAAACGCGAAGCCGCGTGCCTCAGAGCAATACTGTCGGTAGCCGGACAGACAAGTTGTGCAATGACCACATGAGCTGTGCAGCCATCCCCAACCAACTCGATCGCCGACCTTAAGGCTTGTCACGGCAGACCCAAGCTCCTGAACATGCCCAACGCCCTCGTGACCCAATCCACAACCCTTTTCTTTTGCGTGCACATCGGTGTAGCATAGCCCTGAGTGTGTTGTTTTCACGACGACCTCGCGATGGCCCAGAACTCTCTCGGTTGTCTTTTGGGTGAAGCGGTGCTGCTCCGTAGAGTAGCAGAAGGCTGTGAGTGTGTGGCTGGACATAGCGTGCGAAGCTGCAAACGTTGAGAGGAGTTTGTCGCATACGCGAGGGCGAGATGTTTCGCAATGAGATATGGATTGCAGAGAATGACGTGGGTGTATTTGATGTTGTGTAGCCGAAAGTTGGTGCCAGTGGAACCGCTGAAAATAGGTTATCCCTGTTTGATCCGCTGAGGGTTAAACCCCTCATGTATCTTCGGCAGCTTTGCTGAGCTTCTATTGATATGTGCGATGTGCATATGTTGTGAATAGTCTGCTGCACATCCGATAGTGCTCAATATCTCCGGCCATAACGTTGGCATTTCTATTCTCAAACCTGATCTGTCATTTCTCTTTTGAAGCAAATTGAAAAATTCTATTCCGTGAAACCAGCATCGTGAGATAATGGGCAGAATCTTGGAGGAATCGATACCGAGTGAACCTCCAAATCGACAGGAGATCAGGTTAATTTCAGCTGGATATTGGGACATGCCTCTCGCAGGAGGATCTCCAAGACATTCGGCCTGAACCCAGGCCCGACCTCCTTGGATTCGATGTACCTTTGCGGACGGACTCTGGCTCATAACCACGCGATATGGCTGTCCTGGCGTGGTAGTGCTCATTTTCGGTTGGGTCTGGAGCAGGTGAGTAATTCATTCGAAGACGTCACGTGCCCTGGAGAAGCCTTCGACAGAACCCCGGCTGGATCAACAGGATGAGCGAGCCCACCTGCTCACGAAGGAATGTCTCTTGAGACTACGTATCCTCAAAATGATCCAGAAGCGAACTAGAGTGATGTCAGGTCGAGATGAGATGTTTGACGGGGTATCTGTCCTCTTTTACACGCGTATTGTAGTACTTCACGCTGATGTACATCGGTATGTACGTGTTGTCGAAGCTCGATAAATGGCTATTGCAACATTTAAATAATGAGTCACTGAAGATGTCATTGATTTCTCTTTGACAGAAGTTTCCCTTCGACTCGACGGCTAACCAGCCCCATCTCTTCCTCGTTCTTTTGGACAAGAATCTGGCCGTCGCCGTTCATCGGCATTATTCCCTCGCGTTATATCAAATCGAATCGCGCAATGGCGGCGATAAACAACAATTAGGCGAGAACAGCAGATGAAGAGGGCATGGCTTATTTACTAAGTACAAAAAGAAGCTGGTCGAAAGGCAGGAACCAGGTTGAAGGCACACCCGAAATTGCCGAGGACGGAAAACAAATCAAAGGCGTTATCCAACGAATAGTAATATCGCTTGTAACTTTAGGTTCATCAAAGCGAAAGTTTGTGAACTACATGTAACCAGCCGAGGTTTCAGAGCTCGTAATACTGGCTGGAGCTGTGCTCTATGTTGCAGTTCAGAACGTCTCGAGCAGGGATACACGTCTGCTACGCGTGATGTTAGGGGAACTCTTCGAGAACCTTCGATGCGATCGACTGCACTCTGAGCGCGTCACCGGGCGTGGCTCTGAGGATTATTTGACCCCGACGTGTTCCGCTCCTGACTGATAAATGCAACACCAATTTCCAAGTCTTCCTCACCTCTCTGGGCATTCATCATCGTCTACGATCTTACAATTCGGTCATCTCTGAACAGAACCCATTGACATCTCTGCCTCTTCACACCTCAAGACAAACCCCGACTGAACCCAACCGCTACAATGGCAGGACTGGACCCCAACCGTAACACTCGATATGAGTACACTAACGCGGCACTGTCCAAGCCAGCCCCTGAAGATGCGGACCCCAAGTGGATGGAGCTGAACAACACGCTCAAGAACCTGATGGAGAAGCTCATCAACCACGAATCCATGCGTGAAAATGCACAGCAGCCCTACATGACGCCAGCTGCCAGCAAGAATCAGGTCTACTTCGTATGGGATTTCGTTGGCCGTACCCTGGTAAGTTTTGCCATGCCACTATCTTTCGACTACGCGTTGTACTGTCCTCTTTACTACCTTTTTCAGATACCACGGTGACCGAGACACTGAATGTTATCTAGGCTATGATGGACGCCGTCCCCCCACAGCTCCAGGCCAGCCCTCAGTGGAGCCCGGCGGTCGAGAAGATGTGGAAGGGCGAGATCGTCGGCAGGTCTACCGTGGTCGCGGGCCTGATATCTGGCGATACCAGCGGCGACCCTAAGCTGAGCATGTTGATCCGGTCAATGAATCCGAGTCAGTCTGGATCGCAACCCGAGTTCGGTGTTGAGATAAAGCAGTTAGCCAACAGGCTGCAGGAAATTCGCGCCTAGGGCAGGTCGCTTCTCTATCAGGTGGTCAGTCTGATCCCGAACTGTCCGATACTCATTCGTGCCGGCACAGAAGAGAGAATAGACCAATTCGAAGTCAGTCAGCTTGGCCTCGTGATCGAAGTCAAGTGTTGTGAGAGACAATACAACAAGTCTCGCATGTCACATATGCAACTTGCTCATTCTTCGAACAAGCACCATTCCGTGGGCTTGTGTTGGAAAGAACAATTTCTGATTCATAGTCGTTTATAACTTCTATCGCCCAACTCCTGCATATGCCGTATTATTTTACGGGCATGACCTGCCGCCCCCAACAACCTGCTCTTATTCTTGTACCACGAAAAAGACTGTAGAAACCCATCTCACAGAACCTTCAGCAGAAAGTCCACCTAGAAGTCCCTCCTCTTCCTGGCAGCCTGGCTGGCCGATGCAGCGCTGGCCGAGCCGCTGGCGCTGCCGGCCTGAGGGATGAACTGCTGGTCGTCCCTGATGCCGGTGACCTGCTGCTTGGCGAAGTTGGGCGCGGCGACGGCGGGGCAGCCGACGCCCTTCTGGCCGTAGAAGCTCTGCAGCGTGATCAGGCACGCGGTGGCGCGGTCCTTGTTGGTCTGCTCGTCCTGGACGCTCGGATCCGTGTTGAAGGTCACGGGCGAGCCGAACACGTTGCCCGCGGTCAGGTCCGACGCGAGCTTGTTGACGAAGTCATCCCGTGGGGGCGGGCACTTGTCGCACTGGATCGGCACCACCTTGTTCGCTATCGCGTTGAACCCGTCACAGTTGCCCGTGCCGGTGGGGTTGACTCCCGCCTGGACGCCGAACTCCGGGATGAGCGAGAGGAAGTTGGGGTCTGAGGCGGAGACCTGCTGCTGGCGGGGCTTGTTCTCCGATGGGGCGGCGTAGGAAGCGCCTGCTAGGGCGACAACGAGGGCGGTGGTGAAGTACATTGTGTGAGTATGGATTATGAGATGAGGATGTCTTGTTGTAACTGTAAGGACCGGCCTGTGAGGAAAAGTAAAACTATAGCGATTGAAGACGAAAGAGACTGTTGGCTGAAGATGGAGAAACTTAATCTTGGAATGCTAAACGCCCCCAGCTTAAGTATATACTCTGCTTCCATATCCAGGACTGGGCGGCGTGCCACGAGAATCCTCCAAGGACCCTCGTCACTAGTGAGCCCGATGATCGTGAGGGCCGAAACGGGCTTTTGCTAGCATCTTGTCTCAGACGGCGGAAAAGCCACGGCTGCCTTGGAACGCATACTCTGTGTAAACAGTACGCGCATCTGTAGAAGCCTCGAGTTGCAAGAAGCTTCAAACGGTGGCCGGAAATGCCACGCAGAGATGTGACAGGCCGGGTGGCCGCAGTGAGACGGCCGCCGCGATGATACAGACGGCGAACTGTCAGGTAAAGTTGGCCTTGGCCCGAGTGCGGCCCGTCGCTGCGGCCGTGGCGGATGCCACTCCAAGAAAACGGAGCCGTGTTGCAATTGCTGTAAAGAAATACTCGCACCTCACTCAAACATTGGGAACCCGGGCGTTGTTTTAAGCGACGATAACGTTCACACAGGTAATAAAGTCGTCGAAGCGGTGTGCCAAAACACTGGGAAAGGGAATCGTTCCTGACCCATCGGAGTCATATTGTTGCAGGTAAAGTGTTTCTAGCTGAACAAAGGCATCGATCATGAGCCCAGCAGATGAGACAAGGAAGTAACTTAATGGAAAATGCGACGTCATCACTAGATGAGCTTGTTGTCCCAGTGGGTTTGGAAACGCCGCAGGACAAGTTGATTCCTCCGGATGACGGACCAGAGGCACAGTGGGTGGCCGCAAAACGGCCCGGAGTTGGGTGCGACCTCCGCCCCGGCCTGAGCCCCGACGAAGAGCCGTTTGATTTTCCAACGCCGAACTCTTACTGCTTCAGCCATTCGCTTCCTTTCCATTGTGCGTTACATACCTGTAATGGTCAAAATATCGCTGATTCTCTTTCGACGGCTGGAACATGTCACCAATTATGGACCGCTTGGTGAGTGTAGCCCGAAAGTTTCTGTGTGGGGTTCAGGTTCCTTTTGTTTTGAAATTCTCCATGTGGACTACAACTCGTCCATCATTCAATCACCTTCCAAACGATGTTCGTCATCCTTTGACACTCGTTTGGCTCTTGCTGCACGGGTTCGCAATGCGTCGATGCCAGAGCAGTCCCCTAAGCTGAGCCCCGACTCGCACCTGCCGCACCGCTGCTATTCTTGTCGCCAAACAATTGCTCCTGCGAGAAGATGTCCTGCCACACATTCATCCATTTCTCGTGCTGTGCCGTGAGTAGCTTACCTGGATTCTTGAATGACCTTGTCAGCATGTCGCGGAGCCGACCACGGAGAACCTTGATCACCAGCATCGTCTTCCAGTCAGGAATGGCAAAGCGAGCCCTGTTGCCGTCGAGGATGAGGACGCCCGAGTACATCTGTGGAAAGTCAACCTCAAATTTTCACACTGGTTACCGAAGGAGAGATGCTTACATCGGCGCGGACGTCACCGCACTGTAGAGCAATTGCGAAAGCCTCGACGGCAGTCGTCTCGTGGGCATTTGTGAACCTACATCTCCAGGTTAGCACGCCGTGTCGCAGCAATTTCATGACACCGAGCGACTTACTTGCTGCTGCCTTGCATGATGTGGTAGTAGCTCAGCCACCGCAGCTCATTGTGTCCTTTGTTGACACTGGTTGGATGCATGCTGACAGACTGGTTGTTTCCCACGTTTCTCAAGCCTTTTCCACCAGGTACATCTCGGACCAGCAGTTTCGGATAGAAGCTCCAGGCGATCACCGACTGGGATATTATGTCGTTGTTGCTGTTGATGTTGACCCGCTGCGGAAGGTCGAAGAAAGCTTGATTGCGACGCCGACCACCGGAGCCAGAAGAGTAACGTATGCGATTGAGGTTGCGGCGCTCTTCTTCCGTGAGCTGCAAAAAGCCCGAATCCACCAACGACACCAGTAACTGGCCCTTCAGGTCTTCGATATTGGCCAGGTTCTGTGGGCTGAGGAAGTTCTTCCTGCAGAATTGGAACTCCTGGCTACCTGCCGATGCAGCGGACTGGCAAACTCGTTTCCACGCAAGATAGGCGTTATATACTGTGAGCAGATCGGAGTCTCCTCGGCGGAAGGCTAGACGGACCGTATCCGCCTGAGCACGCTGTCCAAAAGGCGCAACGAATGGCGACTTGGATGACAAGACGGCCGCCACCGTGACAGCCATGTCAAGACACTTGAAAACGGTACCCATGAGGATCAGTTTGCCCAGGAAGACATCCAGTGGTAGCCTTGCGAGCTGTTGGCCTAGTGGCGTCAACTCCTCTCCCGAAGTCAAGGCACGGACGTCGACCAGGGCGTCGATTGCCCTGCGAATGTTTTTTGACGAAGGCGGATCGAGTGCCTCGCTCAGAGTCTCCTCAATGCCGCCAATCTTGCATATTTTGACACGAATCGCAAGGTCTTGCAATGATAATCGCAGCATCTCCGGTGTCTGCTGATCGCTCATAATGGTATCATGCCGGTATTTGGTGAAAAGGTGAAAACAAAGACCTTCTTGCACACGCCCTGCTCGACCGCGGCGCTGTTTAGCGTTTGCTTTCGAGATGAACGTGTCGATTAACTTCGAAAGCTGACGCCGCTCATCGAAGCGCATCTCACGATGCTTGCCAGTATCTATCACACACGTGACATCTGGTATCGTGATTCCGGTCTCCGCGATATTTGTCGCAAGCACAATCTTTCTGTGACCTTGCGGCGGTATCAAGAAAGCAGCTTCTTGCTCTTCTGAAGCGATGGTGGAATGCATGGGATAGACAACCCAATTCTGTTGAAAGAATCGATCGCCAAGGATCATGTCGTTGACTGCCCGTATCTCTGCAATACCGGGAAGGAAGACGAGGATAGCTTTACTATAGTCGGCGTAGGAGGGATCGACAGCGATACGCCCAATGAGCTGAACGATGAGTTCGTAGTCAATTTGGTATTCGTCCATTTGTGACAGAGTGTTGCGAGTTCGGGCCGAGTAGCTTTGCAACGTCTTGATGAGCTCTGGTTTGGAAGAGCTGTCTGGCTCGCTGATGTCTGCCTCGTCATCGTCGAGGTCCACCAGCTTCTCCTTGGTGCGCTTGTCCACAGTGTGGCCTGTCAACTCAATTGCATCCTCAAGATAGTTCACCTTGACAGGGAACGTGCGTCCGGGCACATTCAGTACGGTTGCTCCACCAAAGTATTTTGAAAACCGCTCTGCGTCCACTGTGGCGGACATCAAAACTACTTTTAGATCCTTACGTTTCGTCATCAACTTCTTCAGGACGATAAGGAGGAAGTCACTGTCAATAGATCGCTCGTGGACTTCATCGAGGACCAAGTGTGTGATCTCGCGCAACTCATTCGAACCCTCGAGCATCCTCATGACAATGCCAGTCGTTGCGAAAACAAGACGTGTTTCCTTTGACGTATTGGCCTCAAGTCTGATCGAGTACCCAACCAAAGACCTCGGCGTGCCGATGTCGTTCTTATTCTCGCCAAGTTCTTCACTCACGCGACGAGCTAATGATATGGCTGAAATTCGCCGAGGCTCAGTGCAATACAGCTTGCACGGCTTACCCATGGATAGCTGGTGCTCCAGCAGAAAAGAAGGCACTTGGGTACTCTTGCCGCACCCCGTCTCTCCACAGACGATGACGACTTGCTCTCGGTCGACTGCCTCTACGACTTGTTGTCGGAAGTTCCACATTGGAAGTTGCATGCGAGACTGCAGCATTTTCTGGTATTTGGGTGTGCTGCTCTTCTTCTGCCAGATGCTTTGGTAGTATTCTGGGGAGCCCGATATCCGCTTCTCAGCAAGGACATCGGCAGAATCACCACCATTGCGACCGTTATTCCGGCCACGGAATGCGCCTTGGATCAGCACGCCATCCTCCTCCTCCTGATCGCGTCGCTTACGAACCAGGCCTCGGAGCTCCTTGATAGCAGCACGATCCTGCGCATCCGCATTTGATTTCTTGGCCTCGGCGTACTCATTCCAGAGGTCACGCCACTGAGGCGGCAATTTGAGAGACACCTTCTCATCTTTTCCAGACGAGCCAAAGGCAAGGAAAAGCGCAGCAGTGGCGATGAATGCTTCTGACTGCTTCTCGTCAGGAGTCGCGATCTCCGTCATCTTGAACACATACTTGTTTGGCGAGGACGCAGCTTCGACGCCTGGGACGTCGTGTTCGGCCAGTGGTTCCTGAGCTTTCGCCCAAGATATGCTGAGAAGGTGCCTGTGGGCGAAGGCAGTCTCTGATACTTTGATGTAGGAGAGCTTGGAGGATGCGTCCCTTGACCGACACGCTTCTTCCAGAACCCTCATCGGGTTCATACCTGACCACTTGCCAAAATCCCGGATCGTCACTTTTGAGCCATCACTGTTGGTCATGACTGTGCTAGTCTTGCCCGTTGTAGCGTCTACCTCGTTGGTAGGAAGGGCTGCGAAGAGATCCGAGAGTGCCTGGTCTTCCTCACTCTCGTCCTGCGCGAGCATGTCGGCGGCCATCTTTTTCGCTTCTCTGGTAATTTCGTCGTCGTCATCGTCATCATCATCGTCTTGTCCTAAGGGCGGCGTGGTGTCTTGCTCGCATTGCTCCCCCTCTGCTGCCTTTGGGGGCGTCTTAGCATCGTCTTTGAGTCTCTTGGCTTCGGCGTATTCTCTCTCCAGCTCTATCCGTTTCGACTCCCATTGAATCCTGGCCAGACCCGCGTCAAAGAGTGGGTCCTTTTCTATTCTGTCTATTTTAGCGAGCAACTTTGCAACCTTCAAATCATCGGAGGAGTCTTCAGCTGCCGGAGGCGCCTGGAGCTGCTGGGCGGACTTTCGCCCCTTCTTGACGCCTTCCCTCTGTGGTCGTTGAATTGCAAACAATTCCTCTTTAGCAGACAAGTAAACTGGGACAAGGTCGTCAGGCTCTATATCGCTATCATATGTTATGATTTGTCGCTTCGGGGAGATTGTGCCAGGTGACCGCGGTGCCCTCGAACCGTTCTTCTTCTTCTTTGACTTTTGAAGGGCCTCAGGCTCTAATAGAAGAGGAGTAGTCGCTCCCGATGGCAATGGAGAGTCGGCCGGGGTAGCTCCTGGTCTGCGGCGGATATCGTACTCGGGCAGTTCGTCGACAGCGCATTCTCGTGCGAACCAGTCCATCGCCTCCTCCAGCCCCCATATGGAGTCCTTACTGATTCCGCTGATGTTTGCCGAGATGTCCAGGACAAACTGGAGCGCATCCTGAATTCTGGCCTCTGGGAACCCTGAGCCCTTCAGCGTCTGTTGCAAAGCCCACAGCTTTATAGTCAGGTCCTCTTCGGAGAGCATTTTCCCTCCACTTGCCCCGTCTGATGTTGAACTGGAAGCAGAGAAACGGCCCTCGGCTTGTATGAGGTCGAGGATGTGGTCCATCAGCTCTTGTGGTAGCCATTTCTTCGAGTTGACGGACTCGGCTTGTCCTCGTAGCAGACGGCGGTCGGTTTCCAGCCTCTGCTTCTGGCGCTGGGCATCTCGCCTGGTCTTTTGAGCGTACTTGTCTACGAGAATCTGAAGTTCTGACTCTTCCAACTGCTTCTCGAACTCCTCTGGGGTCAGCTCCGGCTTCTTCTCTGCGGTGCCAGAGGGCTTGTCGTTTTCGGTGGAGGGCTGCAGCGGGACAGTGCTAAGCTTTTTGCCAGGAGTATCGGCGGTGCCTTTCTTTGCAGGTTCGGCAGCATTCTCAGTCGGTTCGACTCTCGTCTTGGAGACCACAGACGTGGTGGCGTAGCCTCTCGCAGGGTTGGCGGCTGGCTTGGTCTTCTTCTTCTTCGCTCCAGCCATGGCTGCGGTCCAGCTAGATTTCAGTCGGGCGACAACACACGCAGGTTATTGAAACGAATGAACGAAGCACCAAAGTATGCCCGGGTAGGGAGATAGAGACAGAAAAGCAGACAGAGGGCGGAGGGGGGTGGAGAGGAAGAGAAACAGCAAGGAAATCGAGGCCTGAGTCAACGACGCATGGTTGGGTTGGAAGGCGAGTGGGATGGATGGATGACATGCCCTTGTTGAAGTGTGTCTGGGATGCAGCTCCAGAAAAAGATTGTGAGACCCCGCCCCGGCTGCCCAGCGTCGGCCGAAAGCCCTGACGTCCGTCCTGCAGGATTGGAGCTGCCCCACCAAGGCTCTCAGTTCTCAGTTCTTAGCGCCTGAGTCTTTCGGCGAGGGAAACATCGAATTTCCTGCGTGGACTGCACTGCTCTGCACCTGAGCTTAGCTGGCAGCAAGGAGTAAGGCACACGCGAGTGAGGCTCAGGTTGAATGACCGTATGATAGATACCCTCCTTACGCATGGACTGAGCTCTCTTGGAATTTTCAGGAGGAGTCCTCTGTTTTCCTGCTGCCTGCTGTCTTTCTTTCCTCCTCTTGCCCGTCCACTGCGTTGTCATGCGCATGCGAACACCAGCCTCCGCACGACAAGATGACTGAAGTCGCTGTGAACGGCGCCGCTCCGGCCCTGGACCTCAAGGCTACCAAGGCCGCCTTGACTTCCTCCTCGACCTCGTCTAGAATCGCTTCGCTGCGTGCTGTCGACGACAAACTCTCCCAAAACGGTATATTTCAACCTACCTTTCCTGCCCACGCCACTGCTGCTCGAGACAGCCTAGCTGACGCGCATTCCCTCCGTAGCTCTCGACAAACAAATACAATTGCAGCTCCTCAAGCTCCTCTTCTGGACACACTCCTTCTACCGTGACCGAGCCTCGCGTCTGGCCGTGCAACAATGTCTCGTGTCAATCTGCAAGGAAGGCGATGCCGATCTCTTGGAGCCTCTCGTGGCTGCGATCCGACGAGAGGCCCCCAAGCCGAGCATTGCACCAACCAATGCTTTCGTGCTTGTCGAATGGTGCAGTATACTGGTTCAAAATCTGGCCGGGACGCCTCTCTGGGAGAAGTTTGGAAAGGAACTCACACTAGCTACGGCTGAGGCGTTGGACAAGTGCTGCTCACCTGCATCCAAAGCTGGCGTCGCCCACTCGGCCCTCGTGGTGACGAGGCGTGGCTATCGCAAACTATTCAGTGTGTCAGACAACCGAGAGAGAACAATTACCGAGTCCGTCCAGTCCCTATCCGCCAAGGCCGCTCAACCAACGCCCAAGTATGCGATCATGCTCGGCATCATAGCAGGAGTGTGCTCGCGGCAACCCGAATCCAAACTAGTCCTGGAGAAACTGAAGCCCGAATTCTTCACCTTCTATACGCGAGAGATCGTCGGATCCAAGTCTCCAGTCCCAAAGTACCTCGCCGCCGGCCTAGGCGACTTTTTCTCGGATTTTGTAACCCCTGGGGAGCTCGAAACGGAGGTGGTTGCGTCGCTGAAGAAAGGGCTCTTACGAGCACCTGAGGTTGTTCTCAATGATCTCGTCACTCCATTGATTGCGAGCCTGCCAAGCGATTGGGACTTGTCCAAAATCCTCCATGAGCAGCTACTTAAGCCTCTGCTGTCCAACCTCCAGTCGTCCAATGCCGTCATCCGCACAGGTGCCGTCAACGCCTTCCGCGTGATTGCGGGACGTTGCCGTGACGTCGCGGTCATGGACAAGGCCGCGGACGATATTCTTGCTCCGCTCAAGGCTGGAAAGCTTGCTTCGGCTGACCACAGGGTCCTCCATTGCGAAATGCTCCTTTCCATTCCCATCTCTGGAGGCATTGCTGGTAAGGTGGCGGCCGCTTTGCCTACACCAATTGGTAAAGAAGGCAATGAGGCGGCCTTGAATGCCGAGACATCAGTTCTGGGCAGGGCAGTAAAGGCTCTCCTGACCGATGAATCTGAGCTCCCCAAAGCTGTGACAGATGCTTTTTCAAAAGGTCTTGCTGACAAGAAGCTATCTTCACGGCGTATCTGGACCATGAACGCCGGTAACATCTTGGATTCTTTCAAGTCCAATGAATCTCGGCCATCAGCCTTTGTCAAATTCGCCGAATCAACCCTGCCTCCCCTTTTCGACACTTTCAACGACGCTGTTGGAAATCCTCTGAAAGCATCGCAAGATGGTACCATAATAGCGGCCTATGTTGTCTGTGCAGTCGCACCACTTATCCTCAAGATTGAGGATAACCAGAAGTTAAACGCCTTATCCAAGAAGTTCTCTGTCTCAAAACAATGCTTAGAACTGCAGCCTAAGCCATCTTTCCTCCTCAACCCCCGTGTCTACACCAAGATCTCCTCCGATGATGATGCCCGGTGGCTCCTCAGAGCGTTGTCAGCTGTCAGCCCCTCGCTTCCCAATGGCGATGCGTCGGATGTCGGCTCTGCATGGGCTCATGCCTTCCTTTACCTCATCTGCTCCACAACGATAAGTCCTAAGCTCCGGAAGGAAGCTGCAGATGAGCTTTCTGATTTATATCTATCTGCTCCGGACAAAGTGGCAGGAATTGTCATTGGTGGGGTCTGGACTTGGATTCAGGCAATCGAGACCAGCAACAAGGACAGTGCTCCCGTCCTGGCAAAAATTGACAATGGGAACCTGCACACAGCCCTCAGGTCAATTTGTTTGGTTCCAGCAGACCTTAAGAAGAGTTCTGTGGCTTTCAGCCAAGAACAGCTTGAACTGCAACTGTGCTCAATGCTTGTCTTTACGAGGTCACGTCTCATACCTCGTATCACATGGATCGAAATATGCCTGCGAACTGGATTGGACCCAGGCGAATTGGCGAAGAAACATGAGAAGATTTTACTTGATGAGATTGTCAAACACTCCGAGTTCTCCCAACCAGTAAGCAAGACCCATATAATGATTCTCAAGCAGAACCACTGACTGCTACTCAAATCAGCTCTCTGTCAAGGAAGCTTCCTATGACGCTGCCGCCGAACTCGCTTTCGTCGCACCAGACACCATTACTCCGCGTATCGAGGAGTTAATAAAGAGAGACCTAGATGTAGCCAAGCTCGATGATATTGGGCCAATGGAAGCAGCTATCTTCCGCACACCTGAGGGGACGGCATTCGTTGATGTTCTGGCTAAGAAGGCGAACGAGGTGCCAAACAAGAACCAAAAAGACTACGACACCCTTAAATGGGAAGAGGAGCTGAGGGCCCAATTAGCAGCCAAGAAGGGTGTGCAGAAGAAACTTACCGCGGAAGAGCAAGCAAAGGTCAATGCGCAGCTGAAGAAAGAGTCTCAGATTCGACAAGAAGTCCAAGGTGTCGCAGCGCAACTGCTGCGAGGTATCGGGGTCGTTCGGGCTCTGGCTACTGGCCCGCCTACCGACGCATCGCTTTGGATGGGCACAGCTGTGGAGTCACTCCTGAAAGCGCTTGATGCCGGTGCAGGCCTGATCACCGGGGACGCTGCGCCAGTGGCTTATATCGCATTGTCTGAGAGGATCTCGGATAGGCTAGGCTCTATGCGACCGTTTGTCGGCGTTGCGACTTTGAGAGCCCATGAAGTTAACACCCTTCCCGAAAACCTCATTCAAGAAAGCTTTGAGGATCTAGTCACCCGTGTGCTGTATCGACTACGATTCGCCGGGGAGCAGCGGCCATTCGACACCGTCTCGCTAATCTACATTCTCCCGTTGGTTCTCTCTGTCATTCGGAAGGGAGGTTTCGGTCCAACGGTGGATGACCGTGATGCGCAACTAGTTCTGGCCATTGAGTTCGTGCAGTTTCACACAGACGTATGTGAAGACGTGACAGTCCCACGGTCGGAACTGTTGTCTGCGCTCATCTTCTCGATGCAACAATACGCGCAACACTACAAGATCGCCAAGGACTGTTTTGCGGACCTCGTGCGTTGCATTGCCCCCAACATCAGCCATGGTGAGCTTGGTGTTCTCTGCCGAGGCGCTATCGTGCCGCAAACATCAGTGAGGACTACCGTCCTACAGAATATCAGTGCCGAAGTGGATATGACCGATCTTGGGTTTTCCGAGGAAATCTGGCTAGCATGCCATGATGATATCGATGAGAACGTCGAATTTGGGAAAGAAATTTGGCAGGAAAGCGAATTCGAAGTGTCTGCTGAAGTCCCGTTCAAGACGCTCCCGTATGTAGAGAGCAAGGACGGGCAGCTTCGCCGAGCCGCTGCGAGGTCACTAGCTGAGGCGGTCCACCTGCATCCCACAACGATGCAAGGAGTGCTTGAGCAGCTTCGGTCATCTTACGTTGAGTTGGCCAAGCCTAGAAAGCAGGAGCTGGATTCATTTGGCATGCCGAAGAAAAGGGACTTGACTGATCCCTGGGAGGGCAGGCACGGCATCGCAGTCGCCTTCAAAGAGCTCGCGCCGTACCTGGAAAAGTCGAAGCTGGACGACTTCTTCTCTTATCTGATTGAGCAGGGTCCCCTTGGAGACCGTAATCCTACTGTCAGAAGCGAAATGCTGGAGGCTGCGAACAACGCCATCACCATCCACGGAAAGGCGATCTTGGATAAGCTGATGCAGACATTTGAGCACACACTCGAGGTACCAGACACAGGCTCAGAGGCAGGCGACCGGGTGAACGAGGCAGTGATCGTTATGTATGGTACACTCGCCCGTCATCTCCAGCCAGGCGACAAGAAGATCGCCATCGTCATTGACCGGCTTCTGACTACGCTGAACACGCCATCCGAGACTGTTCAGTACGCCGTGGCCGATTGCTTGCCGCCTCTTGTTCGAACTTGTGGTGACAAATCATCCAAGTATTTTGATCAAGTTCTCGAGACTCTCCTCACCTCCAAGAAGTACGCCGAACAACGCGGTGCGGCCTACGGACTCGCTGGTCTGGTGCGTGGGCGAGGAATCACTTCTTTGAAGGACTACCGCATCATGAGCACTCTCAAGGGTGCGAGCGAGAACAAGAAAGAAACGAATCAGAGGGAAGCTTCGCTGCTAGCTTACGAGCTTCTCTCTACTATTCTTGGACGCTTATTCGAGCCGTACGTGATCCAGATCGTGCCACAGCTACTTACCGGCTTCGGTGATGGGAACGCAAACGTCCGTGACGCAGCCCTGGCCGCCGCGAAGGCATGCTTTGCGCAGTTGAGTTCCTATGGCGTTAAGAAAATCTTGCCCACCCTCTTGTACGGTCTTGAAGACGACCAATGGCGTAGTAAGAAGGGTGCTTGTGATCTTCTCGGAGCCATGGCCTACCTGGATCCGGAGCAGCTGGCGAACAGCTTGCCTGACATTATTCCACCACTGACTGCTGTCCTGAATGATAGTCACAAAGAGGTTCGTTCGGGTGCCAAGCAGAGTTTGAAGAGATTCGGTGAAGTCATCAACAACCCGGAAGTCAAGAGTCTTGTCGACATCCTGCTCAAGGCCCTGAGCGACCCTACCAAATACACAGACGATGCCTTGGACTCACTTATCAAGGTTCAATTCGTTCATTACTTGGACGCGCCATCGCTGGCTCTTGTCAGTCGCATATTGCAGCGTGGTCTAGGAGACAGATCCAACACGAAGCGCAAGGCAGCCCAAGTTATCGGCAGTTTGGCCCATCTTACGGAAAAGAAGGACATCATTGCCCACTTACCCGTTCTGGTCGCAGGTCTCAAGCTGGCCATCGTCGACCCTGTTCCAACAACCCGGGCCACTGCCTCGAGAGCTTTGGGGTCCCTGGTCGAGAAATTGGGAGAGGATGCCTTACCGGATCTCATTCCTCAGCTCATGCAGACCCTCAAGTCTGACACAGGCGCTGGCGACCGTCTTGGCTCAGCGCAAGCCTTATCCGAAGTTCTGGCTGGGCTTGGAACATCCAGACTCGAAGAGACGCTGCCCACGATTCTGCAGAACGTCGAGTCTGCCAAAGCTGCCATCCGCGAAGGATTCATGTCATTGTTTATCTTCTTGCCCGTGTGCTTCGGAAACAGCTTTGCCAACTATCTCGGCAAGATCATCCCACCCATTTTATCTGGTCTGGCGGATGAGGTTGAGTCGATCCGCGAGACAGCACTTCGTGCTGGTAGGTTACTCGTCAAAAACTTCGCCGTGCGGGCCGTGGACCTTCTGCTTCCCGAACTCGAGCGCGGTCTGGCCGATGACAGCTATAGGATTCGTCTCAGCTCAGTTGAACTCGTCGGAGACCTCCTCTTCAACCTCACTGGTATCACTGGTAAGGAAGACGTTGAAGAAATGGAGGAGGAGACCATCCGGGAGCATGGTGCGAATCTGCGAGAGGTTCTCGGTGAAGAAAAGCGTAACAAGGTCCTTTCAGCACTGTACATTTGCCGTAACGATACAGCTGGTGCAGTCCGCTCCGCCGCCATCAGCGTCTGGAAGGCCCTGGTTTCCAGTCCCAAGACTCTTAAGGAGCTGGTGCCGACTCTCACTCAGCTCATTATTCGCCGTCTTGGCAGCGCGAACATGGAGCATCGTGTCATTGCCAGTAATGCCCTGGGAGAGCTTATTCGCAGAGCTGGTGACGGCGTGCTCTCCAGCCTGCTGCCAACTCTTGAGGAGGGTCTTCAGATCTCTACCGACACTGATGCCAGACAAGGTATCTGCCTGGCTCTAAAGGAGTTGATTGCATCGGCCTCACCGGAGGCTCTGGAGGACCACGAGAAGATCCTTATCTCCGTCGTCCGTACTGCACTCACCGATTCAGACGAAGATGTGCGGGAGGCTGCCGCCGAGGCCTTCGACTCGCTGCAACAAATTCTTGGCAAGCGTGCCGTCGACCAAGTCTTGCCCTTCTTGCTCAGCCTCCTTCGATCTGAAGAAGATGCGGATAATGCACTGCAAGCCCTTCTGACGCTCTTAACAGAGACGACTCGTTCTAATATCATCCTTCCAAACCTCATCCCAACTCTTATTGCACCGCCGATCTCAGCATTCAATGCGAAGGCGCTGGCATCTCTGTCCAAGGTTGCGGGCGCGGCTATGAACCGCCGCCTGCCTGGCATCATCAATTCCCTCATGGACAACATCATCAACTCTACCGACGATGAGCTCCGTGAGGATCTTGACAAGTCATTTGACACTGTCATCCTGTCAATTGACGAGTACGATGGCTTGAACACGACTATGAACGTGCTGCTCCAGCTTATGAAGCACGAGGACCATCGTAAACGAGCATCCACTGGGCGTCATCTTGCCACATTCTTCGCCCAGGCAGATGTGGACTACTCTCGCTACAACCAGGACATTATCCGTTCCCTTCTCATCTCTTTCGATGACCGGGACAAGGAGGTTATCAAGGCAGCTTGGAGCGCATTGAGCGAATTTACTAAGCACCTCAAGAAAGAAGAGATGGAGGCCCTGGTCTCATCTACGAGACAGACTCTACTCCAGGTCGGCGTTGCTGGCTCCAACCTGCCAGGTTTCGAGCTGCCAAAGGGTATCAACGCTATTCTGCCGATCTTCCTCCAAGGTCTCATGAACGGCACACCGGATCAGCGTACGACAGCGGCCCTGGCTATTTCTGACATTGTTGACAGGACGAGTGAGGCTTCGCTAAAGCCCTTCGTCACACAAATTACAGGTCCGCTCATTCGTGTCGTCTCGGAGCGGTCTACTGACGTCAAGTCTGCAATCCTTCTGGCCCTCAACAATCTGCTAGAGAAGATGCCCACCGCGCTCAAGCCCTTCTTACCTCAACTTCAGCGAACTTTCGCCAAGTCTTTGGCTGATACTTCTAGCGAGCTGCTCCGGACTCGTGCTGCGAAGGCCCTTGGTACTCTGATCAAGTTCACGCCGCGTGTCGATCCACTTATTGCAGAGCTCGTCACTGGTTCCAAGACATCTGATCCTGGAGTCAAGACTGCTATGCTCAAGGCACTTTATGAGGTTATCAGCAAGGCTGGCGCCAACATGGGCGAGTCGTCCCGGACAGCTGTCTTGGGTCTCATTGACACGGATACCGATGAGCGCGATGACAATATGACCATCACAAATGCGAAGCTGCTTGGTGCGCTGTTGAAGAACGTGCCAGAGGATGTGGCTCTAAATCTGCTAAAGAGCCGGGTCATGACAACCAACTTCAGTCACTCGTCCGTCCTGGCGCTCAACGCAGTACTGTTGGAGTCGTCGGCATTGTTGCTGGATAGCCCACTAGCTGAGGACTTGCCTGAGCTGCTCAGCCAGGGCATGTCCCACAAGGAGGTAAGCACAAATCCAGTTCTCGAGAACCTCATCATAAAGTGACATATGCTAATTGTCTATCCAGCCATTCATAGCCGAAAACTTCATCCTCGCAACCGGGAAGTACCTGCTGTCTGACTCACCAAAGTCCTTCGAAACAACCAAGTCTATCTTCGAATCTCTTGCAGCCCTGATCCCGCCCGGTGAATCCGCGGACTCTCGCCGCCTGTCCCTGGTAGTCATCCGCACTGTCTCGCGCGCTCACATGGACATGGTCCGCCCGCACCTTGCGCTTCTCGCGCCGCCCGTGTTTGCCTCCGTGAGAGATATGGTCATCCCGGTCAAACTCGCGGCGGAGGCCGCCTTTGTTGGGCTGTTCAACGTGGTGGATGAGGAGAGCAAGGTGTTCGACAAGTTCATGGCAGGCGATGGTGCAGCCAATCTGCCGCCTAACACGAAGAGGAGCATGGGTGACTACTTCAAGCGTGTCGCGCTGCGGCTGGGTAGCCAGGCGAGGGAGAGAAGAGAGGCGGAAGGTGGCGTCTCCGGTACCCTGGGCCTGACTGGTGATGAGGTGGAGGATGAGAGGGAGATCTGGAGTGTGGGCAAGGTTGATGTCGGTGGGGATGTGTTTGGGAAGGAATAGGAGGTGAGGGATAGGAAATTTTGCTCAAACTTGTTAGGGTTCTGCTATGATTTCATGCATTGCTGGGAGTGTAGATGACTCAAAAGTAAATCATTGTATTGCATTCAACTCCAAGTCCTGGTGAAGAGGTGTCTACCGTTGGCTTCTTTGGAGAATTTCCAGCCCTTGGGAAGGGATTTTCTAACTTCCGTATTACTCTATCATCATCGGTGTCAAGGTGATGGGAGCCGAATGGGACTTACTCAGAAAGACACTATTCCCACTGCTTAAGAGAACCCTCATCTTCCTGAAGTTATCCATCAGGAACATTGATTTCAGAACAGAAAGAACTCTGTAATACTCCAGCCGCTTGGTGGCTCCCAGATTACACCTCTGGCAAAATGGATTTCAAAACAATACTTTTCCTGCATTTAGATAGCTATCTTATAAGCTCACTGCACACAATTTTCGGGGACTTTGAACCGGCTCAGTAGCGCTTAGGTTTGAAACCAATGCCAACTATTTGATAATAATACTCAAATATCACACGAATTGTAAATAAACGATCTACTGTTGGCTACGTCAGAAACCTGGAGACTACACCTATGTGACCGAAGGGCGCTCTGTTGCGAAGAGCCAGCCAGGCATTGCAGAAGGCGGCTTTCGTCAAGACGACTTCAAGCTCACAACATTGACATAACTTCAAGATCGATGATTTCTTGTGCACATCGTCAATACGTTCTGGCGGAAGTCAGGGACTGTGTCTTAGACCTAGCTCATGTCAATATTCCATAGGTGAGCCTCCTGTGGTGTACCTTGGCATCTCTTCATACGCTTCCAGGGTATTCAGGGCATTGTGCATGACCACGCCTTAGCGACGGCATCTTTGGCATGTATGACAGAGTTGCCGTATGGCCCAAGTGAGTAATGCGGCAGTCGTGTTAATTTCTTTGTCTTGTAGTGGTGTTTCAACCTCTTGAGTGTTCTGATGAGTCACCCCGGGAGGCTTGAAGCTCAGCTTCACTAGCTTGGATGTGAACTATCCAAGCCGACCTGCTTCGGCAGTTGGTAAAACGGCCGATGCCAGCTCGCACTTTCCACAAGTCTTGACATTTTCACCTGCTACTTATTCCCATGAGACAGATATTCAGCACGTCTAGGAAAAGGATCAACTCTAACAAGAGGAAAGCCACGTTCGCAGAACTGTCGAAGTCAAGCGAGCGAGCCGCAGCCATGCCGGGAACATCAGGATCGTCGTCCGCAGATGAGGGGCCCATATACTTCTGGAGGGAAACCGAGGAGCCCTACGGGTGGATGTCTCAGTGGTACGCGTACCGGATGCGAGATGCTTCAGACAGCACCATAGTCTATCCGACAGCGGAGCACTACATGATGTACCAAAAAGCGAAACTCTTCGAAGACGACAAGACCGCAGACAAGATCCTTGCCGGCAAGGACCTTCATCCACGCAAGATCAAGGAGCTGGGGCGCGAGGTCGCCGGCTTTGACGAATCGACTTGGGTAGCGGAGAGGGAGCAGATTGTAGAAAAGGGGACCTGGTTGAAAATGACCAAGCCACTTCGTGACAAGCAAGTGAACCTGGGAGAGTTGCTTCTAGAGACTGGAGACAGGGAGCTGGTAGAGGCGAGCCCGTTCGATCGAGTGTGGGGCGTGGGGTTCCGGGCCAAGGATGCTGAGAACAATAGGGAACGTTGGGGGTTGAATTTACTGGGCAAGGCGTTGATGGCTGTCCGCGAGAGGCTCAAGGAGGACGGTGGAGAGCGCAAGGTGGACGAGAAAGGGAAGGGAGAGACGGCGGGAGGGGAGGTCCCTTCGTGACTTGAATACATTGCCATGAGCCCTCGTCCCCAACTTGGCTTTATATAGCTTGAGCGAAGGCCAAAGCCTTGCATTGAATCAGAGCATTGTCGGCTGTCAGAATCAGTAATTGCTATGCACTTCTACTGAACCTGTCAGCATTAAGACGCTTAGGTGAGAGTGCTGGCGGCTTATCTTAGCTTGTCGTCTGAACGTACGCGCGCTAGAGGTAGGGGGGGGAGGGGGTTGTCTGGGTTTGTTTGAGACCGGGTCACGTGCGTGGTCATGCGGCCCTTAACATTTTTCTGATTGCTGCCGGCTTTCCACACCAAAGCGGGGGGCCAGCGCTCGTTCGTCTCGAAATTAGCCAGGCAGGCCAACACCACCTGCTGTCTTCACTCCTGGAAACTTTTTTCGAAGCCCAGCAGCCCCATCCTCAACCCGACAAATCACCGACAGCGGCCATCAACAGCAAGTGCAGTCAAGATGTGAGTGCCCGAATGCCATCTTCCGACCGATTTCGAGAGCACCAGGAGGACAGAGATGTGTGCATGGACCGTCGGGTCGAGGTGCAGTCTGTGACGGGCAAATTCGAGCTTTGCACTCACTATCGATGACGCCTTCACAAACCGCCCTCGACCAACGTGGCCATCAACACCACGTCGAAACCATCACCGATTGGGTCCCACTTGGCACGATCTGGAAGGCTGACATGTCAATTTTCTGCTGTACAGGGTCAACTTGGTCTCCCAGAAGCGCCTCGCGGCCGATGTCCTCGGCTGCGGTGAGCGCAAGATTTGGCTCGATCCCAACGAGGTCAACGAGATCTCCAACGCCAACTCCCGCCAGTCCATCCGCAAGCTCGTCGCCGATGGCCTCATCATCCGAAAGCCCGTCACCATGCACTCGCGTGCCCGCGCGCGTGAGCTGAACCTCGCCCGAAGAATTGGTCGCCACCGTGGTTTCGGAAAGAGGAAGGGTACCGCCGATGCCCGTATGCCTGAGTATGTCTACCCAGCAACAAACAAACCCGGCCGATGAAAACAGGAATTGGGAGACGGTTCAATTGAACATATCGAAAGAGCTTGGGATACACATCTGGACGGCATGACCGTGAGGATGATTCAAGGCTGACTTGACGAATTACAGGCAAATCCTCTGGATGCGCCGCCAGCGTGTTCTCCGCCGCCTGTTAGTCAAGTACCGTGCCAGCGGCAAGATCGACAAGCACCTTTACCACGAGCTGTACCACGCCGCCAAGGGTAACACCTTCAAGCACAAGCGCGCCCTGGTTGAGCACGTACGTACACCCCCAACACTCCGGACCATGCGGAAACGACCAGACTGACATGTTTGCTTCTAGATCCACCGCGCCAAGGCTGAGAAGGCCCGTGAGAGGCAGCTCAAGGAGGAGATGGACGCCAAGCGTGCGAAGACCAAGGCTGCCCGCGAGCGCAAGGTGGAGCGACAGACGGCGAAGCGGAACGCCCTGATGGAGGGTCTGGAGGAGGAGAAATAAATGCATCAAGACGGCAACTGACGAAACATTCCTCTACTTCCTTACTGAAAGAAGCTGTCTTCGGAAAGGGATCCTGCATTCGGAGTAATCGGTTGGGTCGCTGCTCAGTACATATTTCTCTAAATCCTACAAGGTCTTCTAGAGAAGTGCTATCTCTTGACGGGGGTTTCGGGCAAGTTTTTACGGCATTGAAAACGGGATCAATGAGCTGCGAACAAATTTCACGGATGGTTTCCTTGTTTATGAAACACTCTACAACTCTTCCTGCTCACGACGTGATCTCGCTGGCCTTCGATGGCTCGAATACCCACCTAGATAGGCAGACAGATGGGCGACCGCTCCATAATGCACAGCCTGCTGAGCAATGATGTCTCTTGGTGTTCGCGGTCTGGGAAGCAATAGCCTCAGTCTCAAACCGGGGCCAGACGATCGGAGATGCGTTCGCTCTGCGTCCTTTTCGTTACAAAGGATCGTCGTCATACATCGCTCGCCCGTGACCTAAGTACAGACGTAGCAACCAACGAAGCGTCAGTCCACCACTCAGGCAATGATTACGTGCTGCTACGCACAGGAAAACACAACACGTTGCTAAGTCCTGTCTGCCCACTCAGCATAGCACCCGGCTGGCAGCAGGAGACAGATGTGCTCGGCCAGACGCTCACTGGAGCTTCAACCAAACACAAACCCGCCGCTCCAAATGCAGCTCTTCATTAAACATTCTATTACATGATCTGGAGGTCTATCTAGATAGGAGGGCAATGTCCAGCGCCTGAAGGTCAGACGAGTCATTGGGAGAGCAAAGATAGGGTGAGAAGAAGGGGCCAGCTCAGGCCGATCAACTAAAAGTTGGGTCAGATGCTTTCATATTGTCTCTTCTTAAGGTGGTGAGGTGCCGCCAGAGACATTTCAGCATGCTCCCGCCGAAGCGGAAAACCAGATGTGCATGTGAGCGGCTTCGTCATTTCCCAATATTAGTTGTTAAAGGGAGGGAAAAGAGAAAATTTGAAAAAAATCAGTGGAGCTCGCGGTGAAGATATTTTGGAGTGGAAGTGGCCCGTGCGTTGTGGGCTTTGGGGGAGGCAGGGGTCGGGTATCCCAGTGTGGAGCAGGACTGAGGTAGTGCAGCGCAGCGGGTGCCGAGGGGCGGGGTTTCCAGCTAGGTTGACCCGGATCGTTGATCGATTTCCTGGAGTCACGAATCACGATAACATCCATTCTCCGTGTCAGCCCATCACCGACACCGGTGCCCTTCTTGTCATCCACTGCTGCCGCCTCGCCGCCTCGCCGGACCGGTTGATAAGGCTGCTCCTCCCGCCCTCCGAACCTGCTCTCTCCCTCCGAGCTCCTACAATGACCCTATGAGCTTCTGGTGAGGTCCCCGTTCTTCCAGGAGCTTCAATTGGCAGTCCAGAGCGGAGAACAGCGCAGCTAACTCGTCAGTGGTGTGCCATATCACTGTCGTTAGGCTTGCTTGCAAGTGGTAGAGCGACCCAGCATCACCATGTCGGCTCCTATCTTCCGAGGCGCCTCGCGCATGCTCCGAGCTGTGCCAAGACGGTCACACCTTCAACAGACTGGCGCGCCGTTCAGACGATGTTTGTCTTCGCTGAACGTCGAGAGCCAGCAGAAAGTGCGCGAAGGATCAACTCCTGTCGCTCCAGTGTCTGCCCCTGCTGACAAGGTCGCTGAACAACAGTTGCTGGCCTCCCATCTCAAGGAGGCCGATCCGGCCATGTATGAGATCATAGAAAAGGCAAGTACACTCTTTTACCCATCCACTCCCTGCCGGTGGTGGAAGCCCACGATAGAGCTAGGAGGCTAACTGCGCCGGTGCGAACAGGAGAAGAAGAGACAAAAGCATTTTATCAATCTCATTCCCTCCGAGAACTTCACATCTCAGGCGGTTCTGGATGCCTTAGGCAGTCCTATGCAGAGTACGAATGCCGTCGTCCATTGAACAAGGCGCGAGAACAAAGGACTGACGCATGGATTGCAGACAAGTACTCCGAAGGATACCCCGGAGCTAGGTATTATGGCGGCAACGAGTTCATCGATCAATCAGAGAGGCTATGCCAACAGAGGGCATTGGAGACCTTTGGTCTGGACCCAAACCAGTGGGGAGTCAATGTACAATGTCTGTATACATCCACCATCCTCGAGCCCCTGACTTGACTTGGTACTGACTGTCTCATGCAGCCCTCTCTGGTGCTCCCGCCAACCTATACGTCTATTCAGCCCTGTTAGACACTCACGACCGGCTCATGGGCCTCGATCTCCCTCACGGCGGTCATCTCTCGCACGGTTACCAGACACCAACCAAGAAAATCTCCATGATCTCGAAATACTTCGAAACCCTACCTTATCGTCTCGATGAGTCAACCGGATACATCGACTACGCAAAAATGGAGGATCTGGCGATGCTCTACCGACCCAAGATCATCATTGCGGGCACAAGTGCATACAGTCGTCTGATCGACTACGCACGCATGAAGGAGATTGCTGACAAGGCAAACTCCTACCTCCTTGCCGACATGGCACACATTTCTGGCCTCGTGGCCGCAAAGGTTCTGCCTAGCCCCTTCTCTTTCGCCGACATCGTTACCACCACGACGCACAAGTCTCTCCGAGGACCCCGTGGCGCAATGATCTTCTACCGAAAGGGAGTCCGCCGACAAAACCCCAAGACGAAGCAGGACGAGCTGTACAACCTCGAGGGTCCCATCAACGCGTCCGTCTTCCCGGGACACCAGGGCGGGCCTCACAACCACACCATCGCCGCGCTGTCCGTCGCGCTTAAGCAGGCGCAGACGTCAGAGTTCCGCAGCTACCAGGAACAGGTGCTCACCAACTCGAAGGCGCTGGCGAAGAGGTTAGGCGAGGATAAGAGCAAGGGCGGGCTGGGCTACACGCTGGTCAGCGGCGGCACAGACAACCACCTCGTGCTGGTAGACCTGAAGCCGCAGGGCATCGACGGCGGGCGAGTGGAGCGCGTGCTCGAGCTCGTCGGCGTCGCGGCCAACAAGAACACCGTGCCTGGCGACAAGTCCGCGCTCTCGCCCGGCGGCCTGCGCATGGGCACGCCGGCGATGACGACCCGCGGCTTCAGCGAGGACGACTTCTCACGCGTCGCGGACATTGTGGACCGGGCGGTGGCAATCGCGAGCCGGGTCAACAAGGCGGCGAGGAAGAACGCCGAGGAGAAGGGCATCAAGCTGCCTGGCAGGCTTAAGGTGTTCCAGGAGTACCTCGGCGACGGCGAGAATGAGCCCGAGATCGTCCAGCTTAAGAGTGAGGTGGCCGACTGGGTTGGGACTTACCCTCTGCCTTGGGACGTGAGGTCATAAAGCATGGCGGCGGGTGATGATGGTTTACTGTGTGACTGGATAGTGCGCGAGCGTAACAGGGCTCGGCTGTGGCTCGCACGGCGGTGTAGTAGTTCAACCTCTTGACGCTGGCAGGGATGGGACGGAATTCTTCAACGGTCCTCTCAAAATAGAGCGTTCCGAGGCGTTTGGACAGAGACCAGAGGTCTTCGTGTAATCATCAGGCATTGTTTCCAGCATTAGCATAAACACAGCTCTGGTAACGGCGTGTATTTTGATCGAAGGTAGCAGCAGCATTGCAATATGCCAAGTGAGAGTGCTGCACTGTCTCTCTAACCAGCGCTATGCTCGCGATAATTCCACTCTCTGCCTCGAGATCATCCCGCGCGTGTATATCCCTGAGTAGTTTTGCACAACATCCAAACAAGAAGTCCTCACGACAACCTCATTTCTCATCATTCTCCTCTTCTTTCCCCGGTTCATCACTCTTCAACTCTGCTTTCTCTTCATCCCTCTTCGGGTCCTTCGGGTCCTTCGAGTCCTTCGAGTCCTTCGAGTCCTTCGAGTCCTTCGAGTCCTTCGAGTCCTTCGAGTCCTTCGAGTCCTCCTCACTCTGCTTTTCACCGTACTGCACGGGCCTGCCCGAGCTAGGCGTCGAACCCGGCCGGCTACAAAGCCACGCAATATTGCGCCCGAAGACCTCAATAACGCTCTTGCGCCCCGCAAAGTCCACCCAGTACTTCTCAAGGGCGGTATACCGCGCACGCTGGGCCCACGACTGCTCGAAGCGGGCGTCTGCAGCCCTCCACGTCTCGGTAATGGCGTGCAGGACGGGCCACAGAGCGTAGTCAGCAATGGAGGGCTGCTGCACGGCCCCGTTTCCCGCAAAGAACAGGTTCCCGTGTTCGTCGCCGCCGCCCCCGTCGGCGCAGAGCGGTCGAAGGTTCTCAGCCATCCAGGCATTGATCTGGACATAGTTTGCGCTTGCAAAGTCGGAGATAATGTTGACCGTCTCCTCATTTGAGATGTCGCGGGCCAGGGCGCCACGGGTGAGAGCTTTCCACTTCTGGCCCAGGGCGAGCGCGGCCTGGAAGCGAGTGAAGATCCTGGCCATCTCAGCCTCAGTGCCCTTCTTCTTGGGGTATCGCGCCTCTAAATAGAGCATGATGGCTACGTCGCCCGTGATAGTCGTCCGGTCAGCATCGTCGAGGACGAACTTCACTTGAACGACATCTGCCGCATCGCCGTAGCTGGTCTGCCCTTTGCCGGTGCCGATGGAGCCGTGCGCATAGTTAACCCCTAGCTCTGCTAACATAATCTTGACACGCCCATCCACCATTGTGTCGCCGCAGCCGAAATACCGCGGTGCGGACTTCATATGCAAGACATCGAAGCCGCCGCCATAGGTTTCTTCCCAGTCGAATTCACTTGAGTGGTTTTCTTTTCCAAAGCCTTTCAGCATGGTCACGGCCTCTGGCGTCTGTCCATTGATCACCGATCTGGCACTGCCACGGGTTTTTGACACTGCGCCTTGTCCCCATATGACCTGCTCGTCGGTATTCTTTACAGAGGAGAGGAACGTGCCGATGTGGCGGAAGGTCAAGCTTATGCGATACCCGCCAAAAGCAAGCTCTGCGGGAGATTTCTGCGACGTGGGTCGCTTGTCAGGTCGGATGCCGTGGAGCCACTTGCTGTTGGTGGCGAGCCCCATCTGAACAAGCGAGTTGTGTGGCATGCGGCAACGTACGGTCTGTCGCTTGGATGGTGATGGCTCCTCCGCGACCGTCGGTGGCGCTAGGTCTACCAATGTTCCAGATGGCTCAGTGGCCTCCTTATTCTCCTTGGCCGGGCTCTCCTTCTCCACTGAAGCATCCCTCTTGGTCCTAAAGGCCATGGTCCTCTCCGCCCCCAAGCTCACATTCGCAATATAAGAACCCCGGACAACATCCAGGGTCTTGTCGCTATGTTCACTAATGTAATCATTGCCGCTCCGGTAGCACTGGATTAACGCATGGTTAAGTTTGTGGCCTACTCTCTTCTCCACCTGCGCCCTGATAGCTTCGACAGCTGGTGTGAAGGGTACACAGAGAGGCGTCTCATCGCTGGGATGTCGGTAGATGGGTTGTGTACCATCATCGGAAACTTCTCCCTGCACGGCAACGAAGCGGGGCACCTCGCCGCCTTGGTGCATCATCTTCTGAAAGTGGACTTCAGAACATAGTCGCTCGAAGAGGCCGGAGGCGAGTGAGTCTGGGAGAAAGGAGTGAATGATTGTTGTATCGCCTTCGCAAAGTTTTTCGGTCACGAGGGTTTCAATGTTGGTGTCGTTGGGCGCTGTCACGCTCTCTGCTGGTCCTTGGATTTGTGAACCCTGTTCTAAGGCCTTGGGTTCTTCACTTTCGTTTTCAGCAAGGTAAGAGCCCTCTTTCTCGTGGTCTGGTGTCTCAGCCGTCAGGAGCTGTTCAGAAGGTACGAATTCGCCTTGCTCCATCCTGGCAGGTTTTGGCTTTACTGCAGCAGGTTCTGGTGGCTTGGACGATGCGAAGAATTGCTTCATGGCTTGTTCTGCGCTGGCGATAGAGATTATGCCGGTTTTTGAGTTTCCTGTTTCTCCTATGGTGTCTCCCGTCTTCGCTTTGCTAGCGGGTGACTCATTTCGAGCGGCGCGCGCCATGGGCTTTGTTTGGGAGGATAAAGAACCTGTCTTCCTTGCTTGCGCGTTTGCGCGTGGAATCAGAATTCTGCGCTCAGTCTTAGCATCTGCTTCGTTCACCACGGATTGTACCGCCTGCTTGGCTTGGGACTCGGCTGGCCCAGACTCAGGCGTTTCATTTGCGGCGAGAGGCTCGACGAGACCTGTTGTTGTTTTACGGGTAGAGGCACTGGCGGGATCTGTGGATTCGGGAGCGTTTAGTCTCAGCTTGTCCATCTCAGGAGAAAGGTCTGGCGACAGCGACAATGGCAGGGTAGCAGCAGCATCCTCTGGCTTGCCCTTCTCTCCTGTGCTGTCAGGGGCATTGGGTAGCGACGGGGATTCTGGGCTTTTGGGACGTACGGGTATGCCCTTGCTTGAACCGAGCCTGTTCCCTGCCATCGCCGCCGCAATCAGTTCTGGTGGTATTTGAGCTGGGCCACCTAGCGTACGGCCTCGATGATTCGCGTCTGGCCGGGACTGTGGCTTGGGCCTCAGCGTTGGAACGATATCGGCGACTGTCGCAAACTCGCAACCGGTCATCTCTGCCAATTTCCTCGTCGCATTCATATGCCTCGCCTCGCTGCGGTAACCGCAGCAGTCCTCCACTATTGTTATGTCGAATCCGTAGCTGCTCGCTGCCAGCGCCGTTGCATACACACTGACGTTGGACAATGCACCACAGATGTAGAGCTCCGTTGCAAAGTGCCGCCTGAGCAACTGCAGGAGCTGGCCGGACTGGAAGGCCGAGTAATATGTCTTTGTCATGGCATAGTCCCTTGGACCCTTGGCTGCTGCCAACTCAGGAAGAAGCTCTACACCTTTGGTTCCCTTGCGGACGCATTGCGGCTTGATTTTGCCGCTCTGTCCACCAACGTCACTGAGGAAAGCCTCCGGATCGGCTTCGAGAGGTGTGGATGCTGCGGGGGATGATCGGGAGGCGCGCGCGCGCGCAGCCGCAGCCGCAGCTGAACCACCTGGTCTATTTGGTAGCTGGGGGGTTTCGATGGCCATCATCTGCTCCTCGCCAACTGCACGGCTTGTGTCGAACTGGCTGCGGACCCATACTACCTCACCATAGCCGGAATTCCGCACGGCGTCGGCGAGCCTGACGACCTTAGCAACCATTCCATCCGGCTGGTTGACGGGGAGTGCGCCATCTTGAGCCAAGAAATCGTTCTGAAGGTCGATGGCTATGAGGGCCTTCTTGGTAGGCACGTCCGGGAAGTCGGCGGGGTTGATGGGAAGGAGAGACATGACGATGCGACAGAAGGCGACATGGAAATTCTTCCACACAAGAACAAAGGCGAGAGGGTATCGGGTGGTTCTAGAACCTGTGCTTGGTCAGAATATGGCTTTGTTTATTGTACGACCCGATGGTGCCGTAATACAGATGAGCGCCCAAGCTCTCTACATACCTCAGTCAACTCACGACACGGCCTGACACGACCCGACTTGGACTGTGCTTTGCCTCGTAATGCCGTCCAAAGAGATGGTTATGCTGACTCGAGGGTATCCAAAGGGAACAAGAGAGGTTGAAGTCAGAGGCAAGACAGGATGAAAAGACTGTGGAGGCCTGCAGCAAGCTTGGTCTGGATAGAGGTGGCTCGGTACAAGGTAGCCAAGCTAGGTGAATAATATCTAAGCGTCGACGCCACTAATCCAACATGGAGCACTGGATGTATAGGGTTTGTAGGGTATGGAGAATAAGTAGACTGAGAATGGGGGTTCAAGGAGAGCCCGGGATGAGGCATAGAAGGGCTGCGAGCGAATTGACCGTCGGCAATATTCTGGAGGTGATCGACATTCAGCCAGCCAGCAGCAGAGCAGCCGTCTTAGACGAGAGCCGGGAAGAAGGTTTGGCGATGGCAGAGGCCCATTTGATGAGAACAAGGTCAATGCCTATAGATGAGATATTGAATCCTGCGCGACTCGACTCGACTGGGCTCGACTCGTGCCGTACCGAGCCGAACCGTACGTACGATACTCGAGAGACACAAATGTCGTACACTCTTGTGCGCGTGTAATGGCAGTAGATCTGTAGTATGTGGGTAGGTAAGGTATGTAGGTAGGTAGGTAGCACAGAATGATGGATGATGCTGGGCTGGAATTGGAGGTTGTAGGAAGGGCCGGTCCTTGTCCTGGTCCCGGTCCTGGTCCTGTGCTGTTCATGGGCAAGGGCAGGGGTAGCTCCCTCCCTGATCCTTCTGCCTCAACCGGGTGGGCTTCGGCGAGGGGTAACGACGGTAAAAAGTGAGGGTAGACAGAAGACCCGCCCTCACAATCGACGCCAACGCCAACACCAACAACTATCGACCTTGACCTACATGTGACAAGTCTGCCAACGCGGGCCGTCACCAACACCAGCATCAACACCAGCACCAGCATCAACACCAACACCAGCACCAGCACCAACACCAACAGTGACAGTAAAAGCCAAGCAAACAGCGCGGTTGCAAAGTGACAACCTCTCGTCGACTGCATTGCCGATCCCTGATCTTCATCCAGCTTCTGTGTGCTGTAATGCGTCCTCGGACCAACATCGATCATGTCACCTCTCACCTTCAACTCTCCACCCCTGCCTCGACCTCCACCTGCTTGCTGGACTTGGACTTGGGATGAGCGCAGCGCAGCACAGCACACACCACAGCACAGCTTGATCTCCACACCAAGTCCTCGGCGTTAACTCGTCAAGGGCCACGCACAAACACGCACACAACACACAGCATATACACTACACATGTACGCCAGCAAGCCATTGATGCCCTGATGCCCTCACAGGGTCGTAGCCGACAGGTCACAGCCGGCCCAACGGTCTAGGCCCTCTTGGACCCCTCGACGACAAAAGAGCCCTGGCTCTTTGGGCACAAGACACAAAAGATACACAGAGGACCCTTGATATTCCCCCTCTTAAACTTCGGGAGCTACTACCTCGTTGGTGTTGTACGAAGTAGCCAAGGTAGTTTCTGCCGGGGCATGGGGGGTTACATGCACCATCTGCCTTCGATCGTGCCGTTACTGTATAATTAGTCTTCGACTGACAGCATCAGCATCATTCATCATCATCATCATCATCACCACCACCCACCATCACCCACCCAGGCTCACCAACCCGTCCGTCCATCCAGCCCTTCATGCGTCCACCCTCGGTCGCGGGATGCATGAGTTGATTGCATTCCTGAGCGGCCGCCCTGTGAGACTCTCTCTTCGGCCTCGTTCGCCCTTCTCTCCACGGGGTTGGACAGTCCAAGACCAAAGGACCTTGCATAGCCGCCCTATCATTATGCTATCGGCCACCAATTGCGAACAAAATTGCATATCCTGCCCCGTCTGCCGTGCCACCGCACCACCACTGCAACAATCCCACCTGCAAATGAAGCCCTACCGGTTACAGTGCCGCTCGCTGAACATGCATTCCCAGCCCTCCGAGCCCTCCACGCCCTCCCTGCCCTCTCCATGCTTTCCATTCTGAGCCTGCCAGCGTTGCAGCCGACCACACTGCAGCACGGAATCAGTTGATGCCAATTGCCGATGGCACCGCGTTCAGAGGTCACGCTCATCTCGGCCCCAGCCTAGCAAGAGCTCCTCGAACGCCAGGTCTGAGCTCCTCGTCGGGCTCATCGAAAGCATATTATTTATCTGGTTGGCGGGCTGCCTCAGCAATCCAAAGCCAAGCATGCCTGTCTAGACTACAAGTCACTGACTCGAGTAACCTCTTCGGAAAGCAGCCGATGCGCTCCAAGGAACTCTCCGACATTTTATCCACCCACAAACCGTTTCCCATCACGGGAAGTCCTCATCATGATACCGCAACGCTGCTCGTATCCCAATGCTCACATACGTCTGGCATGAAGCGCCCAGACCTCCTGCGCGTGGCGCTCCTGTCATGCAGTCACATCCTCTCCAACCCCTCGAAGCTGTCGTAAACGAGTTGAATCCTTCGACGCAGGCAGACGTCGCCTCCCTGAATCCCGACGGGTGATGGCTGCCAGAATCGAGATCCCGGCTATCGCCACGTGTATCGCCCGCAGCCCACTGTAGACGCCTAACCCCAAAACCACCTGCCCTCAGTCCACAGCAAGGATCGCCACCCCTGACTGCCGTGTAAGTGGGTCCGTAGCGCCCGCGAGCCTTACGCCCATCAGGCCATCAAACGACGAGATGCGCAACCCGGCTCCTCCGATGCTACCATCCTTCCTGTCCGTTGAACATTTCGCACGGCGCCGGAAAATCCTATTCGAGGGTCATGTCTTGCACTATTACGAGTTTCAAATGCTTCGCTCAAGTCATGGTGTGTCTATATGGTCAGCAAGTTACGACACAAAGCTTCAGTAGGCCTTCCTCGGCACCGCATCACATGCCTTAGCAACTCAGTGACGCATTCTCCTCCCGAAGCTCTTTGTGCAGAGACGGGGACAGAACAATTTTCTGTAGATTGGGGGACCCTTGAAAAACGTGCTCAATTGTCCGGCCGTTACCCTGTTGAAGATCGTTTCACTCACGAATAGAGACACCGACGTGACAGAACTCCTCATATCACCATTTGCGAGATGAGAACCTTGGAAATCTTATGCGGTCCCGAGCCGACACGAACACCTTGCTAGGGTAGCTTCCACGAGCTCCAGGCTTTGTGAGTCGAACCTAATATGCCGTTATATTATACATCAGGGCTTCACCCTGTGTGCTCGCGAAGTATCGCGTTGCAAATGTCCGGTTGAGAAATTTCGTCTCGACAATGACTACCGCTTTTGTTGTATCTGTTATAGACCCATGGGTTGATCGTAGCAAAGCACGTTTGTACGGGTCCTACAACATCAATGCGCCTGCCGCAACCCTGGACCACTTAGCGAAGGCATGACCTGGTGACTTAACCATGGTAGAAGCAAAGCCACATCCATACGGGGCAAAGGATGGCATGTCACTCAACGGAGAGTTGCTTCGACGTTCGGGCCCGCGCGGGCAGAGCGGGCGCCGCTCGGGATGGAGACGTCTCTTGATGTGAATGGAATGGCATCGCCCCGGCCTCTGAAGATTCGCTATACATGCTACACAGCCGAAAGTAAGTCACCTTGACTCCTACTCTTTCTCATGATGCGTCCAGCCCAATATCCTTTCGGCTTTCTCCGCCGTCCAGAACGCCCTGTTCTTGTTCCAGTCGCCTCTGAGCTTTGTATCCGGGTAGTATGTCTTCGCCAGCTCTGCCGATGGTGTATCCAGCGTTGTATCCGGCGCAATGATGTTGAAGATCTCGCAGCCATCATATTTGTCGGCACTCGTCACGCTTACCAGGCAGGCCCGGGCCGTGGCGACGGGGTTGACCCAGCCCCAGAGCTGCTTGACGGCAGCATCCTGCCAGTTCTCCTTGTGCTCCTGCAGTACGTTGGCCTTATTCTCCACCTCGTGGATGCGCAGGCAGGCGACTTTCATGCCAGGGAACCAATTGGGGAAGGCTTTGCATGCCGTCTCGGCCTCCAGCTTGGCCAGGGCGTATGAATCGCTCGGGCTACACGGGTACTCCTCGTCGATGGGGAAGTAAGGCAACCGTAGCGGCCGCTCACTGTAAGCCAGCCCGATGGCATTCACCGACGACGCGTAGCAGAACCTCTTGATGCCCAGCTCGGCGGCGGCACGCAGCCCGTTGAAGGCGCTGTTGACGTTATTGGAGTGCACCTGCCAGTCCGGCTTGCCCACTGGGTTGGGCAGTGCTGCGAGGTGGATCACAGCGTCGCAGCCCTTGAAGGCCTTGACGGTGGCGTCGTAGTCAGATGCCGCGTCGGCGGTGCGCATCTCTGTGTTTTGCGTTCCATCGTGCTCCTGTTCTGTGCGGTTGATTTGCACCGTCGAGTGGCCCTCGTTTGCGCACAGCTTCACGACCTCACGACCGACGGTACCCCTTGCCCCTGTGATTGCGATCTTCATGCTGGGTGTGGTTTTCAAGGCTGACTTTAGTGCTGATGTGATCAAAGTCATGACAGGCTCTCGTTCTCTTCAGGCGAGAAGCTCAGCTTGATGCGACTGCTTTTATCATGCAGGTACTCGCCTCGCCTCGCTCGCCTCGCCTCGCCCTGCCTCGCCCTGTTCAAGTCCATCGGCTGGAATGTGACGTCAGGATTGTGAAATGTCGAACATCATAACCCATCCACCGTCATCATGTTGTAAGTCGCAGCGAAAGGATGCGATCATGGCTCGGAACCGTCGCGTATGGCAGTTGCTGCCCGGACGCTTCTTTGAGCAATCTAGAACCTGGTGGTGTTCGATGCCCAGTGTGCCCGGCCTTGCTCCACTGCCAATGTCCCCTCCCCACGGGCCGCGCAGCAACCCGGAGCTCAACGATGCCACGACTCTTTCCCGAAATGAATCATGTCCATCATCTCTTATAAACCATCTGAATAAGTCTTCCCTGACAGCTATCATTCACTGACATGAGTTGGACTTCCCTGCGGCCTCTGGACGCGAACTAACGAAACACGTGGAAATGCTTAACCGATATGGTTTTTGCACCTGTACCTCACCTGGCTACTGCCATTGGCCATTATACGACTTCTTCTTGATCATACTATTGCGATGTATAAAACAGACGCTGAATAGGAACTCTATCCGAAGTTTGAACCGGGTGCGGTGCGGAAAAGAGGGCAGGGTTCCGTTGGGACTGCTTGCGTGTAGGTACCAGGGCTCAGACCTGACCAGCCTTATGGTGTTTCATACCGGCTTGCGAGATATGCTTTGGAAGTTTATAGGAAAGCCCCCAATCAGTGTGTCTTCCGAAGCCGAATACGATGTCTGGAAATAAAGCTCCGAAAATGAGAAAGAATGGGGCAATTGAAATCGCATTGTTGACAAGAAACTTGCTCAGTGGGGCCATCTATAGATGGGGTGTAGATGCAGATGTTAACTTATTAAAGTTTCACCAATACCTGCAAGTCATTGGTGATTCATTTGTGAACTACCCCATATTTTGGCATAGGTGTCCTATGATAGGCTGCGTTTTGAGAATTCTCGGGTTCTTGAAGCGATGGGCAGAATCATTGAATAAAATAATTGTATGTTGTCTAGATGCACCGGTTCACCATGACATCTGCTCAATTGATGGCGTTCAGCAGCATGTTTTCATGTTTCCACAAAAGGTGCCTTGAGCTACCTTTGGAAGGGCACGCCTCCCTCATTAACTAAACCTGTGTTTCAATACTACTTGGTAGTGGTCCACTCGCCTCTTTCGCTCTCGTTTACTGTAAATGTTCCAACGCTGGACGATCAACTTACCTGGCATTTGAAATCGCAAGCGTATTAGGTTTGGGTGATTTCTCACGGTGTCAATGTCGATAGGCGGAACAGAGCATGACTAGATGAAGATGGCTTCCTTGATCCGCTATGGTCTTGTTACGTTGATCAACTGAGAACAGTTGGAGATTTTACCACCGGTGCCCAAGTGCCTGTATTGAGCATAGCAAACCAAGTTGCGTCCTTGGCCGGGCTCAATTCCATCACCCAGTAACGTGGCAGCAATTAGTCCTCATTAAAATCCACTTAACAAGGCATGTGGAAACTTGGGACTCGTAGCATTAAGATACAATCTACCAAGGACAGGTATGAGAGTGATACACATGTTGGCTTGTACATGTGTTCTCCGGCAAGACAAATTGGATATCCTACCAGGAAGATGATCGGGCACGTGATTGTTCAAGCATACCGGTGTTTCTCTCGAAGCCATAACACTCAATATGGTCTGCTCTATAGTCTTGTGCCCCGGGATAGATTTTTCTGAGCCTAGGTCTTGAAATCACCAAGGCACTCTACTGCCTAGTACGAGCATAATTACCTGGATATTGTTGCTTCAAAGCCTATGTCCCATGTAGAACATATAGGGGGAAAGAAAGGCATTGCTTGGTGTTACGTTTGGCTACCTCATTCTTCCGTATTCCCGGGTACTCTCGCTCAAGGTTCGTCTCGCCAATCTAAAATGTATTCTGTATCTAACAAAAAGGCCACGTATACCGAAGCTTCTTTTCTAATGTCTAGTCTTGCTCTAATCTATGCTTTTAATCTAGTCAATAAGCTAACTTCAATTCATACTCCGAGTCCCGTCTATGACCCCGGATGCACTCTGCACTTTATTATGGACACAATAGTGTCTCAGTTGGGCAGCCTCGGCGGAGCCTTCCCATCACGAATCCGTTCGATCTCGACAAGTAGCTGGCTGAACGTCGGGCGAGTTGAGATGTTTTCAGCCGAGCACTGCTGGTGCAGGCTCTGCAGGTTCCTGATCACTGCACGTTGCTCTTCCGCGACGGTAGTTACGAGGCCTAGCAGATCCTCAACGAGGTGTGCGAAAGCCATAACTTCCAGCTTCTCCACCAGCGGCGAGACTTTGCCGCCATGCACTGTTGCTGCGCCAAAGTCGCCAAGCAGTGCGTGACCGTCCGCGCTTGTAAGAATATTATGCGCGTACAGATCCCCGTGGGCAACCTTCTTAAGGTGCAGATGCGCCGCCGCAGCGGCAATGTCCTCAAGGATATTCAGGGCATTCTCCACTGATAGTCTCGCGTCTGTTGGGTAATTGTCTCTTGTGCACGTCAGAAGGGATGGTGGCTGCCCCAGGGTCTGGTAGTGGGGAGGAATAAGCTGCATGACCAAGCCTCCCTTGAAAGCGCCATTGGCCTCGTCGGGATGACCGTGTATCCGCCCCAGAACATCAATTATGTTTTCGTGCTGGCCGGCTGCTATGCAGGCTACCATCTCGTCTTCCGGTGTGCCGTCGCTGGTGAGCGCGCCTCTGAAGAGTTTGATGGCAACTTCCTTTGTGGTGCTCGAGTCGATCCTCCAAAGGCCTTTCGAGATGATACCAGACGCCCCTTCACCCAATGTATGCTGAACCTCTAGTTCTGACCAGTTCACATGTGCCAGTCCGAGTTGACGGTCGTCAGAGACGGCCAGTACGTCCGACGTGGAGCAAGGGTTACCAGCGAAGCTTAGAAATGCCAGCTCGGGCATATCGAAAAGCCAATCTGGGAGGGTCTGCAACTTATTGGAGCTGAGACGCAACAAACCCAACTTCTTGCAATGCTGCAGCTCTTCAGGTAGTGCTTGCAAACGGTTACCTGCTAGCATACACTTCTGTAACCTGCCGCACTTGCCAATACTTCGCGGAAGTGAAGAGAGCTGATTGTCTGTCAAGATCAACCATCGTAGCTTCGGTGGGAGGGAGTCCTCAGGTATCGAAGCCATGCCGTTGCCTCGAAAGGCGACCATCTCCAGCTGTGGACAAGAGGCCAGCACCGGGGGGAAAGAAGAGAATGCACATTGCGAAAAGAATGCGATTTTGAGGTTTGGCAAGCTCTGGCCAAAATCTGATGGCAGGGAGGAAAGCCCAGTGCCTGACAGATCGAGCTGCTCAAGTGTTGATCCCAAGTCAAATATCTCAGTGGGAAATGCTTGCAAGGGACAAGTCAGCTTGAGCTTTGTGAGCGCTGCGTCTTTGTAGCCTCCACTCTGGAGGATCTCGAGATCGTGCATCTTGATCGGAGGGGAGTGGAGTTTGTGTGCAGATTGCGGAGGACAAGAGCCTGGGTTTTGAGCATTTCGGGGGGGGGGGGGGTCTGGGGCTTGAAGGAGAATCATTTTTACTTATTTATGTATACCGCTATTTTCAGCTCTGCGGGCCGGGCCCCTTTTCCATAAGCCATCCATCCTGACACGTGCGAGATAACTACTGTATCTTAGGTGGCTCCCTTGTACGCTCAGGCAAGCCACTTGCCTTGGGCAGGCTAGAACTGCCTGTCACAGACATCCGCAGCGGATGAGCCAGATTTAGGCTAGAAATTCAACCTGTGTTGACGCACAGAGATGGACGGCATCGTGAGTAAAGTCAACAGTGGGAGAGGTTGATGGAGTTCGTCCACATGGAATTTGAGCCTCAACTCGATGCAGCGGTGTTGACGCTAAAACAGGGACAAGCACCAATCCCTGTCTCCTCCGGCCCCACTGCAACCTGCACTCTGGACGCGGGCTGAGCTTGGGCCACACTGCACCTGCTTAAGCTTCCCCAGTTTGCAGCATTGCACTTCACGCGGACATTCGAACGTTCGAACCCACCGCGTCTCAGTCGCATCTGCGAGTCCCTTGTTTCGAGACTGCCCAAAGTGCATCTATTTGGTGCATTCGCTCGACCCGGGAAGAACCACTAGTAGCAGGAGACCAGCGATAGACTGCTGGTGACTGTCAACATGAGTTCCGAGGCGCCAAAGAAACGAGCATCGTCCTCAAGTGACGACACGCCAGGTCCAGCAAAGCGACAGCGCACGCAGTCGTCGAGTACAGCCAGCTCCGCCGAGTCTTCTGTCGTGCTTCCTACCCGAATAGATGGCCCGCCAAATTTCAACGAGCAGCACAGGATGGAGTTGCGCCGTGCCATCACCCTGGCGCTTGGCCACGTCGGCTTCGACTCCGCATCTGAGGAGGCACTCGAGAGCTTCACTCACATGACCGAGACATGTCAGTTTGCACCACTCATGTGCCCGGAAGTGATACTCGCAGGATGCTGATGATTGCTACGTAGATCTTTCGTCTCTCATCGAGGACGTCAAGTTGATCGCAAACAGCGCTCGCCGAATCCAACCCATCCCTACCGACTTTGACCGGTCCATCAAGCGCTTTAACATTAACCTGACCCACCTGAAGCCTCACCGCAGACCTCCTATACCACAGGATAGGATAAAGGCGACTTACACTACGGAGATGTTTCTGGACGGCGAGACGATGGATCTGCCGACACTGGACGAGAGGCTCAGCGGCAAGGACGATAAGGACGCCAAGCTCTACATACCGAAATCATTCCCCGACTTCCCCAGCATACACACCTACAAATACACACCCACCGATGTCGAGTCTGTGACGGTCCGTGGCCACGACGTAGACCCCGAAGGCACTGCGAAGCGCGGTTCCCCCGACTGGCGTGGTGATCCCAAGAAGATTCGCGAGGCGGCAGCTCTCCAGGCGAAGCAAGCCGAGGAGGCGCTACGACGCCTTGTGAGGGCCAGCAAGCAAGCGAGTCTTAAGGACATGCGAAGCACTGCCGAGAAGAACCCGGTCTCGAAGGTGCGCTACAACCAGTGGGAAGACGCGATGAAGGAGCTGCTGCAGGAACAAGGGCGCGCAAACGGCAAGGACGTTGCAGCCAGAGGAGACGTTGCGGATCACAGCATGGTCGTAAATGCGCAGAAAAGGTTCCACAGGCGAGAGGTGCCCCGATCGGCAAAGCGGATGCAGGTCGCGGATACTATCCGGGGCAAGGGCTGAGGAGATTCTGGCCGCAAGGATAGCCAATCCGACGATTACAGCGTTGACGATTCAAATCCACCTGGAGAGAGAGCACCAAATTTGGCGCCTGAAGGAAAGAATCTTTGAACGACAAAATCTCACCTCTCAAAATTATGGTTCTGACCCGAATATGAATGTCGAGTCGCAGGCCTGAACCTTGGACCTTGATGTATTCGGGAAGCCCTGGAGACAGTTTCGAACTTGAGAGCATCGGGATAGTCCTGGCATGGCGCCGTTGCAGAATGATGGCCTCTCCGTACGACTTTAGGTTTTATTCCAAGCAGAACATCATGGCCAGACTCCATTTTAGGTGCGACGGAACCACCGTGGCTTGGTGGATGGTGTACATCTGGCTCAGTCTCACGAGGGGGCCTTCAGGTGGTATTCACCAGGTGCTAGCAACCCCTGGAAAGGTCACGAAACCTAGTCTTGCAGCCATGGGAGACTTAGTGGAGCTTTCAGGTTATTCACCCTGAGAAGTCAGAGGAGATGAGGGGCATGATAGTATGCAATAGTTGCGCGAGCGGGACATTCCCTCTCGACGACGAACACCGAAACAGGCCAACGACCACGGCCTACAAGATTTCACACTCGGCACTTATTACCGTCTGATGAGTCATTGCATCACGCAAGCACATCAACGTATCAAGCATTTTTTTAGGAACCATGCGGCGTTGATCTGAGCTAACTTCTGTCTGCGACTCCGTAGCATAGAAGTACAGCGCCCATCATTGCATAGAATACTTATACCGGTATCACTGGCTTCCTAAAGCTGTTTCGTACACCTTTTGTCTTGATTGAGTTGCTATCCGGCTTGATTCTTTGTTGATTGTGATGGGATATGAGCAACAATTCTATTATGTTGCCGCTCTCAAAAGTAGATCTGTGAACCGCGGCAATCCGTCGTTAAAAAAGCCGACGCCTGTGCGCCTGATTCATATAGTCGTGCAAAGGAGCATTCGAAATTGTTTGACTTTTCGATGGAGATGAAGATATAAAGATGTCGTGTAAGTCCAGGACTGACGATATGCTCATCAGGATTAGCCTGGATGAGCCGGCGGCCAGCTGTCAGAGTGGGTCGACAGCTCCAGGGCTTATCGCCAGCTGGCAGGTCTGCTATCAAAATGGACTTTGTGATTGGCCAGCCTTTTTTCTTCGCACACTCTCCTCCATCAACGAACATCTTGACTTTGCGACCACCCGGAATTCCAGTTTGTACCTGCAAGCCAATTGAAGCTCGACCATCACCCTTCCAGACCCCCAGACCTCCTCTTTGTTGATCCTATTTCGACGAAGAATTCAATATGGCTGAGCAGCTTGTTCTCAAGGGCACCCTCGAGGGCCACGTAAGTTGACCCCGAACCCACCCCCACGATAGATATTTGCGACCCCGCGGAGCAAGCAATCGACGAGCTCGACGGCAACGACCGTGTAGGGCGGGGATAGAGACTTGGACCTAGGTACAGCCGTGCTGACATTTGTTCTCTGTAGAATGGCTGGGTCACCAGCTTGGCCACCTCCATCGAGAAGTACGATCAACGCGAAAATTAAACTATCGAGGCTCGTTTGACTTACACCGTGATAGCCCCAACATGCTCCTGTCCGGTTCTCGTGACAAGACCCTGATCATCTGGAACCTCACCCGTGACGAGTCCCAGTACGGTTACCCCAAGCGATCTCTGCACGGTCACTCGCACATCGTCTCCGACTGTGTATGTACTGCCAAACGAAATGAAAATGGGAGAGAATCTCGGCAGGAATGGAGCTTGAATACTGATGAGTTGGGCAGGTCATCTCCTCTGACGGTGCTTACGCTCTGTCTGCCTCTTGGGACAAGACCCTGAGGCTCTGGGAGCTCGCCACTGGCACCACCACCCGTCGCTTCGTCGGCCACACCAACGACGTCCTGTCCGTTTCTTTCTCCGCCGACAACCGCCAGATCGTCTCTGGTTCCCGTGACCGCTCCATCAAGCTGTGGAACACCCTCGGAGACTGCAAGTTCACCATCACCGACAAGGGCCACACCGAGTGGGTTTCTTGCGTCCGATTCTCTCCCAACCCCCAGAACGCCGTCATTGTCTCCTCCGGCTGGGACAAGCTCGTCAAGGTGCGTAATTTTGTCTTTCGACGTCCCTCTTGATAACACGATATGATGCTTTGCACTTTTAAACAAAGTATTTGCTACTTCAGAGCTTTCGAGCTATGAGACAAACAATCACCTTGCACTGATCCTCCAACCCTGTCAAGTTTCTGTATAAGACTATCATGGGAAGGAAGTTGTTAGCTGACACTTCTCACTAGGTCTGGGAGCTCTCCACCTGCAAGCTGCAGACCGACCACATCGGCCACACCGGCTACATCAACACCGTCACCATCTCCCCCGATGGATCTCTGTGTGCCTCCGGCGGCAAGGACGGTACCACCATGCTGTGGGACCTTAACGAGTCCAAGCACCTCTACTCCCTGAACGCCAACGACGAGATCCACGCTCTCGTCTTCTCCCCCAACCGATACTGGCTCTGCGCTGCCACCTCTTCCTCCATCATCATCTTCGACCTGGAGAAGAAGACCAAGGTCGACGAGCTGAAGCCCGACTTCGCCGCCACCGGTACCTCCAAGAAGTCCCGCGACCCCGAGTGTGTGTCTCTGGCCTGGTCCGCCGATGGCCAGACTCTGTTCGCTGGTTACACCGACAACATCATCCGTGCCTGGGGTGTCATGTCGAGGGCATAAGGGATATGCTCTGGAAGGTCTGCGATAGGTTGAAGGGGGCGATGGTGTTGTGTGCCAGCTACTACTTCAGGATGCTGGCTGGAATGACTTACGGTTCATGGCTGTGGGCGTACAAGGACTGCTTGCCTCGTTTATAGCCTGGTAATAGGCAAAAATTGGGCGCAAAAACCAGCGTCGTTATGCCGCGAGGCTCTGCCAAAAACAAGGTGTGATTTGCATCGCTGGCTGGGTGAACGGCGAGATAGGTACATTATCGAGCCAAGAAAATTCCAAAGGTTTACCAAAGTCGTGTGCACTCGGTATCTTAGATTGAGTGATGATGTGGAAGTGAACCACACAGTGAGTGTCTGACGGCGGGGCCATGATGGTGGCCAGCCACCACGAGGTAACGGCGTGGTGTCCAAAGCCGAACAACTAAGGCGTCTTTCAATATATGAAAGACACCGTCTGACATGCTTTCCAACCGTCACACCAAAACGAAGCCCTGAGTAATTACCTGCCCATTTACCACATCGACTGGATCGGGAGTTTGACAATGCGAATGTGCCGGAGTACGGACTTGCCAAGTTACACATACAATATTTCGATGCGGTGGCAATGATGGCAGCGAGGTTCTGAGTCTTGTCTGATTGCCACGTCGCACTCCTCGGTCCTTAGTTTTGTGTCTGCCGCAGTCTAACGTCCCATATAAACAAGACATGCTCCTCTTCCTTGCGGCTGCGCACAGGGTTTAGTTGTATCCTGGACGCATGAGATGATGAAATGATCCTCGTTACCTGTCTCACTTTGGCCTTCTCTTTCTTCTTGTAATATATGTGTACAAGGGCGTCCCCGACACGGCCTGAAAGGTGACCAAGGACGACTGAGATTGGGCTGTACTCCAGTGGTTCAATATTCATGATGCAAGCCGGGTGGCGGTCAACTTGTGGTCTAGCTGGTGTGCAGATATAGTGGCCTCAGCAAATCATCCAATCTGGACGACTCTACTTGCCAACATTCGAGTTCGCACGCTTACCACATTACTTCTTGGAACTGACCTCTTCGGAGGGGATATCCCGGAGGAGAGAGCGAGCGAGCAGGTAGGCGGGATAGCATCCAAGTATTTAGGAAACATGGCTACTTCGCTGGGGTTCTACCCTCCAAGAATCTTGTCGAGCTTTCCCAGTTCCGAGAGAAAGAGTCAGGTCAAACGTCTGCTTGTTTTGGCTACGCTGGCCAACCATGAACTCGCAGGCTGGCATCAAGTCAATAAGGGACTTGTGCTTGAGTGACAGCCCTGCAGATCTGCAGTGAAGGCATGGGCAAAACGGCGCATTTTCCGCATCCCTGTGGGAAGCAGTCGCTACAGTACGAAAGACCGGCGATCGTAAAGAGCTCAGGGAACGGCGACTCGAGTGACTCCACGCCCAAAACTTGGTGACACAGCTTCCAAAGGAAAAGTGATTGCGTATGTCCACGGCATGAATGTATGCTTGTCTGCGAAGGCAATCTGGGCATTAGGCTTTCGCCATTTCCTCCCCTCAAATGCCTAGGAAATCTACCATAAAGCCCGAGAAATAAAGTCCCGCCATCCGGGGCTACTATGGAGAATTTCTGGCCAAACAGATGGGTACCCTTACTTTCAGTGTCTGTATGGGGGCCCACCAGCCGGGCGCCCCAACATTTGAGGCCAAGATTGGTGCAGCCATTCTATTGGATCGTGCACCCCATCTGGGAGACAACGCAATAATACCCAAGACTCGGAATCGACATTATGTGCCTCTGACGGGAGCACTGCAAATTGCGCCCGCGCGATGAGCGCATTCTGGAAAAATATTGAAGCTGAGGAAATGTCTCGAGGGTACGGAACTATCCGTGTGGCCTCAAGTCGATCAAGTATTCCCAGGTGCCGCAGATCGTCAAGGCCGACATGCCGGGAAATCCGAATTCGTCTTTGTAGAGAGGGTATATCGGGTAAACGAAATCATAAATCATACTCGTGATTATTCTCAAACATACTGGCCGCGCCAACCTGTACGCTCTATTCAAGCCCAGCCGACAGCGACGTCCTTGATTGGCCGCGCGCTTGGCTCAGTATATGAACGGCGACGATCTTGGCAAGACACAGAACATACAGAGCAAAATTGAATGATCTCTGAGTCGCGTAGGCGCGTAGGCCTGGAGTGCGCCCAGGAATGCAGGCAAATCCCTCGAGCCACAACAGAACCACAAACCCGGGAGGAAGGGAGACCTCGCTTGAGCCTCATTCCAATGTACCACGTTCGAACCAAGCTTGTGATAAAATTAGGAGCGGCTCTGGAGAGCAGCACTACTGCGTAGCTTTCCAGACTGCCAGACTGTACCTGTGAGCATGCCTGCCGAGTATGTGAAGTAGATGATCTTTAACATCTATGCTATGAGTGCACCTGCCCTACCCGGGAGATGATCGTTAAGCTGCCGCAGACCCTGGAAGCCGGGCTCAATGCGATGTCCAAGGGACAAGGGTCCAGTGGTGTGATACTTCGCCGTACTGGGCATAATGTGCGGTCGTTGGTAATTTCCTTCTGGGCGGAGTCGGCGCGGCGACAGACGCGGCGCCTATCGCCGACGTCGTCCTAACCTCGTCCCATGATTTTGAGACGACATGCCCTAAGTATTCGCAAGAGTGCTGTGTGGATGGAAAGCAGAATAATGTCGCGGGACGCGAGGACCGCGGGGCCGGGAATGCGGCAGCCGTGGGAGGTGCGCGTCGGGCACGCAGGCGAAATTTGTGATGGGGACCCGAAAGTTTGGACGAGATGATCATCATCACCTAAGAGCAGACGCTCATCTCGACGCAGCTGCCGTGAAACCGTTTCGCGCGCTGCTGTGTTCTGCGACCACAAAGCCTTGGGCTTCTGAAGTCGGTGATGTCGTACGACATTGAAGCCGAAGCCATATTCAGGACGCCTGGTGGCCTGCAACCCTCTTACACCGCTTCGGGAGAGAAGTAATGGGTGAGACACAGTGTCGGGTTCGATGCAGCGACGAACCATGGGTTTGCCTGGGAACGTCGAAAAGCAACGGTCACAATCGTCCAGATTCCGTCTTGGGGGTTTCAAGGTGTCATTTGGGTGAGATGAGATCATCAGGTAGCATGGTGCATTTGAAAGGTAATTGACGGAAAATGAGAGGGCCTGTATGTGAAACATCGCGCTGTATTCCCGATCCTCTGCCTCGGTCCGGCGTGAGTGACGATGTGCCGTGAACATGGCAGCCTACGACCCCAAACAGTCGTAGCTGCGGCTTGTGTTCCTCTAGATGCGATGGCGACGGAAGACGGTGATGGTCCTGCAACGGGTGCCAGTTCCCGCATACGGTTTACAAATCCTCTTTCTGGCTGCGTGCGTTCCAGGCTGTCTGGCAGGTGGTGTCTCCTTGACAGAGGTTGGCTCCACCTGGCCAAAACTGTGTGGCCAATGCAGGAGACGGGCACGACAGGACCAGATCTCAGTGCCTTGCATTGCGCTAAAAACAGCCGCGTGGACCAAGCCCCCCATCTCACATGCAGCGATGCCATTTTGGGGCGACTGTTCGTAGGTGGGCAGTGGTGCTGATCCCGGGGAAGATCACGGGTGGCCCTGGTCGCTCCCATGCAGACGGCAGAGAACAGACCTCGTTCTCCCGAACTCGTCAATGTCTTGCCGGGATCATACTGTGGGAGACGAACAGGCTAGCAGGTGACAGGCAGCTTGTCAGTTTCGAAGACATTCTCGAACGAACCATTCCAGCGGTACGACTTTGTTCGTCATGACAGCCAGATAGACATATGACAGGCGGCACCAGCCAGGCCGAAAGACCCAATACCACCTCCCCGCCGCAAGCCGCCCTACAAACCCAAGGGCGTCGTCGTCAGTGGCCCCGCTGACTCGCGGTAGCTAGGGAGGGACAGATCTGAACCCTGAGCCCCTGCTGTACCTGACTGGCTGCACGGGCGATGGGGACGTTGTGGGTTCGGCTTGCGTGCGTCGACTTGGGTTGAGTTTTTCCTTTTCTTTGGGACGACGGGCCAAGCCACACCATGTACGAGGGTACTTGCGTACGACAACTGCTACTGTAAGCAGGGGCCTGCATCAAGTCCGATAGGAAGACGCACAAAAAAAGCAGTCCATGACAGCCGTGGTGATGTGACCTTGAGAATTGAATTGAACTGAGTGACTGAGTGACTGAGTGACTCCTCCCTTCAGACTGCCAGATGAATGAATGCTCCTCTCAACGAAACCATGGGAAATACAGATCACACCAGCGAGCGCTTCCTTTCCAGGCTCTGATTTGACCTGGCTGCTCGTTGAGCATTCCACAATCATCTCGCCCAGCGCGCTTTCCCCACATCTTTGAACCCCTGAGATCGGCCGTCCCTGCGTTCTGATTGCATCAGCCCGTACCCCGTCAGTCCGTATCCCCGCTAGCGCCCTCTTGGAACCGCACCTTCTCAGGCACAGAGGAGCCACTGCCCCCCCCAAGTGCCCCCCTGCGCTGGATCAAAATAAGCGTTTGGCTAAATCAAGTAGGCGCGTTAAACACCCTCATTCCCAAACGGTCCTCTCATCGCGGGAGGGAAGGGGCCAACCTTGATCGTCCACACCCTCTCTTTTACCTCTTCTATCCTCCTCCGTCCGCCCATTTGGCCTTGCCCTGTTTGTCACCCCAAGAGACCTCGACATCAGGAGGGCACCTTCCTTTCTTTTCTGCTCCATCCAGCCGTAGTCTATCTACAGCGGTGCGGACCCAATCTTTACACTCTTCCGGGCCTCTCCTTGAAACTCCCTTTCCTTGTCAAGTCACTCTCTTACCTTACTTCTCTTCGATTCGATTTCATCATATTCACAACTTCTCTTCTTTACTTATTGCGGGCCTTGTTCCCTTCGAGGACCACCCAACTTATTTCTCCGAGTCTCCGAAGGTCGCCAGGCACCTGATCTTCGATCTACCCTTGACTGCCGGATTCACTCTAAGACAATCTCGAGAACCGAAAACGCCCCCCTTCATCACTTGCTGCTGGTCACCGGGCCGTCTGCAGCGGGCAATCTGGTTGTTGTCTCATAGCCACGTCACCGGCAATTTGGAATTTTAGACATCAAAAGGAACGACATGCCCTGCAAGTGAGCGGTCCATATACCACCAGTCGTTCATCATTTACGTTTCGGGTTCGTGGTCGAGATTGCGGGAAGGAAGGGCCGTGAAGTGGGCATCCCATCACCGAGTTCATCGATTCCCTTGCCGAAAATACTGTTCGACCGATACACAAAATGCGGACGATTCGATATCTGGTGCCTGCACTGCTGGCCGTGACTGGCCTGGTCAGTGCTCAGGACTTGGGCGCCCTGTCAAGCTGTGCGGTAGGTGATTTTCTGTCACACGTCCTCCTTCGCCCGCAGCTTTGAATGTTCTCCAGGGAGTGCAACTCGTGGCCGGCCGTGTTATGCCGCAAGTCCCGTTCGAACCTGGAGACAGCGTTGGTGGCTGGAACTCAACGAAGCTGGCTTGATGTTACAGACGTAGAAGTTTCCAAGCCTGCGTTTGCATGAATTTGAGGACTCATATGCTGACATCGACTTCAAGCAAAACTGCGTCAACAACATGAGAGTCAGTGTCGGATGCGTACCCGTTACCGACCAATGTCTCTGCAGCAATGCCAATTTCGAGAATGGGATTCGTGACTGTGCGACTCAGTCGTGCACTGCAGAAGATGTAACTGCTGCCATGGACTATGCCGGTGCATTTTGCCTGAAAGCAACAGGGACCACCACCGCCGCAGCCGCGACCGAAACAACCAATACCACCCCTCCACCTCCCACGACCACCTCTGAATCAGAGACCACGACGACGCCTACCACTGCAACTGAACCAACTTCTGTCACAGCTGAGACTGCCACTTCAGAGACAGAGAGCTCAACTGCGACCACCGCCACCACTGAGACCAGCTCCACCGTAAGTAGACCTTGACACTGTGCCTCTTTCATTTACGAGCAGTCGAGTGTACCTGGGATTATTGGTTAACGGGCGATACCACCAGGCTTCTTCAGCGGCTACGGGAGCTACTGAGACGTCCTCGACTTCCTCGGCGTCCAAGACCACTTCTGAAACGACCTCGGGCACCAAAGCGTCTGCCTCCCAGTCTGCTTCGTCGACCGCCGATGCTGCTGGAGCCCAACCCTCTGATAGTGGTCTGTCTGTCGGTGCTAAGGCTGGAATTGCTGTTGGCGCCGGTGCCGCCTGTGTTGCCATTGTTGCTCTGTTGATCGCTCTTTGCCGGACCAGACGCGCCAGACGGCCTTTGCCTCGAGGTACTATGCAGATCTCCGAGCCTCTTCCTGGCTCCGGCCGTCTGGACTATGAGAGCGGTACACAGTTCACTACCCGCCCACCAAAATCGGCCGGATCCAAGTTCTCTCAGATGACCGAGCTCGACCAAAATGCTCGGCGGTATGAGGACATGCTTCCGCGTGTGTCCCCAAGACGGATGGTCTGAGAAAATATGCTTGCTCGTGCTGAAATAAGCGAAATGATTTTACTTTGTGTTTTGTTTTCACTTTTGATACCTATTTGATTTTTGACACCTTGTACCCTTTCGAACTTCTTGGTCCTGTCGCCACTCTATCACCCTACTTCTATGTGTAGTTAGCACACGACGCTTATGACGAACTTTCTTTACATGAATATCGGGGGGGGGGGGGGCAGCCTGAGAATATGTCCGGTGCTGATCATCACTACCGGCCTGATACGTCGACGGAAATCATAGAACTCACGAATGCGTGGTGGTCTATCGCCTTGTAAAGAAATGTGCTTCCGTCAGAGCAAAGGCGCAGTTTTGATAGGACCCGAGACAGTTCAGCAGGCACAAGCAGCCAAAAATATATGTAAATCGCCGATGCTGGACATCCCTAACAATGAACAAGCCTTAGCTGTGCTTATTTCATGCTTCTTGTGACTGCATATGTTGACGGAAATATATAGTACAGGAGACTGTGCATCATTGTAGCCTCATGCGAGCTTCCGTATCTATCGTTAAGCCCATCTGCTCGATTCTACGCTTGGCTTTCCAGCGGTTGAATTTGTTACCAGGAATAAAAGGGCCGCTGAGCTGTGACGGGCCTGTTGGGCAAATGTACCCATGGACCCTGCTTATACTGCTTCGCCTTCTTCTCCTCAAACTCTCGTATCCGTGTCCTCTCCTCCTTCAACTTAATGGTGATGCCTGGAGTGCGCAACATGAGTTAGTTACCGCATCTGGTGGAGACACTTTGTGCCGGTAGGACAAGACCAAACTTACTGGCTTGGGGCATCTGAAGGAGGTCTACACGTCCTCGTGCCCGATAATTTGGCTTCTTGCCTCTCCAAGGACCTCGGTTCACCCACGCCTCGGAGACGTACATCCTGCTCGGGTCATCAATGTCGACGAACTTGCCATGCCTAAAGTCCTTCACTGTCCTCTTCTCACTAACGCCGGGGACAAACTCGCCGGTCGCCTTGCCGAGGCCCATTCCCCGCTCGACGACGGCCTTGTCGCTGGCCAGCTCCAGTTCGTAGAGCACCTCGCGGGCGAACTTCTTCTTGGAGAACTTCATCTGCGTGCGGGCCTCCTCGAGCGTCTTGCCCGAGATCTGGTGGGCCAGGTGCACGAGCTTCTTGGTCGACGTGGCGAGCCAGGCGGACCGGCTGGTGGCCTCGCGCTCGGTGCGGCGGATGCGCTCGTCGCGCGTCTCCCGGCCCCGGGCGTCCAGCTGCCGCGCCACCTGCCTGGCGACCATCCGCCGCTCCCACCGCATCCGGCTCAGCGGGTCCGGGTCGATGGCGTGCCGCATGTGGTCGCGCAGCAGCGACGCGCCCATGACGGACTCGCGCGACCCGCTCGTGTTCTGCCCCGTGCCTCTGGCGTCGACGGGCCCGCCGCCCTCCACGTCCGCCGCCTTGAGCTCCTCGTCGAAGATGGACTTGGACTCGAGCCGTGTCGAGGTCATGCGCTCGCGCATCCTGTCCTCGATGCTGCGTCGCCCTTCGGCTGAGGTCAGGTCGCCGAGAGCGCCGCCCGGTTTGTGCAGATCCTTGGGTTTGTTGTAGTCTCGGAGTCGGTTGCGACTCTTTGGTTTTGTGGCGGCATTGCGGGTCTGCTGGCGCTGGTGTTGTTGTTGCCTCAGGAGGAGACACACTGGGGAGGATGTTGAGGTGGAAGGAGACAGGGAGAGGGTTGGGCGGAGGGTCTTGAGGACCATTGGAGCTAAAGGGCGCGTGTTAGGTCTGTCAATTGAGCGGCATTTGGGGGATGGAGGGGCTCACTGGTCCCAAGGACCCTCCGCGATGGAAGGTGGAGGCTCATGATGTGCGGTCCCGCGGCATGGGCGGTCGGATGTCGAGAGATACAAGTAATGGCAGCTCGAGCTCGCGCCTGGCCCCAAAAACTTCGAAGTCAGTCGTCCGCTCCCGATTCGGCGCGGACTGGATGACATAAGGCTAACACGTGACTGGCTCAGGCTGAGCCGGCCGACCGACACCCCCCGGCTAGCGCGAGGAATCAGGTCATCGTTCTTTCTCTCTGCTGAAGCTCGGAACGCTCCATTTCCCCAGACCAGTCAGTCAATTGAATCCACGACCGCGAACCTCTCCACTCCCCGACCTCTCCCAGATCCTCAGATCAACCAGACACCATGGCCGTCAAACCGATTGTTGGCGTACGTCCCAATCTCACCCCTACGAGACCAATCGCGGCTGGAGCTCAACAGCTGCGGAGCTGAAGGGATCAAACGAGCTTCACGCAGGGAACGCGTGGGCTGACTGAGTGGGATCTAGATACTTCGCCGAAACCTCATCCTTGACCTTGGCATTGCGCTTGGTAAGTTTTCCTCGGGGCCAGACAGGCAACAGGGAGAGACCTCAAGCTGCCCTGGCTGTTTTGCGTGGAATATTGACCCAGGCTAACATTGGTCACAGGCCTCGGATTCGCTATGGGCAACGTCTTCTGGTACGATTGAACCGATTTGCATGATAAGCAACCGATACTTCCGACCGTTGCCGCGGCTGTCAAGGCGTTCATGATCTAACCGAACGGCATGGCTTTACAGGCACGGATTCCACATGCCCCGCACGAACGCCCGCGATCTCTACTACAAGAAGCTTGAGGACGAGCGCGCAGCACGACTGGGTTAGACAAGCCGGAGGCTGGATGAAATTGGGTTGATCGGCGGATGGGACACGCAATGCGGTGTACATATCGCGGCTGACGAGGCAATGTCCATTGCGGACGCATAGAGCCTGGGCGAGGAATTGCGGCTGTTTCGATACTGATAGACGAGGCAAGCAATGTGAAAGGAGCATCTGGAGCGAAGTTCGGGGGCCACACGTCTTTGTGAAATCATGAGATATATATTTCGTGCCGGTGACTCGGGTCTTCATCAGCCCTCGATTTCTTGTTATCCTCTTCCTCTGCTATGACTATTTCGGCTCTTCGGTTTTGTCCAGAGACACGCCTGTTTCAGTCCAAAATCCAGCAGGTGTCAATGTGCCAGACAAGCTCGCGACCTGTGGCTGAAGATAGTTTCGAAAATGTGAGGGTGAGCGTGAGCTATGTCTTTTAGCATCCCTGAAATGCAATGGCTTCCATCGCCCATCGCATTGGTCCCGGCCGTTCTCTAGCCACTCTTCGTCCTAGATTGTGGTTCAGGCTGGTTGATATTTGCATGATATCCTTTCAAGCTCACCGCCGTATCTTCGGCGTAACGCACAGCGGCATGTCTCGGATATTTGAAGGGATAATTCCTTTCATGCATATATGGCAGTGTGAGATGACTTCAAGTCACTGGTATGTGCCTGAGCAATGCTGCCCTTGGTCATTGGCCTGTGGCGTGCCTCAATGCCAAAGAAGGCTTGGAGGCCTGGTTGACAGCAGACAATGTCAGGCCCATTTCAGCGCTGGAAATAATCCGTTTTGTTGCCGTCATGCCAATGGGTGGTGTTTGAATGTGCTTCAGCGGCCGACTGAGTGCCTACAGCCTGGGCTGATGCAGTGCTCGTTGGGGCAGTCGCGGCACTGGTCCCCTCCCAAGCCGTAGTCTCGACGGTGAAAGTGCCTTTTTTGTCCTGACACCTAACCACGTCGTTAGTCTATCGAAGACACCCACGACAACAGGAAAATTCATCTGCGCCATGAGGAAATCGCCACAGGTATTCTTCCATCAATACAGATCCGTGCCGTACCTTCTGAACCATCTTTGCACCGGGTAGCACATGACTTTACTATCCTGCCGTTGTGGGTGCTCAATCGAGCAGTCATATTGCAGCAGGCCCATCAGCTCGCAACTACTCAAGTCGATATCCTTGCCCCCCTCAGTCTTTCGCTTCCTCCCATCAATTTTGAACTGGATCTGCTGTGGCAGCTGAGAGGGGTGAAAGTTGGGACACGGCGGCGTCATCTCTGAAGGCCTTCTTTGGACACGTCCACGTTGAGTGAACTCCAAGATGGCTGAGGGTGCAATTGGACGACGAATGCTTGCCGAAACCGAGGAGACAAGCCTTGATGAGGTATGAAGATTCCCAATTACTCGACGATGCACTTGTTTGAGAGAGGGTTTGAACTGCCGCAGCATCTGAAGCGTCAGAGATGGACGTCGATTGGATCTCACGAGAAGTCATCCTTGAGCGTCCTTATCGCCGATAAGCGTCGGCACTCCTAATACCGTCCGCCCGCACCCAAGATACTCCAACAACACAAGGATCCAAGCTTCGTTAGAATTGAGCCCACGAGATCGCTGATCCCCCAAGACGTGCAGATCTTGTCAATTTTCCGCGCAAGCCTTAATTCGACGTCACTCAACCAAGCTGGTTCTTCTGCGGCGGGAATACCAGCGGCAACAGGCGTTCATGTCAGTGCACAAGGCCCATCTAGCTCCAAGGTCAAGAGTTACCCTATCCAGGATCTCGACAGGCTGGTCGCCCAGCATTTCAGGGCGACCCAGTCCGGTCCTCTGTCCCTGTCCGGGAGACACTTGCCTCTGATATATCTACTGGTCGCTACTCTCATCGCACCACCTTACAACAAAGCCGTCGTTATCATCGACATCGACGCCAGATTCGACATCACGCGGGTTACACAATGCGCTCCTCACCAGGCCGGCCCGGTCCCCGATGGATCAAATGCCGCTGAAGACCACAGCGACACATTGGGCCAACATAAGAACGCGGATCAGGCAGCTGAAGGCCGCACAGAAGGTCAAGCCACGGTGGCACCTGCCCGGCAAGTCACAGCAGAGGATCTCAAGCATGTTCACGTATACCGCCCAGCTCGCGGCTCACCTGCTCACATTCGCGAGGTCTTATCCTCTGCCGAACACCATATGTTATACTCCAGACACGCCTCCATCGCCCGCGAGTGGTGGGGAGTCATCATCATCGGCGGTGGCAGTCCCACGGCTCTCGGTTCCGAAATGGCCAATGTAACCACAGGCTGGAGGGGATGGTTACGTGTCGATCGCGAGGATATCCGGGGTTTTGGCATGGGAATGAGCATTGAGGAAGCCTTGCTGGACCGAGACAGGCGCCAGCGCGCTGTCCACGAAGCCGGGTGGACGGCAAGCTGCGCCTGGGGAGGATTTACTTTCGACGGATGATGGGTACGCACAAGGAACGACAGCACGCGCAAAGCGGGGTTTCTTGGATTCATCCACATCGACTTGAATTCCAGTGGGACTCACTTGGCAAACGGTACAATGGGCTCAGACAATATACATCGAGAGGCCGAGTCCCCCCCGACCTGGGTCGATCCCCCGGTTTGGTGGAGACCGCGGGGAAAACCACGCACTCTGGCAGTTTTGTCGGCCCACAATCTGATCGAGGCATCGCGGCTGGCGAAAAGAGCAGACCGGGAAAAAGGTATGGGGACAGCGAACTTGCAACGAACCCATCTTCACGTTCCCTGAAGACCTGAGAATGGCTACCAATACACCATGCGGCCACGTGCATGTGTCCGAGTCAAACCGAAATACCTTGCGGTGGGACGGCGATACCAACGCGTGGATCTTGACTCTTTCGAAAACCTCGTGCAGATGATATTGCTTGGCTTCACGAGCAGGCTCATATTTTGGCACCGCTGAGCCACCGCGAGTCGTTTAACAGCTGAGATGCGTGCTGCCGTTCTCGAAATCGACTCCCGAAGACGGCTCGATACATCATAAGATGCACGGGTGCCCTCCTCGCCAATGGCAAGTCGCGAACCTGGGAAAGGATGGGCAATTACTTTGGAGTGTCATCATTCTGATGCGAAAAAAATGAGCTTCTGCTGCAGCAAACCCCATGGGGAGAAGTAGGTGCAAGGTGCACCGCCGTAACACGAAACGTCAACTATCGAGGAACCCCAGAGTCCCGATGGGGGCGACAGCAATCTCATCGATTTATTGAGTCAGGACTCTTTGGATTTACATGGGGAAAGCCAAACTACTTCACTTCGACTTCGGCATGTGGGTCAACTCAAGGCACCCCATGTGGTGCTACGCAATCAAGCGGGCTGACGTCTACTACGTTCGGTACTCTTTGGTGTAGGGGCATGAATGGGTCTGCCTGAGTGTGCCTGGCGCTCGCACAACATTGCAATTGCTCAGACCTGGCTGTCGTTACACCGACTATCTTGCGACATTTATGGTCATCACCATGGTGAGCGAGTGTTGTCAGCAAGAGCCTGGACGCGACAATCAGTAGCAACCGGCAAGCATTACGGGCTGCAGTTGGTGGCCAAGCAGGTAGGTGGTGCGTAATGGCGGTATGTCTAATAACTCAGCAAAATGATTCATCGGTTATCGATCTGACCTTGTTAATATTCTTTTGGGGAACAGGATTCCTGCGGCGGCCCATTGGTAACGGTGTGGAGTGTTTTGAATGGTTATCACCGTGGCCCGACACCACAACCTGCCACTCTACACCCTTCTCCTGTCCGCTTGCATATTCACATGCAACTTATTCCGAAGACGGGAAGATGAGAATCGCGACCCACTTTTGGTGGCTTTGCAGGCACGGTGGAGGGGTAGTCATCCGCAAGCGTGAGGATGGGATCTCTTTGAACTCCAATGAGGTCCCTCGACATGCTCATGGGAAATGGTTCACAGGGGCAAGACCTGAGTCAGAGCCGGTTGCTTCTAATAGAGTAGGAAGAAGCGGCTGGGCCTTTGTTGGCTGGCCACTGGCCTAATTTCGATCGCCAGGATTCGCGGGGTTTATCGCTGAAGGGACGGGCGAGCAGGCGCAGGAGCCGGCAGGTTATCCTCGGTGTTCTAGCTGCTCATGTCAAGCATCGAGACCGGACGCCTGCGCCGAAACGGGAAGCGTCAACGGCTTGCGCGCAGCCGATGCGACCGGCTTTTTTCGCGCTGGAACTTTATCCACAATCGGGGCCCACCCTGACGTCATGTGCCTCAAGGCAGTCCGTCTTAGAGATACGGTCGCCCCCCGGCATGCCGTCTCCCACAAGTCTCGGTCAGACTCGCTGAAGAATCTGGTGGGGTGTGCTGCATATTCCAGGTGCATGGCGACGCCTGTGGTGTGCACCCTGGTAATAAACCGACACTCCCCGTCTTTGGAGACTGTGGTACATACAACAACAGGGTTTCGCTTCCGAAGCAGAGGCGGAGAATACATGTGAAGTTGCCATCGAGATCTTTGCTTTTTCGCTTTGTGCAACACCAACACGGCCAATCCGATCGCTCGAGCACGAACACATCGGAATGGTTCACGCCGCCGCACGTTGTTGCTGACAGCAGTCGTTAGACTGGTTCCTGGATTGCCCAGGCTGCCAGGAGGATTTGTGTGTCTATACCGCCTTGTCCCAAAGATCAAGAAAATAGCCGCACTAGCCCCCCCTGTGACGCCACCGTGCCGAAGTCGAGGATTACCGTCCCCTCGGGCAAACGCAGATGTGATCAGCAGCACAGCTGCCGATGCAAACCAGAGCCACACCTCTCCCAGCCTACGGCTTCCTACTTCTGGCTTAGGCCTCCTTTCCTCTGCCTCACTTGCTGACCTTGCTGCTTGGCTCTTGGCCGGCTTGGAGCGCTTGGATCTGCCGGACCCTTGAATTGACAAAATTTCTTCAGCCGCACTAAACCAAAGATAGGAGGAACGCTTATGTTTCGAGCACTCTGACGATACGTACTCTTGCATGGATAGTACATACGAAGTCGGGCCTTTCCCTGGCTGTGTTTCCTGCTGCAGGGCCTTATCTGTGCCTCGAATTGCCTGCTTATCTGATACCAGGGTGGAAGTGTATTTTCCAACGTGGGTGAGATCGACGCACAGGACCTCGCCCCGATGTCTGACTGCCCGGTTACGTTGTTGCTTGGATGGGACCTCGTCCCGTCATGCCCGCGAGTAAGTTGGCTTGGAGGGTCTCCCGTGTTGATGGCATCATCCCGCCGTCGAAGTTGTATGCAGCACGGCGCGTGGGCTGGAACCGCCGAAACGTGATGGATGATGTTGCGTCGGTCCCCTCCCGGCCGTCATTGTTGCGACTTCAGGGCCACAGGGTACATCATACACTCCTCCGGGTACATCATGGACTCCTCCTTGTTAGCGGTTCCACATCTTCCCCATGGGTGTGCGTGGTACCTGGTTGTTGCCCCCATTGTCCCTCTGCGCCTCTGGGAAAAACATAGGCCGCTTCACCAGAAAAGAGCCAGTTTCCTTAACTTGTCCCTTCTCTTGCGAGACGGCGCGAATAGTATAAGTATCCGGCCGTTGACCCAGCTTTTCCCACCCGCCTTCCTCGATCAGGCAGAGTGTAACGTTCATCGACTCGTGCAATTGCATATTATCTTGTTTTGGGAGACACGTCTCTTTTATATTTCTGTCTCTTCCCCATCAACGGACTTCTGTCACCCCTCCCAGAAGCAACCCGGCCGCGAACCTTCCCCAGATTCTCCAGAAATTACCACGTTTTTCCATCATGGCGACCCTCCAGAGACCAGCTGCCCCCCTGCGGAGCATCTCCGCTTCTTCCTTTGCTGAGACTTTCAGCGCTGCTCGCCGGAAGGTGGACAGGGACTTCGAGGACCTCGACGAGCAGGCCTCGCCTGACTCTGACGCTACCCTGTCTCCCGACCTGAATCCTTCCGGAGGAGCCACACCGAAGAGCCTTGCATCACCTCTTACCGGGCCGATCACCCCAGTGCCCGACCAGTCCGTTGCAGACGATTTTGCCTTTGCCTTCGATATTGACGGTGTGCTTGTCCGTGGTGGCCGACCCATTCCAGAAGCCATCGAGGCCATGAAGGTGCTCAATGGTGAGAATGAGTACAACATCAGAGTGTAAGTTGAAAATTGCTTCCTCCCATACTTCAAATACTAACTTACTTCGTAGTCCTTACATCTTCCTCACAAATGGCGGTGGTAAATCAGAAGAGGAGCGCTGCGGCGACCTCTCCAAACAACTGGAGCTAGAGGTCAGCCCTGGACAGTTTATCTGTGGCCACACCCCCATGCGAGAGCTCGCCGATAAGTACCGTACCGTTCTTGTCGTCGGCGGTGAGGGCGAGAAGTGCCGTCAAGTGGCCGAGTCGTACGGCTTTGACGACGTCGTCACACCAGGTGACATCCTGAAGGCCAACCACCACACCGCACCCTTCCGCAAACTGTCAGAGGCAGACTTCAACAACTCAAGGAACCTGCTCGAGCGTGGTGACTTGAAAGATGTTGTGATTGAGGCGATCTTCGTCTTTGCCGACAGCCGCGACTGGGCCGGCGACTTGCAAATTATCCTGGACATTGCCATGTCCAAGGGTGGTCGCCTTGAGACTCGCTCCGAGACTTTTGAGGAGTCTCCACCAATCTACTTCAGCCACAATGATGTTCTTTGGTCAGCAGGTCACGAGCACCCTCGTCTGGGCATGGGTGCTCTGAGGCAGATTGTTGAGAACACCTTCACATCCGTCACAGGAGGCAAGAAGCTCGTAACACACGCCTTCGGCAAGCCTCAAGTCGGTACTTTTGAGTTTGCCACACGATTGCTGAAGCAGTGGCGGGCCAACCAGCATGGCCTCCCTATCAGCCGGGCTCCTCAGACGGTTTACTTCGTCGGCGACACCCCCGAGTCTGACATCCGGGGTACCAACCTCATGGACGCCAAGAGCAAGGAGGAGTGGTACTCCATCCTCGTCAAGACTGGTATCTACCAGGATGGCACAGAACCGGCTTACAAGCCTAAGGCAACCGTCGGCACCGTGCTTGATGCAGTCAACCACGGCATCAAGCGTGAGATGGAGAGGAGAAGAGCGGCCGAGCAGCAGCGCGGCGATGCCGCCACGAAGGACATTATCACAGAGAAGCTTGACAACGTCTCCATCGTTGACCAGGACAACCTCGGCGTCGTTGATGTCAGCTGAACTACGCATTGACGACTTTGACTTTCACTTTCATTATGATTTCATGAGACGACCGCGCACGATCATAAATCAAAGACGATAAAAAAAGATTAAAGATACCGATAAACACAGCATCCTAAACATAGAGACACTGATAGACTGGCATACGTCGGGTCACGTTTGTTCGGATAGATTGGATCGCTGGACTTTGTTCTGCCCATGATGGGATTGGATGATAGAGCACATGAATATCGGCATGATGGATCGCAATGAGGTCAGCGGACGAAGTAAGCCTGCCGCTGCGGCCGGCCCGGGGTTGTTAGAAGGGGACGATGAGGTTGAATTCTCGGTATTCAGATTGGGTTATGTACTGTTCGATTTGTTCGTTGGACAAAGGTTTCGTCGGCTGGTTGACTAAACAGTCCCGGCCTTGACTACTGGTTTCTCGATACCAATGCAATGACAATGTCACCTTGCAAATGCACCTTTTTTGAAATTTGCCTTGTGCCCATGCTTGATCAATCCTCAGGAGCCTTCTCTATTGACTTGTTGCAATACTGGAGCAAACACCACGACCACGTTTCCCGTATTTTCTGACAAGTGCCCATGTGCTGCTGTCCACGCTTGTACAGCATGATGTCACATCCAGGCAGCATATCAGATGGTTTGATTCTAGATCCCTCCTACAGAGTGTCTAGTACCTTTGTAAATATATGATACCACCCATCCGTGCAAAAGGTGCAGTAGCATTATGCACCGGGACGCGTCCTCCGATCTGGTTGCAGCGGCAGAGGCTTATTCACCGCCGTTGCCAGCCGCCTCGGAATCCTACCTTGGGACGGGCGTGTGTGCCACACAAGTCGGGCTTGGTCGTGCTTGCATGTGATGAGCCGTGCATGTCCGCCGGCCGCGCCATCAACGGTCTCCTTCAGGTAGTCACTGCTTCGTCATATTTGACAACAACATGAATCAGGCTTCCTTCTTTATGCTAAATGATCCGGCACATTTATTCACGCACATGTGGATTTGGGTTCTTGAGAAAATCCGTGAGTAAACGACAACTCATATCTGTGAAGAGACGCCTGATTAGGCAATAATAAGTTGCTGACGAGAACCGTGTTCCGCAATGATATGACATGCGAGAAGTGACCTCCAGCCAAACAACCTCGGAGGTACTTTGAGGACAAATTGTCAATTTATTGATAAAATCCTCTTGTTCGGTACAACTGGCAAAATGATAAGTGCTATACATCACCCGCTATTCGGTAGATGACGACTCTTTACACCATCAACAAATTCCCCTACCCGGCGCTCTTTGCCGCTAGTAATGATCAATTCGATCATAGCCCTGTAGTCATCCAGCCATCCTTCTGCCTCGGCCCTGGTAACATTCGCATCATCCCAAAGTACTCTCAGAACAAAGTCTTGTCCTGCCTTGCCACCTGTACCGGCGAAGAATACGACGCCAACGTCACCTCGTGTCTTGGAGTCCAGCAGCTCCAGGTTCCGGAACGGGTTCCGGTCCATGGCACCCAATCCGGGGACCCAGTTGAATATTTGGCGTCGACATGTATCAAGTACCATCTCCGCGGCATCGGGTTCCAGAGCCTCACATATCAAATCCAGGGGCGCATGGCAGTGCTTCGTTTGGCCATTCTGGAGCTCCTGAACCCGGCGTAGGTAGTCCTCCAGCGACTCAGCCCGGTCGATGTGGATCAGGTTGGCGATTCTCTGGAACATCGGACCAGGCATATCTGCGGGATTGATATCGACAAATTTTCCAAGGCTGTCCGGGACAAATGGCAGCGCTGCGCGGCCCGCGTCCAGGCTGCTGAAGAGCGCGTGCGTATGCTTCGTGTAGTGAATGTTCAGCAGCGCCAGCGCAGCTTTGGCAATCACTGGGTTAGTGAGGCCGGGGATGCTGCGGCGGAAGTCGTTGAGGCTGGGAAGCTCGCCCCGCCAGGAGACTGGAGTCTTGCCGCCGTCGCTTCGTCGCTCGAGGGCCTCCAAGGGATCGCCATTCGGATTAGAGAAGCCCCTTGCCGCGGCGTCTGCGGGTGCAACCCAGCCTCTTCGTGGACCGAGGAGCCATTCAGGGGCTCTTTGAGGCGGCCATGCCGCTGCCTCTCGATGTGATGTGATGTCTTTCAGGCGTGTGACGTGGAAGTTGATCCCTTGCTGACCTACACGGGATGTAGCGGAGGAGTAGTACATGTCTGCAAAGATTTTGTAGGGCGTATGATCTTTTAGAGACAAAGGATTAGAGAGGGCGAGGTCAAGGTCCGAAAAGAAGAGGCCCTGTAGAGACATGGCATCGTGAGTTGCATGGTTCACTGGAAAGTGATGTCAGCAGTGGGAACGAATGAATTTGGAATCGGTCAACGAACTGTTGATAATGATGCAGGCAGTATTCGTCTCCTTGACGTGGACAATTTCTGCCCGGGTCATAGGAGACTCGAAGTCTGCATCCAGTCGGTCGTCATCAACATGTTGATACAGTTCTGCGACTGTGCTGACTGGCTTTGGGGCGTAAGATATGACTAGATCAAAGATATCTCTGCTTGGCTTCAGGCTGACATGCAACGCAAGCGATTTCCTATTTGTCACCGATCCGTCCTCCCGGATGAAGAACGAGCAGTGGATTGGATTTTTCTCGAGAGCAGCCTCCAGTGCCGTCCGAACCAGCTGAACATTGAGAAGTGTCAGTCTAATCAGTCCTTCAAAGTCTCGAGGTATCTCACCTTTCTGTCCTTAATCTTGGTGGGAATCACGAAGCGGAAGCCCCAAGAGAGAGGCCGCTTCTGTGTAAATATCGCTTGGCCGTTTCCCCAAGCGGGAAACACTTCGGAGACGTTGTCCCACTTGAGACCATGAGACTCGAGAACATCCTCCACGACTTTACGAGTTGCGGCCGCGCGTTCTTCGTCACCAAGACAGTGAACCATGTCCGTGGCCTCAGGACCGCCGGGGCGACGTTCTGTAGCAAGCCGCGTCGGCGCCACGATCGATTGCCCTGACTGCTCGTCAAGAAGTGCGATTTGCTCGGCAATCGTAGAACCCAAGACTTGTTCAACTGTGAGAATTTTCCCAGTCTCCTGTTTGATCTTCTGACGGAACCTCATCATGTTGATACTGTCTGCGAATGACGAAACCTGAGCTCCAGGCTCGAGATCTTCGGAAGGAATACCGAGAAGACTCGCCCAGGTGGTAATGACGATGTGGGAAGTACTTTCAGAGTTGAAAGTTTCCGTCTTAGTGGTGTGTATTTTCGGAGTAGTGATTGTAATCCTGTAATCTTTGACTAGCTGGGCCAGTTTATTCTTAATAACTTTACCGGTGAGATTCTTTGGAAAATCAGCCAGCCCCAAGTCAGAAAGGTGGTAAGACGCTGCAGGGACATAGCTTGGCCCCATTCGCCCCAAACATAGCTCTTGGAACTTTTTGGTTGGTGTAGAGCGGCCTGCATAGACAACCACAGGGACCTAAGTAATGTCAGCCTTTTGTTATTTCAAGCCGACAGAGCAGAATCTACACTTACCTCGCCAGCTATTTCATCTTCTGTGCCAACGACATAAGCCTGAACATGCATTGTTAGCATTCCCAGAGTATTATTTACCCCAGAAGTTTGTATTCATACCTCAATTCCATCGATTGTGTTGAGAACTCGCTCCATCGCATTCGGTGAGATATTTTCTCCGCCTCGAATGATCATGTCCTTATATCGCCCTACAATAGCGACCCGATTTTGTTCATCCATGACGGCTTGATCTCCAGACTTGAACCACTGCTTCCCGTCTTTCACGTAGAAGTCTTCCTGGTTTCGGCCCCCAAGATAACCCGAGATCACAGTTGGTCCACTCATGTGTAACTCGCCCGGGGTGTTGATAGGAACTGGCGTCGTGCTGTCAGGGCTGCAAATCTTGACACTGCACCCCAGAGCAACCTCGCCGCAGCACGGACTGCCGTGGATCGCTGATTCTGCTGCAGTCTTAAAGAGCAGCGGTCTCGTTGGCATGCCCTCAGACATCCCATAGCCCGCGCATACGTAGTCCGAACCTAATTGGGTTGAACAATCCTCTAAATTCTTCTCGCTGACAGATGAGCCACCCAGACCGATGTACTTCAGGTGACTCAACTTGGGTATTTTCTGTTCTGACATCAGATTTGATACCGCATAAACCATTGTCGGGACCATGACAGTCTCATTGCATCGCTCATTAACCAGGGCATTGAGCATTGCAGCAGGAGTGAAAACCCCAGCGGGGTAAACAACAAGCCCGCCTCGAAGGTGAAAAGCGATTGTAAATATGAAACACATCATATGATTGTTGGGCAGGAAGTTCGCTGCACGACTTTCTGTATCCGCTTCCCAGATCGGCCGCCTACTGTTAAAAGCAGTTGCAATGGATTGGTGTGTATGTGGGCAGCCCTTGGGGAGACTCGTCGTCCCGGACGTGAAAAAAAGAACAGCGCCGTCAGCATCGTCCAACTGCGCGGCTGGCTTGCTTAAGAGCGCTTCTTCAGTGATCCCATTGAGTTCAAGGAGCGACGAGAAGTCCACCCAATTTCCTGGCCTTCCAGAAGTATCTGCTATAACGCGGAGTTTCACATTAAGACTCGTCTGACTGATGAGCTCGTCTACCTTCGACGCTGTCTCCGCATTGTCCACGATGAAGACACTCGCCGCTGAGGCCTCAAACATGTACCTGATCTCGGTGGGATTGGCGAGATTTCGTGTGCTCATGGGAGCAAAGACAGCCCCAATCTTCCAGCATGCCCAGACGACAATGCACCATTCGATGCCATTGGCGACGAACGTTGTCACCGTGTCTCCTTTTTGGACACCATGAGATTCAAACGACCAGGCCAAACGGAGAGCAGCGCGGTGAACATCATTGTAAGTCCAGCGGAGGCCAGGGCCGTTGGAAGGTGCTATGCCCAAGGAATTGGCGTAGAGACGCGTTTCTTGGTGGAGAGATACAACAGCCTCCCTGGTACCGTGTTTGGAAACTGCCTCTTCGAACACGTAGATAAGGTGAGGGGGTCGCGCACTTGGATCGAGAGGGATGGAGTGCTCGCTGACGCGGTCTTCTGGTGGCGACATGTTGGACAGGTGCGGCTCGCATGCCAGTGGGACGTTGGGCTCGGTGAAGAAGCCGATCACAGGACACAGGAGGCAACGAGCTTAAATAAAGCAAGCCCGCAGCTATTTTCACGCCGGCGGGACGTACTTGCTCGGAAGCGGCATGATTACTTCCCCAAGATCCACTTGCACACCATCCTGGCCCGGCGTTACAGTATGGAGACTAAGGTGGTGATCTCCGCTTTGTAGCCGAGCACTGTGCATTGCAACCACCAATTGGAGGTGCCAGGCAGACATTATCTTGTCAGGGCAAGGCCCATATGCAATGCTCCACATATCTTAAGCGCAGAGATGATCCTTCATGAATTTATTCCGTAGGATTTTGTCTCAATTCTGCGGACAAGTCATCTTGGGTGGATGTATCTACACGTCCCACGGAGGAGTATCATAGGTGACCAAACATGCGATATCGATGACCACGGAGATCTGCAAACTAAAAGCTTGGTTGAACGGCTGAATGGTCCGCTGTAGCTCACACGGGCTGCACAGGTACGAAACACTGTCAGCACGAGTGATTAGGTCTCACGATGGTCAGGCATACGCATGCGCCAAACGGAGCATGCAGCCAGGGAACTCTAAAGCCCTCGAATCGTCATCAATGCCGCAGTCGCATAGATCGGCCAATCGCCTTCAGAGAGGCGGCCGCTTTTTCCACGGCTGCCATTCTGGCGCCCTTGACGAGGGGCTTGATGAAGCGGAGAGACGCGCATCCATTTTAGATTGCACGGTGAGAAATACTGGCTTGTCAGCACTAGCGCCATACCTGTTGGTCCGCAAATCGTGCCTGTTGGGTATGTTGATCCTTGCCGCAAGTCCTTAAATTACGAAGGATGGTACTCTTCAGAGCTAAATTCAAGAATAACTAAAGCTACCCAGTATATCAGGTGACTTCCATGGAAAGAATGACGGGAAGGTTGGTCGTTTTTGCGTAGCAAACCAGAAAATTGCTCTGCTACAGGGCGAAATACCCAGAGAGGCTTCTCATTTGATGTATTATTCGGTTGACCGATGCACCCTGTCAACTATGGCTTTTGATAGTCGAATTGGTGCCTACAGGAGAGCGAACACAAAAGAATTTTGGCATCGCATTGACTGTGAGAAAGGACACTTCAAAAAACAACTGGCTCATTCGGACATGTCTGACCCAGAGCGATCTGGAACGGGGAAAAAGACTTAATCCGAAGTGATAAAGTGTGTAATATTAAAATTCCATATAAAGGGTGTTGATTGGCGTCTGAAATCCGTCAAACTTCGACCTAGCATTCGCCTCGTCCGGCCACAGAAGTCCCCTTTCTCTACGGCCTAAAGCTGATGCTTTACAATTACCATACTCTGCGAAGATATCACACGACGCTGCAATACTGGTGACAAGTGGTTATCCTCTATCTTAATTCCCAGTGTTATACGATGAATTCGCCCATCGTTTGTCCCATTGCTGTAAGTATTGGGTCGTATTTCTTGGCTGAGAAGTCAAGCCGACAGACCGTCTCTCAAATTGCTGATCTTGCCGGACATAATTGTCCACATTTGATGTAAAAGGCATTTGTGCGAGACTTCCGTTGCTTAGAGGCATGGTCTGAGCCCGGGATGGTGCGCTATCAAGGCAAGAGGCGTTAATTGCTTTGTGATAGTGAAAGGACGACAGTTGGGAGAGGATAGATGTCTGGCACCTGACAAATACGTACCGGTTGTTTGCTGAGGACGACATGTTGGAAATTGATTCCTGTTGAAGCACCAGAAAATTTTACGTTAATGGATTCGAAACGATATATAGTATTTTGGAGATGTCTTTGTGTTCTTCTGAAAAAGCCGATAGTGGAGTCCGATGAACGATGAGGCCCTACAGAAACGGATGCAAGAACAGCGGCCCAACCCAGCCTTTTATTATGCTTTGCACAATCTGATCTTTGGATCACTGAGAATATCGGAACCCTTTCTGTGTCAGGATGTTGATTCAAGTTATGAACCCTCCTCCTCCCTAGGTGTCATGAACCCTTCAGATAGGGTGACAATGACACCCTCGCCGAGTTGTCAGGGTGCAACTAGGGATTGCGAACACCATAGGGATCATTTCATGAAAATTCGCCCTTTCTGTGTTGCACCGTTCTTGTGTATCTTCGCATGTCCATATTGAAAGTATTTCGTGTGTGTTCTTCAAACTGGTTGGCCAACATAAGCCCATACTCACAAATGACTCATCCGGCCCTTTGTAGTTTCCACTCATGTCTAAATCATGTATCACAATCTCATACAATGCGCTGTACATCTGAATATGGTACACAAATGCCTTGCTTTCCTCCTCTGGGTCTGACTTCTCATCTTCATCTGGCTCACCTCAAATAATATCCTTTAGCAAGTACATCCTTTAGCAAGTACATCCTTTAGCAAGTACATCCTTTAGCAAGTACATCCTTTAGCAAG